ACATCTCGAATATTTACTTTATAATACAAAACTCATTTAAAATCCCCAGGGCCTTTGGTATTGGTAGACCTTCACCAGGCTCAAGTTAATGTGGCAATGGCAATTACTCAAGCGTCTTTGATGAGCAAACTCCAAAGACGAAGATCGATCAATTATAAGGCCTAGGTATTCCCAAAAAATAGTATATTGATAATCTTCGCTAACAGACTATGCATATGGAGGTTTCATTATGGCTTCCTGATTTGGCCCTCCAATAGATCCGGCTATCTGTTCAATCCTAGCCAAATTTCTTAACTTGAGGGGTGGAGTGATGATGTCTTTTTGCTGATCACGATGTATGTTAAACATGGATAAGTTTTCTACCCATACGCGTGTTTAACCAGATTAATATTGTTTATAACTTAACAGACTAACTCTGTCTTAAACAAGTTCAAATGGGTTGGGCCCTCAAAATTTCGTATCCAAGAGTAGCAAAAATCAGTTTGTGTTATTCAAATCTACATTAAGTTTCACATATTGTCAAATTCATACAGTGCCACAAAATTGACCACTCAAAAGGCTATATTGATTAGCACAATGGAGAAAAGGTAACACAAAATTGACTCTGGATCTTGCTAGGTTCAACGCACCGTTGCATCTTCACCCCAAACTGCGGCAATGAATAATTGGCGCGAAAAATGCGGTATATGAATGGTCAAGGACCCTGAAATGTAAAATGCTATCCCCATCTGACTGCGTAGGAGTTGTCGACACATATTAATCTTCGTTTCTTAAGATGGCAGTCCTGGAGGATACGAAAGTCCTGTCGCCTTCAATTCTTGCCTTTGGTAAGAAACAGCTATCTTCTCAAACCTAACATTACTAAAGGCACAGGAGCAATTTAGCGCTATTTATTGGCTTTTCAGAGTTTAAAACCTCAGAAAATTTTGTGACAAAAGAATCCGCCGCTATTAACACTCAAAATGTCGCTGAATGTGCATCCTCGTTTCCATCAGATACTGCAAGTACTCAGGTTGCCCAGGTGCCCGATGACTCTGGGCATCTAATCAACTTGAATTGTTCTATCAATACATAAAATTACTAACTGAACACTTTTGGGAATAGTGTACTCGTCAACCTTCGTCTTTTGGAGCCGAAAACCCTATAGGCTCCCCCTACCCAGATGAACTACAATCATCTTGCAATATAACTGTGAGGCAATGAAATCCACGGGCTAATCCCACCTGGGCATCTATACTATATTTTAAGCTAACAGCCGGGAAGTGCCGTGCCCTATAGACAGACTGTTGCTCTGGAAAATGCGTCAACCTAACCAACAATGTTAATTACTGCGGTTCATGCGCCACGTCTTGTGTCAATCATCTTTGTCCCGGAAAACCACCTAGTTGTTGTTCAAGCAAGTGCGTCGATTTAAGTAGCAACAGCTCAAACTGCGGGGGGTGTAATATTGCTGTAGGCATTCAAAAAATCCATTATGCCTGAAGTTGAACCTCTCACAAAAAGAATATGTGACAGTGCATCGGGAACGGCACATGGTGTTGCTCTGGCTTATGTTTTAATCATTACAACAGCCCGGTTCATTGTGGATCTTGTGAGGCCACGTCGGTTAGTCATTTTTCGCAATTTCACAGACCCTTCTACTATTCTTTGAATTAACTTATATAGTGTGATGGTATCACATCTGGCTGTTGCAGTGGAAGATGCCGGGACTTCGCATTCGATTCTTCCAACTGTGGATCATGTAAAAACGGAGTAAGAGTCCGGTCTTCAGGCCTTGTATTTCTCCCATAAACTGATACTGAATGAAATCCAGTGCAATGTCCCCGATACTATATTCCACTCTGGAAACTGCACTAATCTGAATAACGATGCCAAATACTGTGGATGTACGGCTTCGCCCGGCCCTGGAACCGTCCCAGCCTACTACTCCGGAATATGCGACGACTTGTATATTAGTTCGCTGCATTGTGGATCGAGTAGTGTTACATTTAGTCGTGCAATTTTCTTCGTTACCTCAATTAGTGGATCTAGGGTATTCAACAATTGCGTCCCTATTTAGTGTGGTCCTTCAAGCGCTACTTGTTGCGCTGGGAATTGCACGAATCTCAATACCGATCCAATCCATTGCGGGCCCTGCTCAGTGCCCTCTTGCAACTCCTCACAACCAAAATGTTGTTCGGGAAGTTGTACCAACGTCAATAATGACCGGAATTTATGCGGATCTTGCAGCTCGATGCCCTGCCCGGGTGTCACCCCTGCCTGTTGCTCCGGGGCATGTGCAGATCTCAATTCGAGCCCCCTGCGATGTTGTTCCTGCAAGAATACTGTGAGACTGTTTTTCCTAATATTGTATACTTCAAAATATGGCAGTTAATAAGAGCGTTCGGTAGTGCTCAGCTTCCCTCCCGACCTGTTGCTCAGGCAATTGCATGAATCTGAATACAGATATAACCCACTGTGGATCATGTACAGCTACGACTTGCAATGGAACAAAACCTGCCTGCTGCAATGGAATGTGCTCAGATCTATTTTCAAATGCCCTTCGGTGTGGCGCATGCAATATCAGCGTATGTTAAACCATGACAGACAGTATTTGTAATTCCCAGTCTAACTGAAAGTTACCACGATAGTGCTCTGTCACTCAGCCAGACTGCTGCAATGGTACTTTTACTAGCGTCTAAAGTGATCCCAAGTTCTGTGGCTCTTGTGCTGCAGTACCCTGCACAGGGACAATACCTGCATGTTGCTCCGGACTCTGCGCTGATTTGGGTTCCAATCCATCTAAATGTGGAACGTGCACCGATATAGTGAGCACTAGTGAAAGAAGCCCATTTGACACTCTGAGAAACTATATGACTGTATGTAGAAAGAACATTGGAACTTCATTTTCCCCTCGCTAACTCGATACTTGATTCCTAGTGTGACGCGACGAAAGCAACGTGTTGCGCTGGGACATGCGTTAATTTGAATAACACTACAACAGCATGTTGGAGTTGCTCTAACAACGTAATTATCGTTCTTTGGCCATATTCTTGCGTGGAATTGACTAAAATATCAGTGTTCGACGACGTCGCCAACATGCTGCTCAGGGATTTGTACTAATATTAATACAAACTCTTCAACATGCGGATCTCACAATAATACTATATGTATCATCCCATACTTCTACGAAGAGCTGGATCACCTCAAGTCATATGAGTCTCTAACGGACAGTTACAATAATTAGTGCACCGCTCTGGCTTCTTCCTGCTGCTATGGAATGTGTACTAATTTGTTGAAATCACCTACCCACTGCGGTGTTTGCAATATCACAGTCAGTATTAGTTATCTGTCTCCCTGCTCAAGCCCATTTAAAATCTCCTTGTCCTTTGCTGCCTACCTAAGCTGATTCAATCTAGTGCTCTGTCACTCAATCAACATGTTGTGGAGGCCTCTGTACAAATTCAATACACCTTCGACAAGCTGCGGGGTTTGTAACAATATTGTACGCCATTCTAAACCCATAAAAGCCATGCATGATTATGAACTGATATACTCTCAGTGCCCTATTGCTAATCCTAGTTGTTGTGGACTGTGCACGAATATGGTCACCAACCCTCTCAACTGTGAGGCCTGCAATAAAATAGTATGAAGTTCATGATTTCGCGCACTCGACATCTATGGATATTTGCTTCCTTGCTTATGCTAATAATTTTGTTCATGAAGTGGGCCGCAGCGATTCCCAATTGCTGTTCCTCGGTTTGTACTAGTATATTAACCGATAACAGAAATTGCGGTGCTTGTGGGACTGCAATATGTCATTATTCATAAACGCCTCGTGATGGGCATTCGAGCTTGCCGTCTGTAAGCATGCTGACCTTTGACCTAATTCAATAGTGTAACTCGACGGCTCCTTCATGCTATGGGGGGGATATGCACAAATCTTATGACGAACCCTCTTGCTTGCGGTACATGCAACACAACGTTTTGCTATCCCTCCCACGCATTTTTGTCTTTCTGAATATTTACTGATTGAACCGTTTACTTCTTGTGCTCGGCGGCATCGCCGACTTGCTGCTTGGAACGTGCAGCAATCTCTTACTTCTTCTTCCAACTGTGGAGCTTGTGGCAAAACGGCGAGTCTTTTCTTTCGGCATTTGCAGCTTGTGAGATTATCTAATTTGATGACAGTGTGCTGCATCAACGCCAACATGCTGTAATGGTGTTTGCGTCAATTTAAATACTACTGCCGCAAATTATGGATCGTGTGGTACAGCAATGTATTTTATCCAGATACATTGGATTGTCCGAGATCACGGAACTGACCACTTGAGGTAATGAACAGTGCAATGGAACTACAAGAAACCGCTGCGCAGGTTCTTGTACGAATACCACATATGACCCGCGAAATTATGGCACATGTGGAAAAGATGTGAGTATTCTCACCTTTGCATGTTATAATTAATCGGAAGAACCTCGGGACGTGAGCTGACTCGCGGATTAAATTAATGTACGGTATCGCAAAGTTGTATCAACGGTACTTGCGGACTCTGTGCCGTAAACCAAATATACCGCAATTCTATGGGACAATGTGTATGTACTCATTTGGTCCTCTGATCTTGGCAAAGCCGATGATATTGCAGTGTTCGCAGAACTTTACTTGCATCGGCGTAGGAAGCAATCCGGGGTGTGGCTCAAATTCATTTGTCTGCCCAGCACTTCTCGCTCCCACCGGTCCATTAGTCTGCGTAAGTCTCTTCCAATACCCTCCTATGCCTAGGTATTTTGAGGTTCGAAGCTAATTTTACTTGAAGTACTTGCTACGTTGTGTACTTGGTATATGTGCTCTTTCGCTGGACACCAAGCGAAGCAGACTATTAATGCTTCTTTAAGAAAGACTGAGACGTTCGACTTTGGAATCTTGGAAGTTGGTAGGACTTCAAATTCAAATCGTATTCAAGTTTTTACCTAGGTACTTGGCCAGATACCTATATAAAACGCGTACCGTGTTATTACTCCCCTCAAGCTTTCCCACCACGATCCAAGGCTTTGCGGAAATAAACCCGATCAAATCCATCTTCGGTCCTCCGTCCCTCCTCGATAAATCCCAACTTTGCATACAGTCGAATATTTTCGTACATTTTGGCATTGGTATAGAGTTCCAATACGAAGATATTTTGCGATAGTGCGAGGTTTTCTGCATGTTTCATCAAAACGCGACCGTACCCGCGCCCCTGTGCCGCAGGGTCGACAACTAAGTTATCGATCTTCACTGTCTTGGAGCCATCATCAAAACTGAGCGTAATTGCACCGATCGAGGATCTATTGTGCTCTTTCAAGATAAAAACTTGACTTGTTTGGATTACCGAATAGTAATCCTCCGACATTGGAGCGGGTGGTTTGCCAATGCGGTCGATATATTTGGCATACGCAGAATCAACAATTTGTTTTATAGCCGATGCATCATCAACTGAAGCTTTGACTATGGAGACCTCTTTCTGGGTAGATTGGGAAGGGGTGGCCATTATCTCTGTTGGCTAGAAATAGTCAATGATGTCCGAGTCTGAATCGTAAAAAGCGAGATCGTTTTGATTGGGGAAGAAGCTTACACTAGGCTAGGCGGACCTTTCTTAAATTGCGCTGAATATTAACATAAAGAGGTGAACGAGGTGATACGAAAGGTAGTGAGGGGATGACCACCCGAGGCTATCTAGAATGACTAAATAGTGGGTGGGATGACTCAAAACGCTCTGAGGCCTGAGCGGCCTTGGGGAAATCAGTGGCACGCTCGCGATACCGAATGAGGATTTCTGTGCCAGCGGGAATGTCCTTTGTCGCCCGCACGATGACAATATCGTCAATGAAGCTGTGCTGCACATTGTGCAAGCAGGAGTGATTGGTGAAGGATGCCATCCGCCAAAGTCCGCAAGGGGGTTCCTGAGCCACTTGAAAGTCACTTCTTTCTTCCTCAAACAGACCCTGACCTGGCGTGCTACCCGACGCATATAGGCATCACACGTGAAGGTGTCTGAGTACAACATATTGTCGAGTTGTCGAGCATCACCTTGTAAATATAAAACAAGGGCGAAAAAATTCAAGTTCCAAGGTTAGATTATATAGTAATTGAGCCCTGGCCTCGAGAGCGTCGCAGGGTGCTCGTAAGCACTATTAGTAACTACTAGTAATAGAGCTTGCTAGCTTAGAGATGATTGATCCATGGATATTGGCCTTGCGAGTATTGTAGGGCGCTTGCAAGCGCTATTAGTAGATACTAGTAATATAGCTTACTACCATAAGGAAACAGTTTCTCATTTGCACAGAGATCGGCTTCTTGATGTGGAGATGTTGACCCACTTCAAGCACGGAACTTATTCTGTGCACATGCCAAGTATCTTGAAAGATTGATTCCAAGTTAGCGTTAGCAGGGAGAATACCCTTTCTATCCAGTGTTATCAGAAGATCTCCTTGTCGCGAAATAGAGAGAGCATGAAACAGAGAGATGCTCTCTATCCAAGGTTAATCAGAGGGACTAGAAAGTGTACTAAGTTTTGGTAGCCTTGAGCGTAACTCCATTCCATTTCACCCCTCTCCAACTAGTTTGCTACAAACTAATGTAAATTCCATGCGGCTTTGTATGGGAACAAATATTGTGGACGTCAGCTTTCTTTTGCTTTTAACTTGACCCCTTCCTCCAATGGACCTTGTTTTAAAATCGAGAAAAGAAGCGGTCGATCCACTCCTGGCATTAAAATTGCATTCATTGAGAGGTAATGTACTAATTTTCATGACAAAAAGTTGAAGTAAAGGGAAATTCGTGAAATTCAAGTTCGCTTAAAGCCGTAAGGACATATCTCTAGTATATACATATTCAAAATGTTCAAATTCCGTGAGTGACATGATGTTGTGTAGTAGAGTCTGATCGCGATGTGTTATCATCGGAAACGACTTCAATGTCAACCTGCTTCGTGATCCCCGGGTTCATATCGCGAGGAAAGCTAGTATTGTCACCACCCACTGTAGCACTGTTTTCTCTGTCAAGAATGTGATCTATGCTGCCATACTCCAAGTCGTGAGGTTTGCTGAATTTGCTACGCGTCTTGCGCGTTTGAGTACCATCGTTTGGGTTTGTTCGACGGTTGCTGAAAGGACCACTGAGCTCATATGACCGAGTGACACTGGATAGCTTTCGTACGGACGAAATAATCAAGGGGCGGATACATGGAATCGACGAGGTGATGATGATGATGGCGTTTTCGACGTAACCCCAACGAATCAATTCAATTCCACCAGCGGCGCCAAGGTTCGTGATGCTGGGCAAGGTATTGAGCTTGGTAGTCTTGATTATGGAAGCCACCATAGCGCTGAAAGGTCAGTATTGATATATTGAAAAAGGAATTAAGACTACTAACACAATGCCCAGGCTAAGAAGACCAATCAAACTGATCTTGATACGCAATTTCAAGTTGAGATTCCAGAACACAACGGTCGGGAATACTGCCAGGAATAGATCGGCAGCCGAGTTGAAAGCTACAGAATATCATATTAGAAATTTCCGAGATGAAGTTTTATAGGTAAACTCACTGTTGGAAAAGTACGCGAAGTTGATGACTGCTTTGGTATCTCCGCAAGTTGTTTTGATGGTTGGATTCCACAGAATATTCACGTTCTTACAGATGCTCAATGGCAAGACTGCCGACGCAATATTCCCAGCCAGTTGGATAGCGAGGATAGCCCATAATGCAATCTTATATGCCTTCTTTGTCCCCAGAACTGCGACAAGATATATGATAAATGAGGATCGAGCGAAGGTTGTACTGAGGGTAACGATGGGAATTTGTATGGCGATATACTTCAAGACGAGGGAAGTGTCATGGGTAAAGGGGTTCCCTAGGGGCTTGCCGAAGCCGTGATTGACGGAAAGTGTGAGAAAAACGGTCGAGACGATCGCCAAAATCTAAAGTCAAAGACGTTAGGAGATCATGTGCAGAATCATAGATTAAAGGAGTCAAGTCCATACCGATGCGATGATCATCAGTACATCATCGAAGTGAAAGCGGTTGATCTTAATCTTAGCAAACACCCTAAGAATTACAACCAAGGCCGCTATGATCACCGCGACCCATAGCCCTCGTTCAAGAGCCGGGCCGTGGTTTGGTGTGGACTCTGTCATATCGATTTCGAGGCAGGGTTGACCTAGTTATGATGCCTAGGTGCACATTGCTGAAACGGCGTGGATATGTGTCCTTAAAAAGAAATCAAAACGATATCCTTGCGCTTGAGATTATACTTTGTAATAAAATTTAAGTCTGGTGGCTGAAAATTGGCGTTCGGGGAAGGAAATTCGGCAGGTGGAGGGCAAACGGGTCTGGTTCACCCGCAATCGAACATGACCAGGAAACTGCAAAACCAACTATGGTTGCCCCTGATTGAAAGCTAGACAATCCCCGGAAAGACCAATTATCAGCAGTGCTGTTAATGAGTTTCCGGACTTATTAGATTGTGTGGCTGTCCGAATAATCAAGTTCCCTGGCCCATGTGAACTCTGATCGATTGAATTCCCCACCGGGATCAACCTGATAGGGCTAGGGCTATCCGATCTGAGACAAATTGATCGCCCATATTCGGGTGTGCCTTAAATTGCGCAACAAGGTAGCAGCACGGTCTCCGCGGCTTTCCGGTTAAAGAGTTTTTGCCAGACCAACCAAGCATAAACCAAGCATTTTACCTGGGAGGATTCTCGAAGCTTGCCAATTCCGTCGATATCATGCGGGCTGGTTGGGATAGAAAACCATTTGCCACCAGATTGATCGGTTAATGTACGGCTCAAGTACCGAGACTAAATGCCTCCGGAAGGACGTGATCGCCGAACCATGTGGGAGTACGGAGTACGGAGTAATTCCATCGCTCGGTTCTTTCCCGGTCAATCCCATGCATACATTAGTTATCCACTGGTTCTGTTAGTACGGAGTAGTGCGCCGACTTAGACGCACTGGGGAACATCTCCGACAGGCTTGTGGACAATCAATTCTTACGGGGGTTGCCATTTTCAACCCAAGGAATGTCTGCTTCCCTCATATAATAGCAATCGACCTGTCGATCGGCAAAACCTAACCACACTTCCTCCCTTCTTCTCCTCATCCCCACCATGAAGATTTGGCTAGCATCAGTTGCGGCTCTTGCCTCAACGGCACTCGCTGCATCTGAATCTCAATGCCACTGCTTGCCTGGAGATAAATGCTGGCCCACCACATCGGCATGGTCTTCATTGAACAATACCGTCGGGGGTCGTCTGGTTGCGACCGTGCCCATTGGCACCCCTTGCCACGCACCCACCTATGATGCCGTGGCCTGTGCGGCGTTGAGATCCAACTGGACTGAGCCGTTGCCCCAGTAAGTGATGCTTCCTCCACAAAGTACAATGTCGCATGCCAAGGAGCTATGGTATACTAACCTTGGGGTTTAGTCTCGAATCATCATCTTCTGTGATGCAGACGTATTTCGCCAACCAAAGCTGTGATCCCTTTACCGCAACGAATCGGCCATGTCTGCTGGGCAATTTTGTTAGCTATGCCGTCAATGTTTCCTCTAGCAAAGATGTCGTCGCGGCGGTGAACTTTGCCCGCAAGAACAACATCCGTTTTGTCATCAAAAATACTGGCCATGAGTGAGTATTTCCTTTCCTTTTGTGTCCTTGTTTGTTAGGTCTATCTATTCCACTGGATAACTAATTGCTCATCTAAATTAGTTACCTTGGCCGTTCGACCGGTGCCGGTGCTCTCTCTGTGTGGACCCACTACCTGGATGGTATTGAATACAAGCAGTGGTCTGACTCTGCCTACCAAGGTGCTGCATTCAAGGTCGGTGCCGGTGTGATGGGTTATCAAATTCTTGAGGCTGCCAAGTCCAAAGGCCATGTCATTGTCACTGGTGAATGCCCAACCGTTGGATTGGCCGGTGGTTATACCCAAGGAGGTGGTCACAGTGCTTTGAGCACAGAATTTGGCCTCGGTGCTGATCAGACTCTTGAGTTTGAGGTTGTTACCGCGGCTGGAAAGCTTGTAACCGCTTCCCGGTCTCACAATTCCGACTTGTTCTGGGCTCTTAGCGGTGGTGGAGGCGGCAACTACGGCGTCGTTCTATCCATGACCGTGAAGGCTTACAGCGATGCGCCCATTGCCGGCGGTGCTGTTCAATTCACCGCAGCCAACATCACCACGGACACCTTCTACGAAGCTGTGTCCGAATTTCATCACCAGCTCCCGAAGATGATCGACCAAGGCGTGACCGTCATCTACCAGATGACTGCCAGTGTCTTCATCATCAGCCCTCTTACCGCGTATAATCAAACCTCGGCCGAGGCAAAAGCCATCCTTGCTCCCTTCCTCCAAACGCTGACCAAGCTTGGAATCAAGTACAAGGCTGCTTTCACTCAGTTTGATTCTTACTATGAGCACTACAACAATTACATGGGGCCTTTGCCGTGGGGAAATCTTGCTGTCGCCTCATACCAGTATGGTGGTCGTCTGATTCCTCGTGATGTTCTGGAGAATAACCCCACCGGCATGGGTAATGTACTGCGCAATCTGACCCAAAACGGTGTTATTGCGGTTGGTGTTGGTATGGATGTCTCAAACCCTGGCAATGTTTCCAACGCTGTTTTCCCAGCCCTGCGAAATGCTGCTATTACCATGCAAATCGGAACTATGTGGAACGAGACCGCTCCCTGGTCTCAAATGGTTGCTGATCAGTACAAGATCACGAATGATTATGTCCCACAGCTAGAGGCTCTCACTCCAGACAGTGGCTGCTACCAGAACGAGGCCAATTTCCGTCAACCGAACTGGAAAAAGACCTTCTTTGGTGACAATTATAGCTCTTTGCTCTCCGTGAAGCGGAAATGGGACCCTAGTTCCTTTTTCTATGCCTTCAAGGGTGTGGGTAGTGATGCCTGGTCTGTCTCTGAGTCGGGCCGAATGTGCCGCGCTTGATCGAAAGACTTCTCGAAATTTTTGAGATAATTGATTCCGAGCCCATAGCGCGTGGACCTCGAGTTTGGAATCGCCACGTCTAACAAGTTCCACCCCGGAAGCTTCCAAGTCGTGGCGGATACCTAAATATATAAGTGCAGTGACTCGGATGTAAACTAGAACATGCCAACGTATTAATAGTGACACGGATTAATGAATTGAGTTCAATTAAATTAGAAAAAACCTTGAAAAGAAACCTCGTCTATTCAAGCCCTGGAGGGGTTTTCATACTAGCGGTAGTCTGCCCAGGTACCTTGGGATCATTACGGAGGTGCTGTGAAAAATTTCCAGGGCGTTATTAGTAGCTACCAGCAGTAGCTATTAGTACTAGCTATTACTACTCACTACTAGTTTCAACAGGTGTAGACGCCGACTCGGAAATATCAACTTGGAGGCACATATGAGTCACTACTATCTACTGCTAGGTAGCAGCAGTACCTAGGTAGTTATATTATCGATGAACATGTTCAAATTACTACTAGTTAGTACCAGTACTTGACATTGCGATCAAGGGGCCGGCCATTATTTTGGGCTAAGGAACTTTCGAGAGCTAGTATGAGACCGCCTAGATGCCGAGGGAGATCTGACAGGCAAGTGCCAGTTCAGACAATAGCCGCTGGGTCTGCTTGATGCACACCGTGAGACATTTAGCGCCAATGGGGAGCATTCTGCAGATGGCCTCTCCGTGACGTCAGGAAATGACACGCGCATTGACACATGGCCAACATGAGAAACACTGCGTGTCTCATGGCGACCAAGATGTGTCTAGCATGCCTAGCTTGAAAGCATTGTAGAATGAAAATCACCTTGGAGTGATGGCCAAGGAAGGCCAATCACAACAACTTCCGATTCCATTAGATCCATTCGGGGCTAAGTAAAACGTCGCGCACAAAATGGGCGGTATTGACCAATCAGCCTAGCGAGACACAATAATCAATCCAACGGCCCAATTCCCAGGTGGCTTGTTGGTTAAATGGCTTGCCCGGTTCAAAGACTTCTTTCGGCAGGTCTCGAAATATGAGCCCGAGCGGCGCTTGATCATATCGCCCATGTTATTAGGTCCGAGCAGCAATGCATGAAAGCCAAGCCGGAGGGGCCAAGGCCTGGCAAGGGGTTCCGATCCTAAACACTGTGGGGATTACAACACAATCACCCAGCTATCCCTTGATATGATCACATCGGTTTACAAGTCGACTGCAGTCCGAGCGATCCGCTGCGCTCCACAGAGGTTCTCCGTATTCATCTTGATCATCTAGAGGCTGTGTCTGTTCAACCTAGACCTGCATAATTCTGACGCCCTGTGATGAAGTCGATCATGCAGATCAGGGGGATGGACAAGTGGACCCGCCCTACCTCCAGCGCGCTCTTTTACCAATCAAGTCGACAGGAGAGAAGAATGCATACTTATTCTCCATTTCAATTATGTGTCTAAGAACCTGCATTTCGCGTCGAAGCTATCATACTTAAGCTAAGTATCTTCGCTCACAACTACCCCTGAGTAGGTCATTTCGTGCTGGCACACCCTGGCAACATGTTGCTCTCTCGTGGTCTTTTTGCCCCGGTACTCATCCCTTTCCTTCTATTAGGCGGCACTCTTGCCAACGACGCCCTTGAACGAGCAGAAGAAGGTTTGCGCACGCTGCAAGACTTTTACAACGATGGCACTGGGATGTGGAATACCATCGGATGGTGGAATGGCGCGAATTGTATGACTGCGATCGCAGATCTTGCTTTAATTGATCCATCAGTGGTGGGGACCGCAAACTACGTCTTCAACAACACTCTCAACAAGGCACCATCCTCCAACCCCAAACCAGGTCCCGAAGTGAAGGCCACCTCGAAACGTTCTGTATATTCCAGAACTGGTAACTCTGCGAATGCCTCACAGTGGCTAGACTCTGCTTATGATGATGACGCGTGGTGGGCCCTTGCATGGATTGCTGCATACGATGTTACGGAGGAAAATGCCTATCTATCGCTGGCCGAAGGTATCTTCGATGCTTTGGTGTGTATCATATTCCATTCATACACACAGTATCCTCGTGCCCAGATGCTAACAAATACATAGACCAAGGCTTGGGGAACTCGGTGCGGCGGGGGCGGCATACCATGGAACCCCACGGACGGATACATCAATGCGATTACGAATGAATTGTTTCTCTCAGTGGCAGCGCACCTAGCTAATCGTGTTCCATCAAGAAAGAAGGATTATGTGAGTTGGGCGATCAAAGAATGGGACTGGTTCACCGCTCAAGGATTCATTGGTCAAAACAACACAATCAATGATGGATTATTGGACAACTGCCAAAACAACGGTGCTACAGTGTACAGATCCCAGTCCCCCAAAAATGTTCTGAACAACAGACCCGCTAACAGTTGAACAGATGGTCCTATAATCAGGGGGTTGTCCTTGGTGGACTTGTCGAGTTGAATAAAGCAGCCCCGAAAGACGTCTACCTAGAATCTGCAAATGTTATTGCAAGAGCTGGAATCGATACACTCGCTGATTCGAACTACGTTATTCACGATTGGTGCGAGACCACCGATTGTGAACCAGATGCAACTCAGTTCAAGGGAATATTCATGCGCAACCTACAAATGCTGCATCGAGCGTCACCAAATGAGATCTACAAAAAGGTTATACAAAATTCTGCGAACAGCATCTGGGCAAACGATCGGAACGAACAGGGCCAATTCGGTGTGAACTGGGCTGGTCCTCCTTCCTCCGGAAAAATAGATGCCTCTACACATAGCTCAGCCTTTGACGCACTAGTCGCCGCGGCGGCAATTTAATGATCATGATAATGAAAATGGAAATTATCATATTTGGTTTCTTGCCCGCCTATGACACAAAGCAATCAGCCCTATGTAAAAACATGAACTGCTCGGAATCACATCATCCGTGAATAGGTTCCTCTTCACCAACTAATGGACTATTACTGCATCACCTAGTATGCCCCCTCGCGCCACACCCACGAAGGTTGCGGCGCGGGATCCGGCTTTGTGTAACCCGAGCGGGTTACAGCCGTGGGGGTCAATTCGAGATTGGCAAGCTGGGCACCTTGCTCGTCTTGTGCCCAGAGAGTTAATGCAATGTAGTTCAACCCATTGTGATTCAAAATTCCTTCTGGGACTGGAAAGGATACCTGAGGTCCGAGATTGTTGACTGAGAAAACTATTAGCCCCGGTACCCTTGGCAGAATTCAGGTGTGACACTTACTATATTTGCCAAACTGATACCCGTTTACAAAAAGCTGGCATCGGTAATTTGATCCAAATTTTCCGGATTCGGGTGATTCCGCTGCAGACCCATTGAACACAAAACTCATCGGAACGTCCCATCCTTCGGGGATATCCAGACTGAAAGATGTAGTGAAAAAGCCAACACCAGCTCTTGTCATCCCGTCCTTCATCGGGCTAGCTGAAGTCCATTTCGAGACTGGTGGCTTTGGATTGTGATAACCTTGCCTCTCGGCGTACATAGCGCCTTCGTTTAAAGGTCCTCTCGCGAGATCATGATACTGCTCGCCGCCAAGATTTCCCGTCATTTTCCACGAAATGTCACTTTTGCTATGGTTTAGCAGCTGGTAGTTGAGGATACCATGCGGAAATTTGATCGCATCGGTACCTGGGGCCTCCTCATCTTGGCCCATGTCGTCAATCAAAACTGTAAGAACATAAGACTCTCCTGCAAATAAATCCTTGGGAAACCGTAAATTTTGAATCGCGGTGGTATTTGAGCCACTTCCAGTCCAGGATCCAAGGAAAGTTTGATTTAGCCAGATGGAATGACCAAAGCCAGTTCCACCTGACACGTTTAAGGAAACCAGTGACTCCATTCCATTTGCTATGAAATGACCACGATAAATTAACGAGCCAGCGTGGAACCCATAATCCATAGAATACAGATTCATTGGCGTGTCCAGATCTCTGGGATTGTTTGTAGTCCTCTTCGAACAGCTTGTCCAATTTGTATCATCGTAGGCTGCTTTGATTTCAGGTAAAGAATCAAGGTACCTCCAGTCCAAGATGGCTAGACTTGGTATTGTGATTTCAGGAGGGTCGTACTCCACCGTTCCTATTAATTTCCCCGACTTTGTGCGTGAAACACTCAATTGATCTTGATTGAAAATAATCGCTTTCAAGTTACGAACCGGTGCAGAAATCACCTCAATTTCTGTTGTAGCATTAATATCACCCGTAACGCGAATCGCATGATCTTCGATCCAAATCGAGCGAACAAGCTGCCCGCCTTTCACGATGACCATATCCTTAGTCGGTGAAGAAAAATTGCCGATGGGTGCTTTGGCAGGCAACTCCAGTGGCCAGTATGAATAAGCCTCGTTTCGCCAAAGAAGGTAAATCTCGAGATCAGAAATGCGGATTATGCGGCGTTCTCGCTTGACCTGCCACTGTAACACCCATGCTTGGCCTTTCGGAGTGATTGTGACGTCGGAACCCTCAATAACAGTCGGATTTCCAAGGTGACGAGACAACGCAAACTCATGCAATTCGCCTGCTCCGCCGTAAAGAATTAGTAAACGTGCCGAACCAGCCCCGCGTGCCCATGTGAAGATCTCAGCTGTGGAGTATATCAAATTAATGCCGTCAAGACTATAATCTGTAACGTGGAACTTGGAATCTCGCCCGTTAAGACTGAGATGACCACCGATCTGTGGTATGCTGAGGTTTCCGATACTAGTTGGTAGATGAAGAGTATATTCAGTGTTGCTTGTAGAGCTGAAATTGGCATGCCTCACTAGGTAAAAGTTTGTTCGTGTGTCGTTTCCATAGAGTGGGGTTACAGCGATAGAAGCTGGAGCCCCGTAGGAACCATTGATTCCTAATCCCGGAGTTGCTGTCAGGTATGCTGGTGAAACCTTCAAAAAGTTTGCTTCTAATTTTTGCTCGCTATACTTTTCACGCGAGACGCCCCTGGTTTCGGTGATGGCTGCCCCATAATCATATGAGGTATAACCTCCCTGGTAGCCAAGATTTCCCCAATTTGTACCCCCAAAGGTCTACCAAACGCATCAGCATAATCCCAACCTATAAAATAGCCAAAAATGACTAACCATATAAATGTTAAATATCTTAACCCCAAATCCATAATTATTCTTGTAAACGACTCGGACAGCCTCTTCGTTGACGAGTTCAGCGCATTTATCCTCGATGACCCCTCCCCTGCCTCATATCAACAATTGCCTTGACCCGAAATGGGATAAGGTTGACTTACCATCCTCCGCCCGAGCCTCCTTGAAACTCGACGATGGAAAATGGGGTGTTTGGGCTGTACTTTTCGTGAAGAACTTGCCAGTCATAAGGGAATCTATAGGTAGGCCAGAATGTTGGATTACCACCTTTTATCATTTATTGTCAGCCAATATGATATAAGCACATAGCGAAATCGGCTTACTCACAGTCGTAACGCAAAGGGTACGAATCAATTCCGTAAATATCTGTCTCTCCAAGGCCGGACTCCGGAGCCCAGTAGCCTAAAGCCTTGTTGTCATTAACGATGAGGGGCACCGTTATACCAGCATCTAACAGTTGCTTTTCAACATAATCCATGTACTCCCGGTTCATTTGGGTCGGAAATTCTTCTTCGGGAACATCCGGCCATGTTGCGTACTCGTTTTCTGGCTGGACCATGATCACAGGGCCCCCCGTGAGTAATTTGTGCCTTCTCGATAATGCGGCCCATTGTTGACATATACTTTTCCGTTGTTTTAAGATATTCAGGGTCGTCGGAGCGGATTGTCGCGTTGATACGCAAGACCCACCCTGGAATACCACCTGCTGTCGTCTCCGCATTGATGTACGGTCCAGGCCTCGCGATAAGATATATTCCAGCTTCAGTCGCAGCATCGAAGAATTTTTCAAGATTCCATATGCCGTCGATGACAACCTGTCCCGGATTACCTTCCACCAGACTCCAGTCAACGTAAAAAGACACTCCATTGAAGCCCATGCTTTTAATCTTCTGAAGCACATCGAGCCAGAGACCTGGAACTGGAAGTCGGAAAGGGTGAAATTCACCGGAGAAAATCATGATTCGCTCGCCTCGAACAAATACTGAATGCTTGTCCCAAGTGACCTGCCAGCGTTGGTACAATCACCTCATAAACCAGGTGGATTTTCACTTACTAAATCTTGTAAGCCATTTCCTGTTTTGATGAGCTTTGCATCAGCGGCTAGAAAGGCAGCCTGTAATTGCAGTCCGAGAAGCCATATGGCGACTCTTTGTAAATACTTAAAAAGTAGCATCTTGCTGGAAGAAATAAGGACTCGGACTTATTTCAAAATTTCATTGCCAGCATTCATTCATAGCCGGACTTTTTTTAAACATAAATTATTCTAACCCCCGCATCTTCATGAATTACCCTGCGGGCTTGCGGGGTATTGGAAGAGGAGATGAATCAATCGAGTAAATCTGATTGAGGGAAGATTTCGGGAGTGGCATGATCGGCAAAACCCACTTCTCCACATTTTCATGTAGCACGCTTGTGTGTAGCCATCACTAAAAATCGCGGCCTCTTCGAATAGCAAGAGTGGTTGCCAAGACATAGGTCCGAGTAAATGAGCCCAGCTCCAGGGCTATTTAGCCATCGGTACAGATGCCAGTGTAGGACGATCATACTCGGTCACATCCATTACTAAATATAATTGCATAGCCCAACTTGAATGCACAATACAGCATACACTGCCCAGGTGACATAGTAGGTATTCTTTGTGAACTGCAATGGCTACTCTATGCGAACATGTAGGTAATAACTGTACCCTGCATCCATGGATCCTTGACTGATTTACTTTACATGCAAAACCACCCGCTCAACTAGCCAATGGGCTTCCTAGCCAGCCCTAGTAAGTAATCACTTTAGGTTTCAAAGATCGGAGAGCTTCAGACTCACTGTTATACTGCATAGCAGGCAGTTATAACTTCAAATGACAAGACGGAATAAAAATCAAAATTCATGACTTGTATAGTCACGGATTGAGTTTTGAGTTGGTATTTGAGGTCGCATAGTACGGTCATTCGCCATACGAGTTAACTCATGAATATGCAACTTTAAATCGAGTCCCGACAGGCAGCTTGATGACATCACATTTCGATCATCTCCGCATTATATCGCGCCCCCGCCTTTTCTCGTCTTTAACCTTTGACAATATCGACCACTACTATCAAAAGTGTCCACAAAATGGAAGCTCATATTAAGCCACTCCTCTTGCATGCGCATGCTACTGGTCCCAATCCAGTCAAGATTGCGATCGCCTTGGAAGCACTTCATGTGCCGTTTACTGTGAAACTCTGGGATATGGGCGACGACCCGGAAAAAGGACTGAAGGGTACGAACTTTCTCAAGATCAACGAAAACGGACGTGTTCCAGCCCTCGAGGATCCGAATACAGGAGTTGTGGCATGGGAATCTGGGGCATGCATGAATTATATTCGGCGAGTATACGACCTCGGCAATCAGATTGGACCGTCCGGGGGATCGGCGCAAGACCTTGTTGATTTTGAGAAATGGGAATATTTTCTACTTTCAACTCTTGGTCCGATGACTGGACAGGTGAATTGGTTCAGGTAAGTCCTGCACCTAACCCCGACCAGGTATGCAGATAATCACTAATTCTTGCAGACACTTTCACTCGCAGAAAAATGATGATGCGCTCCAGAGATACGTTGCTCAGACATACCGGTGCTATGACGTTGTGGAGGAACAGTTGAAGAAGTCGAGCGGAACAAGCATCCTCCCGACTAGAGTGACAGCAGTTGATTATCATTTCGAACCGTGGGTTCGACTGTACAAGTTCGCCGGGCTCTCTTTGGATAAATATCCCTTGATCACCAAATGGCTTGGACTCATGGGCTGCCGCGAGGAGGTCCAAGAGGCGTATTGCAAAATCCAACACGATGCAAAAAAATGAACACTGGTCTTGAACGATGCAGTTTTTTCGCCTCGGTCGGGGATTTAACTCTTTCATTTAGTCAGATTGATATAGTTGTACAAAATAACAAGCTTCGAAGCTTCATGTTCTCATTATCTCACAAAAGAGCGGTGTATCACCCCGGTTAATATTCCCTGGGGCACCATGACAGGATACTGAGCAACGACTCAGAACCTTGGAAGCAATAACTCGCGAAGCAATAACTCGCGAAGCAACTCCTCCCCATCCTGCGATATCGCAGGCATCTTGCCACTGGGCAAATTAACCTGCATCGCTTGCTTGTGCGATTGAGGAGTCGGTGAGGCATCATTACGCTCGGTCCTCTAGCAAACGAAATCATCTGCCGAAGCACAGTTCTTGACGTGTTTGTTCTCTTTATCCTGTTCACGGACCGTCACCCATGCTATAGGTCACAGACTGCAGTCTTATCTGCTGGAGGGTAGTCAATTCCAGTGTACAGTCGCATATCGAGAAGAGGAGAGAGCATTCGAGAACTTGAAGGACTTCAAGTTGAGAATCCCCGCCAGGGAAGTCACAGCGCCCACCACCTAAATCCGGATTTAGAATACTATCTCGAGTAAATATATTCTTTACAATTAGTTAGCCCGTCTGATCGGGCGTGCTTTCGTACAGGTATAGCGCGGTCGCTGTCGGATTCCCGATCTGGAATTTCCCATCTAAGCCGAATAAAGGTCCAAACGCATCCTGCAACTCTTCTGCTGAATCATTGCACGGGCTGGATAAAACCCTCTTCATGAAACTAGACGTTTCACACATTGATATTGAGACGTAGGATTGGTCATTTTTCCAGACTGCACGTTGTATGTAAATAAGAAGCGATAAGATGATCGCCGCACACATGCTTTTACAAGATTCAGGTGGAAGTGTAACAATTTTCGCGGATTGATCAAAGTACAGAGCCGGCTAAGCAACGAAGTATTGTCAAAATGGCCGGTTCGTCATCAAGAACGGGGTCAATGACTGCACTCATCGTCGGGTAAGCCACGATGTAGTGCCAGGTGCCTGTTTTGGGCTCAAATGAAGTGTGGATTATTCATTGGCCGCATGCCAGGTGCTGACTTCAATGCGCTGGCAAATGTTTGTCTACTTGAAAGATGACACAGGCTCTTATTCGATTTGTTGAACGAGTCGGACCTTTTGTGGCCAGCATTATATGATGTATCCGAATAATATTAGTAGTCAACACTTGCAGACAATTGGATCTGTCAACGACAAGGAAGAGATGAAGGTAAAAGGGAAATTCAGACCTCTGGTCCAGAATGATTGAGACTAAATGCATCATGCCTATCCAAGTTCTCCCAGGCCCTTTTTGTGGCCGATGCAGGCTGGATTCCGTCGTCACATTCAACCTTGGAAGGAACCCCGCCATTGAGCGAGATCGTTACACCCAAAAAAAATCAGACTTTAATCGAATTTAATTTAAACCTTAGAATCTTATTAGTCTGCAGCATGTGCATTATTTTCCGATGTTTAATGATGGTTGAATATTCATTGCTATGCGGCAGATATGCAAAAGCATTTGCGGTATCAAAAAATGAAATCGGTATGGGTTGTTTACAATGATGCATATGATGAAAGTTAAATATGGTCAAACAAAGAATTTCCTAGGTATACGTTCCAAGGTTCTCTGGGCCTAGGCAATTCCAAGAATCCACCGTCTTGCGGGGTCCCGGAGTCCCTAATACTTATGACGACCGACATTCTCATTGTCGGCAAAAGCATGCATTAGATTTCGAGCGGATATACGTAGTTGAAATTACCAAAACAAAACTACGAGTCGAATGGTTCTAGAAAACTTAGTTATGATATTGGCGGTACACTAGGCATGAATGAACGTGAGTTGCCGGAGCACTTATGAAGAGACGGAAAAGATTGCCAAGCAGGAAAAGCGTCGCGTGTATTCAGCTCCATTTCATTAATATCTTCGTCAATTATCCCGAGGTCATACGTATTACCGTGGCACTGCTCAGAAGAGGCAGTGGAGGTAAAATGTTTTGGGCATTAAGCGGATTAGATATCTGGTTACCCGAAATGTGGTCATACCAACCTTCGTTTTTGATTTAGGCATTTCCTGCAGGACAGTATCCGCAGGAAATCCAACCCTTTTTCTTTTTTCTTACTTGATCAAAATATTGAGCAAGAGCACACTTTCTGACGATCACTGGATTCCGACTCTGTAAATCACGTTTCTTCCTGGTGGTCTGACCTCGCGAGGAGGATCGACCTTTAGTCAACTTTGCAGGCGTAGTTTAACAGTAAACCATCGCATGATGTTGAGTTATGCCCGAGCACCCTAGCCGAAATAGACGGTGCTCGGGGAAGTTTGACTTGCGATAGATTCGCCACTGGACGAGTATCGGTCTCCATCTATGGTTTCGATGGGATCAACCCAGCGGGCGACTTCAAGATCCAAGGTATGTCCTTTGTGGTTAAAGCGACACTGCCAACTCTTGACAGCCTTGCAGTTAGGCTTCTGGCATAGGTGCCCCAAGAAGCACTTGATTGAGCGACAGTTGCCTCCCTTTGTGCAGGGGTGTTGCTGGACAACGTAGCGGAGGACTTCAACAACGGTCTCGGAGACATCGCTGTGGTCATATTGACAATTCATATCCCCACATTCTCCTGACAAATGATAGCTGTTACAAACCTTGGCGATTTTCGCCCGACGGTGATATTGATCGAGGGCTTCGGAGGTAGGCTGGGGGCAGTAGGTATCTAGACGGTCGCCATCTTTATTGATGGGGATGTATTCCGTCGATTTGAGATTCTGAGGCGGTAAGTGGGTAAAGAGAAACTCTTGGGATCGTCCCACGATGTGTGGTGTTGACCAAAGTTGCTTAGGTGATTCATCTCCGGGCCGAGACAGATTCTGATTGGGCATGACGTGTGCTTTGATGCAGCCACTCCCAAACTTGCAGATTCCCTGTCGACGTGTCAATTCTGAGCTGGCACTAAATCAATATTGACCACGAATAGCGGGGAATAGTACCTTTTGGAAGTGCTTGCAGAGAGGTTTCGTGGGCCCCGCCCCATTTGTACCATGGATGCCATTAAATCCGTTTGAACCGTTGCTGCCATTTGTAGGGGAATGGGCCAGCTTCGTATAAGCCACAGGGACCGGTTTGCCGGTAGGAGTAAGGGAAGTAGACATGAACACCGAAGGCATTTCCTTAACGGGAAGACCTAACTCTTCGAATTCCCGGTGAAATCCAGCTGCCTTGATGAGGGTAATACGGTCACTTTTGCCCTTATAGGGAGTCAGAAGAGAACCATATCCAGTGTCATGGCAACCTGCAAAATAGATATGTCGGCATTGGTTCATATCGGCATACAACCGGAACATCTCTGGACAGAATGAGGTCAATACCAATGCATTGATACACGGAAAGGGGGTATCTTTGTCAGTCCACGGTACCTCTGATTTTAAAATCGCTTCCTTCCTTCTTCTCTGCGGCATCAACAAAGTCGAAAAGATCCTGGGCACGATTGAAGGCAGATGAAAATGGCGACAGAGATCGAGCTTCGTGTCCGACCATGCCATTTCGTGCCAAGACTTTGGACAGGCCCAGGATATTCGCGTATACACGGACCATAATACGGCACCGGTCGGCCTCAGCTCCCATAGTAGAGTGCATCAATTCTCTAACGGAATCGCTCAATTCTCGTGCAGCGTTGATGCCGCCATCACTGCCAGCTTTAATAAAATGTTCCTTGAACTGCAATTTGTTAGAAGAATGAGCGGCGAAGAAAAGGCAATCAATTCACAAAAAAAAAGAGGAGAGAAGAAAAAAAAAGGCCAAAGGAGGAGAAAGCGAGTAATGGCATTATTACGTACCAGGTAGCCATCACCGTCCACAAGAACCAGAACGAAAGGATTGCGCTCCTAGAAATCCATTAGCTCCCGAATTCAAGACTCGGCCTTGTTAGGCATCCATAAACATTAGTAGCATACCTGACCACGGGCCTGCTTCTTGTATTTTTCACGACCTTCCTTGACTTCTTCGTAGTCACTTTTCAGGGAACTGTAGTCCTCGAGAACATTACGGAATTGCTCTAGGACGAGCTGCAACTTGTTATGGTGAGACTGGTTCTCATTCGAGAGAGTTGCAAGTTGGTTATTTAGGGAATCTATATCAGAATCCCTCAGCAGCATGGCGAAGATGGTGGGAAGGCATATGCCCCCAAGAAATGAAGAACAACGAAAAAATCTCTCATATGAGGGATGAAGATGATGGAGATGGGTTAAATGGAGAAGAGCAAAGGTAAGGAGAAAAGAAGAAAAGCGAAAGTAGAGAAGAGTGAAACATTCAAGATGACACGAGGTGAAGGGTGGGGGAAAAAACAAATGCAGAATTTCGCCTGGAGCATTTCACCGCCCACGTTACTTGATAAACCCAAACCCCCCCTTGCTGCGAGTGACTGAGTGCGTTTGCACTTTATTAACCCCCACTCGTTTGGGCATACACTGCTTCACTGTTTCACTGCTTGACTCGCTATGGTAGATATCCATAGTGAGCCCAACTTGCTATTCTTTAGGCTCTGAAACACTTGTGATGCAGCCACCCCTTTCAAGCAGAGATGGCACCACACCATCGGCAGATCTGCGATATCTGCAATTTAGTACATCGGTCTTCTTGAAGAGTCGGCCCTATAGAATCACCCTCATGTCAGCCGTTTTGACCCTCTCTCACTTTTCCCTATTCACTCGGGTCTCGCCGGTCTGACATGAGCTGAGGTGGATACGTCATCCCCAGGGCCCACACGATGTGGTTGACGATGCCACATGATGTTTACATGTTTATATAATCCTTGAATAAATGTCTGGATTATCCTGAAATTTTGGACCACGGCTTGCTCACAATTAAGGCCAGGAAGGCGAATCTCGGCAACGCTGATGCTCGTTGCCCTATCATGAACTACCAGGGAAATAGATTCCCAAATATACTAGTATGCGTTGGAATGAGCGTCACAGAGTGACACAAGATCTTCCTATGCAGCTACCATCGCCGGGGAACTCTAACGGCTTATCCGGTCGCTTCTATACGGTCGCATAACTTATTCAGGTAACACAGCTTCCGTGAAGTTGTCAGGAACAGCACCCAGGATGTGACACGGGCGGATGCCATTTGACCCCAATGTCTCTGTGCCGCTTCGCGCGATCTGTTCTTATGAGTTATCGCCTGGATTTGATACGATTCTGTCAATACCCACGAATCTGTCTGCGGGAACCCGTCGTAAATTTAATCTGTAAGATTTGGGTTCTGGCTACTGCAAGACCCCATCGGGGATGTACCCGTCCGTTCAAAGGAAGATATTGCAGGTAGGTCGTTGTGACTGAAATTTAAGTTCTAGTACCTAGCAGAGTCCCTATCCAGCTCATATTAAACTCACTAGTAGCTTCTACGGTTTCTCATGCCATGGGGTTCTACTATTCGTACCATCGCCTATTGCCACTACCTACCTACCTACCTACTAGTTAGTTAGAAGGTAATTACTAGTAGTATACAAGGCACTCTGGCCGGATATGTACCTAGGTACATCCTTGGAGGCGGCCGTTGAAATTTGCTTGACAGGCCTCCAGGACTACTCCAGATCTTGGAACTTCTCTGCCTCATTCAAGTTCAAGTTCGAGTCGAACTTCAACATCAACCAAAGTTGAATCCAAATTGAACGAGATGTCGAGATGTTCGACTGGGACCTCGGGGGTCGAGGCGACCGGATCCAGATAGAATACACTTACCTAGTTATTCCGAGGTTGCGAGCCAAATTTCGATTTGAAGGTTTCCAGCTTGAACTTGAACTTGAATATTCGTAGTATTTCGAATTATCCATGAGCTCCCTGAGAATTTTTTTTTTAAAATAGGAAACTTTACTCGACTAGTAGAACCTAGATATTCAATACCTAGGTATTGGGCGGCTAGATAATGACCATAAACTGGATTTTCAAGGACCAAGTTATTTGATGTATTCCCAACTCAAGAGCGCAGTCGTTGAAGGATGTCGGCGACCCGCAGACTTCACTAATCTGGAAACTGTGGATAACATTGGTTTTATTTTGGTTGAAGGTAGAACATGTGTATTTTTTTATGGAATAGAGAAATTGAATCAAGTTCTTCATTCTTATGTAGGATTGGGGATTCAAGGGACTTCAAGTTGAACTTATGATAATGGGCAGTGGATGGCCTCCCTTAATTGAGCTTGGAAGCCCACTAGAATGGTAAAAATGATTGGCGTCCCAGGCCGTGAAATTTGTGAGATATCCATGGATGTTATGGAGCCCTGTTCTGTATTACAACCACTGCAATAGGTCTTTTCCAAGTCCGTCAATATCACAAGGTGATGATCGAAGACCTAAAGTGCGCACTGTGCGACTTGACGGAAGTGGAGACTTCTAGCCTATCTAGGTATGCAGGACGGCCCGGAGGAGCCAGTGCTCATGTGAAAAAGTCAAGGATCATCGCTCGGCTGCGATTGGTCCCGCACGAAAGTCTGGAGAAGTTCAACGAGCTCCGCTGTGAGGATGTCAGCCTCGGCCTGCGCCCATGCTCCACCATATGATCCCTGTGTGACATTGAGATCCGATCGGATTTCCATGCTATAAACAACCCCGGGCCACCCCCAGCCTCGAACGCTAGCTTATCTCTCCAATTGGTATATCGCGCCGCCGGGCACCATCGTTACCATGAAGTACGTCCTCTTTTCGTTGAGCGCATTTGTCTTCTACGCCATCTTCTATTTCGCCAAGGTCAATGGCCTCGATGCTCTAGGCCATAAGACTATTGAGTCTGGCCGACTTCCTGGGCTCGACGAGCCCTTGCGCACCTTCTATACGGGAGTCGAGCCCATTGATCGTATCCTGACTCTCTTGACGGTGTTCTTCTACCCGACACTGGATGGCCAAAGCCCCGGACTACTCCTCCACAGCATCGGATTTTCCGGAACATTTGGCGCGGCTTGGATTCTGGTAGTACTTGAGTCATGGCGCAAGGGAAATGCAGGCACCGTGGCTGCTTAGTAGGTGGTCCTTCTGCAAATTAGAAATTTCATCCCTCATTCCAGACAACTGACACAGCTCCATAGCCCCATGCTTTTCGGTCTTACAGCTCAAGTGCTTACTTTCGCATTCGCGACCCCTCTCTTCCTGGGTCTCCAGCTTGGATCCTCCGTCACAGCGCGTCGCCCTCATCCGGATAATATCCGCATCCCTCGGGCTGTCCTCGCCTCGCTACCGTTTATTTTCGTCGTCGGATTCATGGTGCCGAGCCATGCCATGATACTTCCCGCCCCGGGAGTCATCTCTGTTGACTGGAAGCAGATCGCAATCGCTATCTGGCAGCCGTGGCCTGCTTACGTCTCTATCCTGAGCACTGTTGCTTACTATGTCCTGTCGCCTTTCTTCTCAAATAACCACCGTGCATCCATGTCCGGTCTGCGCTGGGTTTACGCGTTCGCATTCCTGAACGCAAGTGTTTCCCATCTGGTTTCTTGGGTCTTGTCTATAGCCACTGTCGTGGTTCCGGGCCTCTTCCAGGCTCAATTTGTTGAATCCCTGCATCCAGCGAAGGTCTTTGAGATCCCGCTTCCCTGGTCTGGCTTGGAGGTCGAAACCGTGGCTCAGGGTGTCCACGCCTTCCTTCGCTGGGATTATCTGATTGGATCTGCTGGTGTTCTGATCTGGGCTCTGTCCCTGTACGTGGTTGCCCACAGACAGATTCTGAACACCGTGTCATGGCCTAGTCTTTTACTTAAGGTTGGTGTGTTGACTGCTCTGACCGGACCAACTGGTGCTGCTGTCGAATTGATGTGGGAGCGCGATGAGTTGGTATTCAGTGAAGTTGGGGGTTCTCGGCAGATCACCAAGGCGAAAAAGTCTTCATGATTTCTGGAGTTCTTTCAATGTTGCAATTGCTATCAACAAGGTCGCCTTTTCTATATGTGACAAGGATGAGCCTGGAGACTTGTATATAATATGCCGATTGCCACTTTTTCTTCTTGGAATTGTTTGGTTTTGTCTAGTGTGTGACAAATCCATGCTATCTTTTCGCAACGACTGCAGAAATGACCTAGGTAGTGCATGGGGATATTCCAAAACAGAGGGAGACCCACGTGATGCCTAAAAAAGACACGGGAATTTACTTAATCATCTTTCAAGTTGTCAAGGTGGCCTGCATTGTAGTCTAGCTATATGTCTGTCCCGAGTCAAATATTCTTGAGAACTTGATAAATCTCCTCAACATACGCCTTGGAACAATCATTTCCTATTGCGACTTGCTGCATCTTGTTCATAGCATACCCAATGGTTAATCGGCGGTCTAGATCCATGATAATCATTGAGCCACCCCATCCACCCCAGAAACAGAGACGGCCATCTGGAATCCAGGGCAGAGACTCTGGAGATGGCAGAGCGAACCCAAGTCCGAACCTTATATAGAAAAAGAGGACTGCATCAGGTCCGGAGATCTGTTCCTGGAGTGCCTTGTCGATAGTTTCTGGCGAGAGATACTGTTTCCCACCGACAGTACCGTTGAGAGACATGATAGAGCCGATTTGAGCCAGAGCTCGTGCGTTAGAAATGCCACCCACACCACCCATTTCTGCTTTCCAGAACCCGTGTGTATTGGCTTTCTCACCAGCGCCGATCAAAGGAGATCCCATATAGGTCTTTGCTGTGACGCCGTTGGGATCTAGACTGGCAAATGCGCTGGCATCAACATCAGGAGGAGGAACGACGGGAGAAATACGTGGCCAGTCGCTTTCTGGTCTTCCGAGATCGAAGTCCGCATCCAGAGGTTTCGCGATCTCATCCGCAATAAATTGTCGCAGTGACTTGCCACTCACCCGCTGAACAAGTTCACCGACTAGATGGCCTTGGTTCACTAGATGGTACGCATTGAGTTCACCAGGAGCGTGCCAAGGTGCCTGTGCAGCAAGCTTTTCGTTCGCTGACTTGACATCATAGACATCCTCCCAGGTCATCCCGAATGACGGCTCCCAGCCTGAAACACCAGAGGAATGACTCAGGATATGAGCCACCTTGACATTTTCCTTTCCATTTGCGCCGAATTCCGGCCAGTATTTGGCAACATTCTCATTCACGTCCAATAAGCCGCGATCGACCAGGATGAGCGCAGCCAGATTGGTCACAACTTTAGAGCAAGACCATACCGGTGTTATGGTATCCTCCTTCCAGGGTTGAGTCTTTGATCCATCTGTATGACCTCCCCAGATATCGACGACATTCTTGCCGTCGATTTTGACACACAAAGATGCGCCCAGCTCTTCGCCACTCGCGATGTTCTTTTGAAGAAGCTGACGGACCGACTCGAATGCGGGGTCACAGGTGCCGTGCGTGTCAGCCATAACGTTCAGTGCTGAGGAAATGGAAAGGTGGAAGGTGATGGACGGGAATAAAGTCGGGTCAAAAATCCACTCGTAGGTTAAATGAAAATTGGACAAGCGTTGGAAAATAGTGTCCGGTCGTGTTCACCCCGACAAACAATTTATAGGGACCTGCCATTGGTGCCTATTACTGACGATCTTAGCTAAATGTGGAAATCCAGTTGTCTCTTTCTTTGGCCCGCAACAGTTGGGGTCCGTAAGCTCAAGTGGGGGCTAGTTCGCAACCTCTACTGCATATAGTCAGAGGATTGAAGCCATGGGCAAATTATGCATGCATCCGCTGACTAAAAGAGAGAGAAAGAGAGAGAAAGAGAGGTGTGAGTGTGAGCGTGAAGCTCGGAACTTCTAGGCTTGGAAACTCATGTGTTACTGCCATACACTCTAACACATATAGCAAGAACCTTGGAAATTCACCAGTCCGAAAACTTTGGACAGAGAGAATATATGAATTAGACAATTGAATGAAAGTCAGAACCATCAAAGTCGTGATGACATGCCAATGTCTAGAGGATCTAGGAGAGGGTGACAATAATTGATGCCTGAGGCATATTGGTCCCAACCCAAAGTGACTTGCCTTGTAATAATTTAGTAGTTAACTATACGGTGCCAGATATTCCGGGGTCCATAAGGTATAGAGAGTCTCGGAAATCCCCCACCCTGAAGATGAATTGATACCATATCTATACTATCTACCGAACCGCGGGCCGATGTCTTTCACGGCAGGTGATCCGGCTGACGGTGATCAATTAATTTATCGCAACCACTTCGCGCGAGCTTCCAGAAAGCTATCTATATACTGGTATTCGTGCGATGATAATAAATAGTCCGCCGTATGGTTATAAAATCATGATCAAGTAGTATTTTACAGAGTCAAAATGCTATGTATACGCATTTTAATGACAATTGCCGGCTCGGACGGCGTCGATCGGATCGACCGGGGAAGACATCACTCGATGACGCTGACAATCGTCTCGTATAAAGTCCAGCCAGGAACCAACGAAAAGAAATTCATGTATTCTGAATTAAAAGGAAATGATTCCCTTATTCTATAAATCTTCGAGTAACACCAAAACTTTTCAATTTAATTAATATTTCTTCATCTGCCCTCCAGCCATGGAGCGTGCCGGCTCCCCACTCCCATCATCGTCATCCCCACCCCCATCCATCTCCAGCGGCAGCGACAACCTGACAGAGGTGCCCACGGCCCGCGACCGTCGTCCCTCCCAATTCGCAGACACACGATCGGGTACCCTCAGTCGCCGGCAGACAAACCTCAACAATGTTGAGCTCGAGCGCATTGAGACGTCTCGACTACAGCATAAGACAACAGTAGGATCTGGGCCCGGGGTTGCTCCACGAGATAAATGGTTACCTATGGGTGCAGAAAAGCCTTACCCTCCCGACTTGCCAGATCCTGAGCAGTTCGTGGTTGAGTTCACCGGCTCAGATGACCCTATGCATCCTCAAAACTGGCCGCTGAAGAAACGAATCATAATCTCCGCCACCTTGGCCTATACGACATTCGTATCTTCCTTTGCAAGTGCCATATACTCATCCGCCTCACTTGCAATCGCAACCAACTTTCACATCAGTACTGAAGTCGCTATTCTCGGTGTGACATTGTACGTCCTGGGCTTTGCCTCGGGTCCGACGCTGTGGGCGCCCATGAGTGAACTGATTGGGAGGAAAATGCCAATTATCGTGGGGATGTTCGGATACTCGCTATTTACGGTGGCAGCTGCTACTTCTAAAGACGTTCAAACTCTCATGTTGACCCGATTCTTTGCTGGTTTCTTCTCAGCCAGTCCAATCGCGATTGTTCCAGCTGTTTTTGCAGACATCTGGAATAACCAGACTCGAGGTGTAGCTATCGCTATGTTTGCGATGGCTGTTTTCGTCGGCCCGTTTGCATCGCCTTTTACTGGAGGTTTCATCACCATGTCTTACCTGGGCTGGAGGTGGACAATGTACATTGCTTGTATTATGGGCTTCCTGGCAGTGGGACTTTGCCTAATCTTTTTGAAAGAAACATACGCACCAGCCATCTTGGTTGAAAAAGCAAAGACCCTCCGTCGCCAAACACACAATTGGGGAATCCGAGCTAGACAAGAAGAAGTCGAGCTTGACTGGGAAGAAATCATCACCAACAACTTCAGTCGCCCATTTCGAATGCTCTTCACGGAGCCTATTGTGTTTCTAGTATGATTTCTCTTTCCAATATTCGTGTGTAATTGCTAACTTTTGTCAAGATTTCTCTGTGGATGAGTTTTGTCTATGGCTTAATGTATGCTCTACTCAGTGCATACCCGGTGGTCTTCCAAGGAATTCACGGGATGAACTTGGGAGTTGGCAGTCTCCCATTCATTGGCCTCATCATAGGCGAGATATTGGCTGGTGCTTACATCTTGTATGATCAAAGATCATATGCGAAAAAACTTGCCGACAACAACAATATACCAATTCCCGAATGGAGACTCCCGCCATCCATTCTCGGGGGTATCTGTTTTACGATCGGGCTGTTTTGGTTTGGTTGGACTGGCTGGACGAAGTCAATTCACTGGATGGCACCCACTGCCAGTGGTGTAGTTACTGGGTTTGGAATTTATGTGATCTTCTTGCAATGCTTCAACTATTTGATCGACTCTTACCTGATGTTGTAAGTTATTCTATTTCGTCGCGAGATACAGGATTGCAAAGCTGATCGTCTATAGCGCCGCTTCCGTATTTGCCGCAAATACAATAATGCGGTCTGCAGTGGGCGCTGCGTTCCCTCTATTCTCCAAACAGATGTTCCAAAACCTCGGAGTACAATGGGCTGGTACACTACTTGGCTGTTTGGCTCTTATAATGGTGCCCATCCCCCTCGCATTCATCAAGTGGGGCCCGGCCCTGAGGAAGAAGTCCAAGTTCGCACCGGCTTTCGGGCCGGTCGAGACTACGCCATCCGAGAAGGAACCTCGTGCATCTGTGTAAAAACGAGGGATGAGCAAGGAGCTTAAGGTTTCCATCATGAAGCGCATCAAATTCATTCGTTCCTGGGTTTTCGTTTATATAGTGGACTGGATAGATATGGGATACTAATTTGAAGATTCATTTGGCCGGACGACCGCCTACCTCCGGAACATGTATTAAAATCGAGCTAAGATCTCGAGGATCAGATTTAGATAGAGATCATGTGGACACAGAGTGTTGTTCACCAATTGGAGTACAGTATATGTTTGTTGTAATCGCTGTCAGGTATAAAAACCTATCTGATGCGGATTGATTGAAGCTTCTGGTCCGATCGGCCTGCCCCGATCGGCCTTATCACTGGACCCTGTCTATCAACTGTCACCCCCGGCCTTCAGCCATATATCGCGATAAGAGGATAATTCTGGAAAGAATTGGCCTTCCGCCAAGACGCTAAGGTGCAGCCTCGGTGTTTCATGGCGTGCTTCATGCATGAGAAGCACCCTTGACCTCGATCCCAGTGACGAATTTTGATACCTGACGCATCTGAAATCTCCAGAATCAGCATCCAAGGTTATATCATATAACTATCGCCTTCTGTCAGAAAATTTTCGCCGCCAAGACCCACCGTGGTTGCCGAGCCAGGACCCATGGCCCATGGCCAGGGTAACTGTCGGCTAGTCAGGCGGCCAATCGCGCCGGTAAAACCATTCAGTTCAACCGCCAAGACGCCAAGTTGGCCGGAGGCGGAGATAACTGGAAAGAATGGCAAGTAGGCGGAAATTTTTCTTTTTTTTTCTGTCAGACCTTATCAGGCGAGTGTGGTTGGCGGAGGGGCCGGGATCAATTTTTGATTATATTTTTTTTGGCTTTGCAGCTCTGCTGTTCTACTCCCTGTAAACTCCCTTTAAATACCTTGTCGCAGACCGACTGCAGTGGTTCCCCCACACCCCGCGTCGCCCTGCAGCTGCTGCTTCGATCTTCTTGCTTGTCAGTATGGGTGTGAATACTTGGATCCACGATACCAACCTGCGGATTGCCCGCAGCCCCGTGGGGAGATGGTTTCGCCTTGAGAATTCTGGCCATGTGAGTCTCCGATGCTGGATGGAACACCACCAACAATTGGAAAGTTAATGTAATTGTTATAGCCGCGTGAGCGGAAAGGTAGTTTCTTTTTCACCGAGTTGCGAGCCGGTCTTGCCACTTTCTTCGCCATGGCATATATCATTTCGGTCAACAGCACGATCACTTCGGCAACTGGCGGCACATGTGTTTGCCCGACTGATGACCTCTGTAATAACGACCCCGAATACTTGATGTGCGTGCAAGAAATCAAGCGCGACATTGTTACTGCGACAGCGGCTATTGCAGCACTCTCCACTTTTTGCATGGGACTTTTCGCAAACCTACCCATCGCATTAGCACCTGGCATGGGCCTGAATGCATACTTTGCGTATACTGTTGTTGGACTCCATGGTGGTGGCTTGGTTCCCTATTCTGTTGCTTTGACTGCTGTTTTTGTCGAGGGCTGGGTCTTTTTAGGCTTGACCTTGATTGGTATGCGACAGTGGCTTGCACGGGCACTGCCCGCTTCCATCAAACTTGCCACTGGCGTTGGCATCGGATTGTACCTCGCTCTTATCGGCTTAACATACAGTGCTGGTATCGGCTTGGTTCAAGGTGCGACCGATACCCCCATTGAGCTGGCTGGATGTTCCGATCCGGGAGATAAGCTTTGCACCAGCAGTACCAAAATGCGAAGTCCGACCATGTGGGTCGGTATCTTCTGTGGTGGTATCTTCACTGCGATGTTGATGATGTACCGCGTGAAAGGCGCCGTGATCGCAGGTATCCTGCTAGTCTCTATTATCTCCTGGCCCCGAAACACCCCAGTCACATATTTCCCATATACGGATCTCGGAACCAGCGGCTTTGACTTCTTCAAGAAGGTCGTTACCTTCCATCCCATCAAGCATACTTTGCTTGCACAAAAATGGAATATCTCCGGCCATGGTAGCCAATTTGGACTGGCGTTTATTACATTCCTGGTTAGTTATCATGCGTGATCACTTCCATTGAACACAAAGCTTACATCTCCGTCAGTATGTCGATATCCTGGACACAACCGGCACAATGTACTCCATGGCCCGATTCGCCGGCACCATCGATGAGAAAACGCAGGATTTCGAGGGTAGCGCCATAGCCTATGTGAGCGAAACCCCACATGACTTCAGAGCGAGCCAAAGCTAATATTTTCTAGATGGTCGACGCCATTTCCATCTCGATCGGGGCACTCTTAGGCAGCCCGCCAGTTACAGCGTTCGTTGAATCCGGTGCTGGAATTTCCGAGGGCGGCAAAACCGGTCTCACATCCTGCATGACTGGCATCGCCTTCTTCATCTCCGTATTCTTTGCCCCGATTTTTGCCTCCATCCCACCGTGGGCAACAGGATGCACCCTTGTGATTGTCGGTGCCCTCATGGCGAAAGCAGCGGCCGATATCAACTGGCGCTACTACGGCGATGCGATCCCCGCATTCCTCACCATCGCCATCATGCCTTTCACATACAGTATTGCATATGGTCTCATCGCTGGAATCCTGAGCTATATCGTTCTCAACGGCGGAGCCTGGATTATCGAGAAGGCTTCAGGAGGTCGCATTGTTCCTCCGAACAAGGATGAGTCGGATCCTTGGTCCTGGAAGGTTCCCGGTGGTTTCTTGCCGCCTTGGGTGAAACGTGCGGCCGGAGGCAAGAAGGACTTCTGGCGACCGGACGAGGAAAGGGCCATGTCGGAGGAATATGGCTCTTTCGGTTCGTCACAGGAACGTGTTGCCGCTGAGAAGGGCCAAACTGCCGAACCCATTGTTACTAAGCCCTTGTAGCTGGCAAAGTGCTGTGTTGATGTTATATGTTTCGGGCGCCATGCCCCGAGAGGCCAGTGTATATTGATGAAAACTTGAACAAGATCCTAATTCCAAATTTTTACTCTCAATTTTTCGCCGTGTAATTGATGGAGGATAAAGAAGAGAACCAGGAATGGTGCATGCATGAGTTATCTAGGAGAGAGAGATATAGAGAGATGAGGCTCCGAAGGCGAGATGTCTGCCTGGGGTGGTGCCTGAGGCCCACACCCCAACAGGAATATTCCCCTAGGTCGATTGAATTGCATCTGAAATCCGGAAGAGTTGGAAGTTGGAGCGAAGTCCCGAACACCAACCTTTACCAATCTCATCTACCTAGCCCGTGGACTGGATACTGAGTAAAGTTAGCCCTATTCCTAAGGCTCACATTGGTTCAATCAGGAATTAGTTTCCGAGTACTCCGTAGCGGGAACTTTGATCTAAAAAAAGGCTACCACCTCGTATTATGGAGTCGATCATCAATCAGAATTAGGCCCTCTAGGGCTGCTGAAGCCCATCTATATCATTAGACACCAAAACACCGTTAAGGTTTGATTCAAACACAAATTAAAATATCCCAATAACATATTTTGAGTGATCCTTGGGTAATCCCCAACGGAATCATTGTTCGTTTATTTTGCAGGGGGGTCTGACGAGAAGTTCCTGAGGCTGCCAAGTCATCATTTCTTCAGTGGAAGGATTTCATTTTCAATACATGATTTTTCTTAGAATTTACAACTCGCGAGGTATATAGGCGATCATCTCGTATCTAGATTAAGAAACCTTGGAATAGAACAATTCGCCCATTCGCGACCCATTCACCTTTGGAACACCAACAATGAAGCTCGTCTACGGAGGTTTGACGATCCCCAACTCTGTTAAGCAGCGATCTACACTGGGCCACTCCTGGGTATAGAATACGAGGTCTAAATGAGCCCCGTTAATGTAACCAGGCAATCATTGCTCGTCGAAGCTGAACAAAATACGAGATTCAGGTGCGTTCGATAATTTACGACTTCGCGGGCCTTTATTTAGTCTGGGATCTCGCCTCACTCCATATTGTCAACTACAACCCCTCAAATTTTCTGAAACCCATTAAATCGACCCACATACAATACGGCACTATACCATGTTGAGAACACTATTCTATGCCATCACTTCCATTCCGCTGGCGCAGGCATGGACCTTCCTATACACTAACGCTACAAACAACGCCACGATACTTCATCAAACTGGTACGGTGAATTGCACTAAGATCGATCTTGCAAAAGGAAAGGAATTCTCATGGGATCCCGAAGACATAGATGTCTGCATTTCTATCTATTATGACAAATCATGCACCTCTCGCGGGGGACTTTCATGCAACGCGTGGAAAAAGGACTCGGGAAACAACTACCAAAGCATCCAAATATTCACAAATGACGATGATGCTTCAAGCTCAGCCTCCATATCGTCTATTCCCACTCCGGTGACAATTTCCCCCTCCACATCTGTGTCCCCCACATTGCCGGCTTCAAATAAATCGACTGCGGAGGCATCATCCTCGAGCTCGAGCTCATCTAAAACCTTTTCTGCCGGTGGTATCGCAGGAATTGTTATTGGAATGATCGCAGCCGCTTTCATCCTAGGAGCCTTCTTCTTTTACATAGTCAGGCGAAGTCGCAGAACCTCCTCACCCCAGTCTGCACCTGTGTCTTCTATTTATAACCCCACTCTATCCGATATGCAAGCGGCAATGCCGCCACATGAATTCGCTTTTGCTAGCTCGGAAAAAACCCCTCCACCATCCCGCGGCCGCCCAGTTCCCGGATCCAAGCTGGTTGAGTTGCCGGGGAGTCTCCAAAGAGCCGAGTTGGGAAATAGCCCCGTGAGCGAGATGGGAGTGGATGCTGTTGATATGAAGTTCGATCGTTGTTAAACTACACTAGACCTTGTTGTCATTTCCCATCACCTTGTTTCCAGATATGAGTATGAAATTTGTATTAGACTCATTATGAAACTCTCGGCAATCACTAGTTGATGCCTGATAAATACCTAGCTTAAATTCAGTTTCATGCATGTACTTATGTACTAGTAGCTGATAATTGAGTTAAACTGATCCGCTGGCAATTTCGGCGCTGAAGAAGTGCGTGAATTAACCTTGATAAATATACTAATCTGAGCCAGAGAAATCAAGCCAATCTACTTCATGTCCTCCTTAATGATATCCGCTGCTTTCTCCGCAACCGCAAAAACGGTTGCTTGAATGTTTCCCCTCGGCTCCAGCGGGAAGATACTCGCATCAACAACCCGCACATTGCTCGTCCCATAGACCTTCAACCGATGATCAACCACACCGCCATCCTCCTGCGGCATCATAACACAGGTACCGCTGAAATGATAATTCGACATAACAAGATCTTTGCACAGGTCCTTCGCTTGGTCCAGATCCAACGGCCCGGCCGCATGCAATCTAGCACCGTCTTTCTTCATCAACGACGCCAGAGGCTCCGTCTCCATAAGTTTGTCCGCCAGAAGACAGTGTCTCGCAAGCAGTTCAAGATCAACTGGGTTCGTGAAAGTGCCAATGTCAATAGTCGACGCGTCGCGGTAATCTGCTGAGCTTATATGTGCCGATCCTCGTGAAAACGGGTGACTGAGCACGATGGCTATAGTCACAAAGAGACCCGGGTGGCTGGGGCTAAAGGCTTGACGAGGGGTCTTCTCTCGAGAGTGAATTTGGAATGGTGCCAGGATGTATTGTCCTGTGGTCTCTTCAGGAACATTCAGCAGCTTTACCTGGGCTTCTAACTGTTTGCAAATTGCCTTTGACGTGTTGGGGTCTGAAATTGAGGCCTTAATGGTTTCCACCATCTGGTTTCGGTCTTCGGGTGAAAGATCCATACACGGCATAAATGCCGATGCGAATGGGATATAGCCCAGAGGACCAGATCCATCTTTTTGATATGCAGCCATGGCGGCAGTTGCGAATTCAGGATCACGGGCCATGTCACCCGATGGAAGACCGTCTGCTACTTCATATGAAAACGGGACTAAACCATGCTCTTGCATATTTTCGCCAACGCTTGGGTTGTTGACAATTGTGGGGACTCCGTGGGATTGTAGGACTTTCTTGTCGCCGATGCCAGATAGTTCCAGAATTTTGGGGGTTTGGGTTGCTCCGGCGGCAAGTATGACTTCTTTCTTGACGGAAAGAACGAATAATTCCTCTCCCCTAGAGAAAGACACGCTAGTGGCAATTGCTTCATCGCCGCGCTTTTCCAGGTCAATTTTCTCCACCCAGGCCCCAGTTACGACTCGAAGGTTCGGTCGCGAACGAACCTCCTCCCCGAGATATGCAGCAGCAGAATGGCTTCGAGTGTGTCTGGCTCGATTGACGGCACTGGGACTGACGAAAGGACCTGTGCCCGCACCATTAATCGGGTCTTCGGTTTGCGGATATCCCAAGGCCTTGAAACTTTCCATCCATGCGCCATAATACGGCATGTAGTGATCACCGAAAGAGACATTCACGGGTCCCTTATCGCCTACATCTTTCTGTTCATACAGAATCTGACTGAGCGTCTCTCTGCCTTCCTCTGAGGGAGGTGCTGCAGTATGGAACTTTCGGATGTAGGGAGATAGGCCCTCCCAGCCCCAACCGGGATTTCCCAGTCCTTCCCATGCGTTCAATCCAGACCTTGAAGGGTAAATCACCATTCCCATATTGATAGTCGAAGATCCCCCCCAGTGTGCGCCCTTGATTAATGAACAATTGCCGGCCATTCAGTTCTTTCTGTGGAGAGTGATTAGTGATGCACTTGGGAAAGATTAGAGCTGAATTAGATTTTTTTTTACCTGCGGGACAGAAAGATAATTCCAATCAAAATCTGGGTCTTCAAATGCTTGCAAAGATAATGCGGGAACTGTAATTCGAGGATCGTTCAAGCGATTCGTTCCAGCTTCAAGGACTAGGACGCGAATTTGGGGATCTTCGGTAAGTCGGTTGGCCACGACCAGACCGGCAGTGCCTCCTCCGATAATAATGAAGTCGAAGGAATCATCGCTTAAGCCCAGCGTTGAATCAGTGTTAAATTCAGCCATTTCGGGCGCTAATCTTGATGAGCTCTGGACTTCAACTGGTAGGCAAATTGTTCGACGTGAATACCTGCTTGTGACAAGGTGTGAGGACTGCCAATGTGGGGGATCTGGGAAGCAGCAGATCGTGGATATTTAAAGGCTAGGCCCCCTATACGTACCCCTCGTCAAATCGCAACCATTCACATTCTCCAAGCGGGTAGTGTCTGATCATCTCACAGTAAGCTGCATAAGCGCTTAGAAGTGGCTACAGACTAGTGCATGTTGAATTTACCCGAACTAGTTAACCAACTGTCATCAGCCCAATTGCGGATGTTACTAGTGAGAACTTAATGCTAGCATGAAGGGGCGAATGGGATGAGGTAAGAGAGAGAGAGAGACGCCATGGACGTGGGGTGGTGCTAAATGCTAGGGGAGTAAACGTGGTGTACGGGATGGCTCCCCGCACATTTCTGCCTGAGGCCACAAGTTACTCAATTCCCGATCACGGTGCGTGCGTGGTATGCTATCCGACTTTTTCTTTTCTAGCCAGGAATTCACATTCTGTTTTAGGAGTTTAATCGCCGACTCCAAACTTGATTGCTGAAAATTAAATTAGTGTTGAAGAGTTCAACGAGACAAAGGATTCATTAGGCATCCCAGAATAGCCCGGAATTCCATGCTCAACGCATCAGCCCCAGAGCAGATATTTCGTAGAGCCAAAAACTCACAGCATGACTCAGCTATATATGGACTCGAATATTGATGAAACTATCATATCTGAGCCAGCTACTAGGTATTACGTTCTATGTTGAAAGAACAGAGGATCTTGATAAATGGTCATCATGCATAGTCAGCACAGAAGTCCTAAAGGCTTGTACGGTAAAAACTCTTTTTGAAACTGAACCGACGGTACTCAATTTCCAGATATAAGCTGAACAACTTGAAACCTAAAATCCAGGGGTTCTAGTATATTTAACCTGGTAGAAGATGTACCGCACTTCAAGAATTGCCGCATCCACGTTGCAGCCGCACTTCACCCTTTTACAGATCCTGTCAGTAGTAAATTGCTTTCAAATTTTGAGCGCACGAATTTCTGTAGGAGTACCAATGCAAGCTAGCAGATTCTTCTATTGGGGTAGTAGACATTGGGTTTGGTACAATCATAGCATTCGTCATTTCTCTTCCTTCGTTATCTGGGTTGCTTGGCAAGTATCTTTCCGAATCGAAGTCGAGTTTTCCATACACAGACTTCTATAGTTATCGTCTGAGCTTGTTCATAAACACGGAATTCCGAAAATTTCTAGGTGATTCATTGGACCAATATGGATAGTCACCTTTCAAGAAAATAGAACAGACACATTGAGTTCCGGAGAATGTTCTTCTTAGCGAAAGATGGCTGAGCATGCTCCAGATTTCCTGGTCAAATGCCTGAAGTGGCAATGATTGACCTAGATATCTGATCCAAGCCGAGACAATTTTCTATTTTTGACCATACAGTATTACTGCCTATCAAATTGGGAGGTCTTGTCACCTACAACATGAGTACAAAATAATCAAAATTCCCTGCCATTATATTTATCTTGCATTGATTTCTTCCAAACAACTACAAGAACTACGAACACACTAAATTCCAAAAAGCTACTTCAGGCTCCCTCAACCCATCATTATCCAAATACGATGTCCTCTCACTTCTCTACTATCGCTCTGGCAATGGCTGGCGTAACAATCGCCGCCCCATCTTACAGCTATCCCTATAGCGTCGGCGGTGTATCTCTCAAGCATCTCGTTGAGAGTGATACCTGGGATTTCACCTTCGAGTTGACAGCAAGAAGTCCCTCAGGCAAAGCACTGGGATTTACTACCTGTCATACTGCTTGGTGCGTAAAATCCTACAACACAAATTACCCAACAAAAGAAAGACCAAGGGCTGACTACATGCAAATTTCAGGGTGACTGGAGCTGTAGCTGTGCCCCCAAAAGCCCCAGTAGCATGTGATGACACCCTTTACCAGTTCTTCTTTCTCACTGGTGCTTCTGATGTCGAGAATTACGACCTAGCTATCCAAGGTCCTATGGGCACCGGCGCATCCACCCTCGTATCCGGTAACAAGTATCAATGTGGCGCTTACGCTGGCCCTATTGTTAACGTTGACGAGGAGTGCAAAACAGTCAACGGTGGAGAATTCTATGTGAAAGTCTGATTGGTATCAATGGTGATTGGTAAGGTGGAAGAGAGGGGGGTTTGGCTCATGTTGTGAATATAAGAGGGATAATGTAAATATCCAAATAAAGGGAAATTAATTATCCAAGGTAAAGGGAGGTAATTCTCATGGTATTCCAGTAGGAGCATCTAATTGTCACCTCAATCTTGATTAGTAGTAATGAAATGGACAGTGGTACTGATAGCGTCACGCATGACTACTACTACTCGCAGTGAATGCCCAGGTACTAATGTATATGGCGCTTCGAATGAGTACCTTGCTATTTGGGAAACTTCAACCTTCAAGGGAGTTGAGAAGCAAGATAGCTAGGTATAGCACTAGTAGGTAGTAGTAAGACTTGAGGACAAAACTGTCGAGGCCGAAACTAGAAATAATCAAGCTAGGTATTCGGTTATCTAGATACAAAACTTTGAAGTGATCAGGTGTCAGGGGCGGATACTGGTACTATTAGGACTAGTAGTCACTTAAAAGCCTTGGCTTGGAAATTGAAGCTCTGAGTCGGAATTGGACAAGCTATTTAGTGCCAGTGAACCCCTCCACTTAACTCAAACAGTTGGAAAGTTAGCCTTGCCCGAAGAAATTACTAATATGAGTTTGGTTTAGCTACGAAGACATCTCATGAGAACTTGTATACTTCGGAATAGCACTTGAATTTATCGCACTGAAGAATCATATTCAGCTGCGTACCTTAGAGAATTTTCTTTAACTGGTACAGGGATTGCTGTCATAGAATGAGAATAAAACTCTTGTCCTGAATAATGATAAAAGAGTGTATTTTCCTGTTTGTTCTAAGGAAGGAGAGACCATATATGCGAAAAAAAATCTACTTGAGTCTACCCCGGCATCTTGTAGTCACACATATCACCAGATGAGGCACCCTGAGGTGAAATAAGAAAGGTAGCGACAGACTCTAAAAGTTTCTTTGTTGAAAGAAAATATCAAAACCTCATACCAAGCCAGGACGCTGTCTAAACAATCGTGATAGGCCAGGTGACGGTCTCCAAAAATGGGGAGTTGCCAGCCTTGGTGTTTAAGTCAGTGAATGATACTATATTGAAAACCATAAATTTCACTTACCCCAACGAGCCCCGCGTGGGCAACATTGATGCGAGCATAGCCTTTGGTGCTTTGAGCCGGGACGGTGACTGTGACGTTCTGGTAGGCGGGCAGATTTCGCTCATGAAGTTCCGGCTCAAAAATACCCTTGTAAAGGACATTTCCCAGCTGCTCATTCGGGTTTGCATTGTTACTTCCAATGGCAACAGCAATGCCAATTTCCGCCGAGCCGGTCAGGGTATTCTATTTCATTAGATCCATATTAGCATATCGAAGTTTTCATTGTGTTTAATGAATGAAATATGGTAACACTCACGGGACGCTGAACCTGGACGGTGACTTCCGAGCCAGCTTCAACCTGAGCGCCTCTGGCGGGAGCACCGATTGCAACTTTCTGGGCCAGCGTGACACTGAGAATACTGGCAATAATCATAGAGTACTGCATTTTGAGAGAGGACTGATTGAATCTTAGGGAATATTCGGAATTTGGAAGAGTTCTGATGATACACAGACAATTTTCTGGGGCCAACCATTGTTTTTATACAGGGAAACTAGTTGCTAGAGACTCAATATCAATTGAAAGGGACATTAAGCTCCGGATTCAAGATGTAAATAGTCTCACCGGAGCTCGGAGCTCCCTATAATAAACGTATCCGAAGAAGAAACAGATCGTCCAAGACATGAGAGATTACTGCGAATGTACAACTTTACTTTCAAGATTTTTAGAACAATGTGGAGAGATCTGCGAGAGATCTGCAAAAATTGCGGCTGAGCGAGACATCCCTCTGCCGTATTTGGACGCCTTATTTACCGCATATGAATTTACCTGGGTCCTGGATCGTTTGGATCATTGGCAGGGTGGACTAATGCGTAGTATTATTTATGCATGGTTGCGATCTAGTCGTACGAACATTGTCAGCTAGAACTTTGCATCGGCAATACTTTACAGCAACGCACTGAAAGATTTATTGCTAAAATTCCAAACGCCCTGGAAAGATATTCTCATGGTATGATACCGTATAAGCTTCTGTAGGGGTCTTCTAAAATAGAGTGACATCGCCTTTTATTTTCAACCTATAGCTTACGCTCTTCTTGCGTTCAAACCATGGTCTGCCCCCTCTCGTGCTATCATCATCTCCGAGAGAAGAGAATTCAAAGGCTCCCTTTAGTGGATTTCCCACATGCCAGATTATGACTTATGCAAGTATTCTATTGAAGTCAGCATGAACGCTAGCTTTAAATAGGATATTTACCGTTATCCAATCCTAAAAGACAATACTAGTAAAGTTGCCATAGTGGTGATTCAAATTTCCATGAACTATCGTTGTGGTTATTTAGTTCGATACTTCCCGAATAGTGCGCCTTTCTTTAACTATGGTCTGTCTTGCCACCTTTTTTGCTAGTAGTCGCACATATCGCTTATCTGCAATTGATAGGGAGGGATGAGATAAAATCTGGGATATTGATCTCGATTGAAGTCCCTGGGACATCTCATTTTAGTCAAAAGTAAGCATGAGATTTCAGCCCCAAATTTGTCCTCTCAACTTGATTCGGATTCGGAACGGCTTGGAATCTTTGAAGAACCGGGTGCTGCACGTGACCCTTTGCGGCTGTCGCTCGGAAATTGACTTCTGTGGCGTGCTTAGTTTATTACCGGGGATGGGTCCTAAAAAGTATCCAGCTCGGAACTCCGAGTCAAAGCTCCACTCTCTGCTCACCTTTTGGTCTAGGGTCTTCTCTGTGTTGCTATTTTCCCATCAGAGCTGGTTCATCTGAAAATCCCTGTAGCTCCACCTGGAAATCTGAAGTCCGACAAACAACCTCTGAGAGCTTTTTTTCAATAGTCTAGACTCTAAGTATTTTACAAGCTTGTTCTCGGGCTCGATTTGCGCGAACATTTCTGGGAGATACCTAGGAGTAGTGACCTTTTTCAGCACAGGTAGTCACAACACCATCCGCTCGGCGATGTCTCTAGCTCGCTTCGAGGTAGATTAGGTCAGTATTAATTTGGAGTATCCATATTTCCTGGATGATTGATTTGCTGTGAGGGGTTCTCAGTTTAGAACCACCAAAAGAGGGGGAATTGAGTGGGGCAAGCGTAGCAGCCTCCGAGTTTAGATTAGCGCTTATATACTGCTATTTATCTTTCGACAACCAAAGATTGATTTGTCGATTCTCTTTCTTTTACTGCCTCTAACTTCCTATTCAGTCAACATGGCCACTCAAATTGACAAAGAGCATATCTTGGTGAGCAAATTACCATTCCTTGCGCAACTTTCCCTTGGGATCGATAATTCTAACATACCGGCCAAAGATGACGGGCGTGACTGGGTATATCGGCTACCAGACACTTGTTCTTGCTCTCCGTAGGGGCTATCGTGTTCGTGCAGTCATTCGGAAACAAACATCACTCATAGATTTAAAAAGGAATCCTATTGTTGCGGATGGCCTTAATCAAGGCAGACTTGATGTTGTGGTTCTCCCGGATTTCCTAGAAAACGATGCTTTTCTCCGACATCTTCAAGGAATTACTACTATAATCCATCTTGCATCGCCACTATCCTTTTCGGTAATCTATAATTCTGGATTGATAACATGTCTCGTACTCACGCTTCTTTACCAGGCCACAGACTTCTTAGAAGGAATTGTCAAGCCAGCTGTTGATATGGTCACGAACGTCTTGGACGCGGCAAACCGTACACCATCCATTCGTCGTGTGGTTCTCACTTCTTCATGTAGGAAACTCTCTGGTAAATATTTTACGCAAGAAGCTGACCTCAATCTTAGGCGTGACACTCATTCCCTTCTCATGGAATATGAGTCCAGACACAGAGAGGCTGTACACTGGTATGATTTGGTCATCCTCCACTGATAAGAAAGTATGTGCTAAGTTATTCATTAGTCCGCGATACCAACAATGAGCTCGAAGGGCCTTATGAAACCGCAATGGAGGCCTACTGGGCCTCCAAGGGTCTCGCTCGAATTGCTGCAAGCGATTTTGTACGCAAGTTGCAACCAAAATTTGACTTTGTCAACTTGCTGCCATCGGTGGTAATTGGCCCCGATACTCGCCTCGACTTTGACCCTGCCGCGACATCTGATGGTCTTCGCCAGGGCGCAAGATCAAATGTTCTTGCCGCTGCGCTAGACTCTTCCCTTAATTCGTCTTTCCCTTACGTCGGGACTCCGGTCCATGTTGCCGATGTTGCAAAGGCGCATATTGACGCAGTAGACGAAATTCTGGTTCCAGGTAACACCGAGTATATCTTGTCATCGGATACACCAGATGGAGTTGTCTGGGACAGGGATGTTCAACGTATCTGTCGAGAATTCTTCCCAGCCGAAGTTTCGAGCAAAAAACTACCGATGGAGGGATCATTGCAGGCAATAAAATGGAGGCTTCAAGCCGAGGACACGGAAAGGGTTTTCGGATGGAAATTTGTTCCATTTCAAGATACAATGAAGGAGCTCATTGCACAGTACTTGCAACTCGATGCAAACAATGTCAAAAATTAGTCTGCCGCGGTTACTTCAACACGAAGTCAAATTATCATCATGATTGATTTAAATTGATCTCCAAACCAGTGTTTAATTACCTTGAATACCATATTTTTGCTAATATTGAAGACTGTCCCACCAAAATTGCGTCACATCAAGGATTATGTCCATAAAGGCAGAGGATCACCCCTCAAACTATTGTCTCCCACTGGCAGCCGCTGCGATTAGGAACCCGGCGGTTGGACGCCCGGATTGGGTTTGTAAAAGACACGCCAACTACTAAAACGCCTTCTCTCTCCCTACTAGTAGGCTCACGTTCACCAATATCACGATGCTCCTATGTATCTCCTGAAAATAGCTAGGTAGGAATTGATATCTAAGAAATTTCACCCATTCCCTATGAGCTTGGATTTATCTCAAGTTGATCGCAGCAACTTGAAAATTAGGTGTCTTTTTTTCAAAAAAAAAATTTAGGGGGGTATGCTGCTCTGAACCTGCAGTCCTGCAAAGCACCATATATCGGTGAAAAGCTTTAATGATCTTCCAGCCAATGTGAATCCAACAAAACCGATAACTGAGAACTACTCGATCCATCTTCGAGTTTCAGGGGCCTCCGAGTCGCTTTGGAATTTAAGAAAAGAAACGTACTTCGCCTCGCCGATAACGTCGATCGAACTTGAATGGCCCGCCTGACCTTAGTGCGCTAAGATTTGAGAACGCCCTGAGAAGTTCGAATATATGATTCAAATATGGGCAGGTTAGTGCGACGCAAGTCGATCGATGTAAATATAGCTCTGCCTGAAGTTTGGTGATTAGTCTTTAGCCGTGTCTTACAGCCCCTTCTCCATAGTTAGTTCGTGCGAAGGCGGTAACTAGTTAGGATGGGCTGAAAGTAAGACACGGCTAAATGGCCAATCAGCCCCGCTGAATAAGCAACACGGAACTCCGAGATAACGCCACCCTGACTTATATCAATCATCGTAGGCAGGCTGCCCACCCCGCGTGTCGGGGACTGCTTTGACCCTGCATACAAACCGCCCAGGGAGCTTTGAGTTCCGATGCATAATGAAGCCCACCTCTCCCGAAACGAAGACAGAATGTTTGTTGTGTGGGTTACAGTTCAACCATCGTAAGTCTCTGGGATTATCTTATCGCAAGGTCCTCCGAGCCCTATTCTTCAATCGGAACTCCAAGGTTGTTAACGTCAGTGATAAATTTATAGGATCATCGCTTATCCGACATACTAAGAACAACTGCAACAAAAATCAATCGCAACGGCGTAAATCGTGTAACCAATGCGTTGCAAACAAATCAAAGTGCAACCTCAAACGCCCCACTTGCTCAAGATGCTCCCTTCGCCATATTGCGTGTGAATACGCGGGCTCTGGCGCGGCAGAGCCCGAGTCACCCGGAATTGCGAGTGCCCCCCCTGGGCTTTGAACTTGAAACTATGCCAACTTTCCAACCACAAAATCTCTCTGCGAGATTCGATTCAAGCGTTTTTGAGCCCTTTTTTGGCGACTTGGGTCCCTTTTCCCCATTCCAGCCATCTACACTTACACTGCAAGATCCACAGCACATAGCAGGCCAGGATCTTCTCCCTTACAATGATTATGTCTCCTTCGCGTCCTCGGATCTTATCCAAACCCAATCAAACCTACAGCTTGAGCCAAAATCCGAGCCGAATTCAGTTGCTTTAGCAAATCACAGCATGGAATTTATATTTCGAGTTTGTCGAACCTGGCCTCAAATGCTGGCTGATGGCTTTCAAATTCCTCCCATTTTCCACCCCACACACCTGGCTTCGCACATTAATCTGCCAAGACAACTAGCAACCTGCATCACCTTGGTCAAAATGTGGCATGGGCAATGCCCAGGCGCCGAAGAAATTGTGCGTGCCACGATACGCCAGGAGCTCGATCAACTTATGGATAATGTGAGTACTATCATTTATTGAACTTCTGAGACTTCGCTAAATGTACCATGGAATACAGCTCGACGAATTGGATGAAACAAGGCTTCTATCAAGCTTACAGGCAGTGGTGATATACACAATCATTCTGCTTGCACCTTCCACAGCCTCACAAAACAATAATTGCATGAGTGAGGATGCTATTTTTCGAAAAAGTTGAAATTTTCGTTTGGCATGTCGTCCGCGGTGGTCTCTTCCTGCCAGAGGAACGGGCACAGACGAGACCCTCCTGGGAGAACTGGGTGCATGTCAATTCTAAAAGACGTGCAATACTCGCACTCTATCTACTCCATTGGGCATATTCGGTTTTACATAAAGTACCGTGCTTCGATTGTGCAGAACTAGGCTTTATGCCAGCCCCAGCGCCAAAGGTTCTCTGGCAAGCACAGACTGAACAAGAATGGAGCAACAAGTACATTCACTGGCTTGCGCGATGGAGTGGACAAATATACCTCCAGGCCGAGTTTGGCCATATCCAACCGGGCGCAATCTTAAGTCCCAGAGCAGAAAGATGGCTGGGAGAAGCGGACGAATTCGGATTCATAATGGCGACTATTCGTAAGTCTCTCTGGCTATTTAAACCTGAAATAATTCAACTAATCCTCTCGCAGTTAATGCTACCGAGTTCCAACCTCCCGGTTACAAAGTTAGGATGTAAGCAGTCTACTCTGGTCTATCCTCCCTAGCCTCTAGAACTATTATTGGCTTGACCAATAAGAAAAGGAGAATGCTTTCCTCGGCTTATCTGAGAGAGGGGCTCCTCGGTAGACTATGTCTCTTGTCTTACATTCCTGCTCTATTTTATTGTTTATATAATAATTCCATAACACAGTGTTCAAACTCTGAATACTTGTTATAATTTGGTCTGATCGTACAGGAGCTTCAATTTGATGTACAAATTTTGAACCTATATCACCTAGATACCGCAATTCGTAATCTTCCAGATACTTTCCTTTGGTCCTTAGTATTCCTCAATTGTGCGTGGTTGAAAGGACAATGATTCAACTGGGACCATCACCTGAAATATTCCATGAATTGGACCGCGTCGCTTGACTAGATACGGCAGGAACTCAGGCCTTCAGGCTGTCGGCCCATTCATTCAAATCGATTTCGAACATTGAAACATCGCCACGCGGAACGCCCATCATAGTGGTCAGGCGGTAAGAAATTTTCCAGGAGGTGCGGCTTCCATCCGTCACTTTCACAAGCTTGTCAAAGTATCTTGCTTCCGCGAGAAACGACTTCTCACCCAAGAAATGACCAGCAGCGCAGTAGGTTGTGGCTTCTGCTGTACCCGCGCCAGTTAGGTGTATAGTTTGGGTCGTCAAGCCATGAAAAGTGCTTATATGTCCAATCGCATTCCTCAAGCCCTCAATGACAGCGTCTGGTCCCTTCATCAGACCAAGTGAGCTAGTGTAGTCGGCGACGCAATCATCGGTGAAAAAGTTTCGTAGATCCTCAAATCTTTTAACGTCAAATGTAATAGCCACACCGGCGATGGTATTTCGAATGAGATCATGATCGGATGTGGCTGCCATCACTGCGTTGTTGGTAGAAACAGACTCGGAGAAGTCAAGCATAACGAAGAAGTTGATGGGCAGCTTAAAACTTGCAAATGTAGGATCGAAGTTGAATGATTGATTGTAATTTTCTTTCCTGGCCATTCTATCATACTTCTATATATACTACCTAGGTACTAGCTGGTCCGAGTCCGCGTCTGATGTCCGTCAACGATCATCCACTTGCCTAGGTGGGCACCTAGGCATCCACCACAGATGCCCGGGGCTTTCACCTGACAAATCATATTTTATGATATGTAAGCGATTTAGATCTGTATTCTGGTTTTACAAAGCAAGTTCCAGTTTGTACAAATCTAACCTACTGCAACAGGAACTCGGAGCTCCGGGAGAGTACTCGGTGTTAAGTAATGAATGTGAAACATTTACACTATGCTCCGAGTCAGAAATCCGGCACAAAGTCTAATGAAAAAATCACGAGACAAAAAGATATAACAAACTGCTCAAATGTTGGAGAAAATTCATGAATCCAATTTTCAATCCATGGATCTTTGACACACTTCATCTCCTAAACTTCTGAAAAGTCTACAAGGAGATTGAAGCAAACAATAATCTCATCAAGATGACATCGCCTTTTTACAACTACACGCTCGCTACCTTTATTCGGGGACTGAATACTCTTCACTACATTCTTAAAAAAGGCGAAGATCATGCAAAAGAACACAACATCGATCTTGATGAACTTCATAATGCTCGTATCGCCGAGGATATGCAGCCCTTGGCGTTCCAAGTTGTGACGGCCACAAACAATGTTGGAAAAGCTCTTGCACGGGCAAGCTTTACAGATCCTCCGCCCCAATATTCACCAGATGAGACCTACGAGGGGCTTTACACCCGCATTGAGAGATACATCGTGGAGCTAAAGGCTGTCGATGCCAGGATGTGTGCTAGTAGGGAGGGTCAAACCTTCACGGCACCAATTGGTATGGATACCTTTGAATATACGTTAGAAGAGTATTCAGTGCGATTTTCGATCCCCAATTTCTATTTCCATCTGGTGACAGCATATGCGATATTGAGATCGAAGGGGGTGGAAATAGGAAAGCTGGATTATCTAAATCAGTTTACTGCTTGAGAATGGTGCTTCCCGTGAAGAGGCACAGAATTTGGAAACTGAAGAAATCCCGGAGCGATGTGTACCTTTGTTCCACAATGTCCTATGCACTTTGCCTCTATACAGCAGGAATATCAAATCAGCATATGTTGAATCTTTCATGAATTTACATTCTAGCCGTCCCTAATTCCTTCAAGTTGTTGGGTTCAAGTTAATGCTATCCGTAAGAGGATCTTCCAAGGTAAAGATACTTGAAATATATGAAATTCAAATTTCATCCCACTTATTACAGTCTAGTAGCTAGGACATATGATATAATTTGCTTCTCGCATCCGATATTCCCAGTCTGGATGCAAGCAAGATCTTTCGAACATCCAATCTGGGCATTTATTCTTATATTCTAATCGAAGCAGATATTTCTAAACGGAAGTAATTGCACTTTTATAATGAAGAGAAGTTATTTAAGACATCAGTCAGAGAACATATCTAGTTGCTCCTGCCACAGGATACAAAAGGGAAGCTTGCACTCCAAAGCGCCCAGTATGCCAGGCGCAATGAGATACACAAATTTCCTTCCGGTTATTTACTAGTCAAAAGTCCCTGATCTCTGTCTTTGGTATAGCTCGCAGAAAATCCTTTCCAAAAACAAGCACTGGTGTCTGGAACCCAGGTTTTGTCTCATTTTCCAGCACTCGCCTAGCCGCTTCTACTGAGGCCAAATAAGTGAAACTGTATCCGTTGACCGTGTGTAAAACCGCTTTTTTCGAGATTCCATCGTCTGAATATACAACAACCACCGCATGGTATGGCGTTGCTTCCCGCTCCTCGGCCGTCGGGCCATCGGCAAGTAGGTCAAGGTCTCCAGTTGGAAAACTGAGACTCGAGGCATGGGCGAAAGTTCTGATATTGGCGATCCCGGAAGACTTTGAGATTGTTAAAAGATCTGGTAGTGTCACCGGGAATGAAATGACATTTCCATTGCCGTCATCGAAATCGAAATTCGCAGTCTGGGTAGGCTCTTGTTCAACCAAATTTCCGTCCACCAATTGAAGACACCCAGATTTCATATTGGATGCACTTATGGCGGAGCCCCTTGACATCGCTCCAGCTACATGGAGGGCGATATCGACGGTTTTGGGATATTCAATTTGGTCGGCGACATGAGCCGCAAGGCAACCTAGCATGGCAACGCTCCCGCCACAACCTGGGAGGAGCATGACGCCGGCCTTTTGTGCGTCACTATCGTACTGTTGTGCCTGCTGATAGGTCACAATTTCTGCCGAAATGTCGAGGTAGTGTGTTTTGGTCCGTATGCATGCTTCCATGAGCGTCTTGGCGGTTCGAATATAGGGACCAGCACAGTTCAGGACGACAAGTGTATTATCCAAAATTGAATCAAGAATTTCTCTTTCGTTCAGATCGAAGGTGTAATACGGGACTTCGAGTCGACATGCGAAATCTTTGAGTTTATTCTCTGACCTGCCGGCAAGAGCGAAGTCCAATCCAATGCTCTTAGCGTGCTCACTGGCCATGCGGCCTGTATAGCCTGTCGCACCATATATGATCAAGGGTGCCATTTCGAGTTCAAGTTGATTGATGAATAATATTCTGGAAGGAACGAGTACAAGCTTCACGATCCAGTGTTACTGTGATATATAACTAGTACCAATTGTTGCATACCTAAGTAGGTATGAAGTGCTCACTCCTTAATTGTCAACCAATATGCCGATCGGAATTCCGAGCTCCCTCCCGGGTCCGGGAACTCCGTGCATGGGCCCGTCCATTTGGCCCCCAAATCACAATTTGATCCAAGTATCATCGCACTTCATCGTCTATCGAATATGTATGCCAGGGTCGGAAAATAAAAAAAGAAAATAGGGAAACATGGAGGGATTGAGACTGATCAGATATCAAAGGCGATTCGCGAATAAATAAATTTGGGGCTGATCCCCTATCAGGTGTCAAGAAAGCATCGATATGCACTCAGTGAGTCTCAAGTCGGATTGAAATTCACCCAATGACCACCCCTTTTTGGTTGCTATGTAGATCCTAGCCCGTCTCTAAGCGCGCTGATGAGATGAACGAGTTTGATCTCGGCGCTTCTTTACTTGGCTCTCTGGGTCGTCTTTTTAAGCTGACAACACGGGCCACCTTCCCATTTTCCAGAACGATTTATTTCGATCGGATCTAGAGCCTAATACATCGACTAGTCCAGAAGTCAACTTTGGAAGATCGCAATAGTACTATATATCTTCTTGGTACTAGGTATCTACCTAGAGAAGATATGAGCTTCCAGGGTCACGGTTGGCATCTGCCAGTGGGCAGTAATAATCTACTGTACCTAGGTACTCCAGCTGGTCTCACCACCTAAGTATTCAAATTACCTAGATATCATAAAATATATATTTTGGGTTACTTACCTAGGTACTACTACCTAGCCCAGTGTTAATCTGACTCCACCTTGAACCTTATGCCCAGGTGCCACCACTGGCATGTAGAGTATATTCGTCGACAGCCCCGGAGGGGAGATTTCAACCTCCAGGCGTGGAACTTTGGAAGGTCATTATGGAACCGAGTGTGAGCTCAGAAAAATTACATGAAACTTAACTTGGATTAGGCTCAAGACTGAATGAAGTTGGATGCTAGTACCTAGTAGGGCAACCTTGGAAGTTTTACCAGATCCGTGTTTTAGCTCCCTGGCACACACTTAGAGTACATACTGTCTATTAATAAAGAAAGAAACTTATCTAAATCCTGGAAAGGACTATAGAAATATGAGATGAAGTTCGCGGCTCTCTTCAATGTAATCTGTTTCAATTTTGGTGGAAGTTCAAGCTCAAGTTGCGACGAGGAATATGAGTCAGAACGAGGAAAAGTATACTAACTCCGACTTGCAAGCCGGACAGATGACCATGATGTCCTATGGGTGGCCATAAATTGGTAAATTTCTAGGAAAGACGGCCTCTCGAGGAAGGAAAGTCGTCGTGAGTTGCGCGATTATCACTAAAGTGCTAGTATCGTGATATTATCATCTGAGAGAACTCCATTAAAGCGAAAATAATTTTCTTATATGACCCGCGCGTATAGTCGATTTAAAAAATTGGAAGCTTCGCCTGTATCCTGTTAGATGGCTTCAAAGTCTTATTTAATGTTTCGAATTCAATCGGTAATTGGCGGAGGTAGTGTGGCTTCCAGCTTTGCCATTGCGATAAATTGCATTGCCAGGAACTCGCTTGAATCGGGGCTGGTATCGAAAATTGGTGTGGTTTCTATGCTCAAATATCCAAAAGAAACATTCTCTTGGAAGATACCATATTCAGACTACAGAGAAACTTTGCGTCTGTGGTAATAGAATTTTAGTCAACGTGCCATCTCAGCAGACTTGTCAAGTCCAAGAACGCTTTCATACAAAGTGTTGAGAAATTCTTTCATTGACATTATGTGCAGAGCTTCATTCTAAGTATCGGAATTTGAAACGAATGAATTCCTTGCGCACCGGGTCTTTTGCAAGATATTCCCAACGGCAAACTCATGATGAGACAGGTCTCAACCTCGGATTGGAACTACTGAGTAGTGATCAATCCACATCAAGTCACCCACATGCCCAATGTCTTGGCGGTGGCGCCCGCCATCCCATGAAAGCAAGTGAATTGTCGTGCCAAGTCCAAATGAGCTTGTTAGTACTGACAAGGGGGGGCGGGGAGAGGGGAGGGGGAGGGGGCGATACATATGTAATATGAAATGGAATCAGCGATCCACTTCTCAACCTCGAAAAGGTCTGGGGTCGGGAGGTCCCGTTTTAAGGACGAATTCGCAACCTGCAGCAAATACCCCTTGAATGCAATTTCGTCTCGCCTATAGTTGCTTGTTAAGTCCTGCAATTTCCCACATTCCGGACAACGCCATTATTGATTGGTTCATGCGCACCGGCTGCGCTGACGGGAGTGAATAGGTTGGGTATTTTGCGATTCGGGTGCGAGGTTCCAATTTCGGGCTGAGGTCGTGTCATTCCCTTTCCGGGGTTTATTTTTTGAGGGGCGAATCTTCTTACTCGGGCCGACATTCGCACAAGCGAAGTGGCTACAATTTTGAGCTGGATGGAGCCGAGCTGACGGGTCTCGAACAAGATTAGTGTTTTGTGGGGAAGGATCCCCCGTGGAGAATCCAACACGGAGGACTGCTCCGCGCTAGTAACGGGGTCTTCTCCCCAGACTTTGGCTTTTTGTATCGACAGGGAATGGGGCGATAAATCTAATTCAAGGTATGGTAGCGTTATGGGGTGATTGCACTAAATCCTTTTCGGGGAAGTAAAGAAGACTTTTGATGTCTTCACAGCCCTTGGACTACATTGATGGAAAATCTCACAACATAGCGGAATCACCGGGTACACTGCAGATCAGGAGACAAGGGCGGGCCAAGGTGAAACAATACTGTCTAGTTCTACTTCAGCCTTAGGGTATTCTACTAAAATCTGATAATATGCGTATATTAAATACCAAATCCCTTTACTAGCGCGTAGCCAATCAAACCTTCTAGCTACAAAGCAAAAAGAAAGGGGGCAAATCACTCCCCAACTAAAGGGTATAGATCAGAATGTCTCGCCCAGCACGCGGGAGACAGGGCCGAACATCCAGAACCCTCCAACTCAAGTCCTGAATCTTTTCGGACCAAGGCGGACACCTCGATCGTATCTGAGCAATCCATCATCTCACTGGAGGCTTCGCCGATTCCAATAAGGATACGGAGCAGCTTGTGCACGCCACCGCCGAGCTCGTCTGCTGCGTTACTGGGCGCAGGGATCAGGTGTCACAAGGGAAGGGGGGAGGGCACCAGCAAAATCTGGAGAACCGCATGGTCTAGCGTTTCCGAAACGGAATAGTAAGAAAATAAATAAAATAAGACAGGGTCTTTGGCGCCTATGCGAACCGATTGGATTGTATGTTTGTGCGCGAGTCTCTTATAAGAATCCAAGCTCCTCCTCCCTTCGAGGAGTTCTTGAGAGTATCGAGCCGCGTTTCAAAGACGACTGCACTCGACGACAACCCCATTTCTTCGACGATCCACTAAGACATTTGGCGGTATCGAACACCGATTGGATCATGTCGGATGCTAAGAGTGGGACTCACGAGGAGGTGCACGGTATCTCCTCTGCGGTGGACTATGGGGTAGGGCCTGAGGATACACCCCAGGTTATTGCTGGATATGGAGAGACTGCCAAGCGCGAGGGTGCGAAGACAAAGGAAGTCCACAACGTAAGTAAAATCATGCTGACGTTAGAAATTCTGTGCTTACCCTTCATTAGGCCGATCTCTTTGCTGCTATTGAGGAAACCAAGATTGAGCGGTGGAGCAAGACATCTATCCACCTTTACTGTACGTTTTGCATACCAACAACGCCAAGCTTCGCCAACTTGCTAATACCAATACAGTCTGTATTTTTGTCTCTTTCCTCTGTGCTTGTGCCAACGGTTATGATGGTAAGTGGTCTGATACTCTCTCCGAAACGTCCTGACACCGACTAATATGTGTCTGTTCTAGGTTCTCTTATGGGATCCATCCTTGCGATGGACCATTGGCAAGCGATCTTCAAAACTGGTCTCACGGGCTCAAAGGTTTCTGTCGTGACTTCTCTCTATACTGTGTAAGTGATTTCGCTTCATATTTGCAATCCGATCACTGAATTAACAAAAAACTACTTTAGTGGATCAATCGTCGCAACTCCCTTCAGCGCCGTCATTTCTGATAAGTTTGGACGACGCAAGTGTATGTTTGCTGGCGCTTGGGTCATTATCGCCGGATCAATTATCATTTCGACTGCCATGCATCTGGCACAATTCGTTGTCGGTCGCTTCATCCTCGGTGTTGGAATCCAGATCATGGTCGTTTCGGCTCCAGCATATGCTGTCGAAATTGCCCCGCCTCACTGGCGTGGTCGTGCTGTCGGTCAGTTCTATGCCCCAATTCCACCTACCCTCCGACTTGGGGAAGAAATCCACTCACAGGAATTATACAGGTTTCTACAACTGCGGTTGGTTCGGAGGCAGTATCCCCGCCGCTGCGATCACCTACGGTACAAACAATATCAGCAACAACTACCAGTGGCGTATCCCGTTCATCCTGCAGTGCTTCGCATGTGTTTTGGTCATCTTCTTCGTCTGGTTCATCCCCGAGTCACCCCGTTGGCTCCTCGCCCAAGGTCGCGAAGAAGAAGCTCTTGCTTTCCTAGTCAAGTACCATGGCAATGGTGATCCCAACGCTCGCCTGGTCCGCCTGGAGATTGAGGAAATGAAGGAAGGAATCCGCATCGACGGTATCGACAAGAGATGGTGGGACTGTAAGTTTTACCTCAACTTTCGTCTCTTCCCAAGATAAATGGCTAATCCTTGATTCTTTCACTAGACCGACCCTTCATCACGACCCACAGCGGCCGCTGGCGCTTCGCACAGGTCATCATGATCTCCGTCTTTGGACAGTGGTCCGGCAATGGTCTAGGTTACTTCAACGCGACCATCTACAACGTCCTGGGATACACTTCTAGCTCGACACAACTCCTGCTCAACCTGATCAACTCGATTGTCTCGGCCATCGGTGCCGGAACCGCCGTCTGTCTGACCGATAAGATGCCCCGTCGTCCCGTGCTGATCTGGGGAACTCTCGCCTGTGCAATTACCATGGCAATCAATGCCGCCGTCTCGCTACCCATTGCCAACACAGGAACTATCAGCCACACCAAGGGTCAGACCGCGCTGGCGTTCTACTATCTCTTCAACGTTGTTTTCTCCTTCACCTATACCCCGCTGCAAGGTGTTGTCCCCGCGGAGGCACTGGAGACGACGACTCGTGCGAAGGGTCTGGCACTTTCCGGATTCATGGTTTCGTCGATCAGTTTCATTAGTCAGTTCGCGTCGCCGATTGGACTGGGTAATATCTCGACGAATTATTTCTGGATCTTTGTTGGTTGGGATCTGGTTGAGTCTGTTTGTTGGTATTTCTTCTGTGTTGAGTCGCAGGGTCGGACTCTTGAGGAGCTGGAGTGGGTGTACCAGCAGCCCAACCCGGTCAAGGCATCGCAGAATCTGGATAAGATTGTTGTGCAGAATGACGGAACTGTTACTGAGAAGATTGAGGCTGATGCTTGAAGTATCAAGTCGGATATCTGATAGGTACTATGTGGTGGTGGTGGTTGGTGTGGTGGTTATAATTGTGGAGAACCTGAGGCTTCCACGGTTCCCAGGTTGTTTCCGGGGGTAAATAAGTTGTTGGCGGTTTTATCGGTATTGTAGGTATTTTAATTACTTTTTAATAAAACTGTTTCAAAATATCGTTCTGAAAACCAATGGATAGTATAAATGATATGTATTATGTGTATTATGCGAACACATGTGACATGTGCAACCCTACTTCGTAGGGTTCTAAGAATAAATAAAGTTATTGTGAATCTATTTGCAACTCATTGCAAATCATGACTAGCACGGTAAAGAGTCATCTAGTCTGATTGGTAGCACTTGACAGCCTGAACACTACTAAGGTCCTCACACGTGTAGAGGTAGAAGAATATGATTGGCTGTGATGAATCTGGGGATGCAAAAACATAAAGAGGACTCGCCATCACGCGGGGTGATCGGGTGCACACTTGCTGGTGATCAGGCAGATCATCTGAATACCTACATATTTATATCTGATGGATTATTCTCTTTCTCTTCCTATCATCTCTTCTACTTTCTCTATTCTATGTCCTTTACGCCCAACTGCGTTGTTCCTGCCAAGATATTTCATACTGCAGCCTTATCTGACTAAGCACCCGTTGATTGGCTCCGAATAGGCCGAGTGACGTGACTTCTCGATAAGATCGGACCTAAATTTCCATTTGCTTTTTTTACGGCTTTTTTCCCCGTCCTTTCGTGATTGTGGTGATCTATCAGCCAGCTTTGGTTACCCCTCCATGCTGCTTTGATCCTGCTCATTATGTTGTCCTTGTTGGGCCTCATCACTGCCGCTGCTACTGTTGGGGCAGTCCCCCCTGGAGCAGCTCCAACAAAAGCCTCTCGCTCCTGTCGACGAATTGGTGCCACACCCGAACCATGCGCAACTAAACCCGAATACACCAGACACATCGACAGCGGCCCAATCCCTCACGGGCCGCTTTCTACACATCACCGGTACGTGGTTTTGGCTTGCCGGCGCAAGGAGACTCGTGGTCGCGTGATAGCATGGCACTGACGAGAATCCGACCCACATCTATAGATTTCCACCCAGACCGGTACTACAAAGCGGGTTCCTCACCCGACGACGGATCATGCCACCACGGTAAAGGCGAAGCAGGATACTTTGGACAAGAGGGATCAGACTGCGACTCGCCGCTCGTCCTGGTCGATGAGACATTCCGGTGGATCAAGGAGAACATCAAAGATGACGTCGACTTCGTGATCTGGACCGGCGACTCAGCCCGACATGACAACGACGAAAAGATCCCCCGCGACCAAGACGAGATCCTCGATTTGAACCGCTACATGTCGCAGAAATGGATCGATCTATTCGGAATCCGGAACTCACCCGATCGCTCCGCGCCGCGTCTCTCCGTCCCCGTCGTGCCCACATTCGGCAACAACGATATCCTCCCACATAACATTTTCCGCAGCGGCCCAAACGCCTGGACAAAGCGATTCGAACAGATCTGGGCTGATTTCATCCCCGAGGATCAGCGGCATAGCTTTGTTCAGGGCGGTTGGTTTACCAGTGAGGTTATCCCTGGCAAATTGGCGGTCATTAGCTTAAACACGATGTACTTTTTCGATTCGAACAGTGCTGTCGATGGGTGCAAGGATCAATCTGAGCCCGGGTATGAACACATGGAGTGGTTGCGGGTGCAGTTGCAGATTCTCCGTGAGCGTGGCATGAAGGCTATCCTGATGGGTCACGTTGCTCCCGCGCGCTCGGATGAGAAGACCAACTGGGACGAGACCTGCTGGCAGAAATATACGGTGTGGATGGATCGGTACCGGGATGTGGTTGTGACCAGTCTGTACGGACATATGAATGTTGACCACTTCGTGCTGCAAGATAGTCATGCCGCCAACGTGGATGAGCTGTCGGAGAAGCAGAGCGATGGGACTGTCTCCGCCATGTCCAAGTCGGACTACCTGGTTTCTCTCCGGGGCCAGTGGTCCGATCTGCCATCTGTGCCCTCGGGCTTGGAGAGCGTTAAAAAGATGGAAGACTATCTCGAGGCGAACAAAAAGAAGGGGAAGAAGAGCAAAGAAGATAAGAAGGAGAAGAAGATTCGCAAATACTTGAAGAAGATTGGTGGTCCGTGGGCTGAGCGATACAGCGTGTCATTGGTCTCGCCCAGTCTTGTGCCGAATTACTTCCCGACGCTACGCATGGTAGAGTACAACCTGACGGGGTTGGAGAACGTTGGCCTGGCGGTCGAGTCCCCCTCTACCCCGCAGCAGCCATTCGATCTATACCAGTTTGGCTCTCAGTTAGACGACGATTCATCGCTAGAGACAGAAAAGAAGAAAAAGAATAAGAAGAAGGGCAAGGGCAAGGGCAAGAAGAAGCCCGGCTTCAAAGCGCCCGAGCCACCATCTTCCACGGCCCCGCCAGGCCCTGCCTACTCCAACCAGGCGTTGACGCTGCTGAGTTACACGCAATACTATGCCAACCTCACACGACTTAATGAGGAAGCGAGTCAAGCGAAGGGAACTCCGCGCATGGAGTTCGAGGTGGAATATACCACGAACGATGATGTGTATGAGATGAGCGATCTCACGGTTCGCAGTTATCTCGAGCTTGCCACGCGAATTGGAGAGGCTGGGGAGGTCTCGGCCCAGAAGAAGGGCAAGGTCAACGCAGCCTGGCGAGCGTTCTTAGAAAGGGCGTTTACAGGGTATGTGGATGTGGACGAGCTGGACTAGAGCTTTTAAATAAGGAGAGAGGCCGAACTGTGTCACTGTGACTATCACAGGTGACTTGCATAGATTGATTGATTATTGGAAGCCATGCATATTGGGTGTTGTACATCTGGGTTGGCCGGCATTTGGCTGGTTGGCAGTAAATAGGTTAATAGCATAAAGTCGTTCCACTTTGTCATTAGGTTTCTTCATCTTCAGATATTCATTGAATACATTATAATGATACTATCCTATACTCTCCTATACTCTCCTATACTCTCCTATACTCTCCTATACTCTGTACTGCATGCTATACTCCGTCTAATTATGTCATTGTGGCGGTGTGTCCAGGCGGTGAACCTTGGATCATGTCACCTTGGTTCGTCAACTTCCTTTGTATACAAATCTATTCATCTCTCTTGTCCCTTTCTATTGTCCGTGCTCTACTTTGTATTCTCTACTCTCTACCCTGTGCCACGCCACTGCCAAAATCAGGACATCCTGCAGTTGGTCGTCTGAAATGCCAATTCCCATCTGAACTGCCGCAATCCACGATTGATCCACCTGCAAACATAACGCCACTGCCAGCGTGGCAGTCCGTGCTTCTAGCTTGTAATCTGCTTGGATCGCGCACTCTACGACTGCCACGTAGCTGCCTGAGCTGGTCAATTTGAGGCGATGAGGAGGAGGGCCTAGGCTATTTAGGGCGACCTGAGGCGGCTCGGGGGCGGCTCAGTGGGTTAATTATAGGGTGATGTTGGAGTTTGTCTTGTAATTGCAAGGACTAGTATATTCCCAAGGGTTGGGCAGGAGTGGATGATATCATGATGTGACAGTGTATCCGTAATTTGAGACTATCCTACGTAGTGGAAAAGTGGAAAAGTAGATATGTCAGTGTATGTCAGTTGGGTATCTCCTAGTGGACCCGCTTCTCTTGCCTCAACTCTCCTCCACCACCTCTCAACTCAACTTCCTTCATTGCCCTCAGCTCAGGTCGACTCTCCCTCTCGGCTCTGCGGAACCCCTAGGGCTTCCTTTTACATACTTCACTGCCTCAATTCAACTCGGCCCAATTCCAACAAGTTCAGCTCCACGACTCTCGCCTCGTTCTCCGCTCGTGCCCGACTTCTTCCCCGCACAACGGGGTGGTGCGTTGGCATCGGAGATTGCGAACTGAAATCTGCTTCTTCTCCCTCGAGCCCCCCCTCGCGTCTCTCGCATAATGCATCCACTTGCTCTGTCTCTTCGTCCTTGTGCCTTGCGTTCCTAGCCGCGAGCCTGTCAGCCGATCCCTCCTCAACTAGCTGCAGCTAAACGATCCATCAACTCCCACTCGAGATTGATCAATTCCACCATACCGCCGCAATTACCCTATTAATTAAAGAACACCATCGCAATACCAGCCACGACCGAACCAATACCGATCGAAATATAGATCTAGATCATATCAAGATCGAGATCAAGATACTCGGAACGCGGTCCGAACTGTGGGGTGAGCCCACCGGGGTAGAGCGCACTGGCTTCCTCTCGACTTGAATCTGTCAGGGGCAAGATCGATTTGAATCAATACAATTGATCACTTCCATACGGTGGACACTACACTGCATGGTTGCGTAAGACCGGTCATAACTCTCCCGCGATCGTCGTCCTAGTCTACGCGCTCGGATGTGCACGCGCTGTGTTTGAATCCTCGTTTGCGCGCGCCTCGTCAAGTGAGTCTTTGTCTGCTTCATTTCTGCCTCAGTTTCTGCTCTCCAGCCACCATTATTGCCCAATTCCCTACGCCATCCCTCAACCAACCATGCTACCCCCATCACAAACCCCATCGATCCCTCCTGGGATACCCATCGAACCGAATTTCCAGATCACTGACCACAATGTTGCAGCCTCTGCGTCATTGGCTTTATGGATGGCATCCTCCGAGGTAGACCAGAAAGCCTTGGGCAATTTCGCGGCCGTAATGGCCCTCGAAAACCCTCTGCTCTCGGCAATGCTATATAAATCACTCGGGCTTTCTGTTATGCTCTCCAAGAAACTCCTTCGCGCCCGCCGCTTACGTCGCCTTGACAATACCCGCGAAACAAAATCCCTCCAATTGTACTATCACATTATTTGGCTTGCCCGAGAAGGGCTGTTAATACTTGAGGGCTATATTCTGCCCATGGTCTCACGATTCGTCGAGTTGAAAGTGCTCTCCTATAAACTCCGCGCCTCATTTTATCACATCTTTGTTCTTTTTCACAACCGCCCTGTCGTGCAGTCAACAGATCCGCAATCACCAACTCTCGCAAAGCATGACTCTCTCTACGGTGAAGAATCTCTAACCGCCCTACGTGGACATAATCCATCTCAACAACCCAACAAGACATCTATCCCACCCGGCCTCGCTCCAGTCCTACCACCTCAACCAGCCACCTCATTCCTCCTACCCCCACTCGACTACACAGCCACGGCAACGGCATGCTTCAACCATGCATCACTTCTTGCTGACAAGCTTCTCCCGGGCTCACACCCACTCCGGCTATCGGTGAAACTGGAATACGCCGCCTATCTCTACGACTGCCTCCAAGATCCAATCGCCTGTCGACGCCTCGCGAAACACGCAATTGCCGATGTCTACAACGCCCAAGAAGGTATGGACGACGAGAGCTTTGAAGACGCTGCTGAGATCGTCGGTGTTCTGGGCAAAATGGTCAAGCGCAGCGGGAAACCCGGCAGCACAAGTACGCCAGGCAGCATGACCTCGCACGGAGACATGTCTCGAAGTCGCAGCAGTCGCAGCCCCTCGCATCTCGACACCAGTCTACCGACGACAGTCTCGCCGGTTCCAGTCACCAAGTCCACGCCCGTTAGTGCGAAATCATCGACTGTGGCAGTCTCAACTTTACCGCCCGCGGTTCCGAACGTGACTATGATGAATCCGATTTAATGGATGTTACGATATAGAAAAGCTGATAGGCGTTTTCTTTGATTTTTTTTGCTCTCGATATCTCTGTCTCTTCATTCCGGCGGGTTCGGCCTGGGAAAAGAGTGGTCTTCTGAACTTATTTCTCGCAATGTACATACATCATCACGAACTCTATGCCTGCTCCTGCTTTGTCTACTATCGCTCACTCAGTACTTCTTGGGCAGTACATACCCACCAATATTAACGAAGAACTGCATAGCAGTAGATAGGAACTGCGCCACATCCTCACCCAGCCAAGTAGGAATAAGCTTCGCACGCGACGATTCTAGTTCTCGAAGAAACCTGCCAGCAACCTGAATAGATAGTCAGCAAATATTTCTTATCCAACCAATCCAACGCGAGATATAAGCATAGTATGAGTCGAAAAACGTCGAGAAGAGGACTTTACTTACCAACAGGCATTCCCCACTCCTCCCCTCATCCAACGCAACAAAGGCAATAGCCTCAGCCACTCGCTCAGGCGTATTCTCTTCGAGTCCGCACCCACGCCACCTCTCCGCAAATCCCGCTGTAATATGCGTCGGTGTCAGGAACGGCGCGATGCCATTAATTCGAATTCCCTGTTCACGAGCCTTGACCTGAGATGCACGAAGAAGTCCTAAGACCCCGTGCTTCGAAGCAACGTACGCTGTGACTCCGGTTCCGCCAAAGTAGCTCGATGATGATCCGATCAGGACGATTGATTTGGACGATGGCGATGGAGATTGGGATAGATAGTAAAGTGCAAGTCGCAAGGCTAGTAGTTTATTCGTTAGCATCCTCATTACACCGACAATGCATCCATTGCATATCGATACTCACTATTCAAAGTGCCCCTCAGATTAACGTCAAAAACCCTCTTCGCTTCATCATCCTCCTTCAACTCCCCATCTTCATCGACTTCGAAATCCAACACCGATCTAGACTCCATAATCCCCGCGTTAGCAACGACGATATCAATACCGCCAAATCTCTCTAATGTCTTCTTAAAACATTCTCTCAACTCGATCCAATCGACGATATCGCCTTGGACAAAAATCGCCCGGCTGGGATCTGGCAAGTCGTGTTCAATTAAACCCTCTGCTGTGGACCGGAACTGCGCCAGATCTGCTAGGACGACATTTGCGCCGTGGGCGTTGAATTGTTTTGCTGTTGCAGCGCCGATGCCGCGCGCTGCGCCGGTTATTAGGACTGTTTTGTTGGTGGCTGTTGAGAGGATGGCTGGGTCAATTGTTATGTTCGACATTCTTGGGTTATTTGGTAGTCGAGAGGGACTAAATGGGTGCTTTGAGGCAATGAGGAGGGGAGTGGTATCTGATGTTTGTCCTTTCTGTCTTGTTTTCGAGGTGAAAGAGGGGGTTTCTTATATTCGTGCGGGGAGATACTCGTATGACTAGCAGTAAATATCAGAGGCTTGACGTTGCTTAATAACCTGCTTTATCAGCATATTTCATGTTGAATACTATTTTCCGAGGTATTCTCAACTCACAAACTCTCATCTCTTTGCGTCTAATACCCAAATTCCCCTTTCAAAGTTATCTATGCCTTCTTCTTCCAGTGACAGAATCCTGGTCGTGATACTTATTCGCGTCTTCCTGTCGTTCCTATTCGCTCAAATTTATCCAACTTAATTGGTGGGTACTTTATCATCTTTTACCAGATTTGCAAGAATGGAGAGAATATTAGGTTATCCGTGTCAGGATATTCGTATCTTTATCATTCAATCATTCCTAAAAGTCGTTCATAAATATCATATCTATCTCCAACCCCACCACCCACCAATCGAAGCCCCTTCCATTGGATAATCATCACAAAAGAGGCATTGTGACGCGATTGCTATAATCAACATTCTCCTTAACACTCTCAATCCTCTCATGACAAGTTCCAAAAATCCTATCCCAAAGCCTAGTCTGTTTCCCATAATTATGACTCTTCCGCCACCCATACCGATGATGCAAATCATGGTCCTCAATGACAAGTTCCGCGTCAAAAAGCTCCAACAGCCAATTTAACGTAGACGGCGCTCCGCCATGAAGCCTCAACCCACTGTGTCCAATGAATTCTGAAAAAGCAATATACTGGAAACAAACCCACCACTCATAGAATCCCATCGGTAGTCCCATCATCTTCATCGTGCCATAGGCCATGAGCGGGATGCCAGTTATATCCATAAACTCTTGTTCGTGGTCTGCGTATGCTGAGAGGAGGGGATTTGGGTGCTTTGTCAGATGGTGTCGACGATGATATTTCCACAGCGGGCCTGTTGAATGCATCAAGCGGTGATACCAGTAGAACCAGAAGTCGACAGTTATACTATAGATACCGATTTCTAGGGGTAGCCATTTCCATTCGAGAGACGAGGGCGTTTCGTTCGGTTGATAGGTAAGATATATCGCCATTATCATGCGGAAGGTCGAGGTGGAAATGAGTTCCCGGATGACTTTTCCAACGCCGACGTCAGGGATTTCATCTCGGGGGTGTTTGTCTCCGTCTAGGAATCCGTATCTCTGACCAAGCCTTCGCATGATATGCATTTCGTGGATGCCGTTTAGTTTAAATGCGGTTGAGTATAGTCCGAATGCGGCGAGGAGACCTAGGTTTTGTCCCGTATAGGCTGTGTAGGCGTGGTGAAGGGCGAGGGGTATCATGGCGTGAAGTATGATCCATAAATGAACAGTCCATTCGCGGATAGCGGGTATCTTTTCTTTCTTGGAAAATACTGGCACTTCGCCCTTCATATCGATGAGATGTAGACCGAGAAGTTCTATCATCCAGTGCCATGGACCCCACTGAGTTCGATCATGGCGCCAGGTAGATACCATGGAGTCAGCGGGATTCCGCTTGACTGTTGCGGTCTGGGTGGACATTTCGAGGCTGGTACTGATGTGTGAACATCCGCAGTGGGATTCATCGGGGGGTGAATTTAGTAGATTCTTATATAACTGGAGCGACCTAACTCCAACTTGAACCTTGATACCCAGACATGTGAGATCATGATCGCCATTCGAACGCCCAAGCAGGAAACCTCTACGCAAATTCTACGAGTACTAACGAATCAAAACATGTTATGGGGACGCAGGGACCGTTTTGAAATTGTTGGGGTTCGCTAAATCTCCTTAGCGCGGGGGATCTTCGACACTTGTGATTGAGGCACCTGCCGAGGCCCCCGGATAGTTCAGACGGAGTAGGCGGGGAAGGTCCACTTATTCCGGGGAAAGTAGTATAAGGACGAGCGGTCTTTATTTATTATCCGTTTGTCATAAGCCCGTGTCAATATTCTGAGTCGCAACTAGTACTGCACCTGAGTATCTCGATTGGGTTTTGGCAGCATATAGGCGTTATGTGTTTCGACGAATGTTCACTCCACTCTATTGAACTTTCAAAAACGAAATAGCAAGTCCTTTCATCAACTTTCTTGATTGAATGATGATCGCGAGAATACTACTTCGTGATTTTAACTCAAGTCGTTGGGACATACATACTAGTATCCTCAAAAAGCCTTTAGTTAGACACGCGAATGGGTATAATATGTGCGGAATTCACGTAACCATTTTAGTATGTTCCAAACAGCCATATTTACAACAAAGTCTCAATCCAATCACAAGCTCAGTCCAACTTCCGACGATCCGCTGCCTGGGTCTCATGCAAACTCAGCTTTGAGGCATTTCTCGCTGGCGACGTAGCTCTTGAAGGAGCCCGCGACGTCATTCTAGACTCCGCGATCCTGGAGTCCATCGTGCTCACAGCATGGAATGAAAAATCCAGCTCGCCCACCAAGCCTTTAACATGTCTATATCACGTAATTAGTAAACCGATACAAGACATGCCCTGGTAAAAGAACAACTTACTTCATGAGACGTTCCACATCTCCAACAATACATCTTGTGGAAATTTGCAATACTGCAAATGCAGCGAAACCTGGCTCAGCAATATGCTTGATGCTGAGAATATCTTTGTCCAGCGCCTCCAGCCGTTTCGAGAAACTGTATGGCCTGGGCGCTTTCAGGTATGGAGGAAGCGGCTGGCGATTTGTGATACTAGCTGAAAGGAGGCAAAGTAACGATGTGACCTCGTGAGTTGTAATCTTAGCGTGACCAACGACACGGCGAAAATCATGCATCCAGATAGAGTTTGATTCGTCGTCATCTTCATTGAGGCGCATAAGGGTGTCGGAGGCGTAGCCGAGTAAGCTGAGATAGCTTACAATACTAAAAGGAGGATATTAGTCAGTGTTTCCTTTTAGCTGTATATCGAGGTGCTGCATACTTTTCAACGCAGACAATGATGGAGTCATATTGTTTCTTCGGAAACCTGCCACCGATGGGCACCTCCCACCGGAGAAACTCGGAGTAAGTTCGGAGTCCGTTCAACATGAGCATCTGCTTTGAGAAAACCTTGTGCCGCGCCTTTTCCAATTTGCGGCCTGCGGAGGTTTTCAAGTTGAGGTCCCCCTCGTCTCCACGCATCCGAGCTGACAGTGTCTCATGGATAATGGAGTAATAATTCGCGAGGAGATATAGAGATGCCCCCAGGCTCTGCCTCAAAACCGAGTGTTCTGAGATGGGGTAAGGGAAGAAAGTCCACAGGAACGCAACTGCGATACCTCCACTGACGGTAGCCAGTCGATAGGGGGCGAGCAGATAAATAGGATAGAATGGCTGGCCATTAGATGTCGCGACTTGTTCGCCAACCTTGCGAACCTGAAGCTCGTAACCAATTATCATGGTAGTGGTTACGATACTGATGATACCAATGACGCGGAATCGGAACATTTTGATCGGAACGTAGAAAGCGCACGAGATGAAAATGAAAAGTAGCACAATAACACCTGGTGTCTTTTGGTCTGGAATATACCAGATCAGCAGACTAGCGACCATTGCGATTGTGGTTCCCGCGATACGGAGAATAAAGCTGAAGATACTCTGGCCTGAAGTGGGAGACATGCTCAGATTCACCATGATCATGGCCCAAACCAGTCTTTGCTGCGTGAAAAAGGTCTGCGTATCATGTAGAAACGCAACAATTGCGATGGTCATCGTGGCACACGCGACCCTGAAGCCATACTTGGATTCAAAAGAACGCAAGAACCAGGGGAAAACTCGAATTTTGTCCCCGAATTTCTCGAACAAGGTATCGGCTGGCAAATGCTCAGGATCTTTGCGATGCCTATACGCTTCACCGAGTTCCAGCATACTATTGTGAGTATGAACATCCCCCAGATTGTCATGTTCGTGGTTATCTTCAGCTTTTAAAAAGCTCTTTGCCCATTTCAATGAGCGTTTAGCTCCCGGTATAATCAGCCGAGTCCGCGATAGCTTTCCTTTAGCAGCCACTTCGTCGGCATACTCGACAAATTCGAGAACTGTTTTACCGGTCGAGTAAAGCAATTGCTCCATCTAAGATTCGATCAGTCTCGCAAATTCGGGGGCAGGTCGTGGACGAGGTGGCTTACGTATAAAAACAGATAAAGCTGTCGCCGACTTCGGTCTTGGTGCGATGCTGATGCGTCAAAAAAGTCACCCTTCAAACTTTCAACTGATGATGGGTGATCAAAAAAGTCAGGAGGCAGGTTGATGCCTTTATCTTCAGCCCAGGTCTCCAAGGCAATTCGCTTAGCACTTCGGAACTCGTTGAGTTTCGTTTGAAAATGTTGCGCGAATCCCGGTTCGCCAGGTGATGTGTTCTCTGCGTCCGCTTCCACATCCTTCGCTTCTGTATTTGACTCATTCGTCGACGGAGCCGCAACTGCCTTTTGCTTGGGCGGCTTTGAGAATTGAAAAACATAAGAAGCGTGTAGCAGTGCCTCATCAATCGTTTGGATCATCGTCTTGAAGGGATCGTGGACCGCCCTCATGATATCGTTCCAATCATGAACCACGCGCTCGCGAACATCCTCAGGAATTGGCTCCGCATTCGGTTCGATGGGTATATTCCACCGATTATAATCCGATAGTCTCTGGAAGATGTCCACGACAAAGCTAAGGCCAACAACAGGAATCATAATCTGGCGCAGGTGGCGAAAGATCAGCTGAATATCATCAGGGCCTAATTTTCCTAGGGCAATTTCACGCTTCGCGAAAGACAGATCTCCGTGAAGTTTAGCATGAACGTCGGTGATCTGTCGGATGGCACCGCGGATGGCCTCGGCCTCCGGACTATACACCTTTCCCTTGTCGTCAATCTTCTCTTGCGTGTCATCGTATGTCTCCGCTCGGCCAAACATGTCGTCTTTTTCTAAAGTCTCAAAATAGGTGGCATGGGCTCCCAATGCAGAACGAAGAGTCCCGATATAGGCCCCCATCTGTTTGAAGACAGCTTGGCGAGAGGTCATGGGCAAAATTAGCAGCGAAACGGCCATAGAGATGGCGAGGCCCGTAAGGAATGTTCGCAGAAGCCGTTCGACCAGGGCGATAGCGGCAGTCATTGAAGCCATCTCAGGCGCATAGACCGAAGAAATATTGGCGAAGATGGCGTATATGATAACAGGGAATTGGAACTGGGGGTACTTGGCACGAAAGGTGTGAACCAACCAAATCTGGAAGAACAACCAGACACCACTGACGGCAGATGCAGACGAGTTATAGGAGTCAGGAGCGCTGGCCGTGTGTTGGCGGGCTTTGACACTGGAATACATCGTCAATAGCGCGAAGCAGGCTGCAATGCAGACAGCTAGGACATCCAGGATCATCATCTGAATGAACTTGGCGCGTGGCATGATCGAGAATCCCAAAATGGAGACGATTGCGACGAGGTAGCCCAGCGTAGTATACTCGGTCGCGACATCGCTGGACTGGTAACTGTCGGAACAATGTTAGACTGGCAGGCTAAATATCTCTCAACTCGATGCTGGACCTACATAGAAACCGCGATTGTTGGCGCTATTCCACCTCTGCAATATATCAGGTTAGTAATCTCTTACTGTTTAAGGCGACTGGGCAACGAATGTGCGCGTTCTCACTTCAGCATCAATAGGATGGTCGGTTTGTCAAGGCCGGTCTTCTGCCATATTTTCTTGAGCCAGCCACCCAGGGTCTGTTTCTCCTTGGTAGTTGCCTGAGTGTCCCGTCGCGACAATGGGGGGGGAACTGGACGAGCCCGCCGATGATCGGGAGCTCGTGCGCGACAGCATATTGGTGGGCTGCGCGGATAGGCGCAGGGCTGCAGCCAGTAGGGATTGGATCTCTTAGGAACGGGCGCGGTCAGTCGACATGGCCGGATGAAAGGCGCTGCCGAGGAATGTGCTATGTGCGACCAAGTCAAGCCCAGTCAAGTCGCGAGGTGAAGCAGAGGATGTCGGGGAAGAAATGAGGGGGAAGGTTTGCGAAGTTAAAAGGGCGCAGGTGGAGACGGCAGCGACGCGGGGGGGTACCTTCCCGGCCACTCAATTTGTTAGGAACCCGAGGTACTGGTACCGGGATAACCATAACCATACTACAGGATATGAGGTACCTCAGCAATACTGTATAGATATCTATTTATGCGGGGGAGCGTGCTCTATACAACTAGTAGTCTACTACAGTCAGACTCTTATATCATGAGCTAGAGCTAGTGGCGCAGCCCTAGCGCGTCAGATTCCCAGCCACTCACGGAATTTCCAGAACTTGGAATGCAAAGTCTTAGTGGTTGAGATTTCTACCGAATATATATTTTTTTGCATATATTATCCACTGGACTATCTTGTAAACAATGAAATGTGGTTCTCCATAGTCAAAGCTTCGTTTGGACGTCCAAAGCAGCACGCACAAGCCTCACCGCAGCCTCGGCACATCCATATGATGATTGATATCCTGCACCCCCAGCGCCATAATTGTGTACAACCCATAGATCACCCACTTTCTCCTTTTCTATTCGCGTGCCTCCTTCTCGAACTGGCCTCAATCCGACGCCATATCGAACCACATCAAGAGCCTCAATCCCCTTGCCTCCTGTTAACTCCGGACAAGCTTGGACGGCACGCTTCATGATCCGTACTGCGAGATTGGGATCTGGTTGAGACTCCCAATTACCCTTCTGGTACGATCCACCGATGACTGTACCCCCGCCAGCAGCTCTGGCCATGATATAGCATGCCTCCTCGTCCCCGTCATCCGTTCCGGAAAGGTTAACCATTTTCCCCACTTCGTTGCGAACAACCACAATTTGTCCACGAGCTGCGACCACAGATTTATCTTCTACCCCGCCAAGCTTGGAAGCCATTAGACCCGTGCAATTAATCACAAGGTCAACACTACCTGCTGGGTGAATATTGAGGGAAGAAGCCTCCGAGATGTGCCGAAAGACGGCTCTTTTGAAAATAACCTTGTTTTCAAGGCATTTTGAAACAAGCCATGGGAGGTAAATGGCTGTATTTATACAGACTGAAGTAAAGTTGATTGCCGAATCAATTCCTGGGCCAAGTTCTTCTTTCGAGAGAGTGCGAAACTATTTCAATCGGTTTTGATCAGTGCTATATCGCCTTTATAGCTGTCGGCCATATATCTCTTACATTTGGAACGACATCTTTGAACCATGGTGATGATGAAAGCAATTCAGAGAACCAGTCCGCCGTGGCAGAGCCAACATCCTTAGACCGATTCCTTATTTCGCAATCTTCAACTGTGTTAGTAAAGAGACAAGTGTGAATCTCGATAAGCGAATAACTCAATCCCACCTTGAAAATGAATTCCTGATTCTGGGCAATTGAGTGCGAGTTTATTGAATACCTCCCACGTTTTTCTATCCCACTCTGCAGCATCAGTGCCACGCAAAGAGACACTAATTGGATATAATTTGTTAGATTTGCGGAAACACTGCCCCTGGTTAACTTGATAACTCACGGCATGTAGTTGGCCCCTGCCCATGGAGAGGCGTATTCGATGTCATAGTCACCTGGCATGTGTTTGGCGGCCACAACGATTCTGTAACCAGGAATCTTCGACAGCAGAAGTGCAGTTGTAAGACCTGCGACACCGGCCCTTTTTTCAATTAGCCCTTGTAAATATATTTCTAAAATGATGAACAAATGAACAAACATGCGTTATCTTACCCGATCACCACAACGTTCTTCTCGGCCATTGTCTTAGGAAACCAATCGCACGTTGACCCGAAATCACGAAGATTCCTGAAATGAAATCTGAATTGATTGAAATTATTTATTTCAGGCAATATATCCTTCTTTTCAGCTTAAATACTCATAGACACCGGTGACGTTGAATTGTCTGGCGCTCTTGGCAAGTGGTACCCCCTGCATCAATCTATTTGGGGAAAATTGCTTCAGCACCAAAAGAAAACAAATAGGCGTGAATGTCTCCATTCTATTACCAAATTCGATCGACATATGTGCCGCTAGGTCGAGATAGGGCAACTAAGCTACCAGGTTGAGTCAGATGACTAAAAACTTTAGATTGCCATTTTTGGAAGGTGAGTTTGTTAACACGTGGATGCCTCAGGCACCGGGAATCCATGCTAGGATGCCTTGCCAAAGAGCGGCACAGGAACTGAAAAGCTGTAAGCCGTGCTGAGCCAAGGATTGGTTAAGTGACGGAGGTCAAAAGTGTTCGGGAATGCCATATATCACGGCCTTGCCGTTGGAAACGTGTTGGTAACGTCATGAGCTGGTTGTAAGTTGGTCGGCCAGGTTCATCTTGGTGCAGACCGGCCTGTAACGTTGTGGCTACGTTGTGGCTACGTTGTGGCCGCCTTAATGTGAAGTTGATCAACAACGTTATGCTAATGTTAGGCCAACGTTATGCTTAATTCGATGGGATACAGTGAGGAGTTTTTACATAGTTGTCAAGATTGAAGACGGTGTGGGACTTGTTGAAAACCTATTTAATTCGTGGTATTAAGGTGCGCAGACTAAACGAAAACCGACCAGCAACCATCATTTAACAACCAGAACCTAGTAACTCCCTCGAATTTCTACCGAAAGCCTTGATCTCGAACTCCCTGAGGTCCGAGGCATCCTACACGATATTCAACCCAGTCACGAACTGTCTGTAAATCATATCAAATAATAGGAATCTTGGTTTGATTATTGCGCGCGCAAGTACCTCAGCAACGAGCTGAAAACATGCACAATCTCAGAGTTATTTAAATTTCGAGGATAGATCAACTATTTAATTCCATCTTTCCAGTTTTCTGCGAGCTCACACTTCCAGTCTCGAGATTCGTACCTTCTATAGTCGAATCTTCGCCGTGTAGATTTGCCATGCGTCGCATGTTCAACAGATTATAATCCACATTCGGCCCCTTGAAAGTATTGCGCTTGTTGAGAAACCATAAAACAATGACAAAACTAACGAGGCCCACTGTGACGACCGAGACATAGCTCATATTTTGCGGCGTCACTGGCATCGAAGTTGGGAAGCAATATAGAATATCCAGAAAGAGGACCCATACAACTGCAATTGCATTTAAAGGGGCCCCAAATATGCCGAGATTGAAATAGCGCTCTGGCAATACTTGATTACGGCCACGTAGGAGTACAATAGCTTGGGGTATAATGCATGAGGTCTGCTGGAAAACAATGGCAGCGTTGACCATGGATGAGAATGCAGTCGTAGATCCAATAAAGATAACTCCATAAATCTTTTCTTGTTAGCAGAGTATTTATAGCTCAAGGGCAACATACTTACAGTGACACATGTACCGGAGAGAAGTGCGGCATTTGACGGCATCTGGAATTTACGGTGAACTCGCATCCAGACTTTGCCAAATGGAATCGCTCCATCCCGGGATACAGCCCAAAGTGTGCGAGAACACGTAGTAACTGAGGAATTGAATAATTAGCAAATTTGGAGTTTTGGGAATTTCTAACAATAATCATACCATTGGCAACAAGGCATCCAAAAATGCAAAATGCAAAGGTACTCAACAAAACTGAAGCTGCAACTGTAGAGTTCGTCCCTTGGAAATAAATATCGATCAAAGGTAAACCGGTAACCGAGTTAAGGACAGAAGTAAGATCATGCACTGAGTACATCAGTGCACAAGCAAATGGAAAAGCAGTAACAAGACCCACGATAAGGGGAAATACAATCACCATGGGTACATTTCTAGACGGGTTGTGGATTTCTTCGCATAGATGAGCCCCGCAGTCGCTCCCAAGGAAAGCAAATACTGCGTTACTAACTGCAAGCATGAAACCGAAGCCATCGCTTTTCCATCCACTGTGGGTACTTGTGTCTGCGAAAATAGAAGATAACGGTGCATGATTTTGTCGGCTAACGATGAAGAGAGTAATGGTTGTCCCTGCCAAAGTGAAAACTGAAAGAGTAGATATCAGCTCGTTGAATAGAGGCAGAAGCCTAGAAGCCAGTATGTTTATCGCGATAGCCAGCCAAATAATGGCAACGTAGATCAAATATTGATGCCAGTGTTGAAAGGAGTAGCTGGGGTACCAAATCAATACGATATCCAAAACCATCCCGGAGACAAAATTGGCTACTGATCCAGCTCCAAGCCACCAGCCAATTATGCTCATCCACGCGTTCCTACACTCTCAGTTAGTAATTCAAGTGTAGGATCTTGATTCACGAGACTTACAGGTATGACGCAAATGCTTTCCAGTTCTCACTTGCTACCATGAAAGCCCAGTAATACTGAGCACCAGCCACAGGATATGCTGATGCTAGCTCGGCCATTCCGAGCGATACAATAGTCGTCATTATTCCAGCGATTGGAAGAGACCATAGGGTTCCAGCATAAGATCCTTCCTGGAGAGCAATACCAACAGACGAGCCGGTCCCCAACCAGGTGCAAGTGAGAGTGAATGATAATGCACCCAGGGACCATATCGAGAATTGACGCGGCATCTCACGCCGGTATCCGACAGACTCCAATTCAAGATCATCGATATCTGTTCTGCGTACTGCATGATCATGTTGAGTGCCTGAGATGGCCATTTCGCAATTTGGCTCTTTAGCTGAATCACGGTGGTAACAATGAAGATGATAGTCTGTCACCCTTATCATGGGATTTATATGTGAATAAAGCGTAGAATATACTCGGGTGGTATGCTATAAGGCGTTGATGTCTTCTGGGTGTTGCCTTCATATTTACCCCTTCTAGACGTCATATGCTTGCAGATGAGCACCCCTTTTTGTCACTGGCCATCGTAAACTGCAAAATAGCAAACGCCATATCTTCAAGATCAGTACAGAGGGCGATAACTCAATTGATATATTACCAGAAGAGGATATTTAACGACGTTGGCGTTGTGGGGAATCCGTGGTCTGGGGATCTTTTGACGACAATAATTCGAGTCTATCTCGGCTATGACAGATCCAGAGAAAGAACTTATCGTCAATTTACCACGCGAAAATTGGCTTATCTGCCGCTAATTATCGCAGTCTTTTTGTGTGGTGAAAAGTATGGAACGCTAGGCAGAGCGGGGTCGAACGGTTCTTATTTAGCCAAAGGGGGAAGGTGAGAGCACATATGGTTCATTATTGGAATAGGGTCATCCCAAACCTGCAGGTATCGTTTACATGAAAATTAGTTGCACACTCTAGTCTCCATGTAGAAATATTAGATCATTTAGGCAAAAAGTTGGAAGGGCTACATGTGAAAAGCCGGGTCTCGCCGAGACATGTCATACTTGCAGTGCTACCAAATGCTATTTAACAGTAGACATTTATTCTCATTGTTCACAGTACAAATTTACTGTCTCACATAAGCCATATATCAACTGAACACCTCTTTGTCTCTACGAAATCCTTCCCACCGATTGTTTCCCAGGATGACTTCCATGAACAAGGTGTTCAGCGCCTACGCTGCACGAAATGCTTCCCTCGAGTCGAGCAGCAACCCGTTCGCCAAGGGTATTGCCTGGGTCGAGGGCCAGCTGGTACCTTTTGACGAGGCGCGCATTCCACTGAGAGACCAAGGATTCATGCATGGAGACCTTACTTATGATGTGCCTTCAATCTGGGACGGTCGCTTTTTCCGCCTCGATGACCACCTTGCTCGACTCGAAGCCAGTTGTGATAAAATGCGGATGAAGTTACCTCTCTCAGAAGATATCAAATCCACGCTTGAGGGAATGGTCGCCAAAAGTGGAATCAAGGATGCATTTGTCGAGTTGATCGTCACTCGTGGTCTTGTCGGTGTTCGTGGATCCCAAGCCGAGGACCTTACGAAGCAGAATCTATACATGTTTATCCTGCCTTATGTCTGGGTTATGGAGCCTCAGGTGCAGTACAATGGAGGCAGTGCTATTATCGCTCGTACTGTGCGCAGAACTCCGGTTGGTAGTTTCGATCCAACCATCAAGAACCTCCAATGGGGCGATTTGACCCGGGGATTGTTCGAGGCCTCAGACCGTGGTGCAGACTACCCCTTCCTCACGGATGGAGATGGGCACCTGACCGAAGGTTCCGGTTTCAACATCGTTCTTGTCAAGAACGGCGTTTTGTACACTCCCCAACGTGGAGTTCTGGAAGGCGTGACACGAAAGAGTGTGATTGATGTTGCGAAAGCCAACGGTATTGAGGTTCGCGTCGAATTTGTGCCTACTGAGTCTGTCTACCAATGTGATGAGCTTTTTATGTGCACGACTGCCGGTGGAATTATGCCGATCACCTCCCTGGACGGCAAGCCGGTTGCCAACGGCCAAGTTGGCCCTCTGACCAAGCGCATCTGGGATGGATATTGGGCAATGCATTATGACCCGGCTTATAGCTACGCACTGAACTATACCGATAATGGCGGAGCACCGAGACTATAGTATCAACCCGAAACTGGAACAAAATTATTTGGAGATGTTGTTATTTACCTTGAATGAACCAGAATTTGGTCCTTGGTTTATCTCCACTTTTATGCCCAATCCTGAAATGGAAATTCATGTTCTATGGTCGAGAATCCATTACTGAGAATATAAAGATCGCATTGAAGCGTAGTTAGATTCCAACATGAAGAATATTAGACAAGATAATTTCAACCGAGCAGGATTTGAGGCCGGATCGGAAGCTTTGACCCTGAGCATCTCTTGTCAATGACGGTTCCCCACCATATGCCCTGAGAATCTTCTTTGTCTGTTCGCTCCCAAATCTCCTCACAGAAGTCAGAAGCATCGATGAACATCTTAGAACCACATAGCTTAGTCCACCGCAAACAATAATCTCTCACAAAATCTCGATCTTCTTCTCGTCTGATCTCTGCACCAGCGAGAAACAAAGGCAAGAGAATTTGTTTCTGAAAGTTGTTCTCTCTTCGTATACATCTCGCATGTTCCATAATACTGCGAGCAATGTATTTCGCATTTGGAGGTGCGGGCTCTCCCCGAGTCCAGCGGAATACCCTTTCGATATAAATCAGAAGAGCATTTCGCCAAGCCTCGGTGCAGTGATAGCGATCTCGAAGTAAATCAAGCGCTTCCTCGTCAAAGTCCGCGTGAAACGTGGGATACGGTGACGTGATACTGCATAAAGTCCATTTGACTTCATCTACTGCGCTGATGTCGAAGTGAAGATTCTCCTTTTCCAGCGCAAGTTTGTGTTGTTGTGCCAGGCTTGCGATTTTGGCCATTATGACCACGAATTCTTCAAGGCAGCCGGTCAACTCCAAATAGCTCCACCCATCAGATTGTCCATGACAAAGAATGCATTCGAGATATGATAAAGGCAATACGAGTTCTTCGCGTGCCAGCAAAGCTATTGTAGCATCGTACCTTCATCATTTTAGCTCATTCTTCCTGATATTTTATGTACTCGACTTACCATATGAACATGGCAAGTTCGGCTCTCAGCTTAGAATTGTTGGGAATGAGCATCGATCCGCCCCCACAACTTTCTATTATGCTTCGAACACCTTGAAGGTGAATATGGTAGAGCCCTAGAGCGGATTGAGCAGACTATATTTCGTAACAATGTAAGCGCAAGTATTTTTCGTGGCTTTTTTTATCAGGTAACTCACATCCAAGTACATCAGAAGGAGCGCTGTGTCCAGGAATGTAACCGCTTTGTCTTGCCAGATGGGACTGCCGAGTGCCATCGAATAAAGCCCTAGAGACTCTGACCGGTGGGAATCAACTAACATGATACTATCACTGCTTTCATTGTGGCGATTTAGATGAAATAGTGAAGTGGCCATAATGGCGTGGAGGAGATGCTGTGACACCATATAGGTCCGATCGGAAACTCGGAAAGGATTTAAGAAACAATCCACAGTTAGTGGAATGGCGCAGATATACCGATCATCTAAATGACTTATTAGTTACTGGCAGGGGTTGTATAGATACTGGTCCTGGATGGATCTACTTACAGCAAGATAGAATGTCGTGATAACATTGATCTGAGCTGAAGGATTGCACTTTCGCGGGTATCGATATTTGAGAGTCTGGAAAAATTGGTCAGTGATCATAGATACAGATTGGGAGATCTAGGAATCTTACAATTATTACTAGCACTGGCTTCCTCGTTGGTATCTTCTGCTGAGTAGATTCTTGGGGCGTCAAAAGCCTCATAATCTAAACATGTCTGGTTATCGTTTGACGAGAATATTTTAGGTAATTCATTCAAGGTGTTCACTAGAGATATGGTCAGCAAGATTGTAAAAAAGCGAGAGAGTTAGATTTTCCTACCGCAATCATCATGTTCACCTGCGATGACTTCATTGGCATTGGGGGAGGGGGATCTCAGTAATGATAACGAAACAGTCGAAACGCCTGGTGGCTCGAAAGTGAGTTGGAAGTCGGGTTCCTCTTCGCTTCGCTTTGTCGTGCCGCTGTTTGACGGTACGGATTTCGGTTTTGGGGTGTTCTTTGATTTGCGAGTCGATTTATCGGTCGAATTGCCCTCCACGAACCGGAAATGGCGATCTCCCGTGGCTTTTGAAGTCTTTCCTCTCCATCGCCGCTTCTTGCTAACATTTTGATCTTGAAAGTCAAATGACGCAGTGACAGCGGTTGGTGCTGGGTAATTGAAGCCCGCCAGGTTACCTTTCGACGCGACACCAAGCTGCCAGCATAGATCCATTTTGTAGCCTCTGCAGGCTGTGCCATTGCTGATACAGGTTAAACATCTTGGGCGGGCACGATCACACTGAAGGTCTGACTGACGGCAGTCCTGGCAAGGAGACTTTGCGCGTCCCAGACTATTTGTTCTCCGGGTATGCGTCGATGACTGCAGCATACTCATCATAGCAATTTGCCGCAGGTCAAATGTTGAGATGTTGAAGAGGTGAGAACTTAATTTGCGGGGTAGCTCCGGGGGTCCGGGGGTATTTAATAAATATTCTCGGTGGAAGCCCGAGAATGGTCGAACCACGCTTTGATAGGGCAGGGCATTCTTTTCTTATATCTACTAGTATATCAAGCGACCTCAGTCTAGTCTAAATATAAGCACCGATTTGCAAATTCTCTCCTGGTAGCGAAAATACCATGGGCCATACTATAAGGCGTTGCTTTGCCTCTTTTTCTGCATGTTGAATGAATGATTTGAGTATTCTCAAATCAATCCTAGTGATAGGAAACTTGAGATTACAATTCTACAAATTACTCATCGCCTTTAATAGCCCAGGTTCAGCCAAGACCGGGTCGAAGATTGCGAGTCGGCCTCGAAAATATAGAGAAATGGATACATACTGGTACTAGTAGAATAGTTATAGATAAAAGTTCGCCTCTCGCCTCTCGCCTCTCAGCTCTTTGTTTTGAGACCAAATGATTTAAATGTCACCGCGAGCTTGTCAAACTCGTGTCCCAATTCACTCTCCCGTGTTGGTTTTGCAGCATATATCCCCACATGCATATATTCCGGAGTATTTTCGTTGAATGCCCAAGTAATTTGACGAAGGGGTCTCCGCGATGCTCCTTCGTGCACATAAACCCACGCGTCCGTTCCATCTCGAACAATCTCTACTGTTGCAGTCTTGTGGTCAGAAGCATCTAACATCGGGCTCAGACTCCAATCAGAGAGACTCGCAGTGGCAACAACGCCAAGGTAGGGTGCGCCATCGGTATACTCGATCCCTGCTTTGATCCATTGAAGTGGAGTATCATCGCGAGGGAAAGTAATTGCAATTCCTCCTTGGTCGAAAAGTGTCTTCCAGTCGGCTTGCACAGTAACAGAAATACTCTGGAAGTCGGAAGACTTCAATTGGGTGTAGAGGTAGGGTGCCGTGAAGTTATTTTTATTCAAGGTCGGTCTCCAAATATCGGTATCTGGAGGCGAATATATAGTCACATCTTGTCCGACGGGAGTTATAGCAGCAGAGTCGTAATTCAGCCAGTGCCAACAACTGGCTTCTGAAAAAGTCTCTACGGCCATGGTCAAAATTGCCAAGGAGAAGTTTCAAGTCTGAGCGTGAACCCAGGATCTTTGGGGTCCCTTCAAGTCTTTTAAAGACATTCAGGTGCTGGAAACGTGATTATCACTCGTGTGAATAGCGCATCGCCCTGGGCATACAAATACTTGGCGAGGCACAGGCGCAAGTCGTTGTCGAATGGAGGTCATTGAAATACTCCCCACTTCCCCACTAAATACTTGGCTCACCTTCCAAATTGAGTAAAATTAGTTCATTTTACCCCTCGTGGGGTCCGTGAAGACAGACTGTAACCTCAAGAATCTGTCTATCTCCAGTCACTCGGGTTTTTGTCGTCGGTCCCTTGAGTGGACCAACTAAATCGCATGTCTTCCGAATGAAGATCGGCTATTGAGATAACCATCTCCATGACAGGGGAAGACGAGAAGGCTAGATTGAAGAGTTAGGTATTTTACGAATGGGCGTAATCTCTGATGAAAATATGTGGATTTATTCTGTATTTTTTACATATGCATAGATAACACAAATTGATAACATGCCTATGCCACCCAACGCCTTCATATGCCTGGTTGACCTCTCAGGGCTCGTACAATTCCAATACCAGCAAAATGTGCAATATGAGTTTTAATCTTTCTTCGTGCCAGTCCTCTCAGTCGGTGAAGGTGGCGGCGATTGTGTCGCTTGTTTCAACTGAGCCTGTGATTTTTTGTGCTTCTCACGCTTTTCCTTGAGGTAGGTCCAGCTTTTGCCCAGACCAGCAGTCAATGGTCCCTTGATGGTCTGAACAGTGCTTGGCCAACGAATGGTTTTCATGATAGATGCGGAAACCTCTTGCTGGAGGCTCTCATCACTGGCAATCCGGCGCTCGAAGGGGCCACCCTGGGGGCGTCGCACAATATCCTGGCTGTCATTATTCTCTGCCATCATCTTGTCGAAATCAGCCCGCGGGATAGCGTAGCGTGATTGGTACTGGAAGTAGACTTTGTCGCGGAACGATTCCGGTAGTCGGCGAACCATGTTTCCCCGCTTGACCGGGTCCATGTCCTGCGCCATTGACAAGATCGCATCCGGATCATCGATCCAATCATTCTGGCTACAGCGAGGATCGCTGAAATTGACGTTGGGAAGATTTTCGATGAGCGGCGCATACAATCGGCGGAAGTGGGCCATCTGTCCAGAGACAATGTTTCGCACCTTGCCGGGGTCTTCCGCAGGAGAGAACCATGCGGAGATCACCCATGTAGCTGATACCAGCGATGGTGCTATAAAGTTCAAATTCGCTGAAGCGTTCTGGAAGGAGTAATAGCGCCACACGCAGAGCAGACAGCAGGTTCATCTGGTTCGCCAATCGGACTTTGGGGTGATCCCGAAGGATCTTGACTGGCTTTTGCAATCGGCCCGCAAGATATAGGGTGTTCCATTGTGTAAGATCAGTGCAAAGGGTGTCCAAGTTTACCACTCCGTATTTAATCAACGTTCCATTTACCGTGACGTGAGTATTGAAATATACGCCTGCTCCGAACCGATCTTGTACCTGCGAAACCATATACGATCCGAGAGAGCCCAGTCCGGAGTAATGGTCGCGATGCTGACCAAGGTTCAAAGAATGCCAATGTTGGGAATATGAAACTCCGAAGATGAAATCAATCATCTTACCCGAGCCTTGTTGCATGTTTTTAATGGCGGCGGGCGCCGATGGGTGTGTAGAAGCGGAACTGGCAGCCCCCGTCTGGGTAAATACACCCGATCCATATGCGAAAGCGTATCGAATTGGGGCCCGGAATTGCCAAAGAATCTGTCGCAAAGCTTCCTTGAATTCTTGGTTTATAAGCATATGTTGGTTGACACCGAAATCCTTCGATGGGAGTTCCGAGAAGTTTGAGATGGCTAGGTTTGGATTGTGATCCCAGTCGGCGACATCGCTCAACGACGGGGAAGTTGAGAAGGGCTGAGAGGAGGTAGATAGGCCGGATGGGACATTGTATAGTAAATTTGATTTTGAAAGAGTGGATTGTGAAGATCGGTAGGAAGGAGAGTCTGAGGTCGGGCGAGAATCAAGGGAAATAAAGCGGACTGAAGCAGGGAGCCATGAAAGAGTAGAAAGGCGAGCTCGAGACCGTAAAATGGCGCTAAGGCCGGTACTCTGAGGAACAACCATCTAGAAGCAGAAGTTATCGTCAGCATGAACTTGATCCCGGATGTTGAGTGCCGAGACTCGGGAACTCACAGTCGCGTGGTTGCGAATCGGCGGAGCGGAGAGGGTTTCAAGGGAGCGGAGCACGCAGCTCAAGTAAATAAAATCAAGGACACCAACTCCTGCAGCATAAGTAACACTCTGCAGGGATCAATTGGCGGGGGAGAAGGAGGGAATAGGATAGGATGTCCCACGTAAAGACAGTCGGTTCGGACAACATTCGGGTCTGACGTCGCCCGGAAGGCTTAGTCACTCGGGTAGTCACGTGAATGCGCGTGCCGCATAACAACCAACCGGAGGTAAAGTAAACAGTCCAAACAAGGTCCGCATCAACAACGACACGCTCGACAACCACAACACCTACGGTCGGTTTTTGACCAGGATTTTGGCATTTGAAGTGCCCGGAGGTCTATATTCCTACCATGGGCACCGAAATGGACACCTTTTCGGCCCGTCTGGCCAGTTTCGACATTGTTCTCCGGCCAGACAAGCGGAGATCTTCAAATAGCAAAGGCCCCAATGCGATCGCATGGCCTCACGAAAGCCCATCAGCTGAAGAGGTACGTTCTGCTCGCTTTGAAGCAAATATCGCATCGAGTTTCTAACATTATTCTGCTCTAGTTGGCGCAAGCAGGCTTCTACTACAAACCCTACGAAAGCAATCCCGATAACACAACATGTTTCCACTGTCACCGCGCATTGGATGGCTGGGAAGAAGAGGACAACCCTATCACTGAACATCTCAAACACGCCCCGGACTGCGGTTGGGCTGTCATGATGGACATCCAACAGCGTAGTTCCAACCCCAAGAAAATCGAGGATCCAATGAGTGAGCGGATCATCCAGGCGCGTGCGGCGACATTTGGAACTTCATGGCCACACGATGGAAAGAAAGGATGGGTGTGCCAATCGGAAAAGGTAGGAAAATGCTCCAATCTCCCCTCGGGATCACTGGATATGACACTCACATCTTGACCTAGATGGTTGAAAGCGGTTGGTATTTCTGCCCGAATGAAGACAGCGACGATCTCGCCAGCTGCGCCTACTGCAAACTGTCACTCGATGGTTGGGAGCCCAAAGATGATCCTTAGTACGTGGCTCCTTCGCCTTTTCCTAGTATCTCGTGCAACTAGCTAACAGTATCTATCCCTAGTGATGAACATTTCCGCCGCTCTTCCTACTGTTCTTTCTTTGTCTTCGCACAGCCTACTCAAAAGGGCAAGGGATCTCGCACCAAGAAGTCCCGTACTTCCAAGGCTTCTTCACGCCTCTCAACTCAATCTGTCGCAACTACTACCTCTGAAGCCCCCGAATTGGATACGGACATGGATATGGACGACGAAATAGATCAAAGCATCATGTCTCAGACTACAACCAAGGCGAAAGGAGCCAAGAGAGGACCCAAGGGCAAAGGCAAGGCCGCGAAAGTGAAGAAGCAGGATGACGAGGTGGACGTCCAACTAGATGTCAATGACGTTGATGATGTACAACCTGAACCCGAAGACGAGCCCGAGCCGCCAAAGGCAAAGCGTGGGGGACGCGGCAAGAAACGAGTGAGTGAGGATATCGACAACGACGAGCCCGAGCCAGTCGCTATCCAGGAGCGAGAACAGTCACCAGCCGCAGAGCCTCCCTCAAAACGCCGAGCGACGGGCACACGAGGGAGCAGTGTTTCTCGGTCGTACGATTATGAATCTCGCGATCATGAAATGCAAGATGCAGAGTCGGTCGATGAAGCAGCCCCAAAAAAGAGGGGCCGCAAACCAAAGAAGGCTACATCAAAGAGCCGGAAGGCTTCTGATGTATCTACTTCATCTAAAGTTCCAACAAAGGAGCGTCTTCCACGTGACTCGGAATTAGACGCGGCTATCCAGGCCGGCCTTGATGCTGATGCTGACGAGCCTGCGGCGCAGGAGCCCGAAATCGTGGAAGAGCTGGAGCCCGAGCAGGAGAATGAACCAGAGCAAGCCCCGCGTGTCCTGAAGAAATCCAAGTCCACAAAGAAATCGAAGGCTACTGAAAAGGCATTGGAGCCCGAAGAAATGGACGCTCAAATAGAGGAATACGAGGAGCAAGTCGGAGACCGCGCAGGAGCTGATATTTTCGAGATAGAGGAGGCTGAGGAGCCTGCTCCAAAGACAAAATCCAGCAAGTCTTCAAAGAAAGAGAAAGGGAGCAAGAAGAGCAAAAAGGAGGAAGGCACTAAGGCTGAGAAGAAAGCATCACAAAGGTCTGTAGAGCCTACGCCAATTGATGATGACATGTCAGAGCACGAATATCACGACTCCTTGGTTTCTGTTGAAGCCGACCACCAGAATCCTGAGCCCGAAGCAGATGCTGTATCGGAGGCCGACGAGAAGCCAGTGAAGAAGAAGTCCTCGAAAACAAAGGATCAGAAACCAAAAAAATCCAAGAAATCCAAGAAGGAGCCTTCTCCCACCCCCGACCCTGTTGTTGAGCCCGAGCCCGAGCCAGAATCAGAGTTCGAAGCCGAAGCTGAAGCTGAACTCGTGTCAGAGCCCGAACCAATTTACGAACAACAAGATGCCCGGTCCCCTTCCATGTCCATGGATGAATTCGGAACCCCAGGTGACATCCCGGACCAGGTTGAGATGGTTCCATCTCCTCAGCCACCTTCCTCAGAGCTACGAAAAGAAAGGACCCCGGTCCCTCCGAAAACGACAAAACGATTCAGTGACATTCCTCAAGAAGAGCACCTCGCCGAGTCATTCAGCGAATCTCAAAGGTCCCGTGGCAGCGGGAAACAAGAGACCAAGCCCCAGAGGATATCCAAATCCTCAAACAGCGCGGTATCACCTCTACCACCTCCTCACCAAAGTACTCCATCGCTGTCACCGCAATCATCTGACGCTGAGAATCGACCACCATCATCTCGGCCCGCTCTATCCTCCACGCCGAGACAACAAACAATGCAAGCACCACTAGCGGCTGCCACTCCCTCGCCTTCAAAACGCAATCCGAATGCAGGATTCCCTGCCTCAGCTCACCCTTGGACTCCTGTGGATATCGACGAACTTCTATATGGAGAAGCTAGTGACAAGGAGAATGCCGATTTGTCGAGTATCTTCAAGGATATAAAGGCTGGTCTGACTAGCCCCGAGAAGAAAATGAGCGTTGAGCAGTGGATTCTATGGAATGCGAAGAACGGCGAGGAGCGTCTCAAGAGAGAATGTGAACGGCTGGTCAGTCAATTCGAGAAAGAGGGCGGTCGTGCCATGCAGCGGCTCGAGGCTATTGAGTGCATGGATTGAATGATCATCATGTGGTGTTTTGTATTCTTTATTTTTCGACATTCATTTCATGATTCCTAGTTTACTTTTGCTTGGCGTCTGGCGTCTTACTGGAAAGACTCATGAATTTGAATATTTACCCATTCTTTGGTGTCTAATGCCAATGCAGTTTCATGCCACCAATTTCCCATTGTACAAAGATAGAAAGAAGTTTCCAAACGCCCATGGGTATCATAAGAAGAACCGCGTATCCCTCTTTCGCCTCTCGCTATATTATAAAAATGCCCCTCAGGCGATGATACCCAGTCGCCCTTCCCAGTTATCCTCTTCCTTCACACCACCTTTCCTGCGCTTCTCGTTCCTCTTGCGCCTCTTCTCCTCCCGTTCCTTGGCATCCTGCTCTTCCCGATCCCTCAGCCTCTCCCCAAGATCTAGTTGCCATGCCTTGCGCTCCTCCTCATCCCGGTCCCGCTTCCGCTTCGCCAACATGCGCAACCTCATCCGTACCTCCTTAACTCCGGCCCGAACAACCTCGCCACTCTGACCCGTCGCAATCAAATGCTGCTTGCTATTCAGATGCTCCACAAACTGAATATTGTCCTTGAAGGTCAGGTCGCAGTCCTGGCAGTAGAATCCTGCACCTTTGCCCTTCTTGCCCATGGACGCGCCCGCAGGCACGATGGTCGTCTTGCCAACCTGTGAAGAGACATTGAGTCGCTCTTTGCGCGCTGTCGTCGCCTCAAGTGAATCGTAGTCGACCGGTGCGTGGTATTTCTTGCCGAGGAGTTTGGCTTCGTAGCGGGCTTTGCCTTCTGCTTTGCGTTTCGCTTCATCATCCGCGGCCTTTTTGGCGTATTCTTCGCGGTCCCAGCTTTTGGCGGAGACGACGTCGGAGGAGCGGCCTCCTGGTGGGTTTGATTGAGACATGATGGGAGTATTGTGGCAGTTGGTCAAGATATGATCGTTGATGAAGTTGATCGAGGTCATTGGCAGCTTTGGATGGGTCGAGATCTGATTGGTCGGGCTGGGCACACCGCCTGCCACTTTCTTTTCTACAAAGAAAAGACTGGAGTAGATCACTGAAACCACTTTTATATTTAATTCAATTCAATTTGATTTGAATCTGACTATGTCACTATATTCAAGCATCACTAGTCGGTATTAATCAATAGGAAGTATGGAGTTGGGAGATCTACTTGTTTATCTAGGCCTTTCGAATCGTCACATCTGCAAACTTGAATGTATGCAGCACTTTATTTCCCACCAGACCAAGCAATATCGGTCATGAGAAGTATGCCTGGCATTAGGTCATTTCCATTTGGCAGCTTGAAAGCCGATGATTTTTATGGTGAAATAACAAACCACGAGCACAGCCCATTACAGGTCTCGAATCTCAACTACCTTCTACCGCAGATTAACTCTTAGCGCATCGCGGATGGGAGGCGTTGGATCGGGGTCTTTCCAAATGCTTCCATGTGAATTTCTGCACTCCGGGTTGTGACATCCTCTGATGCTTCGATTGGGGTGAGGTAGGGGCTGGACATGGTGGAAGATAGTGGATGGTGCGGCAACTGAGAAGACTAAATCAAAGTGTCATGGCTCGGTGCAATGAAGGTAATCCACAAGGTAGTAGCATTCAAACAAAATAACAAGTATGGAGCAAGAAGGAGAGAAGGGAAAAACGATAAAAGGAAGATTCTCAATACTCCCGCTGCCTAGTCCAGTCGTGCGTAGTTGCCCTCTTTCCAGGTACGCAACGAACGAAATCGCCAACAACGAGATCGATATGGATGATGAACGACTGAAGGAAAATTTGGAAGATAGGAGTACGGACCAGTAACCATTACTAAAGGAATAGCATCGTAGTAGTTCTCTATTCGAGGGAAAGTGATCTACTATGCAACATCAAGTCACTTCGAAGATGACGTCAAATGATCCGACATCTGTTCAAATCAGAAGTACTCTCAAAGTCCTCACCTGATGGTCTAGCGGCAAAGCCGCCTGACCAGAAGCTCCCCTCCCCGGGCGTGGGAGCCGCAGTTGGCATTGCAGCCTGGTGCCACCTTGTGGGTGAGGATTCAGGTGGGTGGGTGGTCAAAAGCATTCCCAATGGGCTGCTGAGGATAATGTCTTTTTATATTTTTCAAAATACACAACATCTTCACTCTCCTTTTGCTCATCCTTGCGTGGCTTCTTCAGATTGTTGGGGTATGACGTATTGCCTTTTTAGGAAAAACGTGAAGTTATCCAAAATCTTGGGTCTTGGCAACGGCGAGGATACGCGTTCGAATCCTCGTACTCGAGGGTTTTAGGCGACATAAATCTGTTTTTTTCTGTTTGAAAAGAGCTGGAAATTTTGCGCGATTTTGTTTTTTGATATTGGTTTCGAGTTTTTCTTAGTACACCGTCGAGTTATGAAGACTCAAAGTTCAACATTTGTTATCCACCTGCCCAGGTGGGCATTCAAGTTGCATGCAGTGGATGCTCAGTAGGCAGTCGAGCTCTATTACAACTTCTACACAATTTTAGGTGACGCGCCCCCAGAATGGGAGACAGTCCATTATTTTGCGGGAAATCGGGATGACTTCTTGAGATTGAATCGACCACTCTGCCTCTCTGATCTGAAGTCCACGCAGCTGCATTATCTATCGAAGAGCGACGTGCCACATCTTGTTGTTGATACGAGCTGCGTTGAGACATTTCAACTTGGAGAGTGCATCAATCAGAAAGGTGATTTGGAGAGACTTAATTTAGACGCAACGTTACAAGCCGGGCGCCGACCATTGCGATTTTCCATCATTGATTCCGAGATGCGGTGGATTGGTGTTGTTCTTCTCGACAGTGAAGGACCGGAATGGAGTTATGAAGGACAGCATGAATTTTTTTCTTCTTTCGGAGGCGCAGTACTTCGTGCTCGACGGAGAAAAGCATGATATGGGAGAATTCCCAAACTATTCCATCATGCTTGTGGAACATGATACTGAAACAGGAGTCTCGACCAGGTTGGGATTGGGAACGGTGAAGAAGACAGCTTGGATGATGGCCGACCCAGTACTGAAGACGGTCATTTTTGGGTAAAACATGTTGATTATATTTAACATTTGATCTGTTGTCATGTTCTGCAGGACATCATGCACATGTGCTTAATATTGAGAAAGGCCCGGTGGACATTTGAAGCTGGAAATGACTGCTAAGTCCCAGACAATCATGACTTGGGCAGTCTTCAATTTTCTGACTTACCAAAACCATGGAAACCCCTGTTCATATTCCGAAATTTATAGTAATTGGTCATTCCCATGATAATACACCTGATTACGTGAACTGGAATTGAAATGGTAGCTTTTAGGATCACTTGAGGGTGTATCTATCCAAGGGGAAAGATGTTTAGAAAGACGGATAGAAAGACCCTTGCAAAGGCACTTGGGAAAGTCGTCCATTACCGTGACACGTAAAAGCCTCTATCTACGCAGTCTGATCTGAGATATCTGATGATCGATCACCCACGGCTGCCAAGCACCTACTGTAGCTTGATTTTGCTTGGCTTTGCTTGGCTAATGAGTATCTTTGTAAGATTGTCTTGCAACTACGCAGTTGCAAACCTTTCAATAAATCTCTGTGTGCTTTGAAACGTGCGAATGTAGTTTCTAGTATTCTGAAGCTACAAGTTCTAAGGTTGCTACCCCGGGGCGCACAAGATTAATATTTGAATATTTGAACGCGGCCTGCTATGGTTTTCAAACTTTATACTATAGATGTGTCGTATTGATAGTTCCATCGCAAAATAAAGACCTGTGGATATCATGACTCTAGTAGGATGGGTCGCATCTTGGAATATCAAAAGCATAGCCAGATAGAGAACCTTCAGAACTGTCTACCACAGAGAACGAGACCAGCCACAAGCGAGTTTTTTGCGCCTTCAAATATTTCAACTCAGCATCAAAAACTACCTAGGTAATGTCAAGCAACTGATCAAGGTTGAATTCCAGCCCCCGCCCTTGGGCCTCCAGGCTCAGATACCCGGGCGCACTCTGCTCGATAATGCGCACCCACAGATCCCGACTACCGTAGCCCTCGTAGAGGAACTTGTTGCTCTGTCGGGTTACTTCCAAGAGCTCAATTATAGGAAGGTCCATATCCAAACTATTTCCACAATCGAGCAATGACCGTTAGAAGATTGAAAATGGGGACAAAATTGTAGGTAGGAGAAACGTACGGTTCATTGTACTGCGGCGGGCCCCCAACACCCGACATTGATAATTCCAAGACCCGTCGACCCATAATCTGACTAAATAACATCGTCTGGCCCATATTCCATGGTCGACGGGGAGTCGAAGCGCGGACGTTGCCATTAGACCCAAACTCAGCCAGCGTCATCCGCCCCGTGAGAAGCCCTGGCTCATCGATCACGTACCACGTGTAGTACGGACCCTCGGCGAACACAACCGTGCCGTCTCGAGTCATCGAGAGAGCATGAAAATCTGCCGAGAAGAGGTACAGCTCGGAGAAAATCTCGCTGAGCGCGATGGGCGTAGTGCGGCTAATAAGCTCTGGAATGTGGCAGCGCGGCGCGTCGCCCGCGCCCGACAGGTCAAAGGGATGCGGCCCATTCCATTCCCCTTGATGAACGTACAGCAGAATCAGAAACTTCACAAGGTGAATGTAGTTCTGGGGATGAGTCTCCCGGTCTATGGGCGCCAGACACAGGAACCGCTTGTTTGGTCGTGGGGCTTGCTGTGAGAGTAATGAGGTCGGGTAATCGAGAGCTGAGGTATATGCTGGGGCACGGCTATGGTAAGACTGCGCGGATCACATTTTTCAATATTCAATTTCGAGTTCCAGAAGCGCAAGAGACGAAGGAATAAGGTGAAGATGTGTGGAAATCCTCAGACTTGGCTGTACGGACCTCGCGGAATTCTTGACTGGCGGTAGCCCATTTCTCGATTAGGGCTCGCCGTTGTCGCAGCCCATCTTCTGGGGTTGAGACTGACTGGCATTCTTCCTGCAAGTTATTTAACTGTCAATATCACAAATTATTAAATGATTATACGAGTACAATCTGGCAGAGTCCCCTACCCGTACGAATAACAGCCATCCCTTTGTTTCTTCCGGCAGTTCATCTCGGGGTAAATCCGTCGGATGCAAGTGGATTGCGGGAGTGGTCGGCCACGCTGATGTGGACTCCGACATTTGTGCGATTTAAATTGGTGTATGTGGAAAATATTATTGAAAGCATGAAAATAGAGGAGTAGATGAGTTATAAGAGAACTCCCATCTTACAATACCTGGTATTCTAATCTGATTTTAGCGCAAACCTTGAAAAGACTCGGACTTGACAACCATGCTGCCAGTGTAAGAATGTAAATACCTCTACAGTAATATTTAAAATCGGATTCACCTCTACACTCTTACGTGTTCCCACCGGCATGCGTTAGAATGCATACGTGAAGCCAACTTGAAAGCACTAGTACTGAATATCATTGATCATAATCAAAGCCCTCATTGTATGTCTCGAAATCCAGACCGTGTAATGTCCTAGTCATCTCCCGGTAAACCCCATGAAGCTGCTCCACAATAATATCATTTTCGGTCGGCGGCTCATCAATTTCTTCGCCATCGGAGTCGTAAGTCGAACAGCCCGCAAAGGCGTATTTCCGAGCTAGGACAATGTCAAATTCCCTAACCATTCTATCTAATTCATCACTCATCTGGCACCGCAAACCTGTAGGACCCGCAACCCGCTGCTTGATATCAGCAGACAAGTCTTTCCCGATATAAATCGAGATCTCGGTTCCATAAGTTTTACCGAATAGTAGACGGACGACCCAATAAAACAGCGCTGCCATTTGGAGACCGTTTGATTGTTCTGCAGCTTTTGACTGCTGCCACTTTGTGCCGAATCTTCCAGCCTGTCCGCTGAACTTTCCAACCGTGTATAGGGGCGGTTGGTACACCAGCATGCGGCGCCAGCTTGCTTCAGGGCGCATATACTGGTCATGCTTGGTTGGAGATCGTAACAAATCTAAATTCTTCAATTTGATGTCTACCCAGTCGTGCCCCATATTATCCCAAAAGCCGACATTTTGGCCGTTGTTCAGATTGATCAGTTGCTTTAGGAATGGAAATTTCTCGGCAAGCAATGGATTGCGATATCGCGGCTCGTCATTGCCTTCGTCGCTAATCGGTAAGAAGTAGAGGTCTTGTTGGAGGGTCTTTGACTCGCGGATCAAATCCGCCCACATATGGCAGACTCGTTGAGACGTAAGCAGGGTGGCCATGTCCATTTGACGTAGGATTGACAGCATGATTTCGGGTATTTCCAGCACCCTGTGCTGATGGGAACCATTCGCGTGCATCCTTTTTTTGAGATGGATTTCAGTTCTTGTATGAATGATGGAATAGTTTGGTTCAAGCTCTTTGTATGGTGAATTAAATTTCCGTGGGGACTGTCGTTGAGTCTTGAGTCATTTTTTGCTTTGTTAGGGGTATCTTGGCATTTCGTGGGGGGCATTGCGAAGCCTTGAAGGTTAGCTGAGCAACTTGAACCTAAAGATATATGGACTTCCTAACATTTCTATCTGACGTATTTTCACTTTAGGCTATGCTAACCGGTTAATAGTGGGTAGCTCATGCAAGGGCAAAACTCTTTGTTACGACACCGCGAATGTGAGTCATGAACATCGCCTCAGTGAAGTGAAGCTGACATGATCAGTTTTTGATTAGAATCTTGAACGTTTGCACCGGGCCTTTAAAAGTAAGCTCTAGTACTCTCGGTCTTTGCACCGACTATATCAATACACCAGCTAGAATAAGTTCCCGATTGAGGCAGCCAACATTTATCCGCGGCTGACTACATCTCCACCAGAAATCACGAGAATACTGGCAATACTGAGTTTAAGACCCTGGACAACGATTGGGCGGCGGATGTAGTGAGTATTGCTGTACACTCATGACTCAACGCCCTGGAATAGTAGTAGTTTCCAAGGTTCCGACGTTCAAATTATTCCAAAGCTGACCTCGAGACTTGAAATAGTCGATTCCGAGTCTCAGATCCAAGGTAGATGTGCCCCACAGTGTCCGGGGTAAACCAAGCTATTTCGGACGCTTATCGTTTGTACGAGGAACTCGGTACTGGTAGCTTGTAATTGGTGCGGCCGGCGAGGCATGTTTCAGGAGACAAACCCTGCCCTTCAAAACGAACCTCCACAGTAAGACAACGATTCCCGTATTTCTCCAAGCCACCGGCCCCTGCGCGCTTGACACGTTTCAATCTTCTCAGAAAACTGACTGCCTGGAAATAGATTGACGGTGGCTTGAAATAGCTCAGGCAACCACTTTGGGGGCCGAGTACAAAAGCAAGCCTAGTAAACACCATCACCCCACAACTTGAAAGGGGCACCGACTAGTTAACCACCCCATCCTTGAGCCTCAACATGGAGAACTCCGACCAGATCAGTAGCACCGCTGAACACCCCGAAATCGCGATGCCTCCATTCCAGCTTGCTCTAATGGACCTTCCGACCGAACTGCATATTCAAGTCGCAGGTCATCTCAGTTACCCTGATGCCTTGGCTTTAAAACACAGCTGTCGTCATTTCTATTCGATCGTCTACACAGGGGTTCACCTCAAGGTGGACTGGCTGGTGGAGCGTTTCGAGCGCAAGCTTGAGTGTCCCATGGAGAAATGCTCTTTTCGCACCGATGAGGCCTTTTGCAACTGGCGCATTCGGCGGATTATGGAGCGTCGGCGTTTACATCTTGAGTGCCGTCGCTCCGCGGGTGGGTGCTCGGTCGTCAATGGCCAAACCTGCGAGACTGATATGATGGCCGCTTGGTTAAAGCTTCAGAGGCGTGGAAGGCTAATGCAGAATTTGATCGGATGGGGACGTGAAGGTGAGTAGTATCTATTATTCTTGTTGATGGTTTCCAGGTCTGACATGTGGACAGCTTGCCTGATTGCTATCTTCGCGATGGCCTTGCAGATTATATGGAGAGTATCGGTGCATATCCACAGTAGTTGAATTTTTTTGGTTCATCTTAATTTGAATCGAGATCTACTGTAAATGCAAGGTTCGTCTACCCCAGATCGGGGTCAACACCGCACACCAAAGCCAGACTGGGCCAAGTCCAGCACCCGAAAACCGATCAATCGCGATCTAGAATCAGACCACAGATCAGCCAAGACTTCAACCCCCGATCACCATCGATCTGTGGGGCCTTGCTGAGAAGCAGCAAACAAAGCAAAGCAAAGCACAGCGAATGTCGCCAGAAGCAAGCCCTAATCCGGATCTAATCACTGACGTCACAACGACGTGCCCTGCAAGTATAACCTGCAAGAACAGCTGGAATTCGATATAAAAGCCAACTAAGAGCCATAATACTCTTTCTTATTCAAATCTTTGAAATTTCGTTTGCAAAATAAATCAATAATCAATCACCTCCACCATGTCCGCCAACGCAACCATCAACACCGAGACAGGCTCCCACTCCGTGGACCCCTACAAGACCCAGAACTTCGAAGACCCCCCTCTCATCCAGAAGATCGAGGAACTCGTGGAATTCATCACCCAAGTGAAATTTGGCATGTTAACGACCAAGCAATCTGACGGAGAATTCCTCACCTCTCGATGCATGGCACTTGCTGGAAAGGTATTCACACCATAACCAGCACCAGCACCCAGATAAATAAACATCAGACGCTAACTAACACCAACCAGGAAAACGGCGGAATCGACCTCATCTTCCACACAAACATCTTCTCCGGAAAAACCCTAGATCTAACCGCCCACCCGCAAGAAACAAACATGTCCTTCCTTGACCCGGTGAGCGGTGCCTGGGCCTCCATCGCCGGAAGCGCCTATGTTATTTCGGACCCAGCTGTCGTGGAGAAGTACTACTCGCCGACATTAAAACTCTGGCTGGGAGATATGGGTGATGGCGTGCACGATGGTTCACCGACGGACCCACGCATTGGCGTGATTAAGCTCGAGGCTAAGCTTGCTACGCATGTTGTTTCCCAGAAGGGGATACTAGGCCGTGCAGTTGATACCGTTAAGAGTGCTGTGCAGGGTAATGTTCCTGCTATTAATTCGATCCGGGAGCTGAGCTTGGAAGAATTGGCTGAATGTGAGTTTTTCTCTTCTCTTGATCTTCAAGTTAATCACGTTAGCTTTACGTTGGTGCTGATCATATCTTTTTGACAGGGCGCCGCACTCATCGGGAGTAATTGGATATCCGCAGACTTATGTGTTATGACTGCATATGATAGTTTTGTTCAGAATCTAGCCGTATAGAATGTTACTGCTTAATATGAATAATTTCTACTGGGAATTGATTTCAACAAGGCGCAAGCGATGTAGAGAAACCTATGTCGCCTACTTGAACGAAGCTCGTAGGCCCTCATTGGGGGAACAGTAATTGAAAATAGATCAATTAAACAAGATCGCCGCCAGGCTGTAACTGGTCAACGTCCATATGACTCCATAACATTAAACAGTGGCTCAAACCCGGAACCACATAAAATTGTACCGTGGGTATCTTGAAAACATGCAGCGATTATCGCTAGAAAACTCCAGAGCACCGTCATACAAAAGAACAAAAACAATTAGGACACCCCATCGCAGTTCAGATCTGGAAAGAATGGTCAGCAAAAAGGAAATCGAAACAGCCATGCCAGTAGGAATGAATAAAGAAACTAATAATTACCAATTGGAGGGGCATTCGAGCAGGGACCCGAGCTCCGTGAAGAAGCATCGCGATGTTCTTCTGAGGGGTAGCCTGCAGCTTGCGATAAGCCTCGCGGATATGGCGCGGCTCGATAGGAGTACGGCCTTCCTCAGGCGGGTCAAACAGACCGGTCTCGCGCTTGCGCTTCTTGGCATTGTCGCCATTGTCGCCCCCGCCGCGATTCTTCTCATGGTCTTCGCGTATCTTGACCTTGAGCGCTTCCTCGGTGAGAGTCTGGACGATCTCGAAAGTCAGGAAGCCCAGGATATCGACGATATCGTCGTTTGGCTTGGATTCGGTCACGATCCCGAAACCTGCCCATTCGCGGAAGCGCTTGCTCTTGCGGTAGGTGAATGAGGCTTGTCGACATTCAGACCAGAAGACGTACTCTTCCTTGGTCATGTACTTGGTGCGCTCGTCGGCCGCGGCCAGGCGCTGGAGCGTGGCGTAGTTTTGTTCCTCCTCTTCCTCGTCTTCCTCGTCCTCGCGCTCCGGTATTTGAACAGAGAATAGGCTGTTGACATCCCAAGCAAGACCGACCTTGGCGCGTTTGTTCTTTGGCTTCGCGGCGACATCTGTCGGGCCTGCCACCGCACCGGCCGCATCGTCGGCGGCCGCAAAGTCTGCGGCATCGCCGCCCCCCTTGTCGTCGGAGTCCTTCACGTTCTTGCGAACATCTTTCCAGGAAAGGAAAGTTCGAAGGCGAGAGACCTTGGCCTTGTCGTGGCGAATGAGGAAGATGAGGTCATCAGTTGAGATAGACCGTGAGCCCCGACGAGTAGCCAGGGCGGTGCTGCGTGTGAGCTGTGATATCCATTAGCAGATAGTTCACTGGATATAGAAATACTGTACACACAATCTCAATGACCTGCTGGCGGGTAATATCCTCGATGAGGGTGGTGGTCTCGCTGGATGGTTCTGCAGTCTCGCCAGACACGAACATCATCTGAGGGAGAAGATTAGCAAAGGTCAGGCCGCAGTCGTCTTCGGCGTCCTCGGTCTCGTCTTTTCCCAGTGGTGCATCTTGCTCGTCCTTGTAGGTCGAGGCAGTATCGGCACGACCAGGCACATCAGAGTTCATGGAAAACCCCGAAGTGTCTGGATGCGTGCTTGCGGCCGCAGGTAAGGGGTTCCGCCCATAGAGCGAGGTCCAATGAGGCCCAAGTTTTGGCATGTGAGCCGCATCAGACTCCTCGTCTTGGCGGGAAGTGGACGCGAAAGAACCAAGCTGTCCAAAAATCCCCAGATTGAGCTGCGTCAGTTCCTCGTTTTCCAGAAACCCCAGCCTTGGGAAGAACAGGCGGGTCGACAAGTTCTGGAGTTCACCAGGATTCGCCAGTTCCTGGTCTCCTGGTGTAATGTGGGTGACAGGAGGTTGGCTGTCATCAGCCATTTTGATGAAAAGGGGTATTGCTGCAATGAGTTGCCCAAAACTCGCTCCGCAATCTCACGGCTCTCGGATCTGTATATATGGCTTAGCTGACACAACTCAACTCGAGGGATATTATTTTGATCTTACCGTGCGACGCCAATCTCCTTGATAGAGGTTGTTTCGAGGATGGAGTAGGGAAGGAGCGAAGCTTATTTCCAGATCCGAGGACAGGAATCCGGGGTAAATAGACCTGCGTGCAAACCAGACCAACCAATCAACAGGCCAATTGAAAGCTGCCTGCGATAGTTCGGTATTTCATGGGCCAGGAAAGGTGGTATATCCCGTCCGTGCTCTGCTTCCTTCCAATTCGATTTGTTTGCACTCCCTGGAACTCCAGACATCTTCACAGAGCAAATTCACAAAAAGGGTGAACATGATCATAACATCATTATGCGTCCTCGATTCGAAGAACACATCACTCAAACCCGATTCTCTCCCATTTCAAGTTCGGATGAATCCCGCGAGCGAGTCTGGGATCGATTGTCGGGTAACACCGAAATACCACAGAGATAGCGCAAGCACTCCGCTGGCAACTCCCACAGACACAGCAACCGATTTAAGACCGAGAAGAAGACCGAGACCGAGACGCGACATGATAATGACGAATTATCGCCAGGGAGGATAGCTTACCTGCTGGATCTCCTGCCGATACTTTGGGTTACGATCGGAGCTCATGATGACAGCTCCGATAGGCGAACGAGATGGGACGAAAGGGCTACCCTCATGGGATGAATCAGTCATTTGATGATACGATCCGATGCGCCAAGATGAATACATACGATGCGATACCGCGCGAAGAGTGCTTGCCACGAGGGCAACGAAGGTGAAAGCCGATCAAGGTGATGTTGCAGCAACCTTTGGAGGTGAAGTCCGGGGATATCGCGATAGCCGGACATTCATTTCCTCCGCTCCGGGCGGTCAGGTTCTGCCGCGGGGCATCAATTATTTCCTCGATACAGTTGAAACTCTACCTAGAATTGCTTGGAGAGAGACAAGGCACCCTCTCCGGACTTCGATTCTTTGTCAATTACATTATACCCCCCTACGCTTTACCCATCATGCTGCACCTTGTGGGTCTGGGCCTCGCCGATGAGAAAGACATCACTGTCCGCGGTCTGGAGATCGTCAAGAAGGCCGAGCGCGTTTACCTGGAGGCATACACGGCCATTCTACTGGTAGACAAGGCGAAGCTCGTGAGTGAAGGATTTGATTATTTACTTTTTGAATCAATTCGCCGTTTTGGCAATTGATTAAAATTATGTTCTACCCCGCTAACCTCATGCTTCCTGCTCTATAGGAAGAGTTCTACGGCCGCCCCGTCATTGAAGCTGACCGCGAGCTCGTAGAGACTGGCAGCGATGACATCCTCGCTGGTGCTGATAAGGTCGACGTTGCTTTCCTAGTTGTTGGCGATCCATTCGGGTAAGTGCGATCTATGAACCCCAAGTTCACCACTCACACCCCGCTTCACCAAAACATAAGAGATTTATACTGATATCCTCTCCTCCAGCGCAACAACCCACACCGATCTCGTCCTCCGCGCCCGCGAACTCGGCATTCAAACAAACGTCGTCCCCAACGCCTCAATCATGTCCGGAATCGGCTGCACGGGTCTGCAGCTCTACAACTTCGGCCAAACAGTCAGCATGGTCTTCTTCACTGAGAACTGGAAGCCCTCCTCGTTTTACGACAAGGTGCGTGAGAACGCGCAAATCGGTCTCCACACTCTCGTCCTCCTCGACATCAAGGTCAAGGAGCAATCAATGGAAAATCTCGCCCGTGGCCGACGCATCTTCGAGCCGCCGCGCTATATGACCGTTGCGCAGTGCGCGTCACAGCTCATTGAGACCGAGGAGACAAGGCAGGAGGGCGTTTACCATGCGGATAGTCTTGCTGTTGGTGCGGCGCGGGTTGGAGCGCCCGATCAGAAGATTGTTGTTGGTACATTGACAGAGTTGGCGGAGGTTGAGATGGGAGCGCCATTGCATAGTCTCGTGCTTCTTGGTCGGAGGACGCATGACCTTGAGCGGGATTATATTCGACAGTTTGCTGTTGATGAGAAGACCTTTGATGCCAGTTATGTGAAGTATTATGGCCATTCTTCATAGGATGTGGGGATGCTCCGGTTTGGTCTGAGTCGGTTCGGTTTAAGCTGTATAGATTTTAACGAAGTTTAGGGCTTGCATGCCACATTTCATGAAACATACGAAAGATTTTTTTGCTTATTTTCACGATGCTTGGGTTTTGGTAGAACTGAAATGGTCTATTATGACTTTGATATAGCACAAGAGGGCCAGATCCACTCAAGGACCGCCCTTTGAAAAAGTACATCTGTCTCGCTAGACACAACTAGCTCGATAAGAGACATCACTCTCTATAACGTATGGCCACAGAACAGCCGTCCCATCCCGTCACCAATTGATAGGTAATCGGGGACAAGTATAAACAAATGAAATATGATGACAGAACGCCGCAGACAAAGCAAATGGAGGTGATAATGCCGCGCAGAGATGACAATGCAGATAAGAAATGGTATCCAAGACAATATGGCAAACGTGCAAACGTGCAAAAAGACGAGAAGTATGGATAGGTCTAAATGCATCAAGATCCTCCACGAGATCCGCTGCAGAGAAAGACAAAATGTTTTCCCAAAACCCTCTTTCGAGCCGAGAATCAACTTGCCCACCAAAGAAGGCAATGAACGAAAATAGAAAATCAAAAAACTTATCAAAACCAACACCCAATGACATGCAAAAGAAGGTTGAAGCAATGTACAGTTCAAACTGGGAGAGAAGAAAAGACGTCAGACATCACATCAGTGCTCTTGGAAATCATCTTCCTCACCAGGAAGAAGAATCTCATGACCGGAGCCCTCATAAACAAAGACAGCTGCTGCGCAGCCGAAGATCGAAACTAGGGCCACCAGCCACCAGGCGAAGCCAACCATGCCGATTTCCAAGCCGTAACCGTACCATGCGCCTGAGAAAATGGGGCCGATGGTTCGGAAGGCGGATGACACTGACTGGCCAATGCCGTGGATGGTACCGAGAACGGATGGATGCGGCGAGCAGTTGTTCAGGAGAATGATAGAGGTCGGCAAGGTGAAGGTTCGAGCGGTGACTTGAAGGAACAGGACGAAAATAATCCAAAGCCAAACCCAGGGGCCATTGGCTTGGCCCGGGGGCGGGATAGTGGATGGGGCCAGCGAGATGTATGGGGCCAGGGCGTATGCCAAGGGAAAGAGGGAGAGGAAATATTGGTAACTTTTAGCTGTACCCAAGCGTCCATTGATCGAAGGGTAGATGGTGAACTGGAGCAACATGCCAATAACACCTAGGATGGCGGTCGCGAAACCAACACTCTGCGGAAGCATGCCAAGTCCACCAGTGAAGCTGAATGGGAGACTTTGAGCTGGGGCGGCGGGGTCATTGGCATCGTAACGGGGAGTAGACAGGAAAAGCAGCCACAGGTTGTTGAAGGCGCCCATCTGGAAGTCGAAAAAGGCCTGAGCGAGCAGCGTGCACCATACGTTCTTGGTCCAGATCCGGCCAAAGGGCAGGACCCGTTTGACATGCATGGGTCTGGCTTTCTCCTCCAACTCGTAGCTCTCGGAGCGGTCCATAGCTTGGCCCATGAGGGGACCACCCTCGTCGTAGTCGCGAAATGGCAGTTTCGAGTAGATTGGCGAAGATGTTCCCACCACGCCACGCACACTGCGAGCGAAAAACTTCATGATGAATGCGCCCAGACCGGGCTTGCCCTTGCAGGCCAACAGGGTCTCCTCCAGGCCATAGCCAACCAAGCAGGCGCAGCTCGAGAGGAAGAAGAAATTGGCCAACATGGGCAGAGCGTAGGGGTACTTTTCCAACCACTGCACACCATTCTCGCCACCAAAGGAAGAATTGGGGCCAAACAAGCGCGGGTAGCTCTTGACGGGGTCGGCAAACATACCACCCATCACTAGATTGCAGTTAGCCCTCAAATCCTGGGGGTGTGGGGGGGCGGCTCTTTCAATCAGGCAGACACCAAAAGCCAAATGAAAAAAAAAAAGGTTGTCAGACTTACCGGGACCAAACAGCGAAGCGACATTGAATCCAATAGGTAGAATCAAGAAGGCGCGCGAATGATACTTCTTCTCCTTGACATTCTCCGCAATCATAGTTCGGATGATACCAACAGTGCCGTTGATAGCACCGCCAAAAGAGCGCCAGAAGACCGCTTGAGCAAATGAGGTAGAAAAGGCAACACCCAAGCACGAGACAGCTGTGCCCACCAGGCCGACCAGCAGCACAAAGCGGCGACCACCCCACTCGGCATCAGCGACACGACCCCAAGGGATAGCCGTAGCGAACTGGGCAGCGGTAAAAGCACCCTGTAGAATACCGGCCTGCGTCGCAACATCAGAGTCGGAGAGGTTCTCATCGAAGGACTTTAACTGGTAGAACATATAAGCCTGTAATGAGGCGATCTGAAGAAAGTCGAAGACACGGCAGAGACCGAGTAAAGCCAATTGGCCCTTTCGAGGCAGTGACATCCATGTTACTGGGGGAGGACGAGCGAGGACAGGCGGTTGGGCGGGTATTTCGGTCTCCTGCATGAGCAGGGCTTGCGCATGGCTCTGAGAGCGGGAGCGCACATGGTGCGACGTTTTGCGAACGTCCAGATCCATTGAAGTATTGCGGATCATGTCGGGGTCATCGGAGGGGTCGGTGGTGGAATTAACGGCAATACCCTCGTCGACGCTGGCGAGGGAGATGTTGGATTCACGGCGGCGTCGGGGAGGTTGTGAATCGGAGGGTTCACCGGGGCCCTGGGTTAAATGGTTATATCCAGTCGACCAAGAGGTCGTACGCGCGTGGCGGGCATTATTCGGCTTATGAGGTTGGGACCTGGTAGGCATGGAATGTGTATGTAAGCCGAGACTAAAGGCCGGCCGGAGGAGAGGGTCAAAGTGGAATCGCCGACGTCAGGCGGTTGAATGCGTTGCACTGGGTCGGTTTCAATGCGTAATTTTGCCTGTATGAGTGTACAGGGACTGGATTGGCTCCCAAGGGATGAGACTTTTTAGTTTGGGAGGAGAGGAGAGGAGAGGAGAGAGGAGAGAGGAGAAGAGACGGGAGAGCGGAGGAAGAAGAGGAGTGTCTATGATGATCATCCCTTTGTTCTTGTGATTTTTCTTTAGTATTGCAAGTGTTATTCTCAGTTTAATTACATCGTTCCTGGAAAGTAGATGGAGTCTGGAATTGGCCATCTGTCTACTTAATTGGGCCCGCAATTTGCGCCAAGAGTAGATACATGGATATTTAGAGCATACTAGTATGGAGTGTCTGGTGAAAGATGAAAGATGATGGTTAGTACCTAGGTAGGAGTAATAGTAGATGGTAGATAAAAGATGGCATATACGACATACGATATATGGTTATATGGTCTAGTATACGAATGATAGATGAGACTCGTATTCTGAATCATCCCCATTTCCAGCTTTACTCAGAGTACGAGCTCGGAGGAAAGCTGAGCAACTCGTACCTGTCGTATCACCTTTACAGTAACAGTCTTGTAAAAGCAATACAACAATACCCGATCGACACGACAGCCGGGCTTGCGACGCGCTTCTCCACTAAGCTCTTCCACCAGCTCTTGGCATTTATGAGACGAACCGTGGTGGAGTACGGAATAATGTGCTTCAGCTGTCTTTTTCAAGGTTTTCTTTCCCTTCTTTTTCTCTTCTTTTTCCAAGCCTTCCCCCCACATGCCAATCATCTCTAGCCTCTCGAGGGCAGAACCACGTAGCGCCCGTCTCGAAGGAAGAAAATGGAAAAATAGAAAAATAAAAATAGGAAATAGGAAATAAACAGATGCTTCGCCTTGCGGGTTCAGCCACTGACGCTGTTAATAAATATGACAGACATACGAATCTGTCCACGCGTGGCGGCCCCTGCACATACATACACCTGCATTACTCCGGAGATTTCCCTTCTACAGAATACAGAGTATCCTAGACACACTCCCACCCATTTCAGGCCTCTTGACACAATCAGATCCATTCTCCTGTATCCCGTACAAACTACCGAGGACTGAGCCACGGGTCTTTACTTACGGATACTCCATAGAAATTCCCACTTTTCTACACCTCGTACCGCGTCCCCGTCCCCTGAGAACCCACTAGACGCTGGCACCCTATGTAGGTTCTCCCGCAACTCTGGAGAAAATAAGGATCCTGCCTCTTCAGGCAAGAGATGTTCCTCTTCTCCTTCTGGGTCTGTAACAGACCAATGGGTTTGGAAGGAGAGTCCTCGTTGTCGGGAGTTTATTTCCGCACAGTCTGCTGCACCAATGTGTGCCAGCTAGAGATGAGACGAGATAATCACTCCTGCGTTTCAGAGTCAATTTCACCCTGTATCATCTAAACAGCCACTCCGTCCCCCGTCAGAATAACCGTACGGAATACGGATCCCCTACTACGTACGGAGTATTGTAGATCAAGCAATTACCCCTGCAGAAAGAGGTTTCACAAAAGTCACATAGTCAATCCGAACAATTAAGGAAACCCAAAAATGACCTTTCCCGCCTATAATCCACTTTAAAGCTTACCTGCAAAAGCCAAAGCTAGCTCCGCGCAACTCTTCGATTCGGGCCAGCTCAATTCAGGCCCGGACTGTGCTCTCCCTTCCCTTCCCTTCCCTTCCCATCCCATCGCAGAATACCCCCGCAGGAAACCCGGCGGCCCTGATACCAAACCCCGTCCCTAATCCTATTCAAGTCAATTCTGGCCATACGTACCCTGTATCAACCTAGTCGAAATCTATTCTCACCTACCACCTATCGGACAGAGGCTCATGCTCAAAGGAAGCGCCGCTGCTGCATGGACGCGTATGTACATCTACGTATACTCTCTACGTATATACCGGATTGCGCCGGACTAGCTTACTGGCCTGACCTGTAGGGACAAGAGGAAGTGAATTAGACTGAACTAGTCTAGTCTTGTATTGGCGGGCTAACTTAATGCGATGCACAGTAGATGTGGCGGGTCGGGTAGCTCGGCTTTATGTATCTCGGGTATCCGTATTTCAGAACCAAGTTCCAAGGTTGAAGTTGTTTGTTCCATTTGCGGAAAATACGGATGTCAGTTAATGGGGATTTAATTGATGGTAGATAGATACAGATGTAGATGATGATGGTATGGACGCTAACTATGTATTTGGTCAAGTTTGTGTGCGTGGACATTGTCCCATATGTAAGACAGGAAATATGTGATGTATGTGGGTGGTGTATGAGACAAGAAAAAGAACCAAGTGAACGGCCAGCAATGCAGAAGTGGGAATTCGATGAAAAGGAAAAGCGGGAACGAGAGAATGAAAAAAGTACATGGTAGAGAAGGGAAGAGGAGGCGGAAAAGCCTATTCTGTTCGGTGCCGCTCGTATTGCCGTGGTGGACTTCGATCTACGAGCGGGAAATAACGCATTTCTGCATGTGCAGTCCACCGCCGCCAATTCCACCAGGGAAGATCGCTTGGCGCCGGTGATTTGCGTTCGGTGTAGCCGCCCAGCGGTTCCGATGCCTCTGAATCTGTATCCAACGGATCCAGCCGTTGGCGTTGGTAATAACGACGCGCATAGTAGACTGCGATTATTATAGGGCCGAGAACAAGGAGGACAGCGCCCCAGCCAAGAAGGCCTGTAAATTTGATGTGTTAGTACATACTCTCAAATCAAGGTTGATCAGATAAGGATGGTGGGAAAGGATTCGCTTACGGCTTGTGCTCCACCTGTCCTCAAAGATTATGGCATCTGTGCCTGGTTCTGCTTCGGTCGTGTGTGGGAATCCGGACGGATAGGTCCAGGTAATGCCGTCGTGCTCGGGATCAACCCAGGGCACGGTATTCACACCAGCAGGTGGGATGAGCGGGCGTGCTTCCTCTTCACCTGGGAATCCGAACCCTGACGCATCGACGCAGGTCTCATCCTGGCAGAAGTCGCGCAGTTCAGACGAGGGAACGAATGTATACTTCACCTCGGACCCGCCGAGGACAGCACCGTCCTTATCAACGGCCTCAGCGCGAGCCCAGAGATAGAAGCTCGCGTTGTTATACTCGGTTTCAAAGCCCGTCTTATTGACCTGGTCAAGGAAGATCCAAGGCCCCGTCACATTGTGGGCGCCGAAGAATCGCCAGCTCTGCACGCGTGTTGCGCCGTTCCAGCTAACATAGAATGTCGTTGGGGAGAAGGGTTCTGCTGCTCGAGAGTAGGCCCATAGAGCTGGTGAATCGGTCGGGTTGCCCTCCCATTCGAATTTTTGCGCGCGATAGTTCATCAAATCGTCGCCGGAAACATGGGCCCAAAGAACCAAATTGCCTTCTTCGTCGTGTTCCGACACGTAGGCGTTATTACCCCATCCCATGAAAACATTGTTGTTCGGCAAGCGCTGCAGGTTACCCTGGCTAGAGCTGACCAGATCAGTAATCAAAGGCTTGTAGTCGCGGACCTGGATGGCTGTGTTGTCGACGTGGTCGATTAGAATAATCATTCCCCCAGAGTTAGGATGAGTCTGGTTAAACCCGTTATAGCCATTATTAAAGAGCGAAATTATCGAGTGAGTCGCATTCTCAAACAACCAGCGCGCATCATGCTGCTGCGAAAAGCTAAAGTTGATATTGCGGAACGTCGGCTGCGACCCATGGAGTTGCCAAACGACTGATCCATCCTTGCTGGAGATCTTATAGATGGCGCAAGTATGGCGCGACGAAATCAAATAATCACCATCCTTATTCTTGTCGATCGAGTTAATATGGAAATAATCCCACGGCTCATGCACGTTCAGCCCCGTTCCTGAGGTATCCGTGTGCGCGGGCCAAGTGAAGCTGTTGGACGGGTCGACATGGTCCAGCGATCGCCACTCGAAGATAACTTTGCTGGTTTCAACGTCGATTTCTTGGAAAACACTTTCCATCACCCATCCCAGACCTGTCTTGATATTCCACGGCGTCATATCGAATTGCCGTTGTTGGTAGACGGTCATGAGCGCGGTTTTGCCGTCGTTGACGGGAAGAAACTCGTGCATGTCGCTCGAGGCCATTCCACCGCCAGGTTGTACGGATCTTACGATGCGATATGTGTTGTCCAAGATGACGCCATGTCCGCGACAATATCCTTTTTGTTGGTTGCCTTGGAAGAAACATAGGTGATCGGCGCCTTTATATTTGCATACGTGCATGCCATGGGCATTTCCGGGTCCGGAGGCACCCCAACCACTCCATACTAGCTCCTAAATTGCGATAAATTCCTTGGTCAGCTAGGTTGTAGGCTTTTGCGGGGCTGGTTTTTCAAGTTGCGAGATTGCGCAAATGCAAACCAGTTCAAATTGGCTCACTTACTCCGGTATTATCAAAGATGTACGGGCCAGGATTGTCCACTTCGTATGGAGTGATGAATATGTATCCAGGGCTGACCTTCTCCGCGTCTATTTGTTCGATGTTGACCAAAGGAGGATAGATGTCTGGCCGCTGTAAGACAAGGCGCATTGGTTAGCAATTGGCCATGTAAAACAATCAAAGACGTAAGGGAATAGGTCCAACATTCCGCGACAAGCTAGCTTAACTTAATTGCCACACACTCACCGATTTATAAAAAGCCGTCTGCTGCGCTATGGTATTCACGGCATATAGCAGAACAGCGAGTAGGAGGACGGAGACAGTCCTCCTTGGAGAGGTAGTTGCGACCATGGAGCGTCCTCTTTTACATCACCCCGCAGAGGAATGGCGGAAGGTCGAGAGGAGAGGGGTGGAAAGAAGCGCGGAGACATGCAAGGGAGGAATAGAAATCTCCAAGAACTTTTGAAAGAGAGAGAGTCCTTACGAGTACGGGCTCTCAGTTTGTCAGTCGACGCTGCTGCAGCGGGCTGGGCGGGGCATATTGGGTGGAGATCGGTGGAGAATCACAATTTAATTGGGTCCAGAAAATAGAAACCCAGCAAGATTGACCAGCCAGAGGCCCCAGCGGGCCTGGACTAAGCATTAAAGTACGTTGAGACTGACGACTGCCAAGACGCTGCTGGTGCTTAACTTACGATGACTGCGGGGGGGGGGGGGATCCTTCGATGATGACGAGGATGGTTATGGTGATGGTGATGGTGATGATTACCATCACCAGCTACCTGTAAATTATGTGCCCCAATGCTTCAGGGTCCTTTGCCCTCCGAACGAGAGTATTCAGGGTCTCCCCCTTATCCTCCCATTGTAAATCAGGGTTCAACAGTTTTGCAGGGTGGATTATGTATGGTACGGTAAATTGGATGGGCCGCGTCATACTGGGCGGCTAAACAGAAAATATGCGTGGTGGAAGAAAGAGCTCTGCACCGCCTCAAAACTCAGGGGGCCGAGTTGAAGTTCAAATTTTAAAATGGCTTCCCTTTCTTGACGAGAGAGTGCCCCTTAAGCCTGATGGAGTACAGAGTATCAGATCCTCAAACACTCCTCTGCTCAAAGTACTCCGTAAAAAAAGGGGAACTCGCCACAACCCAATAGAGAAACTGGCCACGTGAATGTGGCTGTGGCCCTTCGGAGCTGTAATTAATTCTCCGTATCGAGCTGGTATTGATACCGATACTATTACCGAAACTGATGCCAGGACAGGAGCTAAACACCGACGTACATGCGGGATGATTGCGTACGCTTGGATCGTGGCTTTTGATGGCGGTCTTCATGACGCGGCGAGTCTATTTTCATCGATTCTGCCCTACCATCGATCCAGCAGTTCACTACGGAGTACGGAGTACGGGTTCACCCAAAACTAACCCTCAAACCCAAGGGTCCATGTGGAAACCGGATACCTTGCGGAGTACGGAGTAAGCCACGCGAACACGAAACATGGGCCAGTATCAGGAAGGTGATCTGATAATCAACCATAAAGAAGGGGGACTAACTAGAATAGGTGCTGTTATTAGATCAAGAATTACTCCGTACTTGATGGGGCTGAACTACGACAGCAGTTACTTATCTCGGTTGGTCCATCCACATACACCATGAACTGCGTACTCCGTACAAAACTACTAGTATGTCTATCTATAGATATCTATAGACAAAATATTGCATATAGTAAGCACATGGCGTATACTTAACCTTTAACCACACACGCCACAATCCACGAGTTCAAGTTCCGAGTAAGCAACACGAAACAACCAGTAGACCAGTACTTTTCCCGGTACCGCCCACGTTCCTCCAATGTAACCCGACTACGTATACACATCAACAAAGAAGTTAGCGACATACGTATACTCAAACTAAGGACACGAATACTAATAGATCTCAAAAATCAGCCCGGGCGGAAATGAGAGGAGGCGAATGAAATAGTTTTAGCTTTAGTTGACCTGGCCACGAAATGGCCACGAATGGCCCCAGCTTGGAGGCGTGGCTCGCCAAGCCGCTAGTCCTGCCAAGCAATGATCTAGCGACGCCTTCGTACGAGTACGAGGCGCGTAATAGTATATTCGAGATGGCCATTTTCAGCAGTGATGATTCTTCTGCAAAATTTAACTTAGTGAAGGAAGTGAGATTGAGAACTAGAAACTAGAAATTGAATCAAATTCAAGCGTACTAGTACTCCGTATATAGTGACTACTAGTAACCAGTTACTAGTTTTGCGAGTAAATGTACATACTTCGTACACTTTTCCTCACAAGGAAATCCGAAACTGCAAGGCATTGAGTCTTTTCTTATTGGCCTCATGGCCATCCATGTCAGGGAGAAATTCCAATGAACCGGATGGAAGAGTTGAATGACTCGCGAGAAGCCCCTCTTTCTTCCCCCTTGCATTCAAAGATGATGCTCCACTGCCCTTGCTAAGGGTCTCACTGCTTTTACTGCACTGCACTACATGTACATACGTGGGTGGCTTGGAATGGCCATGCTAAAAGTAATGAATGATAGATGATTGATGAATTCATGTTATCGACCATAACCATAAAAAAAATATGTACCACAAATAATTACCATGAAGTATGTTAGGCTTTTTGTCCCATGTCGGTGGCAACCGTGCAAAATAAACAGAACATAATAGGGGATATTATAGATAAAGGAAAAAAAAATCTGAAGTAGCCAGTTCACGAGGGGAAATGGCCACAAACAAAGCTGCTACCCCCACCAGCGGTGCCTGCACACACTGTGGAGAAACGAACTCAGAGAAGGAATGCAAAGAAAATGCAAGGGAGCTGTCCCCTACACGCAAATCAGACACCGCTTATTTGGCAAAACGCTTCCAGGCCATGGTGGCAGCGAAGCCAGCGGCCAGGATAGTACCGCCCATAGTGACAGCTTGCAGAGCAGCGTTCATCATCTGGTGGCGGTTGCGGGTGCTGCAGCGCTTGTAGAAGTCGGCCATGTCATTGCCGCGGGGAAAGGAGTGTCGGGCATCTCCTCCTCGAGGAACTCGCACAGCGGGCCCCAGCCGTCGTTGATGTTGTACTCCAGCAGGCGGTCGGCGGGGACCATGCTGCGGACCTCGGCGACGTGCTCGTTGTACACTTGCTTGCCTTGACCCTGGAAGTCACCGCGGAAGAAGGTGTCGAAGAACTTGTTCAGCATGGGGTAGTACATGCCGGCGGCCCAGCTGAAGTTCGAGACGAACTTGTGCTCGGGGTCGCTGACGCGCCAGTGGACGGTCTTCATGACGGAACTGGTGGGAAGTTAGCTCGTTTGCTCTACTCGGATAATTCGGTCTATGAGCAATGGGTAGGTAAGACATACGCGTGCCACGGGTCAACATCACGGGTGGTCAGGATGACCTTTGCGTTGGGGTAGGCCTCGATCAGCTCCTTGGCGAAAGCACAGGCGGGCCAGTCGCAGACTGCCTGGCAGTCGCCGAGAAGTTGGTCCCATTCCTTGCGGCCGAACTCGCCCTCGCCCTTGTACTTGGCGTTCAGGGCATCGTGCCACATCAGACAGTCCGGTGGGTTCTCAACACTGGCGCACATCATGTGGTAGCACTTGCCGTATCCCAGACGTTCAAGAGCCTTGCGGAGGGCTGGAATGGATTATTAGTTTAGATGTCTTTTTTTGATGCCTTTTGTTCTGAGCGCCAAGCGCATATCTCCAACTTACAAGCAGTGCCGGTACGGCCAACACCGAGAGCCAGCACCTTCATAGGCACAGTACGGTGGCACTTGCGGCGATCAATGTTTGTGTCATCGGTAAAGATATCAGTCATAGGCTGAGGAGCCAGGTTGTCGGAGAGAGCGAGAGACATGATGTTGGATATAATGAGAATTGGAGATGAATAGTAAAAGAAGGAGAAAAAAAGTGAGTGATGTGCCGGAAGAGTGGGTATAAAAAAGAAGGGACAAGACTGTAGAAAAAGTCTAGAAGGGAGAGAGGAATCAAGAGGTGGATACGTTGATAAGGGGTGGATTTTAACAAGAACGAGCGGAAATCAATAAAAATAAAAATAAAAATGGGAAAGAAAAATACGTTGTTGGCATTGATCTGAGGCCCTGGGACTCAATCGCGGCGGTGGGCATCTGTCACAAGGGGACAACCAATTAAATTGGTTGAACCGCGCGGGCAAGTTGGAAGGGCATTGCCCCCCCCCGCGAGTGGCGAGGGAGTTCCACTAAGCTGTCAATCTTTTCCTGGACGGCTATAATCAGTTGGAAGGTTTGGTTTTGATTTGCTCTGTTGGCTTGCTCTGCGTAAATAACTTTGTAGTTTGCTCCGTACTCCGTATATCTATACAGTATTATCACTGTCTCGATGGCATGTATTTTGCTGAACAGGTGTGCCTCTGCTTCGGTTTCTGCCGCGCCACAGCCTCGGCGCCTCGTGTTTTCGGATCTGCATCCTTTCCCTAAAGACCAAAAAAAAAACCGACGTCACAGGCTGACGCAGGGAGGGGGAATCCAATCGATAGTCAGGGGGGGGAAGTGTTAAAGTGGTGGATCGTGGAGTGCACAAGACGTATGTAAATACCGGTATGCCAAGACATGGACTGCGTATGCTCGTTTCGCCGGGTTTTCTCAAGTTTTTGATGGGTCAGTCGGCTCTCGCGTTGAATTGAATTACCCCATTCTTCGATTGACCCAATTTCCACAATAGTAACGCGTGGGCCGGATGGTCATTGCGGTGATCAACTTTGTATTGTAAACCGGCTGTTAGGGACGATCCGTGCTCCTGGCAATCCTGATTGGTTTCAAGGTGGACAAGGGCAACGCGTACTCGTCGTTGAGTGGGGAATGCGGCTTTCTCTTCATGAAACTGTGACCGTGTTCCAACTGGTGCCCAGGCCATCCAATTCCATTCCATTCCTGTGTCTCGGATCAAAGTGTCACATCACATTCCCCCAGCTTTCCGGACAAATCGACTTTACGTACGGAGTACAAAGTAGATCAGGGAAAACATCGCTGTCCGTCGTTGTCCCGCCGGTCGCCCGTATGGCTCATCAAAACCATATTCTGTACTCCGTAGCCGATCACCATCTTAGGGATCCAGTATCCAGGGGCACGCGAGCAAAAAAACCGAGCTGTTGGAACCAATGCCGTAACACGAAGCGACGACGCCCCGCTCAACGGGCTCCGCAGATTGAGTGAAAGAGGAATCGGAACGAGACTCGTGGTCGAGGCCCGAGGCGGGAAGAGTTCCCACTTGCCAAGACAATCAATCTACTCCATACAGAGTGTACAGAGTGTATGTGAGGTACTTTGGACCGATGATCCAACTCAAATGAGTTGTTTCGCGCGCAAACTCTTCCCACTTATCAGGGTTGATGGACACGGAGTAGGCAGTGCATCCTTCGGAGGTATTGGACCACATCCGTCGCGGGTCCTGCACCGTCACGGCCGGGATTGTCTGGGAACAAGGAACTGTCGGAGATTGTCCTTGCGGTAGGGGAGTCCGTCTCTGTTCCTTTTTAGCGCTTTGCATTCGATTGTTGCCGTATGGAGCGAGTACGAAGTATGCACTCTGTACGTAGTACCGCAGCAGAAGGGGTTCGAGAGAGTGGAGGTATGGCCAATATATGGATGGCATGGCAGAGTCCTGTTAGTTGGCGGAAGGCAGTGGTGGTTAGTAGGAAGCATCATTTTTGTACAGAGTACAGTATACCCAGACGAGTCTCACAATCTGGAACCATCTGGGTAGCACAGTAGCACCATATGGTCCAGATCATCGTAGTACTCAGTCAGAAAGGAAAGTCTCAGGGTGAAGTAGCGAGAGGGCTGAATTATAAGATGACCGCCAAGACATCAATGGTGTGTTCGCCATCGATGAGCACAATCACCTCACACACACACCCAGGTCTGACTGGGAAATTACCAACGGTGCGCGATGGGTCCTTCAAATAAACATTCACTTCAATTAAGCTTAACCACCCTCCCGCCTCGTCCATGTCCATCATGGACCCCACGGACAGGTGCGGCAGTGTTTGTCGGCAGTTAAAATCTGGATGCCTGCACCAGCGTGGGGACGAAGTATAACGTAGGTACGGAGTACGGAGTATACACTGGAAGAGACCCTGATCAGGGTCTGGGCAATCAAAAGGAGTAAACAATACGATCTCTGGCCTTGGCATAGACCCAGCCCTATCAGATAGGCTAGAAATTTCGACATTCACGCCTAAATGATAGCATCATCCATAGAAATGAGATCACTCCATTATCAGAATACTACGGTGTACGAAGTACTCCGTACTCCGTACTCTTTCCACAGAGTAATCAGGGGGGGCTCTTAAATTGAATATCCTCCATAATCCCAGACCCCTAAACGCCATGCAAATGACTTGCTAATGCACCCATATTTGTGTTCCGATATGATATCCCAGTGGCTCTTCCCCTAGTTGTACATATGCACTCTGTTCATGCCACCACAATCCAGCCCGTCACTCCAATTTATCCAAATGTTCCAGTCGCGTAAGCACCACTTGCTTACTCGTCTCTTCGATCTCGCCCGCGAGAAAGACCTCGTCCAGAATTGCGTAGACCTATTCCACATGGCACATTAGTATCCGCATTCCTGGGGAAAGGTGAAAGGTCCATGCGATCACTCCACCACCACCATCACTCACCTTATAGAAGTTGAAGACCAGATCTAACTCGCAAACATTGCCAAAGAATTGATCCAGCACCTCGACAAAGAAATGGATTGCTTCCAGGTACGCCAGCTCATTGTCATTGGCATCGACGCAAACGCAAAAGAACAACCCCGCATATCGCCGGTAAACAATCTTCGTGCTGCGGCGGAACTCGACGAAATTCGACTGGTACTTCTGATCTCTCGGCGCGACAAGACGGTGTACCTATATGGTCGGTGAATTAGTAGTCGTCGTTGCGGGGATGTCGGGGGTCGATCGCATCGCATCGCATCGCGATATGGTCATCCGTGGCGGGAGAACGAACCTCGCCCTTTAGTTTCACCTTCTCCTCATCCTGTATTGCAGATAGCAGTCAGCGTCCCGATTCTTGTAGATAAAGGAACTGTTTCCATTCCACTCACACTGTATGGCGCATACCACTTGGCCAGGCGCGTTTTGCCCCTATAACCCGCTGATCAGTAATGCGGACTTGGGCGCGGGCCCGGACCGGAACTTGGAGGGCGAATGATTCGGGAGCTGAGGGATATCACTCACTGGCGGTTCTGTACGATAATAAATGAGAGGACCATTGTGAAGAATTTCCAGCAATTCACCTTGCCAGCATCTGTTAAGGCCCTCGGTTGATGCTGGGGACGAAGCTTGGGGGGATCCGCTCGCCTCCCCGATATACTGCCACCAATCACCGCCCTTGGCCCCTTCTATACTTAGATTGGTATACTACATCCCTAGTTGCAAGTTCCCACAACAGTATTCTCATACTTACAGTACTCTAAAAGGAATTATCTGTATGGTATCCATGTGGTTATCTAATTTCGGCGCCTATCGGTATCTAAGCATCCAAATGGCAAAGCAACCTTAAAGCGGGCCAGAGATCAAAAACCAGTGAGAGCGTGTTAAGTAGTGCAATGTATACCTAGTTATCTAAATAATTCGGGACTAGTACTTAGATCCGTCAGGCACCTGAGCATATGCTTAGTCTGAGCTTCTTCCAGCCGTTGATCATTCATAGCGGCACCGACATACGCGCTGCCGATGATGTTGATCAATCACGGTGATCCCAGAGATGTTGTAGATGGTCGTATCTGGACAAGAGGCGTCACCTCCACTGCCGCTGGCGTAACCGACCTGGGAGAATGCGTGACTTGCTCAGCTGTAGATCTTTGCGCATTTGATCACAGAGAGCCTTTTGATCAAGCACTTATTGATTTGCCCAGAGAAGGAGTCTTTACCGTACACCCTCAACTCCAGTTGTTTTGTCTTCTCAAAGCATTAGATGTACTCGTGCCAGGCTTCCTTCCTCCACTCACGATCTTCCTAGCACCCACCGCATCATCTCCGAACAGTCCATCCGGCTCGAGAGATACCGCAGGACTGGAGTTGAGGTACCTTACCCTTGTCTGCAAGCCAAGCAATTAGGAATCTTATGACTGGAGGTTCTAAACTCCACCGTAGCAGGAAATTGGAAAGCTATCATCCTAGCTCTCTTTGAGTTATACTCAGAGAGTATGTTTTTGGCCGGCATTAATCGGTGATATCGGCCAGCTCGGTCCAGGTATCAGCCTCAGCACCCTCCAGTGTTTCATGGTCATCCTGAATCCCAATCAGCCAGGGTAAGCAGATCCGACGTGTGCGTGTAGCCGGGCCATTCGAACGTCGGATTCCCTCAATAGTTCTCGTATCTTTTGCCTCTCGCTGCTGTAGCTTGGCTGCTTTTTCCCATCGCAGTTGGAATTATTCTTGGGTATCATGGTGGCCCTTCCATAGTTCCGCTGAGCTGACGTAGTCAAATAGACGGCAGATCCCATCGCCGAGCAGGTCATGCGCAGAAATCAGCTTTCCATAGCAAAAGAGTGCAATATCGTATTTTTCCGAAGCGTCGCTCTTTTCCAGGGCGTCGAGCATTTGCTCAATGGTGTGGATTCTCTCCCCCTGGATGGTCATATCGGAAGATATAAGCAATGTGTTAGAAAGATAAGTCAATAAGCACCAATAGATTGACAGAGCCCAATAGATGGGGGCTATCAAGTCGTATGAGTGATGGACCATTGTTAAGCTCATATCGCTCAAACCCCGGAAGGTATCCCCGAGGCGAGCCTGTGCTGCAGTCGGAGAACGGGTGTTTCTGCCAGTATGACTGATAGGCTTCAATTCCTCGCTTTTCCTGGCTTCTCTTTGCAACGGTAGTCTGTTTGCTATATAGGCTAGCCTCACGTTAGGCAGGTTTGCCATCATATTTATAGTCTTCGGTAAATTCGTCGTCCTCGGCGGCTTTAAACCAAATTGACGATCTCAATGGCGAAGCTTTTCAGGTGCGTTTTTGTAGTCCCCGCCACAGATTTCGGGTTTCCATTCGGTGTTGTACTTCTTCTCGTCTTTCTTCTCCCACAGGAGCGGTTTGATACTATGAGTGTATCCGTCTCCGACCGACCCATGCTGCAGAGCTGCTCTTGAGACATTGAATCGACCAGTGGCTGTCATGGTGGACCCGGACTGGGTTGCTTTGATAATGCATTAAAGTCTGTAAGTGCGGTCAGCGAATGAATTTTACCTGGGCTCTCAAGAATAAACGCTCGCTTACTGATGGAAGTTGGATACCACGCTCTCATGGACCCGAATAAGCTCCTGGGAACCATAACCTTGGAACAGGGATAGCATACTCTCCTCCAACCTCCACCTCGGAGAGGATAATCACGTCTCCAGAGCTCTCCCTGAGAAATTCTCTGAGTATTGTGGGAGGGATGGGGGGGGGGTCCAAAATGCGGAAAGTTTTGTGTGCTTCCTTCTCTTTCAAAATTTCGGTATTTATACCGGAACACGCCGGGTGTTGTCGAACGCCGCCAAAAGGGATTGATAAATCTATATGCCCAAGTCAGTGTCCGATGTCATTTTCTCCAGAAGAGGTGACCTACCTGACTCCTTCTCCGGTCATACAAGGATGGCTGGAGTTTCTTTAGGAAAAGGTACTGGAGTGGCGGACAGTAATGCCATGTCAGGCTTCATGCGGTCCAGAGCTGGTTGTGGTATTCTTCTCGTGATGAAGGACACGCCTGGTACTTAAGGAAGTTTCCTTTCAGCATTTTGATTAAAGACATAGAGAAATAAAAGAAGAAGAAAATTCATGGAAGTTTCCTGCTGAGTCAGTTCCAAGGAGCTTGTTTGTCTTTTTATTGGACTCTTTTCACCTACCGGCAGTTAGGATTTGCGGGGAATGAAGTTAGTGCATAGTAGAAAGATCTACTAGTACGCAAGAAATTCACAAGGAAAAGAATGAGAGCTAAAGTATAAGTAGCGCATTTGTCGCTAATGTATAGTTTTTATTGAAACATTGGCACATGGCTCTATGGAAGAGCTTCGACTGACATAAGGCGTGGAAATTCGTGAAGCTCCGATCTTAAGGTTTGTTGTTTGGCGTTTGAGATATGGCATGCGGTGGGTAGGAAATTCATTATATGGTTGCAGTTGCGATCGCGATTGCGACACGGTCGGAAATTGTGAGTGGATTCAAGAAGAGCTCATGCGGTTGAAGAGCCTCGTCAGACGAGCCTAAAATAGCCGAGGCATGTTAGCATGCGAAAAACTCCGTAAAGGGGAACAGAAGAGGAGATATGCTCTGATCGATCCTTCACGTACCGTATAACTCTGGGGAGTCCCCGGCTCAGTCGCAGCTTGCGACTGGGCCTCGGATTTCTCATCCACGTAGCTATCCTCCTCCTCCTCATATTCTTCCTCATCCTCGTCCTCGGATGGAGGGAAATATCTCTCCGGATCACCATTATAAACCATAAACCAGCCAATCTTCTCGCCGGGCGCTAATCGATCGCGGAGTTCCTCCAGCGCTGCAGTCTGATCGTCCGTCAGACCGGACCCTTGCTCGACAACATCTTCAATATTCAATCCCGGCCCAGCGCCGGGCGCAGGCGCCAAACCACCGCCGTCGGGGAAAACGACGACCTTCGCGCCGACATAGGCGTATTCCTGGCTCACGGTGTTACCAGTCTCGTCATTGGGATCGTACTGCTCGATGAAGCGCAGTTCTGGTAGTCGTGGAACGAGGTCAGGTTGAGTTTTTTTGAAGGATTCGGTCAGCAGCTCGGTGGTGAGTGGTTGCTGGATGTACTCGGCGGCGGCTTCTTCCAAATTATGAAGGACGACGTAGACTCGTATTCCGGTGAAACCTGCGCGAGGCCACCGGAACCCGTGGAGCATGAAGACCGGCATTTGTGTTTTGATCGGGTCGATTTGGTGGGAGAAGGGGAAGGGAGGAGGATTCGCGGATAATGGGTATTAGTAGTCGTCTGGACAGTCACGAGGGAGAAAAGAGGCGCGCTCCCATGTTACTACTAGTAAGATAGTTGAAATTGACGGAGCTCGTGTTGTCGAGTGGATGCATCGGATTGGAGATTCTCAATTTCCCGGACTTTTCTAACTGGGTTTAGTCCCACTTTTTAGTTTAACGGCGTGAGACTCCTCATTTCTTTACTATACTCCGCATACTAAATGTATACTATATGCCCAGGTGGTAGTAAAGATATGATTACTTTAGGTACTGACTGCCTACTAGTAGTATACAGGGTATGTGTGAAATTAATTCTGGCTGTGTAATGTATACCTCCCTTAACTTTTTTTACTCGCAGCTTGATATAACGGTGCGATCTAGATCGCCCTGCAAGATCGAGATCTACCCAGATCGATCAAGCCTCGATCTCTTTCCCGTCGCCGCTCCTGAGAAGATGTCCAGCTATACACCAGACTCGAAAATTTACTATTATTCATTTCAGCAGGCATTCAGTAGGCATTCATGGATTGGGAAAACGCTTTCCTCGTCAATACTACTGACATCAATTTAGAACTCAACTAGCGCCAGGCCAAATGAAATTACCACCCAAGACTATGTACGGTGCGAGAGCTTGCAAGAATGAAAATGTGTGACGCAGATTAAGAGATAAATTTCCAGCTCATGGGTCTGCAAGAAAAGGAAGCCAGTGGGATCAGGACATTCTTCAATCCTAGAAATTCCACCAGCAAAAAGGTATGAAAAGAACACAGAGTGGCTGGCTGAGCGCTGGCTGTCACAAGACCTTCTTCCTCGGGAAACTGCAGGTCTACGGTTTTCTCTTGAGATCTGCAAAACGCCGTGTCAATTCATCCAGTTCCGGTATCCCACCATTATTGCTATTCCCCTGAGGCCGTGACCCTGCCGCACCGGAAGCCTTCGTCGAGCCGTTTTCTTCTGGCCCCGGAACCTTTACCCGCGGGTTTGGGTTATCAGTCCTCGGTGCCGGCGGAGCAACACTAACAGGACTCCGACCAGCAGCAGGACCTCGTGGAGGCGTCGCTCTGCTTAGTTCATTGGTATCCGAGGCGCGTCTGGCCTCAGCGGCGCCTGCACCCGACTTTGACGGGGTGACTGGTAAATCGCCTCCTTGACTATCGTCACCGTCATCTTGGGTATCATCCACGAATTCAGGCGGCGCACTTCCCAGTTCATCCTGCGCATCTTCCTCCGGCCATGCAACACCATACGCCTTTGCGATTTCTCGAAGATAACTCTCCACCAATTCTTGACCAGGCGGACGCACGCGCAGACCCTTCAAAAGACGATCCGGCACCTTGACATTATCAATCTTATTCTCCTGCGCCAGCGTCATAAACTCCTTCCCATATCGCTCACCCAGCATAGTCCTCAGCATAGTCAGCTCCCGCAGTTCATGCGGGAAGCGATGCCAAGCGTAGAAAACGACCGTGGCCGCTTCATCCAGCGCAGTATCCATATAGGTGTCGTCATCATCGCTCAGCAGTCCAGCATCATCCGCAAGACTAGCCTCCTTCTTCGCCGCGCCCCCTCCCAACCAACCAAACCCAAACCTCGACCCCGAGCTTTCAGCAGTCTTGACCCCCGCACTAGCCGCCGCACCAGTCTGCGACTGCGTCTGCGACTGCGTCTGCTTTTTGTATAATTCCTTCGCGCGCAAGCGTGCGCGGGTCCCTTTTTCTCCGAAAGCGAGTTGGTCGAGGACGTTGGCGCGCGCGAGCAGGAGTTCACAGTACAGTTCTACCATCTCCATGACCTCGACGGCGATATCGGTTGCGATGACATTTTCGACGCGGATGCGGGCGGAGGACTCGCGGCCTTCGGCGAGGAGTTGGGAGAGTTCGCGGCGTTGGACGACGGAGGAGGCGGTGTCTTTCTTTTGGAGGAGGCGGAGGCGGGGGATAAGGAGGCGGAGGTTGGATACTAAGCGGGTCTTTTCGTCCATTGAGTTAGCTTTGGTCTTGGTCGAGTTCAGTTGGGTTTGTGTTGAGCAGAGGATTGCATTGCGCGCAGCATCCCATCTCATGATGGGGGGGGGCTCTCGTAGTCGCGGTGCGGGGTAAGCTCTAGGCAGCGAGTTTGCGATGACAAGGCATTATATGCAGTGGTGGTAGATTAGATCAAGTCGCTGTATGCGGATTCACTCACTGTTTGGGCCGCAGGAGGCATGTTGGAGGTGTTGATGTGGGTTGAACAAAGGGATGGAGAGGGGAGGTGGGGGATGCGCGGCCGATGGGTCTAAACACCCACAGTAGCATCTACTTACTAGTACCCCACTGGGTTGATGGAGGAATACTGGAGCCTCCAACATGCAAAATTGCGGAAAAGTTGTATCAAGGATAAAACTAGGCAGCACCGACTATTTTGACTAGCACTATTAACAATACAAAAAAAAAGTATTTTGAAGCCTATTGACTTGAACAAAAAGTGGTTGGTTCCAGGTTGGGGGTTCCTAAGGTTAGACCAAATGAGCCCCACAGCATTCATGGATATAGCTAGTAGGTATGTATACCAGATAAAGCCTGACTCGTGGCGCACATGGCGTTTCGTATTACAATTTAAGGACCACTTCAATGTTATGGGATTAAAGTTTCGATAAATGTCTCGCGGCAGTGTCTAACTAAACACACTGCTGAGTAAAGGGGTATATAATGATTCATAAAACACTGGCATCTATCGCTCAAACTCTTAAAAACGAAATACTTTTGAACGACCCTAAGACGATTCATGGCTCCATTGCGTGCCACGATCCATTTTCACTACCATGGCTTTCCCCGCCTTGAATTTTCTGCGCCGCATCCTTCAAAGGAAACTCGGAGACAGACGCAGGACCTTTCCTGGGTGGAATGTTGCCGAGTTTAAATGCGGACCCCGAGCGGGTATGTGAGTTGCTTCCGCCAGAGGAGCCCTTTGTGGAATTAAACGTTTTGCGGAAAAAGGGCCGGAGAGTTGGGATACAAGCGGCGACGATGACGACGTTTTGTTCGATGCTGATAATTTTGTTAGTGGACGTGGAATGCATATCAAGGGAAAAAAACACTCACAGCCCCCAAATCACCAAGGTAACAGGAACCCACACTGAGAAGGTTTAGCAATTTATCAAGCAGTAGCAGACTGGGAGACCAGGGGAAGGGGGAGATGGACGAACATGGGTCGGTATGGTTGGTGAACAGGTGCAGATAGGTTGCCTTCACGATAGTCACGATTGCGGATAGGAACGTCAATCCCATCATGATACATACGCTGATCTTCGTAGAGAGGGGCATTTGTAATTTCCAGAATACTCGGATGGGAACGACAGCAAGGACGATGTCCGTCAATGCTGTATAGGCGCTGACCCAGTAAGAGAAGTCGTCAAAGACATCCGGGCTCCAGCATGTACCGCCTGCAGTAGGATTCCAAAGCATTGAAGTGGGCTTGCATTGAAAGAACACAATGAAAACTGAGATCATGGCGAAGATAACCTGGAAGATTGACATCAGGTAGAGAGACCACCTGCGATATTCATTGGGATCCAGCAGATCCACGATCAAGATCGAGATCGAGATGTTTGGAAAGCTAAAAGCGCCTTTACAAGTATTGATCATGTTAACTTCCTGTTCAGAAACATGCGAAAGATATGCATCTTCAGATCAACGTACCAATGTTGAACGGAAATGCTACAATCTGCCAGTAGGCTGTCTTCTGGTAGCGTTCCATGCCATGCTCGGCAACAACTGCGGCGGTATGTCTCCCGAACCCTAGAGTGACGGAATAGGAGACAAATGCAGTAGCAATGATACTGAGAGCCTGAGAAATTAGGTTAGACATGACTCGCCTTAAGCTTCAGTGCCACCGTCATACCAATGAAAAGAAGATGAAAAAGTCATCCCATCCCGCCCGTCTGCTCTCTACTCGCGAGAATATCTTCAAAGCAACAGTCGCAATCGCAATCCCCGTAAACACCCATCCGATAGCATTGATCTCAGCCCCGCGGCTCTCGCTGAAATCAACATTCGTATCGAAAGCCATGGCGTTCGGTTCCTAAGGAACCGGTTCAAAATGTGGAAGAGAAGTGAATCGCCAGTGACAGCATCAACATGGCAGAGAGACTAGTTAAGAGCGATAAGAATATAGGATTGGCGCACAGGACCCTTCAAACTAGCTCATTATGCGCCTCGTACCCAGGAGCCAGGTTCACGATCCGCGACAATGGCATACATGCGTCCGTAAAGGAAGAAACCCCAATAAGGGGAGAAAAACAGTTCGTAACACCATCCTGGTTGAGTGGATCCCAAGGTACTTTTGCGACGCAAAGCAATATGTGAAGTGTCTCATCAAGGATCATGCCGTCTCGCTTAATTATCCGGTGGCTACCGGTAAGCCTCATGCGTCGTGGGCTGTATACTCTGTGCTACTCGAACGGACGGTCCGCGGTCCGCCCCCAACTCGTTTGACACGTTAATGACCCACTGCGGGTCAAGACTAGAAAATGAGGTGGTGATTGAGGAGACAGTCCACTGAGAGGATCTATCGATTCAACCCCATACGCCCCATACTTTTGCAGATGAGCGGTAGGAATCCGATTCATTTGCCCGCAAATTAATGGGGAAACGGTGAGTTTATTAACATCAAGATGGAAGGCTCGTTCTTAGGGACAATCGATCTCAGATTGCAATTTTCATTCGCCCCTGTCAACATAGACGAAGGAGCGCTAAGGGACTTAGCGTGCGACAATCGGTCTATTAGTGCTGATAGGTCATAGCACAGACCTATGCCTGACCTGGCCAGCCCGGGATATTGGGGACGCAACTGTGTTCCCAAGTCCTGGACCCTGGGCTCGTATACAACCCCCATTGGGCCTCCTCGTACCTTTCTGCTCCTCTCGAAGAAGTACCGAGTACGAATCAGCACAAAGGAATATCTTCTCCCGGGGGGGCGAAAGTCAATCGCCAACTGGTGCTTCGGCACGTCGGCACATGGCATTTTACACATGACTGAATTATCCCCCACTATTTATACTGTTGCCAGACTCGACGCGGCACTTAGCACGGTTACAACTTGATGTTCATTGGCTGTACCTGTCGGAGACTAGAAATGCCGGCCTCTCAACCTGTTGAAGCTAATCAAGTTTGTGAACCATTTGGGCTAAGCCCCTGAAAGGAGAAGGAGGGGTTGTCCTGGACTCGTTGATCGTGACGAGGCAAGCTCGAAGATGCCAGCTCTTTATATTTAGACGCCTCATTATATCAGGCTCGGCGCACTGCATTGCAGCTCAATTGTCTTTATTAACACGGGTTTTGAGGTTCGTCTTGAAAATGGTATCCCAGACCCCGTCAGAGATCCTGGACGGAATCACCGCCGCCCGTGTCGCATTTGAAAAGAACGAGGCAGGCTCAAGAGAGGCATTGATTGATTACAGCCGTGCACTGATTTCGTCCCTCGAAATCCCTAGCGAGTTTGTCCAGCGTACCTTCTGGGCAGAGGTAAGAAGGACACTAATTCCCCGTCCAATGTCCGCACTTCAGAGTCGAAGCTAACTCTTTTTTTTTCACTACCAGCCTGCCCAATCCTCCATTATTCGCATCGCGGTCGATGTCAAGCTATTCCAACACTTGCAGGAAGCCGGAGAGCAGGGACTGAGCCCATCGGCCTTGTCCGAAAAAACAGGTATCAATGTCGTTCTCCTCGAACGATTGATCAGACACCTGGTCGCCATGAACCTGATTACCTTCCACAACGGTGTCTTCCTCGCAACAACCCTGAGCAACCAGCTCGCGGCCGATAAATACCAGGATAGCATTTGCTTCTGCTACGACGTCTCTCGCCCCTCCTTCAACGGCTTCCCCGAGCATTTCAAAAACAACGGCTACATCCCGCCCAGCCTCAGCGGCACAGACGGACCCTTCCAATCAGCCCACAAGACAAACCAACCCTTCTTCGACTGGCTTGTCGCGACACCCCCTCACCTCGACCATTTCAGCTCATTCATGGCCTCCTACCGCGTCGGTAAGCCAGACTGGTTCGACTTTTACCCAGTCCAGGACCGTCTGATAGAAGGATTCGACGCCTCCGCCAACGAGGCTCTCCTCGTTGACGTCGGCGGTGGCCGCGGCCACGATGTCGCAACTTTCGCCTCGCGATACCAGTCCCATCCCGGCAAGATTTTCCTGCAAGACCGCGAGCCCGTTATTGCGACAGTGGACGTGGGTGCCGCCGGAGGTGGCTTTGAAGCGCAGGCCCATGACTTTTTCACGCCGCAGCCTATCAAGCAGGCTCGCGCGTACTCGCTGCACTCGATCTTGCATGATTGGGGTGATGACGAGAGTGTGAAGATTATTGAGAATCTCGTCCCTGCGTTAAAGAGGGGTTATTCGCGGGTGCTGTTTAATGAGATTGTTGTTAGCGAGGAGAAGCCTACTCTGGCAGCCACCAATATGGATATGATGATGCTGGCTCATTTGAATGTTCGCGAGCGAACTGAGGCCGATTGGACGAGTCTGCTTGCCAAGGGTGGGCTGAAGGTTATCAAGTTTCATACATGCCCGGGTGTTGCGGAGAGTGTGATCGAGGCAGAGCTGGCCTGAGCAAAAATAGGAACCACACAACCCATAAGGTAGATATTAGATATTCATGGTAAAGAAATAAATTTTGAAACCAAGAATTTTGTTGGCGAGACTTCTGGTAAAGCACTCATGTCCGTTCAAAGCCCGAATACTACTAGATAAAGTGAAGAGGTTGCTGAACCTTTTATTCAATTTGCTATTTAGACGATCAACTAGCCATATTTCCATCAGCATGTACTACTAAAGTCGCCAAAAACCTATGCCGGGGCGTAATAGGCACAATGCCAGGCTTAGCCCCACCCGCGGAGCCCTATTTAGGTAGTCTAGTATATGGGTGCCCAGGTACATATAAATGTGCCAGCATACTAACTAGTACTTGTACTACTTACTAGTATGGCCACGGGCAAGTTGAATGAATGACTTCTTCCTCTTTTGAAATATATTATATCCGAGATCCGCTAACTAAATCATGTCTGTTTCTTCGCCGCCTCCTTCATCTCCCCACGCTCTTTCACCAACCCCGCCAGATTAGTCCCAACATCCGAACCAAGGTTATTAAAGCCCTCAACAACACCCTTTCGATCCCCCTCTCCCAATTCCTGACTCATCTTAAACTTTCCCCCAATACTCTCAATGGAAACTTCAATACCGATAATATTCTTCTTCATAATATCGATATATCGCTCCGGCGCATCGGACACCTTCCAAGGCCCAGGCTTCCCCCCTTGACCCGTATGACCCATCATAGAAGTCTCGCACAATTGCGATAAGTCATGAATCTGCTGCTGAAGATATTGCGACGTTTCATCCGAGGCGGAGTCATAATAGATCGTAGCTTTACCATAAACCTGGGCTGCGGCGTAGTTCCACGTCGGCACAACCTTCCCGGTAGCCGGCTTGGTCTCGGTATAGAATTTTGGCGTCACGTAGTGGTGATCCTGGGCCGTGAAGAGAATCATCACGTCTTGCTGGAGTTTTCTAGTGGGCGAATCGGCGCAGGATTCCATCATGGCTTTGGAGTGGGGGTTTTGTCGGGCCATGTGGCCTCGTAAACGTCCTTTGACGGGTGCCGAAGGGTCATCATCGTAGATATCCAGTACCCAGGGAATATGGCTAGATTGAAGGAATGGGTAGGATGGTGAGTGAATGGCGGTTGTGAGGACGCCCAGGGGATTCTCTTTGATGAATTCGAAGAGAGCTTTGATTGAGTTCTCTGCATGTACTGCTCGGAGATACATAGTGATGCGCAAGAGTGAAAAGTAGTAGGAAACTTGGAGTTGTGTGTATAGTTGTGAGTCAAGCACTTTGATCTTGATCTACTCTTTATATACCACTGCCTGCTGTTCAGCAACCAGGCCAATCGCGGGGCTTTCGATTTGCTGTTCGTTTGTAATGCGGGCTTGTCATTGGCTCTTCCCGCCGAAGATAATTTTAAGTAATCGGTAAATTAATTATCCCACGCCCTATGCCTCTGATCAAGAATAAGTTATGGCTCATTCATGCAGATTTGGGTAGAACTAAACCATAGAAGGAAAAGAAGAGGAAATTTGAACAGTGGAGACCAGCGATGACTCTTCTGAGTGGACACGAATTAAGCCGGCCGAGAAATTCGAGCTGTTTGACCAATGAAATTGCGGGATAACCCCCCGGATTAGGAACTTGACGGGAGTGGGGCAAGAGGATCCCAGAGCTAAGGTCTACATGTTCTGATATCTGTGTCGCCGAGTGTAGGACTTGCAGGAATCTGCTAAATAAGAACTCGTCTCTTACTTTCAAACTTGAACAAAGACAACCTTCTGAGAGAAATAACACACAACATGGCTCCCGTCAACAACGCTCATCCCTCAACCCAAGCGCTGCATGCCGATGACTACTTGAATTTAGTGAATGACGTTGCACCACCGATTCACCTCTCCACAATCTTCAGATATCCTAATGACCCCAACCAACTAGTCATACCAGAAGACCCGATCGTATGTATCCAAGGCAAACCAACTCCAACACTCCATCGACTTCAAAGACTAATGTGAGATATAGGCCGAATTCGATGGCAAGAATTACGTATACTCCCGCGAATTCGCACCCAACGCAACCCGTTTCGAAGCAGTGCTCTCATCTCTCCTAAAGGGCCATGCCGTGAGCTATGCCAGTGGACTCGCAGCTCTCTACGCCGCTTTGACCCTGCTAAACCCACGACGTATCTCCGTGGGCGACGGCTACCACGGCAGTCATGAAGTTATCTCGGTGATTTCCCGCCTGTCGGGTCTTCAGAAGCTCGACCTTGACTGTCCTGCCGAAATCTTAGAAGAAGGGGACGTCATCTTGCTCGAAACACCCGTCAACCCTCTCGGAACCGCATTCAACATCGAAGAATATGCCAAGAAAGCGCACTCCCGCGGCGCTTATCTGATCGTCGACAGCACATTCGGACCGCCGGGCCTCCAAGATCCGTTTTTGTGGGGAGCTGATATCGTCTTCCACTCCGGGTCAAAATATTTCGGTGGTCACAGCGATATGTTATGTGGTGTAATTGCTGTCAAGCGAGAAGACTGGTTGAAACGGCTTTACGAGGATCGAGTAGCTCTGGGAAGCAATATCGGCAACCTGGAAGGTTGGATGGGCCTTCGAAGCTTGCGAACTTTAGAAGTTCGAGTTCAGCGCGCGAGCGAGAACTGCGCTCAATTGATTTCATGGCTTGATGGTGCTATGAAGGCCCCGGGCCCGGCCCCGGGTAGCGAGGAGTTTATCGTTCAGGCTGTCGTCCAGAAAATGTATCATGCCAGTCTCCAGGATGAGCCGTGGTTGGTGAAGCAGATGCCTTGTGGATTTGGGCCGGTCTTTTCGATCATCTTGCATAACGAGACTTTTGCGAAAACACTGCCTAGCAAGTTGAACTTTTTCCAGCATGCTACGAGTCTGGGTGGGGTCGAGTCGCTTATTGAATGGCGGGCACTGTCTGATTCGAAGGTTGATCGCAAGTTATTGCGAATCAGTATTGGACTGGAGAACTGGGGGGATCTAAAAGCCGATTTGTTGCAGGCATTTACCTCGTTGGCAAAGGAATTATAATCTAGATGAGATTAGATAACCAAGAATTTGACATGAAAATTAAGTCATTATTCGTATGTATCGTATGTTCCTAAAGCCAAAGCCAGTCCCGGCCCAAACTTCCCATGCTAAATATCCATTGCGACCGTTCTTCTTTTGTTGAAGATTCCTTCTGCCAGTATTCCTGCAGCGTCTTTGCGGCATTGACCGCGTTCAAACAGTTGGTGATATCCCAGAATTTCTCAATACAGCTGATGAGAAAGTCTCTTTGGGCCTGCCATTGGCACTCCAGACCAGCGACAAACATTGGCCATAAAATGCATTTGAAGATTTCGAGGTTGTCTTTCAGAGACTCTGTCACGCCGAGGAGCTCTGTAACCAGATGGTTTTGTTCGATCGACCTTTCAGTCAGAGCATCCACGATGCGTCCTGCGTAAAGTAGAGCACCAAGCTTGTATGCTTCAGATAAGTTACATAACCCTATGATCTCTTGGGATGAAGAATTCCTGGATCGCTGGAGACTTTTAGCCCAGGCGTAGCTGTCAAAACTCCTGATAGTTTCGATTAAAGATGCTGTGTCCTTCAGGTAGGTATTGGCGGAGACCTCATCAAGTGGCCTTTGAGCTTCGGCTAGGCTGTCCCTTTGCACTGAAAGCTGTTGAATTACAGTCAGTATATACTCGGGGCATCCGAGGAAAGAGGCTTCAATAGCCTCTTCGTATTGCTCTTTTTGGTGGTCGAAGGATGAGATATGAGATAACAATTTAGGGCGCAAGAATGCCCCTCCAAGCGTCTCAATGCTGCGGGTAGTTGCAAGGTCAGCAAATTTCAAAGCCAACTGCCCTCATCTATCGAGGGTAAACTCACAAGTAAATTTGTTTGATGATGAAGCCTCGAATTTCTTCGAGTGTTCGTCCAGGCCCCTGATTAATACCCTCCTCCGATTCAGGATGCGAGAAAGTAGATGCGATTAAGTTTTTCGCCCCCTGTAGATGAAAGTTCCAGCCATCACTGCCCGATTCGAGAAGATCTAGAAAGATCAAGAGGAAGATGCTGGCAACAGTAGTGTCCTTTTTGCTCAACTGTGCATCACGCAGAGAGTGTGATAATGCCTCCATCGCTTGATGTTTAAAGGAGAGGGCATCCTGGTTCGCATTGGCAAGCTGCAATGAAGAAGATGCCGGTAATTCAGTTTGATGGAATGAATGACCGGTGTTGACATGGTGACGGGCCGCAAGCGCAAGAAGCGCCTTCATTAAAACCGGGTCTTGATATCCCATTGGAATCAGACTCCTAAATGGGTTCCGGTTGCTGTCGTATACGATAAAAAGTTTGCATATTCGGTCATTAACTGATTGGTTTGAGGTCAGCATGCACAATTTTTGAGCGGGGCTCCATGCTTACAATAGTCAATATAGTACTGGGATTTTCGATCCAAGTGTGAAGTTGAAGGGTCGTGTAGAACAATAGGTAAAGTTGTCGTATCGAAGATAGTATAGTCTGGTTTCAAAGTTAGTTTGACTAGTGATAAATCGGAGCCTAATCCCGCGTTTTCCCCACGATGGATGGACAGACCTTCCGCTTTCCGGGGCCTCTCCGAGTGGCATTAGATTTCATCACCACCCGTTTCCCGCCAGCAGTGGCTTCCGCAGCTTTGTTGGCGTCGTACGATCGGCCCTGCATTCGCCCGCGGATAGCCACGCCTTTTACCCATCGGAATGGCCGTTTGTCGAGACATTCCAGGCCAGCCTTCTGACATTTGGCGCACGGCACCCCGGTCTGGTCACATTGGATGCGACGATTCCGACAGGTGTAGCACGGGCCGTCGGATTCTGGATCCATTGTGAGGCTCGTTGAGGAGTTGTGGCGAGATAGTTTGCATTGATGAATGCGGGCAGTCGTTTTGCTGACTAATATCCTAACTACAGCCTCCTGGCTAGGAGAATGAGAGGGCTATCTGTAGAAAGAGTTGGCTCATGTTACTGATATCGCCTGAATTATGGCTGGCAAGTACTGTAAAGCTGAATTTACAGAGTGCAGTCCTGGTGAATGCAAATTCCCATCTTTCACATTGTTGTTTGCTTGTGTCGGGAATTCCTGCATCGAGCGACTTTCAGCCAAAGCTTCTTTGTGTCGAGAATTGGGTAAATTTCATAGATATTTCTCAATCCAGTCACAAGGAACTTTTCAGATCAGTGTTTGATTTAAGTCTCGAATTCCTTCCGTGTCTTTCCTTTATTTCTCCCTGTGCTCAATGCTAACAAGAATCAATCTCTATCACTTTGAAACATTGACTCCTTGAAGGAAGTAGGCCAGCTCCGCGCAATTAAATTGTAAAAGTAATATTGCAAAAATCTCACAAATAGTACTGACGTGAGCTGTTAGATTGATTCAATTTCCGTCAATACCACACTCGTGGGCAGCACTGATCAAGTCTTGGACGAAGAAGAAATCGAGCGGGAAACGTAGCTCACACAATGCCTTGAGAAGGTCGGGAAACCTCATTATTAGTCAAGCACCTAGGTAAATCCTTTCCCCTATCCCACTCTGCAAATATGTGGGCAAAGATTGATTGGCTGTCGGTGGCATTATAATTGGTAAAACCAAGAGAGTAGTAATGTCAGGATTAGGCCTGTGCACCAGGAACAGTGGGGGTGTTCCCTCGGTATACCTGATTGGACAGAGATGATTGAACAAGTAGTATAATTAGAACCAGCGAGCAGTTGTAGTGGGGAGTTCAGTCTGATCTCGGTAGTACATATTTGAAATCATTGCATTGGGTCCAGATCGCTTAAGCCGACATCGGGGAGGCCGGCCACGAAATAAGGACACGCATGTCCGTACTAAAGAAAACACGAAGAGGGAGAGAGGGAGAGAGGGAGAGAGCAAAATTAGCTCGCGAATCAACAAGGCTCTCGTATGGAGTCCTGCACGAAGAAAATAGGCTGCCGGGGCCGATGGAGACTGTCAGAAGCACAAGTTGCGACCAAACGAGACCTGATTGGTAGACCCATCTGTGCAATCCCGTGCTGTGGTTGGTCGGCTCGGTTTATGACATCATAGGCAGTAGACTAAAAAGACGCGATTCCCCTTTGGGAAGAGATATCAGGTTCTTAGTTTGGTTGGCATGGATGAGAATGTGCTGATGGTGTTTCACTTTGTTCGGTTCCTATCTTTGGATTGTGCGTTGGATGAGATGGGTCCGATGGTTGGAAATTAGTATTTTGGCCCGACGAGAGGATTCCTTATATTTCTGCTCTCTGCCACGCTTTGGCTGTGTTCTCTTTTTCCTGGTAGGAGATCTTGGAATTCTTGTCACTTTCTACTATACACTATAACACTATACGCTTTATACCTTGGCATTGCCTGTACTACTCTCAATCCTTTGAGACTCATCAATATCGATCAGAAATGAGTCGTGAGTTTACATCAAGGTCTTGAGACTGGGATCGAATGGCCTCCCAGTTATGGCGCTTTTCATAACTCAACTAACCTTGATACCTTTCGAGTCTTACAGCTATCATCCCTCGCGATTCAATCTTCAAAATGGCAACCGCCACCTCCCTCCACAAACGTGACGGCGCAAACTCATATTCTCTTTACGTCTTCGTTATCATTGTTGGGTGCATAGCAACTGTACTTATCGGTTCCGGCATCTATCAAATGTACCACGGAGATGACGAAGAGAACGCCTACGACATACCCCTTGAGCAAAGGAAATACATGCGTGAAGTTCGACAGCGAAACCTCAACACCACAGCCCTTGTATGCAATAGGCCAGACATGGTCATTCCTATCGCAGAATTGAACTACTGAGATTGAGAATCGGGGCAATACAAGAAAGCGGGTACGGGTGTTTGATAGAACCGAAAAGGCATGGCTATTGGCGTTATGATAATTGTTTTGATAAATTTTTATTTTTTTTACCTTGCATATCACGGAGCAGACAGTGCGGACTAGTAGTATACAATGGACATTAAATGGATGCGAAGATATTATATTATGAATACCTAGTAGATACTAGTAATGAATGTGTTGTAGTAAAGTTGAAAGTATATACCAGATGTTCAATATAACTGGAGCTCACAGATTGAAAGAGATGACTTAGAATTTACACGGACTTCGCGCGGGAAACTCGTCCTGGCAGTACATGCACCTAAGAGAAAAGAAGGTCAAAGATGGTAACTGTAGATTTTCAAAGCCCGTTTTCCTTATGTCCAACAAAGACCCCTCCAAACTCGCTCGGTTTAAAAAACATTTTACCGGTCGTCGAATTAGGAACCCATATAAATAACCCAATGCATATATCAATAACGAGAAGTAATCGGACACCCAAGAAGCTTAAAAAAAACAGTCGCTGAGGAGCGAAAAAAGGGATATATAAGTCGTAAAAATAAAAAGATGATGTCAACGTTGACGTCGTCATGAGGGGGGAAAGCGTTCGCGATCGAACGGATGTAGAAGTGTAATAATAGTGGGGTGATTAGAAGTGAATATAATGTGCATGTCTTGCAGTCGGAGATTTCCCGATGCGGCGCCTGTGAGTGGCTTCCAAGTCATCTATACGTTGGCAAGTCCGATTCGCAGGTGCGACTGACCCAAAAGGATCTAGTAGTTCATGACCATGGCAGCCACGGCACCGAAGAGCAGGCTGACCATCGAGACAGTAGCGCTGGAAGCACCGTTACCGGGAGCCCCGGTGGAGGACGAAGCAGCCGCAACAGCCGTGCCGGTAGCCGACGAACCAGCAACAATCTCAGCGGAACCAGTGAAGACGTGAGGGCGGTAGGTGTAGCTCATCGAAGGGCTCGACTTGGGCAGCTTGGTGCTGCTGGAGGGGGTCACGGTGGAGGTAGGAATGACAGTGGAAGTCGAGGTTGCTGTCGAAGTGGGAGTAGGAGTAGAGGTGGAGGTGGAGATGGAGGTGGAGGTGGTGCTGGTAGTAGTGGGAGTGGGAGTAGATGTGGTGGTAGGGGTCTCGGTGGTCGAGGTAGTGGTAGGAGTCGGGGTAGGGGTGCTGGTACTGGTACTGGTACTGGTGCTGGTCGAGGTTGAGGTGGCGGAGCTAGTCGAGATGGAAACGGTCTCAGAGCTGGAGCTGTCGCCGTCGCCGGAGCTTCCATCAACATCCCAGACGACAATATGAGCGGTAGAGCCCTTGGGGACGGTAACGGTACAGCCAGTAGCACCACCCGCACCGGTCATGATGCTGGAGCCCGACATCTGGTTGATGCTCATGGTGGAAGGATCGATCTTGCAAGGAAGACCATTGCAGCCACCGCCCTCGCACTCGATTTCGATACCGAAGGTCGGCTTGACGTGGCGGAAAGGAGTGGTGGGCTCCAGGTAGATGGGGTTCCAGCCGATCTTCACATAGGTGTCGCCGTTGGTGACGGTGTTGGCTCCAGCGGTGTAAGGGGACCAGTTACCGACGGGGTTGGCGTTGGTACCCCAGATACAACCCTCCTCGGCAGAGACACCGGGAGCGTTGATGTAGTACTGGGCAGCGGTCTCGCACCAGTAGGACATGTCGGGAACAGCCAGAGTCTCGAGTTCCTCGATCAGAGTGGGGATCAGCATGGCCTCGTTACCAGGCAGGACGGTCTGGCAGAAAGAGACGGCCTTGCTGGCCTTGTTCTTGGCCTTGATGGAACCGGAACCATCCTGGCAGTAAGGCTTGTTGGGGAAGGGCTTTTCGATCTCGCCATCCTCGTTACAGTACAAACCACCGTTCTAGGATATGACCTGTCAGCGGGGGCCCTTGCATATGCATATATCCCTTGCGGGACATGACAGGTGAATGATCGACGCAACATACCATGGACATGGGGTAAGAGTAGGAAGTGGCCTTGGGATCCCACTGCATGGAGACCTGACCGGCAGGACAGGCGTACGGGCAGTAGTTGCCGGGCTTGCAAGGCTGGTTGGGGCTCATGGCCCAGCCGGCGTTCTCCTCATTGGGAGTGACAGAGACGAGGCCGGCATTAGATGGGAACTGGCACTGGCCACCACGCTTCTCAACGGAGACATTCTCGGAGCGGCGGTGGAGGTGGGAGTGACCGTGACGGGCAGCTTCAGCGCTCGCAATGAGAGCGACGAGCGCAGCAGCGCTAGAGGGAGCGATGTTGAACTTCATATCTGCGGCTGTGGGTTTGTGTATCAAAAGAGCGAATGACTGGGGTTAACCGAGAATCAAAAATAAAGAATGTAAGATGGCCAGAGGCCTTGGACACAAAAAGCTCGCAGAGAATGGGGTCGAAGAGAAAGAAAGTCCAAAAGCTGGCAAAGACGACAAGAAAAGAGGTCCAGCACAGCCAGGGCCAGGGCCTCAGGGCCCCCCCCCCAGGGGGACCGAACCGGTTTGGACCCAAAGAGGGCCATCGGGAAAAGAGGGTCCAAAAGGGTTGACCCTGAGTGGACTGGAGACGGTTCCCCATCAGGAAGGCTGAGCGGTCCCCTGAGGGCGCTAGTTGGATAGCAACAGGAGACTAGAGCTGGAGATGTACTAGTGTGAGTGGATAGTTCAAGTTAGTTGGAGGTTAGTTTCAGGGGCAGAACCAACTTGGTGTAACTGATAGCCAATCACGTGGGTTCCTTCCCCGGGGGTTCGCTCCTTTCAGTGGAGATTTGCACTTTCAACTTTCTCATTACCCACTTACGGAGTGACCTCGTTCTGTTTGCTCGCCTCTGCTCACCTTTACATCTGCAATTGCATCCAATCATCAAGTTCCATGCCATGTACGAGCTACTCCGTGCAGGTTGCCCACACTACGGAGTACTCAAAAGAGAGAGGAGTGTGAGAATCGGTACTTAGTACTCCGTATCCACATGACTACTCCGTCCCATACAATACTCCATACCCCTATCCAACTGGAAATCGCACATGAAATCTCACCCACTGATCATCGTCCTCCTGACTCCGGCCCCTACTGGATTCTCCCGCTCATCCTAATCAAATCCACCAGCATATGGCGGTCCTCGTGGTCTGGACCTGTTGATCATGATAGATATTTTGACCATGCCCAATCGCAGCAGCCCCCCCATACTCTGATACCCCATCGGAGCCGAATCCTGGTCAGAATCAGATGGGGCCACGCGCACGGTACGGAGTACACACAAGGCTCACGCAATAGTGGGTTGGATGCCGCCTTGCCAAGGCCGTTGCCTTGTCGGTGATAGCCGTTGAGTCGTGGATGTGGCCTGCCATAAAGCTTAGCACTCTCAATCTTTGCCATCAAACAAAGTGATGTATCCTTGCTCTTTGGTTCATCCGGTTTGTCTCAGTCTTGACCGGTGCAGGTTCCTTCCCGACCTGAAATCGATCATCAAATATCATAGCAGTACGGAGTACTCCGTAAAGGGGCGCATAGGAAAACACTCCGCTCCTTTGCCAAGAGAAGTGATCCCGAAGCGAATGAATTATACTTCGTACACATGGCCGTATTCAATAAGGCTTCCCCGATACCCGTACAAGGCGGGCTGAATACACTTTACTATGACCCCCTTCAACATCTTGATCGATCCCTTTAAGAGAATCATGGCATCAGTAGTATATCTACCAATCTTGTTTCCTACTATTCAACCTCATTGACCAAACCTGAGCAACCTTGGAACTTTATGGCCAAATCTTGGGATCGACCCAAGCTAAACATATGGCGACAATGCCGAATAGGCGAGTTCAATGACCAGCAATTCTCTATGACGATAGGGTTGCCCAAATTGACTTGCACATTCCGTCAAGATGTCGATGGCAGTTTCAACCGGGACTTCGTGCAATTGAGTCAAATCAGGTTCAACACAATGCCGCTGGGTGGTAGCAGCTGGCTCCGAAAAGTTCTGAAAAGGAAAGAAAGAAACTTGGAGCCCCATTCCATCCCATCGCTGAGAGTGGTCCCCAAAATCTGAACCCGAAAACGCCCAAGAATGCCAAGATGAGCACGACGGTCTCGCAGGCAATAAATACATAGCCCACTCGAATGGGATAAGCGTGGCCGTTAGTCAGCCGCCAACTGATCTGCACAGCCTCATCGTCAGAATAATTCGATATCTTTGAAATGCCAGGCAACCGCTGTTCCGCATCGCGAATGTAAATCACTTCATCGATAGTCTACTCAGGAAGAATTGAATGGACTGTTGAAAATTCACCCCCCACCACCCATCATGGCCAGTATATCAAGAACCTGTCAGAGTTGCGCAAGCTCGAAGGTTCGCTGTATTCGAAATGCAGCAAATCCGCACGTCTGTAACCGGTAGGCCATCCTAAATTGACTCGTGGTGGCATCGAACTAGTAGGATTGATGGTATTCTAGCTGCCTCCGCCTCGGTCGACAATGTGTTTATCGGCAAACCGGACGCCGATTTCATGGCTTTCAAAAGGATCGGTAGGCTTGTTCCATAGAATGCTTGCAGCTGTATAGTGGCTCATACTCACCTAGAAAGATCGAGGCTCTCGAGGCTCAGGTCCAGGAGTTATTGACCGATCGAACCATGTGGGCAGAAACTTCTCAGGTTCCACTAGAACGAGAGGCCAATTCGCGAGCTATCTCGGTCGCCTCGGATGATGGTGATAAGGATGTCGTTGATCGAGGATATCTGAGCATCGAGACAGCGCAGACTTATTTGAATGTCTTTCAGACCGTGATGACTCCCCATTTCCCTTTCGTGATCATCCCGCCAAATGTATCAATGCACCACCTCCGCCAGGACAAACCATTCCTGTTCCTCGCCATCCTTGCTTCTGCTTCCTATGAAAATATGCCGCTGCAGCGATCTCTCGGAGGCGAAGTGAAAAAAGCCGTTTCTGCTCGCATGATCCTAAATGGAGAGGTCTCATTTGACTTGCTGCAAGGGCTGTTGGTGTTCTTGGCATGGTAAATAAAATCAGCTTTCCTCTAGGTGTCAGTTCTAACATTACGACAGGTCTCATTACCATACAAAGCCGCATCGCTACACGCAGTATCTTCAACTGGCGATAAGTGTCGTTATTGATCTACGGCTAGATCGAGCAACACAGGCGAAAACGTGGAAGACGAAACTCCAGTTTCGAGCCGACGAGCATGTAAATCAATCTACTTCTGACCGACCATCACGTAGTAATGACGAGAGGAGAGCTATTATAGGTTGTTATTACCTATCGTCTTCGTAAGCAAAATCGATATTGAATTGTACTGGAGACTAACGATATCTTAGGATCGCGGTTCTTCTTCAAAAACATTCTACTTTCCCCTATGTCTCGTACATTGAAGATTGTAGTCAAGCACTTCACGACTCGAATGAGTATCCTCACGATCGATACATAATGCACATCTTGCAACTACAACTTATTGCGGAGAAAATCGATCGACTGTCCGCAGACCACGGAGACGAACTGTCAATACCAGGGTCTGGAGCAGAGCTCTACGTGAAGAGCATAAAAGATGACTTATCAACCTTTCAACAACGATTACCGTTCAATATTTATGACTCTCGTAAGTGATTCTTATGATGCATAGTGTGCTATTTCTCCGAATTCCCAACTAATTGAAATTTTCCCAGCATTCATTGCACTCCTTTTCAAATCAACCAGTCTTCATCTCTACCAGTTAGCCCTCAGCGTGACAAAGCAACAACCCCTCTCATCATTCCAAGCTGCTCCCATTCAAACTTGGCGGGACGAATTGTCGAATGCTGCCGTCATTGCAGTAGAATCGATTCTTGGCATCTACCTCTCGCTCCCACCAGCATCAGAACTTGGCTTCACTAACACGGAATGGGTACAGCTGGGCTTTGCCATGCTCATTGGGCTCCGTATCACGGCTGCATCACCAAGCCCCGAGAGAAAGGAGGCATATCTTCAAACTCTAGCATTGCTTCGACAGCGTGTAGGAGCTTTATCAACACCTTTTGTCGACCACAATGGGGATCGGGACGTCTTTGTGGATTTTAGAAAGCGGATCCTTCAGATACAGGCCCGTCTTGATGGGGGTCAAAAGAATGATACTCCCAGTGGTGACCTTCACTTTGAGGGTCCCATCAATGGCACTCAGTTTATTGAACCGGCATTCTCGCTTCAAGAGGCCGATTCGAGAGACTGGACTGACGCGCCGCAAGACATGCTTGGGTTTACGGAGAATACCGGGCTACCAGATGATTTTCTTTTGACCACTTCTGTCGAACAAGTGATGAATAATTGGATGTAGATCAGAAATCAGACTAGTGGGATGAATCAATTACGGGTTGTTATCGTGTGCAATAAAGCATTTACAAGCTTCATATTTCAAGTTCAAATCCGAAACCGAGACCGCAAATATCCATCTAGTACGGCGTGGTTTATGCCAAGTTTCCACTGAAAAGGTGGCAGTGTTGGGGGCCTTTGATTTTTATGTCCGATCCGCGCGGGTGAGGCTGCGGCATTAGGCCGTCAGCGAACAACTATCACCGAGCCGACCGACCTTCATAGCTTTGACAAGAGCACTAATAAAATGTACGCAATGACTCGGTAACAACAATGATATTTCGTGAGTACCAGATCATTAATCTTTTACCGCGAAGATGCTTTCCCTGCTCCCTCGTTTCCTTTCTCTCTTTCTTTTTTTTACTTCGGCACTGTCGGAGTTTACTCCGTGCCCATTACTGGGTCCTTTTTACCCTCCTTTCAAGGTCAATATAAACGACAAGGCTATTGAAACTTCCCTCAAAAATCTCACTGCTAGATTCGAAGATCTGATGCGCACTGGTGATGGCGAAAATGGACCCGTCAATATCAACACTACCTCCTTTAGCATCGCAGTGTTCTCTACCAACGAAGGAACTGCCGAGGATGAGCCTTTCTACTGGCAGTATCACTACACTGCTCCTGATTATAAGAACAGTCTCAACAGGCCTCGGAATGTCACCAAAGACAGTATATACCGTATCGGTGGCCTGACTGAGGTTTTTACTGTTTGGAGTCTCCTCATAACCTCGGGTGATGGCATCCTCAATGACGCTGTCACTAAGTACCTCCCTGAGCTCTCCAATGATTCATCGACGCAATCATCTATTCGTCAAACTAGATGGAACGACATTACTGTCGGTCAACTTGCCAGTCATATGGGCGGAATCTCCCGTGATTGTGAGCTTGCATTCGCAAATTCTCTCTTTTTGTACTAGTATATAAGAATCAGTGCTGACCCGCTGTTTATAGATTGCTCTAACGACTTGATATCTGAAGCGGCTATATCCAAGGATGGACTCCCAAAGCACTCGGATTTTGAACGGTCTTGCTGCAGCTCCGACTCGAAATGCAGTCAACAGAGTATTATAAACATGTACGGCTACCACATCATTTCCAGAGGCTAACTTATATAGAATTTCTCCAACAATTGTCTAAGCAGGCTCCTATTGTCAATCCTGGTCAAACTCCTGTATATTCGAACATGGCATTTCAGCTTCTCGGGTACATCATCGAGCGATGCACCGGTCATAGTTTCAAGAGTGTCCTCAGGCAGCAGATTCTCGACCCTCTTGAGCTGAACGAAACATCTGTATTCGCCCCCCTAAACACCCAGAATGCGGTCATTCCTGCCAACCAGAACGCAAGTGGCTGGTCGGCCCATCTCCCCAGAACTGAAGCGTGGGTTTCATTCTCTTACCTCCAACTAGGCCAACCACCATAAGTTAACAGTCAGAAAACATAGATCGACATCCATGTTCAGCAGTCTAGCTAACCTCGCCCGTGCTGGCCAGGCTATCATGGACTCCGCTCTTCTTACTACAGCTCAAACAAACCGCTGGCTAAAGCCTGCCACTCACACCGCGAACCCTGCCAACTCAATCGGATACCCATTCGTCATCTACAGCGGCGGCAATTACCCCAAGACTTCTCCTATGGTTGATGTATACACCATACTCAGCAACGAAGGCTACCAAGAGAGCCTATACAGCTCATACATGGGCCTAGTTCCGGACTGGGGCATCGGCTTCGTCATCCTCTCCGCAGACACCAAAAAGCCAGCCGATCTGAACGCACATGCGGATTACATGCAAGATGCTCTGAATGGGGTGGTCACTTCGGCGGTCACCCAGGCTGCTGGCAATTACTGTGGCGCGTATGCTAGCGCTGGTGGTTCCAACTCGTCTCTTTCTATTAACTATACGGAAAGAGTGGGATGGGGTATTTACATCGAGGACTTTACGAGTAATGGTCAAGATTATCGTGAGACTCTGTCGAAGCTTCTCGGTGTCTCCAATGAGACTGATCTTAGCATTCGCTTGTATCCGACCCAATTAAGTGAGAAGCACAAGGCTGGCTCGAAGCAGTCGTTCCGGGCTGTTTTTCAGGATAAGACTGAGTTGGCGGATAATGGTACCCCGACTTGCATTTCGTGGATGAATGTGGATAGGTACCAGTATAACGGCCATGGACTAGATGAGTTCATATTCTCTCTGGATAATGAGGGCAAGGTTATTGGCATCGAGGTGCCTGCGTTGGAAGTGACCCTAGAGAAGCGCAAGTAGAACTAGCAATGGCCCAATTCTTTATCTTGGTCACTGCACCATGCACCCCTGTTGTTATTCATAACTTTCATTTCAAATGTATTTGTGAGGATGGCTCCATAGACATCAATCTACTCAATCATTCCAACTGAGCCTTGAGTGAAGTCCAACCTTGGAAAACCGAAGTATCGCTCCCATCTCTCCACCCCCAAGCAATACAATAATGACGAGCAAGGAGTTGCCATTCTTCCATCTCATCCAGCATTTCCAGGCCTGCAACCCGCTCCTTCTCCGCTTCACAGATCCAATTCTTCCAGATAAATTCGATATCCGCACCCGCCTGTCCGTCGCCGAATCCTTGTTCCTTCAATCGACACCGCTGCGCTTCCAACGATGCATATTTGTGCAAAGTTTGAAGCTGAATGCCCCGCGTCGCGAGATTCGAGACCATTGTTCGGCCAAAAGCATCGTCGGGACGAATTGGTTCGTAAAGGACCAGACCTAGCGGAGTAGCGGGTTGGGATTGGAATAGATGTTCGGTGAAGAACTTGACTACTTGCTCTGCCTCGCTCGGAGAGAGATAGATCAGGCAGCATTCGGATACCAGAAGCGTAGGAAGTCCTCTCTCTACGCCAGGTAGTATAGTAGAGAGGTCACTGCCAGTGTTTGCTGAAAGTGATCGGAGGTCAACCGGGTGAATGTGATATGAAGGCGAGTGTAATGCATCGCCCGTTTCCGAAATCGACACTTCGGCATCCGGCGTGTCGATTCCTAGCGCTTGTCGTAATTTCGGTGTTGATCGAATAGCCTGGATCTTCGAGGCAGTGTTTACGGCAAAGTCGATTTCATGGTAGACGAGATCGGATGGTTGGCGCGAGGAGAGGATTCGAAAGACTCGCGTGTCGGAGCCGGCTCCGAGCGAGATGATCTGTTTACGCTTCGTTTGGGTTTGTTCGGGTGTATAGGGGCCTAGAAAGTGTGTGACGAGCTGGTCGATTGCTGTTGTGCGAACATATGTTCCTGGAAAAAAAAGAGAAGCGCGTTAGCTTGCAGGTTTTTGGACCAAACCAAACCCCCACCTCTTCCCCTTCCCGCGTCTGGCATCGCGGAGACGTGAACATACCTCTGTTGATAATTGGGAATCTCCTTGTCGCAGACCCGCGCGGTGTCAGTGCCGTCGCGTACGCGTCTGTGAGATAGCCCAAGTCAACGGCGCTCAGCCTGGAGACGCTGGCGTCATTGTCGGTGCCCTGCACGATGCGGTCCTTGGCTGATGGGCGCGAGTCTGAGCCATTGTCAGTCGAGCGACCGATTCCACGGCCACGACCTCGGCCTCGTCGAAGAGAGTTAAGGTTAGGGATCTGGGGGGGCGGCCATGAATGAGCAGCAGGAGAGAGAAGAGCGAAAAGAAAGGCGGAGTGGAAGCTTGGGGGAGCTTCGAAGAAGCTCGGACGTACTCGGTGGGGAACCCCGCGGAGCCGGAGATACGAATACTAACTATTATTAGTATGCATAGTACCAGTACTCTCAAAAGGGGTTTTCGTCTTGATTAGAAAATAAATAAAAAATAGTGTCAAGATTCTTACTATACGGTGAGGCTATATGAAGATCAGAATACTATCAAACCATAGCAGAGATGGTATAGCGAGCCTCATGTGACCACTATAGTCAACGGATTCCTACCACGTACAGTGTATGATATCGACATACTGCTGAGCAGGGGATAAATACATCGAATTCAATCTCACCATCTACTACTAGATACGAAGTAGCAATCATGATTCAATACGGTAGCCAAGTGCGACTCGCCGCCGCATAAAGCCACATTGGCTCTAGGGCTGACTGTGGCTAATTTGGGGGCTGAAACTTTATTGTCAAATATCAAAATAGTATCAAAATATCTTCTGACTCGGAACTTCTACTACCTACTGAGAGTCTTCTTCTTCTTCTTTTTCTTCACAGGCTTTCATCATGGGCCAGAATGTATCTGCTCCCAAATTAGGCGCCGAGCTCCAAGTCATCGGAGCAGGCCTCCCGCGCACTGGAACATCCTCATTCAATGCCGCTCTAGAATTTCTTCTCGACGGCCCCTCCTATCATGGGGGAACGCAAATCTCAATGGGATCACCAATCGAGATCCAATCATGGATGAAAATCCTCCAATACTGGAACAACGGAGACCCCAAGGACCGAGAGGCCATGAAGAACCTGCTACGTCAACGATTGGATGGGTATAGTGCAGTCACCGACGCACCTGCTGCACAGCTAGTCCCTGAACTTCTAGAAATATACCCGAATGCAAAAGTGATCTGCACCGTACGAGACCCCGAGGCGTGGACGAAGAGTCTAGCTCAAATTAGGGGCCTTGCTCTGATGTGGTTTCTTCGCGCCGTTTTACTTCCTCTTCCAGGAATGCGACACTTTCCAGGTTATGCCGATCTGCTATCTGTTCAATGGGAGAAACTTTACGTTGCCAAGCCTCACGATCATGGCGTGGATACATATAATCGCCATATTGCCTGGTTGAAGGAAAACGTTCCAGAGAATCGTCTGTTCTTCGTTAATGTCAAGGATGGGTGGGAGCCCCTTTGTAAGGCCCTTGGAAAGGAAGTTCCTAAGGATATCCTATTTCCCAGGTTTAACGACTCGCAAGCAATTGAAGAAACTGCAAAGTATCACGTTCAGCGTGGGCTCGTCCGTTGGGCTGGAATCATCGGGACTTTCTCTATCTTGGTCGGTGCTTATGTATATAACATTTACTAGTATTCCTGTGACTTCTCTGTCCGCTCTTCAACTTTCATTATTCAAATGCGATTTTATCTAAATGAGACCAGCGAGATATTTTTGGATATGCCGTGCATGGATCCCATTGATTATTGCCAAATTCAATAACAGAATCACAACTTTTGTCCAAAGAACACCATCCATGCTATATTGTTTTCATGCCCGATTCATAAAACGCCCCCCTAATTCCAGACCGAGTCCTGAAATGCCATTATATACCAAGAAAATGAGTACGAAAGCAAAACGAGATTCGACCCAACTACTGCGCATCAAGCATCATCATGTCTTGATCAATGTCGTCGTCGAACTCATCGTCAACGACCTCAAGCGCGGAGGTTCGGAAGCCATCCATCTTATGATTCCCATTGCTGAGCTCTTCTCTCGTAAGACGCTCCTCCTCTGCCTTGCGCTTCGCCTCGTGACGCTCAATATCAGCCAAACTCCAGGTTGAGATCCCTTCCTGGTCTTTGGCTTTGAAAGGTTGAGCCATGGTGCGCAAGAAGCTTTTGGCAGTAGAGACGGCCATATCGGTACTGAGATTGGTCTCACTATCCAACATAGCTTGATTGATCCATTTCGGAAGCTGGGGCCGTTTCCGCTCGAATCGTCGATCTGCTAATACCATGACTCCGTAGTCATCCTTTCCACGCAGTACACGGCCTAAGCACTGAGCAGCGTGTCGCATAGCGTCAAATGACAAGAAATCGTTCTCCCGGATGCGATAATTCTCTCGCAAGAATTCAAGGCGGGCTTTGAGAATGCGAGATTCGGTATATTGGAATGGCACGCCGATGCACAGCACGGCACGGCCGTAATGATGATCGAAATCAATACCTTCAGACACCTTTCCTCGTGCGACACAGAACAAGATTGCTCCACGGCCATTACAGCAAGCTGTTCGGTAGGTCTCTAGTGCGAGGGAAGACTCTTGTGCATCAGGCGTCTCGACTAGAATCAATTTGTAGTTCCAAATCTGGTCCAGGATACCCATACCCTGCCACATACTAATGATGGACTCCATATAGAGGTAGGAGGGGAAGAAAACGACAACACCGTCAGGTGTAACGCGAGCGAACTCCGTCACCAGGGTGCCGTAGTTCCGCACCACACCCGGATCATTGCGAATACCGAAGGATGACGAGACTTGAGCCTGATCGGAGCCACGAGTGACAATCATGGGTAGGAAAGATCTCCTTGCCAGTGTCATACTATAGGACTCTTGCATGACAGCGGTGAACCCTAGCATTTTAGGGTACATTTCCAACGGCGATAGGGTTCCCGAGGTGATGATAACAGAGCTGAAACGATCAAAGACCGGCTTGATCGCAATAGCAGCATCCAAACAGGTGAAATGCAGAATGGGGTTCGGAACGGTGGCGGCTTCGGACTCGAATGGCTCGAGAATGAGAACAAATCCCTTGTCATACGTCGCAACCAGGGTTGCAAAGGTTGCAACTTCCTGGAGTGGTTGATAATCTTCAATGTTTACCAATTCCAGAGTTCGCACGAGCGACGTCAACCGTTCGGCACAGAATCTTAGAGGCTTGCGCTCGATATAGGTGAGATCTTTTAAATGTGTGAGGAAGGACGGAGGCGTCTCTGAGATGGTATGGGTAACCTTCATCCGGGTTTTCAGATATTCGATGAATCGCTTCAAGAAGGAGATGAAATGCTCCGCGCGGCGAATATTTCCCGGTACTGCCTCCTTTAGCAAGTCGTCTGGCAAGACGGGGTTCGAGATGAATTGGTCCTCCTCCCGCGCCTGTTCCGCCTGCTGTAAACCCTCGACAAGCTTTGAATATTCATTTTGCAGTTTCTCGGCATCTGAACTCTTCATTTCTTCGATTTTGCGCTCCAAATTGCTTGCGCCTCGGGTGGCTTTGCGGAGGGAATCTTCGCTAAGATCGATACTGAGTGATTCGATACAAACGTTGTCGATGTTGTGTGCCTCGTCGAAAACGACAATGCAATCCTTTGAAAGTTCTCGGGAAACTCGTTCGGCGATTTTGGGATCAAGCAAGTAGTGGTAGGAGTAGATGATGATATTGCACCAGGGCATCTATATGATCGCATTAGCACCGGGAGGAAGGTATGAGGTCATCATCGAAAACGAACCATTCGACGAGCAGAGAAGTATGGGCATTGCTTGTGTTCTTCTCCGTACTTGAGGAGACCGTCAAGGGTGAACACGCCTGGCGGAAGAAGATTGTGCGGTTCGAGTAGATCGAGGTTCTGCGCTTGTTAGAATAAGCCCGAGGGCATCGCGGAGGGAGTTAGGACGTACATCGTGATAGACGCAGAGATCTACATCCTCGCCGCGCTCTTTCTTTTCCTTGACAAAACCAGCTGTCAGGCTCCTGCATCTCGCGTCGACCACAGTGCCGCTCTTCTCCCGCTTCACAGAAGGATGCAGACACAGGTTCTTTCGACTAGTCAACCCAAGAGCGCGGAATTCCTCCTCGTATCCGAGTTCCTGGGTTCTGTGTTTCATCAACTCCCTCAATTCTGCCAGCGCTTTCTCGATCTCGGACATAGTTCGCGAGCAGTAGATGAGTTTCCTGTGTTCCGGGTAATGTTGCTGGTAGGCGACGATCAACGACAGAAGCGAGACTGTCTTTCCGGTTCCTGAAGGCATCTCCAGGACACAGTGACCCCCGGCATCGAGAGTCTTTTTGAGATCACACATGTAGGCATATTGTTCGGGGTAGATGCGAGGGTACGGGAACAGCACCGGAAGATCACTAATTGAGAGAAACACCAGTTAGATGAGAGGAAGGAAGAGGCGATAGCCAGGAATTTAATGAGGAGAGCCAATACTCAATGAAGAACTTCATGTTGGCGGATGTTCCCAAGCTGCGCGCACACCCAGAGAAGCACGAAGGAAAGGAAGAAAGATCGAGTCGCAAGGCCGCAGCTCCGGTCTGGATGATTTCCTGTTTGGGACAGCAATGACCAATCATCACGTGACTTCCCTATCGGGTGGCCGCGCCCTCGGGATATTCCAATCGGATGAACCATACTTCACTTTCCTTTGTTCTTTCAACTTCGATTGTGGCTCCAATTCTCCCCTTGACTACTGGTGTGAATTGTCTTGAATCCCATCTGAGTTATTCTAGGGCCAATTGTCATTTTGCTGGTGTCCCACCGGCCCTCGAGTCTCCCCCGCCATTCCCGCTGACCTCATACCCCACATGAGCAAAAAGTTCAAGTCGCAGGCCTCCAGCAGTCGTGCTGCTGCCGGCGCCTTCGGTTCCTTTGGAGGTTTCTCAGGCAATTTTGGGAGCGATGGACGGGAGCCATCAGCTCTTACATACATCGCCGAACCGCCAGATCTGTCTCGTATCTCCGAGCAGACACTAGTCATTTCTTTCAAGAATTTGTTGAAGAAAGATGATATTACACGAACCAAGGCTTTAGAAGAGCTCAAAGAACACGTCTTATCTGTGGATTCTAAGAAGGGAACTCTTCATGACGGATTTTTAGAAGCATGGGTATGTGAATTGCTGGTATATGCATGACAGCAAATAATAACAATCGAGTCCAGGTTAAAATATACCCAAGGTTGTCAATTGACCTCTCTCGACGAGTGCGACAACTATCTCATACACTTCAGGGCTCTATCTCTGGCCTTGTCGGAAAGAGAATTGCACCTCATTTGCCCAAGGTTATTGGTGCTTGGCTAGCTGGTCTTTACGATAATGACAAGCCAGTTCACCGCGCCGCACTGGAATCGTTTATCAGTGTCTTCTCGACCCAAGATAAACGAAACAATGTTTGGAAGATCTATCAAAATTCCATTCTGGATTTTGTAGATGACGTTCTCCTCCATCAATCACCCCTAACCTTGAGCGATGAGAGGACTGTCAAGCGGGATGATGCTGAAGCGAAATACGCTCGGGTAGTGGGGTCTGGACTGCTTCTTTTCAATCGCATTTTAGGTATCGTTGTCCCCCACTGTTCTCTTCATCTCATAAGACATCTAAATCTCACATTTGAACAGGTGACTCAGAATACGAGTATCTTCAAAAGAATCTCTCGGAAATCGAAATTTTGCTTGGCAGTAAAGATTTATGGGGTTTCTGCAACCATGAGGATCCATTTGTTCGCCGATCCGTGTATATTCTTTTGCGAACCGCGGTGTCCAGAGAACCTGGATGGGTGGATTGGAAGCTACTCGGCTCAGCCATCGTGGGGAAATCCTTATCCATCTCACAGCTCGGCTCAGCTTCCGAACTATCTGAGACCATTCTTCTCTTGACCTCTTTACGGCCTCAGATATGGACAGAGGATTATACAGGAAAGACTTCATCTTCGAAGAGGCTCCGTCAATATATCCAGAAAGGATCACAAGGTGGTACGGGGAAATATTGGTCAAACCTTGATGAGCTGCTTCGAAAGCTCCCCCAGGAGGTCCTTGCAGGAGCCGAAAAAAACATCTACCAACGAGGAAATCAAGATCTCGAGTGTCATTGCTCTAACAGAGGCTTTTCAAGAAGGCCTCAATTCAAGGGAAGAGCCACGCCAAAATCTTTTCACTGGATGGAAATCCTACATTGAGGTTACTCTCTGGCTTGGAAGTCTCTTACTAGAGCAGCAACGTCCTGAGCTCATCCAAAAACGACTCTCCCCTTGGTGACACATTATGTGCGACCTGATCCTGAACTGACTCAGTGGTCGCTACCCACCCAGTCCACTGAACACATTTGTATCGACTATCTCTCGGCTCTTGTTGCGCATGACCAATATCAAGAAATAGAGTTACTATGGTCGAATTTGTCGAATGGGCTTCTTGAAGCAGTTAAGCTGTCATCTCCGGAGCAGTCGAAAGACTTCCGCTCATCTCAAGATTCGATCTGCGAACAGTCAAAACGTCTTTTTATCCTGGAGCCTTCGGTCATCTCGCGAGCTACAGAGTCGTCGCGGCTTAAGGAGGTTTTTGAAAAGGCCAATATTTCCCTTCTCGACAACTGCCTACAGGTTCTACGCTCTCGAAATGGAAAACCTTATGGCGCCGCCGGAGTTGTAGAAGAGTGTGTTCGCAGAGTGCCTTCTATCGCAAAACAGTCTAAGGAACTTCTAAGTTTCCTCAAGACGGATGCGCCCGAGCTTCTGTTCTCGCCGTCTGGTGATCGTCTGATTACTATAATTCTGGCATGTCGGCAATGGGAAGGATTCTCTTCTTGTTTTGAAGTTGTCGTCGAGCGAGCCTTGGAATTGGACCCCAAACAATCGAATGCCCATGTCCTTCAAAGCCTTCTATCGACCATCGATTTCAACGAAGTCGAATACCAAGCTAAGCTTTCTTCACTCGTGATGCGAGCTCTAGATAAAGCCTGCAGAGGCAGTGCCACACACTGGCCTATTGTTACTGCAGTTCTCCGGAATCAAACTTCTTGGAAAGCATTGATGGATCAAGTCTTCCTGTCAATTATTGAGTCGTTGTCTACGGAGGATAGGGTCTTCGAAGCCCTTCACGGGCTTTCTCAACTTGGGAGTACTGTTCCGGCTGCCGTGCGTGAATTCCAGGGCGGATCTAATGGCTCCAAGCTAACAGGGAAACTGCTTTATCTCACCGAGTCCCCTTCTGAGGAGGTGGCTGCCCTGGCTGAGTCTTTGATGAAGAATTTCAAGGAAACCGTTGTTGGTGATACGAGCACCAAGTCCAAGATTGAGATTCTCCAAAATGGCTTCTCTCGCGCAAGCGAAGAATCTTTAACGTAAGTAAAATCCCATTTCCCCTCAAGCCTGTTTACTAACATGGAAATAGGATTGATTCTCTCGTTGCTATCGCTGAAGAGCTGCTTCCTGGCCTTGGGACTAATGCAGAAGCCACAGACAGTCTCAAAAACGTTTTGCCCTCTGCGTCTACCTGGGAAACAGCTATGGCTCCATTCCTTCACCTACCTCCACGTCTCTCCACCGCAATCACTAGTCCACTGGCTGGCGCTGTTCATTTAATCCAGCACGATCTGTCCGATTCTTTCAAGGACTTAAGACTCAATATTGCGCGAGACTCGGCTCATAACTCCGCCGCGTTCCGACTTGCCAGCTTCACTATCAGAATTTTGTCTTCAACACACCTGAATGAACACATGGACAAAGAAGATCTTGAAACCCTCTTCTATTTTATCCCATTGGCCGTGCAGCTGATTGATGACGATCTGAGTATCGAGAACTCAAATGGAATCTTGGGTCTAGATCTGGCAGATCAGCGCGATGAATATGTTGAGCTTGTTTTCAAGGGGCGCAGGGTAATCAGTGATTGGGTTCACACAAAGGAGAATACTAGCTATGCGCCTCAAATAAAAGTTGCCTCGTCTCTGCTCTCCTTTTGGGAAAGCAAACTAGAGGGACTGAGTGGAACCTCTCCTCTTGATTATCGGATTGGCGAGGCGTTTGTCAAGATCATGGGCTCCGTCGAGACACTGGCGGCATCCAAGTCAGCCGATGATGTTGCGACAATTTGCAGAAGTGCTCGTACCGCCAATGCCATTCGGTCGGCTGCCTGGTTTGTTGTGCTGCGAAGTTCTATCTTGTCGAATCCGATCGGAAATCGAATTTGCAATGAGCTGGTCGCTGATTCATCTGGGCTGAAGCCGCAAAGTTCCTCTCCGGATGGTAAGTTTTTAGACAACTTACTATTCGTGATAGCGTACTGACAAATATTAGGACTCCGCAAACTGGCACTGCTCAATATCCTCTTATCTGGGGAGGAGAACGTTGTTTCAACAATCCCCACGCAACGACTGGTCTTTCTCACAAAGCCGCTCATCGAATGTCTTCAATCCGGGCTGCAGCCTCTTGGTCTGAGCGCTGAGATTATCAAAACATTATCATTTGTGCTTCCAGCTCTTTCTGAGATATACGGGTCGCACTGGGAAGACAGTATGGCTGTTCTGAGCACAGTGCTCAAAGACATCAGTGGGGGCGAAGAAGGTCTTCCACTGCTAGTATCCTCTTTCAGACTGTTCTCTAGTCTAAAGTCTATGACGGAGGGTGAAAGCAACGATGATCTTCAAGATGTCTGGCTTGAACGACGGGTTGGACTTTTCAACGAGTTGGCCGCTTCTGTCGGGAAGTTCGGTAAGCATACCTACCTTGATTTTGGCTACTTCTTCTCAATATGCGCACGAGGCTTACCTTTAGCAGATGGTTCAACTACCTATCATCAACCACGGGATGTCGCTGTCGATCTTCTACGACGCTTGATCATTTTCATTCCTATTGAAAAGTTGGATGATGTTAGCGAAGTCTTTTCTCTTCTGACCGCTCATAGTCGTGCTGTACAGCGCACCGCTTATACCCTCCTCCACCGTTATATTCCACATGCTCAAGAGCAAGTATCCTTCGACGTGGCTTTGTCTAAGTCCGCAGTCAGCCTGCCCGATGAGCTTGTATCTCTTCTACTTGAAACACCCACCATGCAAATGGTGACCATGAACTACGGTGATGACAAGATGTGGACTAGTTTAAGGGCATATCTCCTAAGCTGGAAGGTGATCTTCGATCATTTCTCCAATGCTGTAAGTTCTCAATTCGTTCTTAGGCATGAGCTCTGCTAATATTCACAAGTCACTCCCCGTCCAAGAATACTACGCCGCGAACATCAAGGAGAACAACGTGTTAATTCCTTTGTTGGAGTTTATGTTCGATTTTCTTCAAAAGGCGCATGGCAAAATCATCGACCCGACCAGGTTCGATATCCAATCGTTCCAACCCGATGAATCTGAGAATGCGGAGAAGGAAACACAGTGGCTCCTGGTGCACCTCTACTACCTTTCTCTCAGACATCTAGCCAACATGACTAAGAACTGGTGGATTGACACCAAGAAACGCGTCAAGGGTCCAGTAGAAGGATGGACTGAAAAATACGTGAGTCATTACGAGCCAGAACCCGACTCGCTAGCAAGATTAATAACCACTGACTTCGTGACTAGATCTCGCCTGTCGTAGCTGGAGACTCCATGAAGGGCGTCGAAGACTGGGCTGCCACTCAAGATCCGAATGAGGAGCGTGCTTTGACTGTTAAGATATCTCCAAGGACAGCGGAGATCATTGCCAGCATCCCAGTAGATGAGGAGTCTCCCCCCCGTCTCCATCTCGATCTCCCTTCCTCCCGCATATCCATTGCATCCAGCAATCGTTGTCGGGCGCAGCCGAGTCCTTGTCGACGAGAAGAAATGGAAGAGCTGGCTGCTCACCATCCAGGGAGTGATTATGTTTGCCAATGGTAATCTGGTTGATGGTCTGCTGGCTTTCCGAAAGAATGTGCAAGGTGCTCTGAAGGGTCAGAGTGAGTGTGCTATCTGTTATTCGGTTATTTCAACCGATATGCAGACTCCGAACAAGCGTTGCGCTACCTGCAAGAACACTTTCCACTCGGTCTGCTTGTTCCGCTGGTTCAAGAGCAGCAACCAGAGCACTTGCCCGTTGTGCCGCAACAACTTTGTATATGTTTGATTGTGTGAAGTAAATAGATGATAGACGTTGGGAATGACTAAAAGTATTATGGCATGATTCAAATAGTATCTCGTCACCTTATAGACATGACCTTCTAGTACATAATAGCTTCCAACCTTTCCTAGGTCACCCGATTCATGTTTTATCCCCTTACCTAGGAGGTTCAAACAACACACTACGGACTTTCCACGAATTAATAAATATATTTTTATTTTGACTCAAATGCTATATGAACAGGGAATGGCACTTTTGTGTTCCGCTGGACAGAAAACTCCATATCATCAACACATCAAGATGGCAAAGCAAATAGAAACGCAAAAAATACTTTAAAGTCGCAAAATCGGAATATACATCTAATAGGAAACAAAGGAACGACGATGACGAAAGTAACTCCGGGGCAAACAAGGCGACTATGCTACAGGGGCGAGAACATCGAAGGCACCAGTACCAACGGTACCGGCACGACCGACGACGATCCTACTACTGGGGCCCTTGAGATCGTCCCAATCTCTCTCGAGGACGGCATCCTTCAGAGCACCAACGGTAGTTTCGAAAGACATCCGAGAGAAGGGTGAGGTGGAGTCCTTGACCAGGCCATTACGGCTGAAGGCCTTGAAGCCACCGGACTGGGTCATCACATCACCAATCAAGTTCAGATGGCGGTTGTCGACGGAGATACTGTGACCCTTGAAAACGGCGTCCATTTCGCGGATGATGGTGGCGCGGGCGGCCTCAACACCGTAGAGGTGCAGCATGTCGTGGATGGAGTTACAGTAGAGCGAGTGGGGCTTGATGATGTCCTGGTAGTCGCGCATGGCGAGCAAGTTCACACCATCGGTGATGATGTTGGCAGGGTCGCCCTTGATGTCATCCGCCTCGACGAAGACACAGTTGCCCAGGTTGGGAATAGACTGAATCACGGCGTTGTGGCAAGCCTGCTCAACGAGGGGCAGGAGCAGAAGCTTAGGGGTCTCGATGTCGTATTGAAGTTGGATAGTGCAAGAGCCGCCCTTCTTAGGGTCGAACTTGAACTTGGTAACCTCAACGAACTTGCCCTTGACATCGTCCTCGCGCGTGTTGCTGTCGTCGTCCGATTCCTCATCGGAGTCGCTATCCATGTCGACATCACCAGCGGGGCGAGTTTGGTTCACTGTCTCGTCATCTTCATCGGGGGTGTCTTGACGGTTCATGATGTCTTGCTCATCGTCGTCGGGTGCTTCATACGAGATCTGGTTGCTCTTGTTCGAGTTTCCGCTGGCGCGCTTGGCATCATCCTCGTCGTCCTCGTCATCGTCGTCGCCCGGTTGAGCCTCGCGATCCGGTCCACTGGGACCATCAGGAACTCGGCCAACGGAAACACCAATCTCAGGTTGAGAAGTGGAAGCCTTCTGGCCAGTCTTGTCCTCATTACGCTTCTTCAGCTCAGCCCTGGTGAGCTTGATCAGGCGAGGAATGAACTTGGCTTGCAGGCCGTTCTGCACGTCCTTGGTACAGATAGCATACTCCTTGCAGTACTCCTCGGCCGGGAAGAATGTGAGCTCGATGTCATAGATCTTAGCCTTAGCATAACCCATGCCAGAACCGATTCGCTCCTTGACTTGCACCTTGTCAACAACCTCAGCGACACTGAGCTTACTGATGGCCTTGGCAAACTTCTCCGAATCTTCCTTGCTCAACTCCTCATTCAACAGCATGGTCATGGTGGGGGTCATGATGTTAGCACTTGCCGTCATGACAATTTCACGCAGTCGAGGAATACCCAGTGTGACGTTCTTTGCGGAGTGACCAGCCAAATGGAAAGTGTTCAAGGTCATCTGTGTCGAAGGCTCACCGACGGACTGACCGGCCATGACACCAACAGCCTCACCGGGGTCGATGGTGGACTTCATGTACTTCATGTTCATCAGAACATCAAAGGTCTTCTTTCCAACGGTGCCGGCAATGTCCTTCTTCTTATCCTTGAAGAGGCCATCCGGATTGTCATCGGTGTACTGTAAACGTTGGTGAGTCAGAAGATCATCTAAAAGGGACAATTGAGAAGGGAAAGGGTGCCTACCTTCTTGAGTGCTTGGGCGAAAGCCTCCGAGGTACTACCCAAGTTACCGCCGGGGTGATAGTGAGACAGAATGGGATCCATAGAATCAAGCTTTCCGGTCTTGCGAGCCTTCTTCATTGCCTCCTTGTAGGCGCCAACTTCTTCCTTTGCAATGGTGTGGAAGTCATCGGCCTGGACTTGCTTCGAAATGGAGACATGATTCTCGGCGAGGAATCCGAAATCATTAAGGTGAACCTGCTTCGTGATATCAAGACCATCCTCTCCGTACAAGAATTGAACGATCGAGCCATCCGAGGCTTCACGAACGGAAGAATCGTACTCGGCCTTCAGGCCCTCCATACCCTTAATCAAACAACGTTGCAGGTAACCGGAACGGGAAGTCTTGACGGCAGTATCAATAAGACCCTCACGACCGGCCATGGCATGGAAGTAGTACTCTTGCGGCTTGATACCAGTCAAGAAACGACCAGAGACGTAACCACCGGCCATGGGATGAGTCTCAAAGGCTCGGAAAGATGGAAGAGTTTTTCCACTGATCATGACAGGGACACGACGACCTTCCAAAACCTGTTGACCCAGGTTACAAGAAATCAGGTTGGCGTTAACGCCTGAACCCTTAGCTCCAGTGATGGTCATCGACTGCATTTGATTCCAAGGGAAAGGCTTGGCAAGACCGCTCGGAAGACAGGCCGCGGTGATTTCGGAGGACAGCTTGGCAGATCGGGCGTTGGAAACACTGTCGAGTCCACCTTGCTTATCATCATCACGGAGAACATCCTCCAATCGCCGGTTTAACTCGGCGTCTTGGTCAGGAACGTTGGCCTGGTCCAGAGTAACATACTTCAGGGCAACCTCCCGACCCATTTCGGGAGCAGTCTTCAGCTTCTCTCTGCGTGCGCGATCACCCTCCTTGGTCAATCGGAGATCATCAATACCACAAGTGAATGCCCGCATGTTCAGGAAACGAGTAAGCAGACGTCCAAGAATACTGAGCAGCTTTCCAGCAACAATGTGGCCGTAAATCTCGTGAACAGCATCAACGAGACCTCCAGCAGTTGGACCAAGTTGCTTCTTATCGAGAATACCGCACAGATATTCTCCGTCCTTGAAAATGACGGTGCCTTCTTCGTTGTCCTTGCCCCAACGATCACCGGGGGTGGAAGACTTGCCCTTGAGGGTAAGTCCAGCACGATCGGCAGGCTTGATATTCTTGAGAATCGTCGTGACAATCTGCTTACCAGTCCACATCGGCTTGGGCTTGAGGAAAGCGGGCTCGACTGTTTGGATGCGGTCGCCTTGAATATGGGAATGTTCGGGGCGAATACAGTTGTAGAGCAATTGGTCGTAATCTTCCTTGTCGAAGAAACTATCACGGCACGTAAACCAGACAGCCATGGAAATATGATCCTGGATCAAACCTCTCAGAGGCTTTCCAGAGGTGGCGACCAGATACTGGTGATCAGCGTCTGCCAATGTTCGGGCCTCAGCCTGGGCGAGCTCGTTTTGGGGAAAGTGCATGTTCATCTCGTCACCATCGAAATCAGCGTTGTAGGTGTTACAGTTGGCGTAGTGCATGCGAATGGTCCGTTCGTTAGGAAGAACACGAGCCTTGTGACCCATCATACTGTGAAGAGATTAGCTAGGAAATCGGATGGAAATCAAAAGGTCCACAAACCTGGGCTTGTGCAGAGTCGGCTGTCGGTTCAGTAGAACCATATCTCCATTGGTAAGATGGCGGTAGACCTTCTTGTTTCGTGAGCCCTTGAGACGCCAGTTCGACGGGGCGAGCAGTTGGTTTGCAAGAGCAGTACGCTCGTCAAGACTCTTGAACTTCAAGTTGACGACTTGGCCGTTCTCATTCTCGATCGCGGAAGCACCGGGGTACTTGTCAGGACCGTTAATCACAGCTTCCTTCATCTCCCAGAAGTTGTGGTTGGTGACAGGCTCAGGGAATGTCAGCTTCTTAGCAAACACCATGGGCACACCGATCTCATTGGTCTCGAGATTGGGATCAGGAGAAATGACGGAACGAGCAGCAAAATTGACACGCTTTCCCATCATGTTCTTCCGGAACAAACCCTCCTTCTTTTCCAAGATTTGTTTAATACCGTTTGGCAGAGAGGCAATGGCGGAGCCAGTCACGGAAGTACGCTCGCGATCAATGAGACCGTTCACTTGGTCCTGAAGCGTAACGATAGCTTGGAGAAGATCGCCGTAGTTGCGCACTCGAGAAAGAGCCTTCTCATCCTCATTTTGAATCTCCTTGGAAATCTGGTTAATGAGATCGCACTGCTTAAGAACATTGTTGAAGGGGGTGTTCTGCATAGCCTCCATGATCTCGCCGGGGCCTTGAGGGGCAGCCGGGCGATACTTGTTGGGGGGGGACCATGATGCTCTTGATGAAGAACATGTCAGCAGAGACAACCTTGACACCCTTCGGAGCCGGGCGAGAATTATAGACGAGCTGAAGAACTTCGCTATCCTTTTGGAACAGAAGTTGCATAGCACTGTAGGCTTCGGAGGAGGTCACGAACTCCTGGCCAAACTCTCCAGCCGTCGCCGTCTTTGTGACCGCCGCTCCACGGCGGATCTCCTCCTCAGCACCGTGAACCTCGGACACGGAAGTCTCACCGCCGTCCTGCTTCGAAGCAGACTTCTTTTCCTGGTCAAAAAGAACCAAGCTGTTGGGGGCCTGGAATCCACCGGACATCATGGCCAACTTTGACTTTTCGGTCAAGCCCTTTCGGAAGATCTTGTTGTAGCGATCCTTTCGGTATCCAGGTGTGATACTGAACCGCAATGTTAGCTTAGATCAAACTCTATTGAGGGAAAGACATTCCAATAGTAACGTACCCACTGCAGTTGTGACATTTCTTATTGCCGTTGATGTCCTTCAAGAATTGCTTCACAAGCTCTCGCCTATGCTCAGCAGCGATAGGGTTCTTGGCACCAGCCATTATTCCATCCAATTGTCCGTCTTTCTTGGCTTGCTTGATGCAGCGGGTGACGTAGGCAGTGCGCTTTTCCATGATGGACTCATCGTCCTCTTCTTCAGATTCTGAGCCATCGCCCTCCTGTGTCTTAGCCTTGGAAGCAGCACCCTTTGCAGATCCAATCTCTTCCACCTTGGCGACTTCTCCAGTCAAGCCGTATTGGAGGAGGCGCAGTTTGCAGGTATACATGTTGACAAGTGAGCGAGACATTTGCAACCGATGACAATACACACACTGAGCGCGAATCAAGCGGTAGATATGATCGAAGAAGGTGACATTGTAAACGGGAACTGGGAGCTCAATGTGGCCGGCGTGACCAGTGCAAGACCAAGAGTTCAAGCGACATGTAGTACAGCTAATCAAGAGCAAAGCAATTGTTAGTTAGCCCAAAAAACTTCATCAATAGAACATGAAAAGAACAATTGAGAGTAGGATCTTACACATGGTCACCCCATGCGCCCATAGCAGGGTCATAAAGACCGCCAGGAACCGGGTTGTTAAAAGAGTCCAAAGTCGGAGTATTCTGAATTCTTTTCACTGATAGCTTTTTGATCTCCTCGTCGGAGTAGACGGTAAAGTCTACTCCAGCGATACTGGAGGAGACTGGGCGTGCGAATGTCGCCATTGTGCCCTGTAGCTCCTTGAGCGACAAAAAACGCTATGCGAATGTCAGGAAGGCCTGGAAGAGTCTCCAATGCGGAACGAATGAAAAAAGTTGCTCGCAGGCGTGGAGCAACTTTTTCTGCCATCTTTCCGCCCTGACCGCCTAATCGTGGGATCCGCGCAGCTCTGCAGCTTTGCCTCCGTTTCTTAGGCATTGAATACTTCCACCTTCCACCTTCCACCTTTCGACTTTCCCTCCTCTTGGTCGTGGTCCTCCTGGCCCTCCTGTGCCGCGTGTGATCTACCTCCAGTCATCATCACCATGGCGGACTCAGGTAATGCGCTGAAGCGACCTCATCCCGCAGAGGACGATCATAATTCTCAGAAAAGGACCCGCTCAAACAATGGATCCCCGGCACCTGGTCAGGCTGCTCCTGCGGCACCCAAGATGGATATCGAAAAGATGGTTGCGGAAGCAAGAGCCAAGGCCGAGGCTGTACGCGCCCGTCTAGCAGCAGCGCGCGGCGGCGCGACCCAAGCAGTGCCTCCTGCAGCATCAAGTCCCGCGCCAGGGTCTCCCGCGCCGAGTGCTGCAATGTCGAAGTTGGAACAAATGAAAGCCAGAGTTGCTGCCGCGACCAGCAGAGCCAATGCACCTTCTCAACATCGACCGAGTGCCCCGGCACCTTCACACCCTCCGGCATTCGATGACGAGGGCCTGTCCAAGGCTCGTGGTGGTCTAGATGTTGGTCTCCATCCAGCACTTCTCTCCGATAAAACGCCAGACTTCCGTGGGGCAAAGGGTAAAGGGGGCAACCGACGGGATACACCAGGATCTGCTTTCCAGCGCGGCAACAAGGCTCGACTGGATCTATCTGGTCCTTCGATTGAGGATATCAAAAATAACCCATACTTCGATCCCAGTCTCGATCCGAAGGCTACCGTTGCCAAACCGCGCAATTCCCGACAGTTGATTTTCAACGAGAAGGGCAAATATATCCAACAAGCTGCGGCTCTTCGGCGACAGGCACAGTTGGAGGCTATGAAGAAACGGATTGCGGAGAAGGCCCGACAAGCCGGTATCGACGAAGATATGGATGTCGAAAAATCCTATCTCGTACCCGCACCACCTGCCATTGAATGGTGGGACGAGGGCTTGGTCAACGGAGGCGACTACTCTGCTATCGTGGATCCAGCAAACGTCAAGGTGGACACTCCCGACACGATCATCACACGCTATATTCAACATCCTGTGCTCCTTGAGCCTCCACAGGAAAAGCACCAACCGGCGCAAAAACCCATGTTCCTTACACACAAGGAGCAAGCGAAGATTCGCCGGCAGCGACGCATGGCAGATCTGAAAGAACAGCAAGCAAAGATCCGACTGGGACTTGAGCCCGCGCCGGCTCCTAAGGTCAAGAAGTCCAATTTAATGCGAGTTCTTGGTGAACAAGCCGTCAAGGATCCCACGGCTGTTGAAGCACGTGTGAACAAGGAAATTACCGAGCGTCGTGAAGACCACGAGGCCATGAACGAAAATCGCAAGTTGACCAAAGAACAACGGCGCGAGAAGCTTGCGAACCAGCAAGAGACCGATGCTCAACTGGGTATCTATGTCTCTGTCTACAGAATCGACAATCTTGCCAGTGGCCGAAATCGCTTTAAGATCAATAAGAACGCAGAACAAAATCTTTTGACTGGTGTCTGCGTCACTCATCCCAAGGTCAATCTGGTTATCGTCGAGGGCGGTAAACACTCAATCAACAATTACCGCAAGCTCATGCTTAATCGAATCGACTGGTCCGACAATCCCGGTCCAACTACTTCTGAAAAGACTGAGGGTCAACCAATATGGTGGTCTACGGAAGATGATAAGGGAGAGCCACGTGACTTCCGTGACAATACATGCACTCTACTATGGGAAGGACAGGCGAAGACACGTGTTTTTAGGAAATGGCTGGGTGCCAGACCCTGCGAGTCCGACTCTGCAGCCAAGGAGGTCTTGGCTCGTGCAAAGATGGAGAATTTCTGGGCGCTGGCGAAGAGCGCCAAGCCTGCTGAATTTTAAGACATTCTGAGCCTTTGGTTTTTTTGTGGCATAAGTGACTGATCCGATCTGCTTTTGCTAATGACGAGCGATACCACCTAAGCAATCGATCATACAAGTATTATTATCTCATCAACTGTGTGTCTTCCATACAGCAAATATGTATTCTATCATCCATACAACGTACAAGCGAACTAAAAATATCCGAACCAAATCATGAACTTTTTTAAATAGAACCCATATGAAAAACACATTAACCCCGATCCTAATGCAAATGGTTGTGTATTGAGATCATGTCAAGAAGCAAGAAGAAAAATTAAATCAAGAGGGAGGTGGCCCTTGGTTGTTGCTCAGACTCCGTAGAAGATCCAGCTGAGCTTTGACTTGGTCGAAGTTCATTGCAGGAATTTGTTGTCCTTGAGGAGCAGCTTGCTGGCCCGGTTGGGGCTGTTGATACTGCTGGGGCTGTTGCGGTAGGTGATATTGCTGTTGAGGCTGCTGAAATTGCTGCTGCTGCTGGGGTTGCTGCTGGGGTTGCTGGTATTGTTGCTGGGGTTGCTGTTGTTGCAATGCAGCCAAGAAGAGCGGATTGATGTGCGCACCGGGAGGGATAGATTGGAAAGGATTCGGCTGAGCGAAGGGTTGTTGGAAGGGGAACTGGAAAGGAAACTGTCCCGGGGTTGCGCCTTGAGGAAGCTGTGCTTGCTGTTGGGGCGCATACTGCTGGTATGGAGCGAAAGCCTGAGGCATGCCGAATGCAGGCTGTTGCTGCTGTTGAGGATATGCCGGTTGGCCATATCCAGCAGGCTGGTGTTGAGGTGCTGCAGGTGCATACTGCGAGCTGCTCCCTTGCTGGCTCTGGCTCTGGGGACGACGGTCCTGATCACGCTCGTACGAGCCTCCTCCTCGGCCTCCACTTCCTCGGCCACGACCACCTCGGCCACGGTCAGAGCCCCGTCCGCCGCGACCTCTGCCTCCACGGAATCCAGATGCTCGCTCAGTGCCCTCAACTGGTGCCTCTCGAGCTCCCATCATTTCGTGATAATTCTTAGGCCGGGCGAGGGTGTGTAACCATCTTCGCCTCCTGCATCGTCATAGTTAAGTTCGGCGTGGCTCAACTTGGAGGGACCGGCCGGTCCTTTCTTTCCACGTCCACCACCACCATCCCTAGCATCCTTCCTTTCCTGGCGCTTCTGCTTCAGTCTTTTCTTGTATTCAGCCTCCGCTTCGTCGTCAGAGAATTCCATCTCTTCATCCGCAACCTCCTCGTCGTGGAAGTTAGACGCATCACTTCCCTTCAGACCCTTTAGGGGCTGTGTGAAGACAAATGTCGAGTGGGCCGGAACATAGTAGACAGTCATATCCTTAGAAAGACCTCGTTCAGTAGGCTCGGCGGCGGTTGCGTACATGACAGTGTACAAGGGATTCTCGACTCTGCCAAGGGTTTCGGCAACAACGCCGAGAACCTTGCGATCTTCCGAGCAAAGTAATGAGCCCGACTCCAGAACTTGATACTCTCCCGAAGTGCTGGCTTCGATGAGAGCGGCATTCTCGATGAGAGTCTTAACTTTTCCCAGTAGTACAATGGGCATTTCGGGTGTGATCGTAACATCCGGGATTGGCAGCACATCTTCCAAAACCTCGTTGGTAGAACGAATGTATCCTCCCGACTTGCCCTTTCCTTCTCCTTCATCATCAGAGCCTGCTTCGGCCTGCATCAAAATCTTGGCCTGCTCTTCGGGGTGAGAATGGGGTAGTCTTCATCGTCGCTGCTGTCGTCTGAGTCGGACGAGCTGTCAGAGGAAGACTCGTATGGAGATGAATCGACCTCCCACTCAGGGTGTTCTTCCTCCCCTTGTTCCTCGTTTGTGGTGTTTTCGATCAGTCCACTGTTGGCATCGAGGTTGCTTTCCTTGGGTTTTTGGTCCACCTCCATAGCCTCCCCAGTGGTTGTGGGTGCTTCATCGTCGGCAGCCTGATTGACTGCGGTTTCCGCAGCCTCTTGCTTGGTGGCTGTGTTGTTGTCCTCGGATTGGGCCATAAGTTCATCCTTCTCCAGCTGCACAGTAGGAATTTGCGGCTCCTGCTCGGTCTTAACTTGCTGAGTTGGCGGGGGTTGCTGGTCGCTGGGATTGTTGATCAGGTTCAGTCCCGGGATCACTGGGGCTTGTTGTATAGGAGGAGTGGCTTCAGTGGCAGGTGTGGAGGTATCGGTCATCGTACTCGGTACTGGAGTTCCCGCAGGCAAGGGTGTGTTGTAGAAATCGCTACCATCGTCTGGGGTTGTTGCGACGGGTGGCGTATCAAGCATGGAAGGTTTCACGGGTGGAGAGCCTTCAATAGGCAGTTCAGACCCAGTTGAGTGCATGCGTTGATCACTCATCTTTATGAGTACCTTTATTAAAACAAGGAATTATTGTAAAAATAAAAAGAAAGGCTGTGACAAGAAGAAGGAAGCGCAAGAAGTCGGCGGGAACTTTTTTTTTCGGAAGTGCCAAAGTTGCCGTTGCGGTCGCCGGAGCTTTTGTTATCGCGCCTTATCGCCTACCACCAAGTGGACTCTTCGTCTCTAACACTTCCAAGATTAACATCTTCAATCCTCCAAGGTCAACATTACGCGCAACTGTGGTGGCACAAAGGGGAACACAATGGCTGGACCTGACAGTTCTTCTTCTGGCCCAACGCCTCGCACAAAGGCCCGGTATGTGAAGTTTAAAAATAATTGGCGCATGGTATATCTAGCTAACACTGCTGTCCTCCCAGTCCTCCACCTCCACCGTTTTACCTACCATTAAATGTCACGCTATATCTATGCCTCGTTGTCAATGTACTAGCGGCTTTATTCGCTCCAATTCAAGACTGCGATGAGGTCTTTAACTTCTGGGAACCAACTCACTACCTCCAACACGGATATGGCCTTCAAACATGGGAGTACTCGCCGGTGTACTCAATTCGAAGCTGGCTCTACGTGTCGCTTCATGCTTTTGTGGGCAAGATAGCATCCCCTTTCATCAGCACAAAGTCTGCTGAATTCTATGTGATCCGAATCTTCCTCGCCCTGCTCTGTGCCGCATGCCAGACCCGATTATACTCTGCCATCTGTCGAGCCCTCAACCCCCGCATCGGTCTAATTTTCTTGATGGTCTCCATATTCAGCCCCGGCATGTTCCATGCAGCAACTGCCTTCTTGCCGTCCTCATTCACTATGTACACATCTATGCTGGGCCTGGCTGCCTTCTTGGACTATAAGAATGGACCCAAAACAGCCCAGGGCATTATGTGGTTCGGTCTCGGGGCAATTGTGGGCTGGCCATTCGCCGGAGCTCTTATTTTGCCTATGATTTTTGAGGAGATCGTGGTCTGTTTTTTTGCCGGGTCTCTGGGTTCTCTCTTCTACATGATATTTGACGGAGCTCTCAGGTGCCTTGCAATTGCGGTAAGTTCCAAGTGCCATCTCATCTTTACCGTTTACCTCTTCTAAGACACCCTACAGGGCCTTGAAATGGCAGTTGACTATGCCTTTTTCCGAAAAATCGCGCTCGTTCCCTGGAACATTGTCGCATACAATGTTTTTGGCGGCCAAGGCAAAGGTCCCGAGATCTTCGGCACCGAGCCGTGGACATTTTATATTCGGAATCTCCTCTTGAACTTCAACGTCTGGTTTGCTTTAGCTTTGTTGTCTGGTCCTCTGCTTATCGTCCAAGCTCTTTTCCGATCTCATACCACATCCGTTCAGACCGTGTTACGCTCTCTCACTTTAACCGGGCCTTTCTACATGTGGTTTGGTATCTTCACTTTGCAACCGCACAAAGAGGAGCGTTTTATGTACCCCGCATATCCTTTCATCGCTCTTAATGCGGCCCTCGCATTCCATATCATTCTCTCCTATCTCGGGTCAAGTAACCCGAAAGAGGTTATCGGTCGCTTGCCAGCAAAACTGAAACTCGCCGCGGTCCTGTCTGTCGTCCTGGTGGCATTCAATGCAGGCATGTTGCGTATTCTTGGAATGGTCACGGCATATAACGCCCCCTTGAAAGTTTTCCGGCCGTTGCAGGAAGTGGATATAGCCCACGCTGGGGCATCCGTCTGCTTCGGTAAAGAATGGTATCGATTTCCGTCTTCCTACTTCTTGCCACATGAAATGCGTGCCAAGTTCATCCGAAGTGAATTCGATGGCCTGCTTCCTGGCGAGTTCCCAGATGCGCCAGGCGCCCTTGGTCGACTGGAGGGTGCCTCGCAGATCCCATCTGGCATGAACGATCTAAATGAAGAGGATCCCGATAAATATGTGAGTACCCACGGTATAATCATTTCATTTGGTCTTTGCGACCAGGCTAACCTAGTGAAACAGGTTGACATTTCACAATGCTCTTTCTTGGTCGATTCCTACTTCCCAAGCCGTGAAGCAACCGAACTAGAACCCGACTATGTCTTAGATGAATCCCAGTGGGACCGCATCTCTTGTGCAGGCTTCCTAGATGCATCACAAACAAACCTGTTAGGTCGGTTGATCTGGGTTCCCGATCTGCCTTTCATTCCAAAACAGTTCCAGCGGAAATGGGGCGAATATTGTCTACTCCAACGCCAAGCCGACACCACCAATGTATAGTATATGATGTCATTCATTCTTGTCCATACTCAGTCTACAAAACAAGTCAAGTAGCTATTAATCCGAAGCTTTCCTCTGGACCTCCACTCTGTAGTCAGCCCACTCCTGAGAATCCGGGGTATAAACCTTGCGCTAATATGTGCTTTACCCGATCGGGAGAAAAAGTCCCTAAAGATGGCTCGGCCCAACAGATGATAAGCGTGTCCCCCGCAGATAAAACCGTGTTTTGTCTCGTGAGCCATACGATCTATCTGTCTCCCTGCAGCCTCGGATCAAACGGCTCGAAGGAGATGAGATAAAGCGGTATCCCCTCTTCCGGTTTCCCCGCGACTTGTGGCAGTTCAGCCGCACTCAGTCGGTTCCTCGTCAAACAGAGAATCAAATCGCATTGGATTAACAGGAAAGGCAATTGATGAGAGATACTTTATCCAGGTAAGAATGTTACACTGCAGTTGGGCAGGATAAGGGATTCTGAGTTTACTATAATAGGGTACTACAAAGGACCACTTAGCATATTCCATTCAACTAAACACTATAGCGTCTTCGAGATATCTGTCTCATTTCGACCATGGATAGTACTTCAGTCGAATAAATAACCTATATCCATATTCATTGACTGTATATAGCTGTGTTATACAGCCCAGCATTGGCCATGGCAGTGGCCAAATTCCTCCACGAAACCCTCCTGTCCGTCTCACCGACAAAAGACCCCGTGGGCATCTTCCTAGCGGTCAACCTAGTTGTCTGCCTTACAGTCCTCGTTTCTCGAAAATGGATCGCACACTTCAGCAAGTCGACGAGACCTGGCTCTCCCGATCTAGAGAAACCGACAGCCAGCCCAGGCGTTAGGGAGAAGGTGACGAGGAAATTCGGTGGTGAGTAGCCCATCCAAGCCCAAGGTTGAGAGTGTAACTTTGGTAACTAATTGCGAAGCAGAATGGACACCTTCTACTTTCAAGAGGCCTACCGCAATGCCTTACTCTGACTGGGATGTCCACAACACCAAGCCCATCCCGTACAGGCCCTTTCGATATGGCCCGTGAGTTCCAAACACATAGCACATGCCAACTTCAGCTAATATTTGAAGCAGAAAGTATTTTATAACACTCGGCTTGAGAAGTTTGAAATGGGACGAATGGATAGGTAAATTCCACCTTAGCAGCGGTGCAGAATAAAGACTAATAATTGTATCTCTCTAAAGAACTAGACAACCATTACCTCAAATACCACGCCGACAAGAAGGCAAGAATCGAGCAACGCGGAGAAAAGTGCTTTGGAACCGCACCAGAGGCAATGGACGGTGCCATCGAACTACTTGAAGAACTGTAAGCAAACCTCCCTTCCACTATGAGGACAATGAACAAGACCTAACCAACCCTCAAATAGATGCACCTATCTCCCAGAGCGCTACCCAAGCATGTTCGAAAAGACCCCAACAGGAATAACCAACAAAGTCACCAACGAAACCTTCAACATAACTCAACGCCCCTTACCCGAAGACCCCATGGCGACAGCAGCCCGACTCGTCCAAGACGACCTCGCGCTAATGTTCGAACGACCCGACGGCGAATACTACCTCCTAGCCGGTGCCATCCTACTAGCCGGCTTCTGGCGCCTGAGCGACAAATTCGGGATGCGACTTTCCGAAATCCACACCTCGGGCGACGTGCCTCAATACCGCGAGAAGCTGGAAAAAGGCATGATGAACTTTTTCCGTCGATTGAAGCCCGAAGAGCCCGTTCTGCGCAATAATTACTTCATCCAGGTAGATGATAGTCTACCCTGGTCGCACAGTATTGGGTCCGAGGACGCAGAGACCGTGTCGTGGAATACGGCGCTGAAGAATAAGGCTATTGAGCATCATTTCTTTCGCTCTGAGAGGCAGTCTTTGAGGAGGTTGCCGAAGTCTGGAGCTGTGGTTTTTACTATTCGGACGTACTTTGAGCCTATTACGGAGATTGTCAAGGAGCCTTATGTGCCTGGTCGGTTGGCTTCTGCGATTCGGAGTTGGGGGGGATGATGTTTCGAGATATAAAGGGAAACAGAAGTATGAGGAAGTGTTGTTGGAGTATTTGGATCAGAAGCATGAAGAGCAGGTTGCGAATGGGCTAGAGGTAGAGAAGGAAGATGAAACACGGGCTTATCCGTTGTAATTAGATTTATTATTGACTTGCGTAGGTATTCCAAGTTTTATTTTAGACTCTAGCATGGTTTATTATGAGAGGATCTTTTCTCGTTTCATGAACACCATATCGATGCAGGATGGATGAGTAGAATTTTGGCATGGGATGTATGAGACTTCAGATATCTGCTGAAGCACTCGTCCTGCCCCTGCTATTTCGTCTGGCATATTCCAATGCCCGCTCTTGTCTCCAAGTGCACTCCTCGTTGAAGTCACAGAAACGACATTTCCAAGCCTCCATGACTTCAACGCCACGAGGATCACGCTGGCCGCGCCACCATTCCATTTGTTCAGTAATGTAGGAACTCATGGTGTCGGTATCGTAAAAGAAAGATCTACTTCCAATATGCCGGGGTTGGGGATCAGTCGTCGGGGCCGAGGACACATATCGTGCCGTGAGAACAGGAGAAAGGAGAGTCGGGTACTCCTTGAGCATATCCGGCTGGGTGTGGGATGGGATAGATGGCGCGACAGGGGGCGAGGTTGATAAAGATTCGGGTAGGAATGTAACACGGAGTTCATCTTTCATGTATTCCCATAGGCGTGCAAGAGTTCCATGTGTCAAGAGGACGCTTGTTGAGTCTTGACTAGCTTCGGAGGGGCTCGATACCGATGCGGACCCAGAAGACCTCCTTATAGCATCATCCATATCAAGCTCTGGGGAGGACTCGGCATCAAAAAACTCAGCGTTCAACCCACCAACTTCAGTTATGAACGTATCAGTAAATGGACGTTCTGGATCGAAACCGTATCGTTCTGCAAGAACGTAAATTGTGACATCGTCGCTCGTAATAAGACGGTTGAGCATATGGTAATACAATTGCAATTGCAGGAGTGTCGGCCGGAAAGATGTGCTCTTTACTGTAGGAGCCGATCCATTCGCCTTGGTCTTCACGTCTGTCATGTATATCCTCGGCAGGTCATAAACAGCCATGGATTCCTCTTCGGCGGGGTAAAATTCCTCCACGGGTTGGTGCTCAGCAAGGTCTTCAAGCCTCTTTCCGCCCTGGGAGGAAGAAAGCAAATAGTCCGACAAGGACACCTGGTATTCAGGCAAGGCGGCCCGTGATTTTGCTGCATCTTCATAAAACCTCACAGCTGTTGCCTCGAACTTGGAGTCTGGACATTCGTACGACAGCTGATCAATCACTCCATTAACCACCTCTCCGTCGATGAGGCCCCAAACTTCCAGTTCGCGAGTGATGCCATATTCACGCAGCAGCCGCAGTCCCTGAATTACATTCCATATCCTGAGGGCCCATGCATCCTCTTTGGTCGTAATGTCGACTGGCACGGTAGTGTATATCTCGTCCTCGAGGGTCTTGTGCACGATGCTGCCCTGTTTCATGGCAGGTGTTCTTCTTTTCCTTCCATGTTTGGTCAAAGTATACCAATACTGCAATTCACACCAAGCAGGCGAAACCAAGTCAGTTACAGAGAAGGACTTATTTGGTGGGCGTCTGAACCGCTCCACGGGAGACCTGGTGTCGATCGTAGCAGCCGCCTGTGCCTCTTGTGTCCAAATCAACTCACGTGCAGCACTGCGCTCCCGCTCTCGTTCTCTGCCTTCGGAGGAGTGAGGGTGTTCCACTAAACGCTTCGGATAATAAAGAGTCAGCTTGAGTTCGAAAATCTGTCAGAGTTGCACCCGGCTTGAAGAAATCCTTACCAAGCGGGCTGGACCTGTTGTTTGGTCCCGGACTTGCCCTATCTGCAGATCCCCTTGCAGCTTGCGGGCCGACCCAAAGACCTTGACTCGATTGTCTCCATGGCGAACGAGGCTTCTCCCGGCCCAGCACTTTAGGCAGCCGGACACCCGGGGCATTCTCAATACCATCTTCAATATCCGCGACGAGCGCCGCGAGAGTCGCAGGTTGTAAAGTCTCGATATCTGAGGGGTCCGGTAACAGTACCCCGTTTGTATTATGTGCTACCGGCACGGCTGTAGGGATCGGGGTCGAGGTTGAGGTCGAGGTCGGGGTGGCGTTGGGATGGATAGTCGCGTTTTCCGCGATGGCTTGGGCGAGTAGCTCGTTTAGTAGCTCGTCTTCTTCAGGAGAGAAATCCGATCCGTAGTCGCTGGAATCAGATTGTTCCCGCGGCAGTTGCGGTGAGCAGGACATGCCTGCGACAATCGAGAGAGCTCATTTCCCAGTGGCATGCGAAAAGTGACTCGGAAGATTAAGACGCGCCATGCGTCATCGCAGGTCAAGCTTGGGAATTCACGGCCGATCATTGGATATCGATCAACTCACAACTTTCGAAGATAGTTCCAGCCAAATACTGTTGAATCATTGGCTATGTTTCGACTGGTATATCCGATATCAAGTAAATGAGAAATAAATGAGAGAAAAGAAATCTAGGTCTATTGTCTAGTGTTGTTGGCCGTGGCCAAAAATGCATCGCTCATCAAAATAAATCCTCCCCCTTCCAACGCCGGTTATGTCAGGCGTGGAATCTATACAAAGGTCCCAATGTAAATTCTAAATAAGAGACAAGCCTTCGTATCTATATCAAGCAGTTCCTGCTGCGGAGACCATCTTACCATTCAAAGGGTTGGCTGGTTCTGAGATTGTGTCCTGAGCTGCTGCTGCTACTGCCAACTCGGCCATCTCAACTTCGTGTTTAGCCTTCTGGTTCAGCCAGCTCAGATATGTTTGCCAGCCAACAGCAATAACACCTCCAAAGACATTGCGGAACTGTGGTTGCACATAGACCAGACTGAAGGCAGTAACGGCAGGCCAGAGCTTGACACTGTTGGTAACACTGACGGGAAGGGCCTTCTTCAAACGCTCCCAGGTTTCCTCAAAAGTTGCACCACCAAGAAGGGAGTGGACGCTGAAGAAGTAGGTGTTGAATACGGGCGTGAAGCATGCCTGCTGAACTGCCACTTTTGTAAGGATCGACAGAAGCTTGGAGGAAAAGTTGAAGTTGTTGTGGAGCCACCAGAACCTAAAAATAAGAGTCAATTCTCTGTATACTCTGCAGACTCCTTGGGTTGATAGGAATCTCGGTGACGAGTCTAACTTACCAATGATATGACGGAATACTTGATCCCGCTCCGACAACCAGATGCCGTGCAGTCCTCCAGGGATCGTACGTAGACAAAAAGCTCTTCTCCGTGTCATCTTCTCCTTGTGCCTCTGAAGTCTCCTTCAGCTGAGCTTTTTCCTTTGGCGATGGCTTCTCGGGGAAAAGAAGCTGTGCACTCAGATCTCCACACAAGTATATGATGATTGAACTCCACACCTGGACAGTATAGGGTTTCCGTGCTTGAGCGCCCGAATACCACCTCCCAAATCGACCCAAAGGACTAGCTTGTAAGATCTCCTTGAATCCTCTAGAACGCACAACCTCACTAGCACCTACGGGTGTGGTCGCCGCACCCGCCGCACCGACTGCCGCCGAGGCGTTGGATGGTTGTTGTGCGCCGGACGAATTCGACTGTGAAGGGTTTGGTGAAGTTTTTGAAGTATTTGTGTTCACGGTCGATCCATCTTTGGTGGATTTCCCCTGCGCCGGTGGCTGCTCGGGTGTGGAGGAATTATATCGTTGGGGCTGTCGGACTCGTCGCAGCGGAGTTCGGGGTACAAATAATCGTGGTCGGGTTGCGAACGAGATGTGGGAGCCGATCCCTTTCTGAAAGAGGTTCATATCCGACTTTCAGGCAGAGTCGTATATCCCTCTCCGTATGAGGATTGAATCTTAGGGACGAGTCCAAGTATCAAAGTAGAAGAAACTAAAGGAAAGAAAATGATCACGAAAAGATCCGGGGGCCGAATCGCGGAGTTTGGGGCAGAGCGGAGTGGTGGCGATAAGAAATCTAGAGGCGATAAACGGAAGGTTTCTCCGAACAACAAAATATAATAGGAAGGTAAGCACAATACTTTCACTGTAGTGGAATGTGTGAAAATAATAAGAGGAAGAGAAAGAGTAGAAAGAGTGAAAGGAGTGAGAGGAGAGGCGGGTAAATAATCACGCCTACTTTGCAAGTCTTCTCCATAATGTTTAATGTTCATCCCATATTGTGCTATTGCACAATTATTAGTCATCTTAGTCATCCAAGGTTTACGCAATCACGTGCCGCGTCACCGCCCGAGCTGCACAGCGGACAGCTTGGCCAACCCCCGGTTTAGGCTCATCCAAGCTTGCTCGACTCCTATCTTGTGAAGACTCCCCTCTGACTTATTTCTACGTTGAGTCTGTGGAGGACCTGATTCGCCCGTCATGCCAGAGTCTACCGAGCCCCGGTTGGCTAGCATCAAGCCCCGCATCCGCTACAACACCATCGGAGGCATTAACGGACCGCTGGTCGTCCTCGACAATGTGAGATCCTTGGAAATAGCTTGACACTGGATATGGAGCTTGTCGCTAATTATCGACTCTTCGCTTCAGGTCAAATTCCCCCGTTTCAACGAAATTGTCACCTTGACCCTGCCCGATGGCACGGAGCGCTCCGGTCAAGTGCTGGAGGCCAAGGGTAAGCTCCCAGTCTTGCGGCAGTACCTCTGTACTTGCTATCCCCTCTCAGAAAAGATTTTACTAATTTCTGTTGTTTATATTATAGGAGACCGAGCCGTTGTCCAGGTACGAACCGAGTCAAATACCAATCCGTTTGCACTCACCATGACAAGACGTTGACATTATATTCGTTATTACTAGGTGTTCGAGGGTACCCCCGGTGTGGATGTGAAGAAGGTGAGAATTTCCGAGTCCGATATAGAGGGGCAGGGCTTGTTGCCACAGATTGCTGACATCTAGATCAGACCAAAGTCGAGTTCACCGGTCACAGCTTGAAGCTCGGTGTCTCCGAAGACATGCTGGGTCGTATCTTCGATGGTTCGGGACGCCCAATTGACAAGGGACCCAAGGTTCTCGCAGAGGAGTATCTGGATATCAATGGCCAGCCCATTAACCCCTACTCTCGGGTATGGCATACCACCAGCGCTTTACGATACATGGGGCTATCGAAGTTGACACAATCCTCTAGGTGTACCCCGAGGAGATGATTTCCACCGGTATCTCCGCCATCGACACTATGAACTCTATTGCTCGTGGTCAGAAGATTCCTATCTTCTCCGCTGCCGGTCTGCCCCACAACGAAATCGCTGCGACTATTGCTCGACAGGCCAGTCTGGTCAAGGCTGCCGGTGGCAAAGACGAGGACTTCATTATTGTTTTCGCTGCTATGGGTGTTAATATGGAGACTGCCCGTTTCTTCACTCGCGAGTTCGAGGAGAACGGCAGCATGGAGCGTACCTGTCTTTTCCTCAACTTGGCCAATGATCCTACCATTGAGCGTATTATTACCCCTCGTCTGGCCTTGACTACTGCCGAATACTTCGCCTATCAGCTTGAGAAGCACGTTCTCGTCATCCTGACTGATCTTTCCGCATACTGTGACGCTCTTCGTGAGGTCTCCGCTGCCCGTGAAGAAGTTCCCGGTCGTCGTGGTTACCCCGGTTACATGTACACTGATTTGTCGACTATCTACGAGCGTGCTGGTCGTGTTGAGGGCCGTAATGGTTCCATCACTCAAATTCCCATCTTGACCATGCCTAACGATGGTATGAAAGCCCGACTTTCTTCACACTTTTTTCTCGGGTGATAATTAACCTCTTCCTTCCTAAACAGATATCACGCATCCCATTCCCGATCTAACGGGTTATATTACCGTTCGTCCATTCCCCTCTCCGATATCAATAGGCTGGCAAGACTAACGCTCTTAACAGGAGGGTCAAATCTTCGTCGATCGTCAACTGTATAACAAGGGTGTTTTCCCACCAATTAACGTCCTGCCGTCACTGTCTCGTCTCATGAAGTCTGCCATTGGTGAGGGCCGCACGCGTAAGGATCACTCGGATGTGTCCAACCAGCTTTACGCCAAGTACGCTATCGGTCGTGATGCCGGTGAGTTCTTCTTCCAAAATCCAACTCTCCTTCTGTTTGCATTCTAACAAGATTCCCCGCAATAGCCGCCATGAAGGCTGTCGTCGGTGAGGAAGCCCTGTCTGCTGAGGACAAGCTTTCACTGGAGTTCCTCGACAAATTCGAGCGATCCTTTATCAGCCAGTCTGCCTACGAGGCCCGAAGCATCTTCGAGTCTCTAGACATCGCCTGGAACTTGCTCCGCATCTACCCCAAGGAGCTCCTCAACCGTATCCCCAAGAAGGTCCTCGACGAGTACTACGCGCGTTCCCCTCGCAAGATTAAGGATACCCAAAGCGAGCAGCAAAGTAACAACCTCATCGAAGCATGATTGAATTGAAACTCGCGCCCGCATGAGTTTGTTCTTATTATCTTCTTGGGCCGGAAATCAAATGTGACTTTAGCGCACATTAGGCAACGTCTTTACCATCTATGACAAACCTTGTTTCTTTTCTATTCTTCATTTTTTGCTCATTCATGCAACGACCCCCCTCCCTCTTCCCGCGCTCCTTCTCGTAGATTTTGATGATTCGAGGCCCCTTTTGTTTCTTCTCTGCCGCGAAAATTGTGTCTTGAAGGATGCTCATTTCTTCTGCCCTCATTGCATATACTCTTTTCGTGCGAACTGTACCTGTGTTACCATGTTTCCTTTTTTCGGGCTTTGCGTGTTAATCGGTTAGCTACAATACATTTCTTGAAGTTAAGCGAGGGTTTCTCAGTCACTCTGCATTCGTTTACTTGTAGCTAGCTTGTATACTTGGCTTTCAAAATAGGATAGCCCTAGGGTAATTCTCATACAATGAAATACGTTTGAGATTTTGAGAACCTTGGAAGTTGAAATCTAATAATAATTCAATTATTCGAGCTATGTTCAACACTGACTCGACTGAACTCCGTATCCATATGCAAATAATGAGACCCGTAAACACATAAGCTCGTTCCCACTAGGAAACATGAGGGTATAAAAACAAGAAGAAAAAAACCAAATATGTGTGGTGCCGCCAATTGAAACAAATCAAGGCGAACTTTTTTGTGCAGCTGTAAGGGGGTAGGAGTATGTAATAAGATTATCAGGGCACGGATGAGTATGTTGTGATTAATGGGGGGTATAAGTAGCAGCGCCGCTTATTGCTTGAAGGACTCCCGAGTATTGACACGGTCAACATCATAAGGGTTTCCTTCATAAGTCGGCACGCGATGCAGCGAGCCCACAGTGTGAGTCGATGCCATGGAGTGAGCGCGGCTGCGAGTGCGCTGGGTAGAAGGAAGCTGCTCGTCGAGGTGGGAAGACGAGTCGCTAGAGAGGGACTCGAGTGGGCCGGGGGCTTCGGTGCGATCGAACTTGGTCTCCTCTTCTTCTTCGACAGGGACAGCTGTGGCTTGTTCCTGGATCTTGCGCATGAAGGCGTCCGATTGGGCAGCGAACTTGCAGCGCTTGCGGATGGCAGCGCCGTACTTGTAGAATAGGAAGGGGAAGGGCACACAGGCGAGGGCCAAGAAGGCCGGGATCGAGGAGGCCCAGTGGATTCCCAGGTTGGTGTACATGTAGGAGGTGAAGAGGGGGAATGCGGCACCGAATAAGGAACGGATGATGCTGTTGGCTGCTAGGACGGAGGCGGCGAAGATCGTGTAGGCGTCAATCAGGTAGTTCATGATACCCAGGAAGACCAGGACCATACCGAAGCCGAAGGGGACGCCGGCTGCGATGCTGACCATGAAGTGGATGGAGGGATAGTTTGTCCAAGCGAACCAGAACAGGCCGATTGGGACAGCGACAGAGGCGATCATGATAGGCGGCAATCGGGCTTCGGGGGGTGCGAAGCCATTATGGTTGTCTTGGGTCTTGATATAGCGTTTGTTGTCCCATAGGTTATAAGCCACGGCCAAGATCATACCAACCATAATACCAAGGAAGGCCAGACCACCAACACCTTGGTTCCAGCCACGACCAAGTTGGAAAACGATCGGGAACGCAGCAAACATCATATAGAGGGTTCCATAGATGATTGCCATGTACAGCGACAGGAGGAACACAATAGGCTCGCGGAACAGAAGAACCCAAGGGCGGGACAAGGCAATCTTGAAAGAGTCCTTAAGAGAGACCTTGCCCTGGTCGATATCAATCTTGCTCAGGTAAACCTTGCCAGTGATCTTTGACAACTTCGCGGCGCGTTGGCGAAGCAGGACAGGCGCATAGGTCTCAGGAACCAGCACACTGCCCATAATCCAGACAGCACCAGAGAAAGCAGCGAGGAATCCCATCACCCATCTCCAGCCAGCATTCATACCCAGGAATCCACCGATGATAGGGCCCAGTACAGGTCCCAGGAAAGGCGCAGAGGCGAAGAAACTCATAGCGACACCTCTCTGCTTGGCCTGGAACATATCGGCAATGACACCACCAGCATTGGTCAGAGGGGAGGATCCAAAGGCACCGGCGAAAAAGCGAAGAATGATTAGGGTCCAGGCGTTCTTAGAACCGGCACAGCCAGCGTTAAATGCGGTCAGGGCAGCATATGTGGTAACAAAAAGGATTTGACGACCGAACAGTTCGGAGAGGGGAGCCCAGAGCAAAGGACCGACCTAGAGGTAGTTGTCAGTAAACAGTTCTCAAGATGCAGTCTAGCGACCAGCTCGTTTGCAAGCTTGTTATGGGGATCTGGGGGGAGTAACTCACAGCAAAGCCCAGAACGAAGAGTGAGACACCGAGAGTCGCAACTTCACTACCGATGCCAAATTCCGCTTCGATCTCCGCAACACCGCCAGTATAGGCGGAGGAAACCAATGCAACAGCCAAGGTGGCAATAGCGACAACCGCAGTCAAGAACCATTTCCTGAACTCGCTGAAATTCATGGGGTTGCGAGGGTCTTCGGGAATCCATGTCACGGCATATGGGTCATCTTCTGTGCCTGAACCCGGGTACGGGTGGTCCATAATCTGCTGGGTGACAACACCCTGGTCGGAGACGAGACGGAAGTAGGAGATTTTGGTGGGGAGAGAAGATTCGATCTTCTCAGATACATGATGTTTGTCATCGCCCGCCATGATGGGCAGAATGGGGTGGGTGGTGAGGAGATATTTTCGAAGCGAAGGCGTGCAGATTCCGTATATTATTCTAGGAGAATGATAATGGAGAACAGGCGAAAGCGAAATTTGGTGGGGAGCGGGGGTGTTTTTGAGAAAATAAACTTGGAATGGATTCCAAAGTTATGCACTGTTTGCGGGGATAGTCGATATAGCAGTAATGCGTATACTTCGTATGCCGGTTTCGGATAGGCGAAGGTGATTATGCAGCGGAAGCTAGTAGGTAAGCTGTGGCGATGATTATGATTATATTAGAGGAGAGATCAGGATCAAATCTGTGAAGCTAGTTGGGGATCTCCCCTTTTAATAGAGCTACAGCTATGGGGTGGCGCATCTATTTTTTTCAGTGGCTTTTTTTTTTCTGGTCGGTTCCTGGAAACCTCCCCTCGGAGGTAGGCCGGTGATAAATAATCATACATAAAAACCATGCATTATGAGAATAATTGCCCAGCAATGAAGAAAAAGCGGGCTTAAAACTAGGCTCCACCGGTGGAAACAAGGATCCAGATGAATTAGGCCACTGGGTCCGAACCGGGGTTCCAGTCGGCCCCAGGACCCATACGGAGTACGCCGTGACATCTCGCCATATGGATACCCATCGGGATATAGGGCAGCCGGATCACACTGGACTTACCTGCTTCGAAAGTGTATCGAGGCACTCCATTGTGTCGAACTGTTTTGCAGAACAACCATGTCTTCCACCAGTGCTAACACTCCAAAACCGCCACTTTTTTCATGAGAAGCTCAAAACGGTCAAACCGTGGAAAATCCCCGGGCGGCATGACGCGAATGGGAACCACGTGATGGATTATGCAGGGCATAAAGCCACGTTGGTTTATGTCGCCGGGTACTCGGCACGCCTCTGATTGGTCCATAATCCTGAAACACGGCCTTGGCATTCTCGGATATTTCAGAATCTTGCACACGATCTGGTGATTGTTTGCTACGTGCAAGATATGTCCACCGGGCCCGATATCTCCATCGATCCTGATTATCAATCCTTTATTTCATTGCACTCAGCATAAGACTTCAAAGCAACACTATGCACGGGATTCGGGCAAATCTACTAATGACATGGTTTGTAATCTCGGAATTCAGTTCACCCCCAGCGGATGAAAGTACCTTGAAGTCCAGCTTGACACTATCTATAAGAATTGCATATTTAGATTCCATATTTCCGAGAGCTTAGATCTCAGTGCGTGGGCCACATCCGTTATCAGCCTTCCATGTGGATTCCAGTCCTCGGGAGTCCGCGCTCTAGCTTTCTTCCTCTCCGCGCCTTGCAACCCGACTGGACCAGATCGGGGGATCTTAGCTGGCGAGTCCGAACTCCGGTGGGCTTGAAGGATTCCAATTCTATTCGTTCAAAGTGGGCCTTGCTGCACATATGTAGTAGCGGATGATCAGCCCTAGATTTGAAACTAGTATACGTATTCTGTAGAGAGGACCCCGTAGAATATGAAGGATTATCCTCCGTGCACCCTGCTGGCCGGCATGCCGAGTGAGTCACCTTATTCCCGATGCGAGCCTTGCACTAACTAATACGTAATCGCGATCTGATCTCGTATTGCTGACAGGGTACTCCTTCCTGACCGTTGGCTCCTGCAGTCATCCCTTTTCTCCCGATTGAACGCCCCACATCGTTGAAGAATGGGATATACTACTGCTGTTACTCATCGAAAGGATAAATTCCTTCCGAGCTTTGGCTACAGAAATCGGAACACTTGATTTTATCCACTAGAATGTGTTATGGAAACCTTGAAAAACTTCGAAAGTTTTGTCTGTCAATAGTAGTACTAGCTCGATGACTTTTCCAATACCCAGGTGGATTGTCTAGTGGTACCTCGATACTATTTTGTTGAGTAAATATATTTTGAAATTCAGGCCGCGGATCAAGACCCGCCATGCCGTTGCCCGGGTTCCAGTAGGCAATAATATCCGATTTTCTCTAGGTTTCGATATTAATCAAATTCAAGTTAGATATTTTCTCGAGTGAGCTCGACAAGCCATGGATCGCTCCATGGCTAATCGAATTTCTTGTGAGCCTGGGGACGGGAAGGGCCCGTTGCGATATCTTGTTGCGGATAATTCTATAGTGCAAAAGTGAAAATAATTGGACCTTGTCTCGATTAATTCAGGGAGGGGTAGCAACCGCCTCTTCTACATCTTGGTAAGTATCAAGAGGGTGTTCGTGAGATTTGGTATTACATGGTCGAGAGGCCCAGGGACAGAGTCTGGCTGAGTGTTGAGAAAGTTGATTTCGAGGCATGCTTTAGCACTGATTCATGGGGATAGGTTTAATCTTCAAATTATACTTTAAGCTCATTTAATAATGTGAATTAATTGTCTAAAGTTTGTGTTGGACACGTCCGTTCCAAGGTTTATAGTGCTATCTGCTTATCCTCGAGAGACTTGATACACAGATAGTACTACAATAAAAGCAACGCCTTCCAAGGTCCCTGTAAAAACATAATAAAGTTCGAAAGAATAAACCGAGGCTTCTTAAATTTCTCTTCAAACCCCTCTTAACCCCCCAGTCAAAGAAACATAAAACAGCAAAAACAACCTGTGCTTCCAGTCAAACAAGAGCAAAGCGGGAAAGACAAGTACTATTGATTGATCCACCGCCGTACCAAATACAGACACTGTCTAATGCCGGATATATAGTTGCGAGAAGCAACAGACTCCCTTGATATCGAAATACCAAGAAAGCCATATTCGTCATCTCCAACGGTTTATTACACGCTAGCACGGGCGTTCCGGTAGAAGACATATTGGTCTTGCGATTGGTCGGGGTGAAAACAAAACAAACAAGAACTCTATACCTAGGTATAATCCCTTCTTGTTGCTGTCATACACGTATGGATGTATAGATTGCCACCTTATAATTGACTATATTGGGGGCTAAGAGGGCAGAAAAGGGAAAAGGCCCGTGCCGAAAAAGTGAAGGCTAGCATGGCCAGAAATTTGGGATGATGTGCTGTGAATGGATTATTGAAGGCTGGTGAGAAAGTGGAATTTGAGGGGTAATCATCGAGTATTTTATAAGTTTTAAGCAATAAAGAAGACTCAACCTAGCGGGACAACGAAACTCGATCGCAATCCCCCAAAAGGGGACTAGGGAGTTAAGGATTCTTTGTTGGAATACGTTCGAGGCCCAACCTACGGCCTATTCGCGTCAAGGGAAAGCTAGGCAGGAACTGCTTTTCAAAGAGCGCCACGACATCTTGCAAGGGCTCACGTCAAAAATCAGATCCCGAATACGGAGAACTGAAAGCCGCGAAGAGAGGCTGAACCGACCCTTGGAAAACAACCAGAGTACGTATATTCTCCGATCAACAAAAAACAGAGTATACTATCTATACTCCGTAGAAGGTACTTTAAGCGACACCCAAGCAATGAACCACCCAGAACCACCAAACAGAGACCTCGAACTCCAAGTCTCTTTAAATCAAAGCTCAACCCCCGGACCAGAGGTACGCATCGCATCCAAGGCACAAAGGATACTTCAGGAACGACAACGCGGTACCGGATTTCGGACACGCCACAGTGGCAAATCCCTACAGGAACATTTGAGGGCGTCAAGAAAACACGCGAAAGGGCTTTCTCTCTCTTTGGCCGGGGAATATCGCCTAGAGCCTATCGCCTCGCGTCTCGCGACTGAAGCCCCTCACTTGAACAGTGCCCCACTCAGATCATGGTGATGGGAGGTAAACCATGATCCCGTCATCAAACAGGTTCTTTTTGGAATAAAAAATATACCATCATATTCTAATGAGTTTATTCATTCTTTCATGTGAATTTTAATCAGTCAAATCATCTGTAGCATACAAGATCATGGAAAATAGACCCCAATGTAGAAGAATTGATGCCCCAGGCCACAAGATGTGGATTCCCACTCTGGAGAACTGTGGAGCCTGCAACGTCAGACAGGGGCATCATCCCATCGCCAGGACTCGGAGAACATAGGAGGCCCTGAAGACCCGATGAGCATGATAGTAGGAAATGCAGAAAACAAATCATAACCAGTAGCAACCGAAATTGCTCTCCACGTCAGAAACAGAGATACTCTCGGATCAGAGCTGTCATATATGCGGGGTATTGAATATCCCCACCATCTACCTGTGTCCAACGTAGTGGAAGATAATATGTGCGGGAGATAACAAACCACTCACTCATTCAGACTCGACTATATACAGATAACTAACTCAAGTAACTGGGTCTTATTCGGCACAGATTAAACGAGTATTCGCCCAACCTTGGGTCATCCTCAACATTCCAACCAGCACCAACACGCACACTCGCGTATCTCAATCGAGAAATGGCATCACAACCCATGACCCGCCACCTGAGTTATACCCTTTACCGAGAAGAATCACCGAGCTCCACGAATCTCATACAACTACATAAGCGAATAGAATAACCCCCTAAAAACATACATGGTCTGGTGGGAAGTGGTTGGTTCGCGATGCCTTGTTTGACGGACCTTTACGGGAGAGAGGACTCATGCTTTTCGCGGGAGGAAACTGAGACTAGTTTTTTGAGGAATCGCCCTACCATCCGGTTGAAGAGTAAAAGGGGGACGAAATGGGGTTGACTAGATGAAAAGGGATTTCCATATATTTGTGGCTCGTACGATTGAGGGAAAGGCATGGGGTGCTTGTACTATTATTAATATGATAGCAAGGAGGGGAAGTACAAGGGCAGTTATTAGAGCGCCACTGTATGCATCGCCCTCATTATTCCGGTTGTAGTGCGGAGGAAAGGATCGGTTGCCATGGGTGGTCATTCCGAAACGGTCGCACAGCAGCAAGCCCCGCGTGAAGAGTCCAGTTGGCGGGGTATACTGGTATGGAATCTGGATATGGATGGGTGATCGACTCCGATGGTGCATACTTCGGAGACAGCATCGACGACTAGTCTGCGCTGGGGGTGTTCAGATGGAACGGGCGGGCTGTTGGGGGTGCGACGGTTGGGATGGAGATGGCCCTGGGAGCGAAGTCGGATGCTTCGGCGGGTGACCGTGCCAGCGCGAAGGGGTGACTCATGGGCGGGAAACAATAATAGGCTGAGAACGCGTCGGGGCTTCGATGGGGGGTATGGAAGAAGGAAAGAGCTAGAAAGAATACAGAAGAAACTACATGTCTTGCGACCGGGAGTGGGTTGAATCATAGAAGATCGCATTTCAGCGTCTATGTCATGGTTGGAGCGCGCTAAGGCACCAGGTAAGGTAATTCCTAATGTACATGCCCATGACTGAAACCATCCCGGATTATTGGGTATGGCAGTAGCATTGTGATCCTTGCGTGCTAAAGTAAAGCAAAGTTCGAAAACAACCCGATTCCGAAACCCATTGTGATATTGAAAAGCAAAAACCCATCATTTGATCGCCAGTTCGTAAAAAAGAAAAATCAGAAACCCCTTATCGCCTTTCCATAGTTCGAACGAAGAAGAAAAGCATCCACCACTCTCAAAGCCTCATGTATATGAGAGAAGGCATTTAAGAGCGCTCGCCACGGAGGCGGCGGGCCAGCTGGATGTCCTTGGACTGGATAGTGACACGCTTGGCGTGGATGGCGCACAGGTTGGTGTCCTCGAACAGAGAGACGAGGTAAGCCTCAACGGACTCCTGGAGAGCACCGATGGCGGAGGACTGGAAACGGAGATCGGACTTGAAGTCCTGGGCGATCTCACGGACCAGACGCTGGAAGGGGAGCTTGCGGATGAGCAACTCAGTGGACTTCTGGTAGCGACGGATCTCACGCAGAGCGACGGTACCTATGATGGGAATGTTAGAAGACCGATGATATGTTGAGGGGGGGTTGGGATGAGTTGAGAGATGGAACATACCGGGCTTGTAGCGGTGAGGCTTCTTGACACCTCCGGTGGAGGGAGCGGCCTTGCGAGCGGCCTTGGAGGCGAGCTGCTTACGGGGAGCCTTGCCACCAGTGGACTTACCTATTGAAGTTGTTAGCGCGATGTTGTGGAAAGTGAGAGACGCGTCGCGTCGTTGGGGCCCCCACTCCCCGCAGGAGTGTGGTGGTGTCGAGATGACACCACCAACCCACCAGAACGGTAGAGTGGGAATGAGGCCAGCAGACACCAAAAAGGTGAAGCGAATAGGAAATAGGATAAAGGAAATGAGGCAGGGAATACTAACGGGCAGTCTGCTTAGTGCGAGCCATCGTATCAAATTAAGATGATGAAATTTGATGGAGTTTGTTGATGGAAGATGATGTTGTCGAAGGTGGATGGAGAAGGAAAGAAGAGATGGGTGGGGGAAGAGTATTTGTAGGGAGTGCGACCGGGGGGGAAGAGAGTTGATCTGGAAGTCAGGTCGAGCCAATGAACATGCAGATCAATTTGGCGGAAGGCAAGGCCGGTTTGATTCTCTACCTTCCAATGATGGGTGGGCCCTTCTGATTGGTCAGATCAGCCCTGATTCGGGGCTAAGCGAGAGTTCTGTCTGGATCGACCAATCAGAATGTAGGATCACTACCTCTAGAATACCATCCCTCCTTTCAATCGTGATCCCCGTCGCCAGGGAGGCTGGATCGTTGATCTAACTATTCGAGTGTATTGATCTAACTTTTGGAATGCTCTGTGATTTTTTTCAGGATATGATTAACATGTTTGGGTGTGTTGGGAGACTAGATCAGAGAGTACCAAGTTAGATCAGTGATGATTCTCGGCCTGGGGCATCCGGCCGATCACGCCAGTCTACAGAGTACCTCGGATCACAGCCCTCTGATTGGTGGATCCGCTCACTAGCGTGTGATTCTGATTTTGGCATTCTGATCCCCGCCCATTTGCACTTCCCATACAAATATCCTTTCACCTCCACCCTTCTTTCTTTCTCTATCCGCTTTCGACAACACAAGTCTACTATCCACTTTTCAATTCTCCCTTTTTCTCTCTAACACTAATTCAAAATGACTGGCCGTAAGTCTTTCGTCTCCATTCCCTCTTCTGGACTTCGGTCTTCTCTTCTCTCGACGCGTCTTTTCTAACGCGTTCAACAGGTGGAAAGGGTGGTAAGGGTCTCGGCAAGGGTGGCGCCAAGCGTCACCGCAAGATCTTGCGCGACAACATCCAGGGTATCACCAAGCCCGCTATCCGCCGTCTCGCTCGCCGTGGTGGTGTCAAGCGTATCTCCGCCATGATCTACGAGGAGACCCGTGGTGTCCTCAAGACCTTCCTCGAGGGTGTCATCCGTGACGCTGTCACCTACACTGAGCACGCCAAGCGCAAGACCGTCACCTCCCTCGACGTTGTCTACGCTCTCAAGCGCCAGGGCCGTGAGTTTTCCTTCTTCATCCACATTCACTCCACATCCATTCTAACCTTCTCTTCTTCTCAGGTACCCTCTACGGTTTCGGCGGCTAAGCGTCTCTTGTCTTTCTTCTCTTTTCCGGGTTAACGGTACGATGGGACGTTGGGGTGTTCTTCTGATTTTTTAACAATCGTCATGGGTCTGGGTTTGATTTCTTTTACAACGACTACCACTTTTGCGTCCACTATGGGTCTGCTAGTGTTCGCTTCTCTAAGCTTTCCTGTATCATAGCGGCCTTTCTACAATATGGCTGGCACCACTTAGGTGGAATTGACACTCTCGCAACGAGATGTGCTCCGATACGAATACAATTTTGAAACCACGCAATCATTCAGTCGTAGACTTTTCTCAATGTAGCAGTAGTAGTCTCTTCTGTCTCTTATTCTCATTGTGAGCTTCACGAGTTCCAGGAACGCGTCTGAACCACTGTGTCTGCCTTCGTGTTGTTTTTGTTTGACGCGTCGCGGTCTTACCAAAGCTTCCTGTGGATAGTTCGTCACGGCATGTATAACTCGTACCTAGGTAGTCAATACATGTCGATGTTTAGAATACCATTGAAGGCTTGGGTAGTCAATAATATTATTTCAAGTACTGTTCCTACTCTATTTTCTACAGCTCCTCTTTTCTTGCCATTGTGGAGTAGTTTACCGTGGTCGCGCGGTGCCCGGCACTTGTAGGTATACGATTGCTGCAAGGACGCGTCTTTTTTTTGTCGAGTATAAGTAAAAACAATAATATTCACCTGTGTGTGTTGAAATGTTTATTTTGGCTGGGAAATGCTAGTGTTTGGAAATTTCAAATTTGAAGTGAATGTTGTAGTTGTGGAGGAAGATGGTGGTGTGTCACTCTATAAATATATATTACTATCCTCTAAATCTATCCAACTCCATCAAAATCCCCTACAACCACAGAAATACACATAAACTTGGTATCAAAAGATTGATATTACCTCAATAATGAACAATGAACTATTTGCAATCTGATAATATCAAGGGATCAGGCGTGAAATGAAATTGCAAAAAGTGGCATGTCTTGGCAACAAACCCAGCTTTGTGTATTTGATAGCCCCCCAGGATCGCGCGCCAAATCCAGTTTGAACGGGTGGCCGAGTGGTAAAATTGGACCACCTCAACGCGTTCAAACCATCCATCAGTCAAATTTCGATAATTTTCCATATCCCCGAAATCAAATGCTTGTCTCACTAGAGTTCTACAATCTGTGCCAAATTTTTTATTTTCCCCGGGTACTCCTTAAAGTTACCCCAAAGACCTGGTCAAGTCCCGTTTGAGTTCCCACCTTGACCCTCAATCATTCACCACCTGTCCCCGCAGCATGCATTGAAACACTTGCAGCCCTCTATGCGATACCAGCCTGATCTTAGTGCAGGAATCCAATGTCGCTACAGGGTCCCCTTATCACCCACCCCATGGCCGGACCTTCACCGGACACACGCCAGCATACACTAATCCCTCCGACTGGGACAAGACACGGCACAAGCCAAGCCACAATGGTACTCGATAATACCCTTGAGAGTAGATGGAACCTGGAACGACTTCGATTCCACTCGGCTCGATAAACGAGGACCCTCTCTGCTCGAAGCCTCCCATCGTTGATCCACCCTAGGACGAGGGTGAGTGCGCTATCGACTGTGTGCTCAATATTACCCGACCCAGGGCCGTCGAATCAAGCCGACCCAATGGCAAGTCACAAACACAAGATTGATCAAGTCTTGCGTCGACGATAGACAACGAGGGCCACATGCAACAGCAGCAATATCCTACTAGTGTTCGCCTGACCCAGAACTCTGGCAAGCCGCTAGGTACTTTTTAGAACACAGGATCCGCTAGACACCCACTCTGCAGTAGAAGAGTGAAGAGTCCCACCGAAGTTCAGAAAATACAGCTGTGGCGAACACCCTCCATTGCATTCCATCCGACCTTGAGACAGCCTGAAAAGAACGCCGGGCATCGGCACAGCAATCGCTGAGGCCATCACCAAACCTCACGCGCTCGGTGGAAAAACAAACACACCCCTGGCCGAGCGAGAAGGATCTAGGGCGACCAGCTTGTGATCTCAACCGAAGTGAAACTGGAACCAAAACCACCGGGCTGTCGTGACAAGCCCCAGCATACCCACAGGAGCTGTCATGACTGGCCACGACGGGGAGCCGACAGCATGCATTGCGCGCTATGGACAGACCAACAGCCACCATGCGCCGAGATGTCTATCGCTCAATTCAGTCGGAGTCCGGTGTCGGGAGAACCAAAATGCCTGTTGATGCAATTGAGCCACCAACCTTGGACAGGGCCATTCCCATTCCTAAAGTCGGGCAAGGCTGCACCAGCGTGGGAATGGACTCCTTGAGAAGAACGGTACTGGAGACCCTTCCGACCGGGCGAAACCCGACCGTTTTCGGGATACTATAATATAGTTCGAAGGGCTCGAGTCGCTAACCACAATCCGCACACCTTATTGCACATAGGCGCAAACTCATCGCCAGGGCGTTGGGTATGGTGGATCTGATGCACCCAGAGAGGTCACGCTAAACTCAGGTGGATGCAGCTCGCGAGCCGACCATACTCCATTTTCTCAATGCCACTCGGGGCTGAGCCTCTTTCGTCGCGGGGTCCAGACAGGGTATTGCTCGGTCCAATGGTGAGGGTCTATTAATTTATTCCCAGCAGCCCGGGTGTTGTACCCGCATTGCATTGCACTTAATTCTAGGGCTCGTATATACGGTGATATCGGCCGACGCTTCCCAATTACTGAGTCTTCCCCGTGTCTTTCCCCATTTTCTTTCCCGGAAGATGCGACAATGTGGTTGTTTGTCCTCGCGACAGTCCTAGTCCTCGCGGACGGGGGTTTCAGTGCTTCCAACTCCTCGAACTCCACCAATATCGACCCGATCAAGAATTTCTGTCAGCGGTTATGGCATCAATGTTGGTGGGCCCCAATCTCTCATTGCGATTTGGTGCCGAGACTCGCAAAAGACTGACAATTGCAGCTGTTGTGAAAGATGAAGTTCTCTATATCGATGGTGGCCTCGAGGTCTTCATCCCGTACAACAACCATGGAAATCCCGAAGAAGGCCCCCCCCATAGTCGGGACTAGTATGTCCGCCAAACCATAATCTTGCTTAAACCATACTCACCATTTGCGCAGATACCTACATGGTGATGGTTGGTCTGAATTCGTCCTGGAACTGGGAAACAAATATCTCCATAACTGCGGTAAACAAAACAGTCAACTCGAACACTGGAACCCTCCCCCCATCGAACGTCCGCGGCGCGATGTACGCCGGTGCAAATGAAGACCCCGACGTTTACTCGTACGGAGGGACATCCTCCTACGTGAACCGAAGCTTTCCAGGTTTTCTGTTCCCCACGGCGCCGACGTACACCCTCTGGTCCTTCGAAGCATCGAAGAAGGACTGGTCTCAATATGATATATCGCTCGATGTGCCATTACGACCAGCCGGAGGCGCATACGCAGAGGCAACAGGCCGTGGACTGGGATTTTATCTGAACGGATTCATTGATAACGGATCCTCTCCCGATTACCAGTATTACACCGACTTCCGAAGATATTTGGACGGTCTCGTCGTGCTCAACACTACGACGCAAGAAGCGAAGAACCTTTCCACCTCGTCTCTGACTAATTACCCCCGCGCAATGGGCGGGCTGGTATATCTACCAAACATCGGCGCGGAGGGAGTCCTGGTATCGATGGGCGGGGTGACAAAACCAACAAGCAATAGCGCCTTGTCGGATATGGGGACATATGTAAGTGATTATCGGGCCCCAATGGATTAGCAAGGGAATTATCCGACTCACGTATTCTGGCACGATCATAGGTCCCCTTCGACAGTGTTGATTTCCTCGACGTAGCGTCTATCGACAACGGCAACTCGGACGGAACTTGGTACTCGCAGGCTACAAATGGCGACATCCCCGCGCCGCGAACAGACTTCTGCCTCGTTGCAGTATCAGCACCCGACAACTCGAGCCACAGCATCTATCTATACGGCGGGAAGGGCGAAGCAAAGGTTTATGATCAGACATACGTTTTGTCAATCCCGTCATTCACGTGGATCAAGATAATGGAAGGGGCCTCACCTCGCTACGCACACTCCTGCCACGTTGTCGGAAAATCCCAGATGTTAACCGTTGGCGGAGCCCGATATGATAACATCACCGAGGGCTGTGACTGGGAGTATAAGAGTGTCGCGATACTGAATTTGAATACCATCCAATGGGGCAACGTCTTTGACTACAATGCCAACGAGTACACACTGCCCGCAAAGATCTACAATGTCATCGGTGGAAGGTTGGTTCCCCCAAACCCTCCTCCCAACCCTTTCCAAAACTTCCAACATAATCTAACACCCCCAAAGCGCAACAGGAAACGCAACACTAACGAAACCCCCCTCCGGCTTCAGCAACAAAGCAGTAGCAACATACTTCGACCAAGCAAACGCCGTCTCATCAACCTCAAAATCCCACCTCACGGGCCCGAAAATCACCGGCATCGCAATCGGCTCCGTAGCCGGCGCCATCATAATCCTCGGCAGCGGCGCATATCACTACTTCTACAACCGGCGTAAACGCAAACAACTAGCGAAAGACAACGACCAAGAGCAAAACATGCGCGAAGCCCCGGCCCAACATAATGGTATCTACGAAGCGCCGCCGGACTCGGTGACGGCTCGGTTTTCTAGGGCGATTTTTCGGAATCTGGGGAAAAGGGCGGAATTGGGGCCGCAGTCGCCGGTCCATGAGATGGATGCGCAATTGCAGGTTTATGAACTTCCTGGTCGGAATTCTGGGGTAGAGAGGGGGAAAGAGGAGGATGATAAGAAGGATTAGGGCTGGCCCGGGATTTGAATGGTCTTAGGAATCCTCGGGTTGGGGAGAAGGGACACCTGTTCGTTTTTTTTTTTCACGAGTGTTTTATGAGTTAATGAGTTATGATCTGGATCTAGCGGATATGGACATGAGAGATTTAATTAATATTCTTTCTTTACTAGAAATTCTGTTCTATTTTTACCCTCTTCAGAAATGAAAGAAGCTCTGTGAGTAAATGAATGGAAACAAGAGGGGACTTTCAGGGACTTTTGAGGGCCAGAGAGGGTAAAATGAAAGGACAATCTCGTTCTCATTGAGCAAGAGCTAGGCGCAGGGTGGGTTCCTTCCGTCATTCACTTCAACGGAGCCCATCTCGAACTTCTCACTTCCACTTCCACAATACTCTCCCCCCAATATGGATGACCTGAAAACACCTCCGTCTGTCAAAGACGATCCTTCCGAGTCAACCCCCCCCCCCAGTTACCCACCAAATTAACCAAGGATGACAATGAGGATCCCCCCCTACTCTCCCCCAAAGCAAGGCAAGAAACGTGCCATTGAAGAGAGCCCAGTCTTAGAAGCACCCGGCTCGACTGATCCGGCCGTGAACGAGAGCCCCCCCTCCCAAGAAGAGGGTGAGAACTCGAGCCCAAAAGGCCAAGGCTAATGGCGGTACTGAGGTGAAAGACAAGACACTTGCTCTCGACGAGAAACCGGTCTTAGAACCACCTCTTTCGAACGATCCTGCCGTGAGCGCGAGCTCACCTCCCAAGAAGAGAGTGAGGACTCGAGCCAAGAAGGCCAAGGCTGATGGCCGCATTGAGAAGAAGGGCAAGACGCCTGCCCTCGACGAAAACCCGGCCCCAGAGGCACCCGGTTCAACTGAACCGGCCGCGAACGCCAGCGCACCCCCCAAGGTCAAGGTCAAGGCCAAGAAGACCGAGACTAATGGCGGCGCCGCAAAACGCAAGAAGCCATGGCTGGACGAGGCTCCCCAGGATCATAAGGTCAAACTTATGAGACTGGCTGGAAAGTCTTCACGGTAGTTGCTCTTGAATTCTTAATTGGTTCTCCTAGCCTTTCCAATGCTAACAAGGCCCATTGCATCCACAGACTGTTTTTCGCTGGATACCAGGTAGCCGGTACCCCCAAGAACCCCCAGATTTCATTTGATGTCATAGGGTCGACGGGCAACCTTTACAAGACTACTATCAAGGAAGTGTCCTCTTGTGACTGCCCTGACTCGAGGTTCCGCGGGAGAAATGAAAATTGCAAGCACATCCTCTATGGTGAGTGTTTGGGATTGGCCCCGCATTTGACTTTTCAGCTTTTTCCACCTCTCTTTTATATTTGTTCTATCGTCGGGATCCCAGTGACTAATTCAATATGCAGTGCTTGTGCGCGCCCTCAAAGCCCCCGAGGAGCTGCAATATCAGCGGGCCTTTCTACCATCGGTAAGTACAAGCAGGCAATGATCACCACCCTCTACCCGATCAGACACTGATTCATGTATACAGGAAATTCGCTCAATGCTTGAAAAGGCCTCCAAAAGCCTTCGAATTGACGTCCCGACGGTGACACCCGCGGAAGAGAACGGCAGCACTCGAAAGCCTATTGAGGGTGACTGCCCAATATGCTTCACGGAGATGACTACCGACGAGATGATCGTGTGGTGTATCACCGCGTGTGGAAACAATATTCACGAAGAATGCCTCAAGCGGTGGGCGGCTTTCTCTCGTGACACTGGTCTGCGCTGTGTTTACTGGTACGTATATGCTTTGATTGTTTTGAGAGAAATCCCTTCACTGATGGCCCAATAGTCGTTCTCCCTGGACGACAGAGAAGAGTCCCGCCAGTGGACTCGACCTCGAGGACCTCCGCTCCCAGAAGAAGACGCTCGGTCCTAACAGATATGTCAACCTCGCCAAGGAGTATGGAATTGTTCCTAGCCCGAAGAAAGGGACCGGTGGGGAGGGCGCTGGAGGTAGAAAGAAGGTACCTGAATCTTCCCAATAGGTTCTACCGAGAACCAATACACTCCAAGGGTGATCCGGTCCCTCGCGAGAAAGGAGTCGAGAGATTTACAATTTGTGCGAATTTGTGCGAATTTGCGGGTTTCTATCAATGTACCACATCACAGGGCGATTCTCGGTCTCCTGGAATCAGCCTCATGCCATCTGTCTTATTCGAATGGGGTTCGTTTTATGTATTCCTATGTCGACGAACGATGGGATACTCATTAGTTAGTTAACATCAAGGAAATATTCTCTCTTATCTTATGACTCGGATTGACTTATACTTTATGTATAGTGGGGAATCTAGCCGCTACCCTTGGAAAGAGACTCGGGAGCTTTGTGCTTGTACCTTTGGCTGATATTTAGAGTATGGTTATTGAAGGGACCCCAAAGGTCAATGTAAAATAACGAATAAAATTAGCCACCAATTAACTAGTCGATGGTGCGACAAAACCAGGCCTGAGACGTCAGGCCACCCCCGCGTCTTGGCCAATCTTACACATCGCACTTCCCATCTCACTCTCATAGCACACATCTACTTGCCATCTCGTTCTTGCATAGTCTTTCTCCCTTGCATTTGATACTCAGAATTAGAACAAGTCTTTTTTCTTCTTCGCTAAACTATCTCCCAAAGGACACATAATCTCCGAAGAACCCGCCCTCTGTTCAGGGGAAGAGGGCGCACTTGGCCCCCAAAACCCCCCATTGGAATCTCTCTGGCCAACCGATAATCCATCCCCAACTAAGAATAAGCTTCACGATCAACATGCAAGCTTCTGCACAGTACCAGCAACAACTTCAACGGCAGCAAATGCTCCAGGCTCAGACTCGAGCCCTACAAGCAATGGCTGCGAGGCAACAAGCACTCGCAGACCCGACCACCAACGGCCAACAAGCCGGAGAATACAGCCATAACGAGCAGGAGATGCACAACAACATGAGCAGCCCCGGCCCAATAGAGCACCAAGAGCACGCGACAATCCCCCCCAGAGCCCAAACCAAACGGCCTAATGACCTTCCAAGCAATCTGCCAAACCAGATCGCCGCAAGAAGTCGAGCGCATCCTCTCAACAACTCAACCAACGGCCCAAATCCTAAATTTCGGCCTAGAAGCCGCTCTAACCGGCTCCAACATCCCCGTCGCCCAATATCTTCTCTCCCACCACGCCCCAATCACCCCATCAACAGCGGAAAAAATCCTCCACACCACCAACCCCACACTAACAGACCGCCAAATCGCCCTCTTCACCCTCCTCTCCCAACATGGCTGGACCCCAAACTCATCAGGAAGCACCGGCGCCCCCCTGCTACCCAAAGTCGCCGCCTCCAGCACAGCCCTACTACGCTGGTTTCTCACGCACGGGGCCAATCCCAACTTCGGCATCCAGCGCCTCAGCACCTCAGCCGGCGCAACGGATCAATTGAGTTACGAGTCATGCGCGGCTTTAGAGTCCGCCTCCGCAAAAGGCGATCTCGAAGCCGTACAGATGCTCTTTGACGCCGGCGCCGAAATTCGCTACGGGTATCCGCTTCACTATGCAGCGGGTGCGCTGCCGGCACCTGGATCCAGCGTTCGGCCGGAAGTATTCGACGCGGATCGTATTCCTATTATGCAGCTTTTAATTGAGCGCGGCGCGGCCGTTAATCAGAAAGGCGAGACGGAGCTTGTGGCGCATCATCCGATTATGTATGCTGTTATGGCTGGTGCGGTGCAGAGGGTGCGGTGGTTGTTGGAGCGGGGGGCGGATCCCGAGGCGAGGGGTTCTTGGGGGAGTGCGGTGGAGACGGCGTTTGTTATGGGGAGTGAGGAGATGAAGGCGGTTATGGAGGTGGGGATTCGGGCGAGGAGGTTTGGTGGCGAGGCGAGTTTTGCGGGGGAAGTGCTTGCTATCCGGCCTAAGCCGAGTATTGGGTAGGTAGGATGGTTCAATTCAAGGTAAACTACCGTAGTTAGGCATCTTGCTCTCGGGTAGGGCTGAGATGGATTGGGTAGGGGAGGCGAGTGCATAGATCTACTTTAACTATAATCTGAGTTTATAGATGTTGCAGATGCTAAAGTTTATAAGGTTTAGTGCTTATTTCTTGTTTCCAGGATTGTGGACTACTCCTTGGGTATTTTCTAGGGCAGGATACTGAAGCGACTTGGATTGTAGAATAGAGAGAGTTTATTTCCCTTGAGTCTGCCTTGAGCGAGGAATTCCCCCGATACCAATTTGTTAAGGCCTCGTGTCTCATGGAGTCTCGACCGAACACGTCTCAATAGCATTGGAATCCACTTGAAATCATACCGTATCGCCAAACCGGGGCTCATAAACCGAGAACGAATACGATCAAAGTGGAAACAAGCTGCCGGCCACGCAACGACCAAGCCCTCGACACCTCCGATTCTAGATATTATCCGCATAAACGTCAAGCAAGCTGAGTTACGAATGGCAGCGCCATACGCGGAGCCTTGGACTCCGGTTGGTGGGAATTCGCACGAGCCAGGACAACGCCACTCGAGAACGAAGCTAAAACTCTATCAAGACATCGGCGACCAATGTACAGACTGTCATTGGCTGAGGTGAAACTTGATTTGAAGTGTCGAGGCTGAACTCAGCTGGACTCTACCCTGGTAATAGGTGGGACACGCAACACTGGCTGGGAGAGTCCATCGAATGGGAATGCGTGGTGAGTGTCGGCACTCGAGCCTCGCGGAGATCCGTCGACGAAAGTTAGATGCATGTATCTCTGCCAGCCAGTCATGTTCTCAGATTGCCGATCTTGGGCTGTGCTTTGAAGGCAGCACGATTAAGGGTGACAGTGCGGACCCTTGACAGGCAACGGCACAGGGCATTTGGTATCCCTTGCCTGTGTTGTCGTGGGTCTATCCCATGTTGATCATTCAAGTTGTTCTAGGTCTTTCCCAGTTTTGTACATAAACATTTCCTTGTTTTTAATGATTTCATTTTTATGACAAATATTTGAATATCATTTCAGGATTCGAAAAATAGAAATTCCCTGAAACAAAAACAACTGGGATGTATTTTTCAGCGCGGTCTGTTTCCCGCATGGAGTGTATACATCCCGAAGTAGCTAGGCCTAGGTACTAGTTACTGTACATACTCACCCAGGATAGATCCAACATATCAAAACTCAGCACACCATCGGGATAACTCGGACGATCTCCAAATATTCACGGAGCGCAGTACTCCTACCATGCGATGTAAGCTGTAACCCAAGCACTAAGCCATGAAAATCTCTTCCATCCAATATCAGACATGCAGACGGAGAATCCCGGTGCCGGGTCGCCGGCACTAGAAGGGTTTTCGAATTCTTAGCGCCTTCTAGCCTGCCCAACCTGCAGCATTACTAGTGCGTAAGTTCGCGGCGTATCCCGTATCTACCCATACCACACCAGGAAAACAGCACATTCCAGTTGTGGCTGTGCACCAGGTCCAATCATTTGCATCGAAAAATTTTCACGCTGCATTAGCGTTGTTCTAATTCTGCTCTGCAGGACTTGAGACTGTCAGGGCCTCTAGCCCGGCACTTCTGAGCCGTTAAGGTGCTGACCTCTTATCCTTTTCGCCGGGATTCCACCGCGAAGGATCACGAATGAAAATTTTTTTCTTGGGGGGACCGAGCGTGGATCGGGCCGGTTGCTGTTGAATGCACCCGACCAAGGTGGTGATTTTACACGAGTGTATTTCGTGGCTACTACCGTAGCGCTGCGTTGCGCTGCGCTGCCTGCACCCTGGGGAAAGGGACCGGGCAGAGTAGCTAAAGTAGACTTAGCTGAGCATCTATGACACGTGCATTGTTTTCATTTCTACAATAGGCAAGTGAATGTGGGCCAGATTGTAGAGATAGAGATGTATTTCCCCCGAAAATCGCCACTTCCCCGGACGAGGGCCACGTTGTGGCTGTCGAGCCGAAAATACCATCGGCTAGAGGGGCCAGGAAATTCTGGACCAAGTGTCAAGGTCAAGTGAGTAGTCGATCAGACAGGCAGGGTTGGACTCAAGCTAAGGGATAATAGAGTGTTGGGTCCAGACTCTTCGGTTCGCACGGCACCCCGGACGGGCTTCGGCCCCCCCGTCCAAGGACCCGAGCGCTAAAGCCGGGACTGTCTCCTTGATCGGCTCCTGCATCTCCGTGTACTGGCATTGGCATTGGTATTCAGCATAGCCCTGACCAGATGATTCTTTCTCGTACGATTTGCTTCTTTCGTACGCACATAATAATCATCACGCGGACCTTTTCCGGTTCTCGCACGAGATGTCAACTACCTGAGACTAATGCAATGTAGCAGACTAAGGTAAACACAGACTTTGCCACCGTTCCCTCGGTCGGAAGTCGCCCGATCAGATACCACGCTAAGCTTGACGCATGCAAGAATGCCGCTAGAGGACTTTGTCGCCGATGGTAGCCCGCGCAATCGATGTACGCGAGATGCTTGCGACCTCGTGTTCGGTTTTTTACAGGCCACGCTAGTTGGACTAGCAGGGATCTGCGGGAGAATTATTAATTATTATTTAATTATTATTTATCATTTTTTTTTATTCGCGAGGGTTTGTTCCTGACGTCCTGGGCGTTTCTGAGTCAAAATTCTAAACATACTATATACTCCGTATGACAAATATAGGTGTAATCATTATTATTCATGTTTTTTGTGTTGATTGATCGGTATTTTATTTCTTTCATGTATTTTATTTTGATTCAATGTAAAATCGGTGTCAAAGAAACAGGCCATTGTCAGACCATCAAAAGTGTCCTTGTGACCAGGGAACCTTGGATCGCATAAGGCAGATGCCTGTAGCCGAGGGTCTCACCATAGATCCCCCAAAAATGTATAGGGCGGCTCCGAAGAGGCTACAGTAAGACACGGTCGCAGCCGCGCTAGTCATTCCATAGTTGGTCCTGAGTCACATGGTACTCATGCCATGGAGTCAGCTGACCTCCCATCCGAATCGGTAGTGTCGAGCCGAGCAGATCGAGATACCTAGAAACTTCTGGCAATTGGTTATTGGTCATTGGTAAATTGGTATGGCAGGTGTATCTCAGCTGGTGTTGGTGCATTTTGGACCTGCCCAACTTGGTTTATCTCTACCCAGAGAATGTGAGAATGCAGGGGAATCCCGATGACCTGGGTGCCACATGGTGGCTGAGCACGACGTGGCTAGTGGAAAGGGAGATCCCCAGCAAGTAGGGCAGGCTAGACCGGATTGGGCAAGGGACCTCGGCCGACTAGGGTGAAAAACTGAGAGACACTGAGTCACGCGGCCCAACGGGTCCAAAACAAGGTGTGGCTCAGCCCTGTAGAAATCTCGGGGTGCCCTAGTTCGTTAGACCGGATCATGCAGGTATTGAGGAAGAGATTGCTAAGCGATGATACCGTGTACTATTCAGAATGGTAATCAATAATCACAATCTGTTTTGCTAAACCCGATACATCCGACTCCGTATTTGGTATAACCTAGATTAATTCATTTGTTTGCAGGACACTCTGGGAACAGGCTCTTGAGATCTCCAATCCAATAGAAATGACTGAGCGATCAGTGACATTTGATTTGATTTGATTTGATTTGGGGTGGGTAATGTGGCTGGCAGTGAAAGCCACCACTCCACTGCAAGGGGAGGAGAGAGAGAGGGAGGGCAGCTGGGTGGACAGTGACAGCACAGACGGTACCCCCAATGATCAGCGATCAGTGGATCTGGTGGGTGGTGTGGTGAATGTGGTGAATGTACGGAGTACTAAGTGTACTAAATGCCCCGTATGGAGATGTAAAATAGAATACCACTAGCCCTAATCGGGACTAGTACCTGCATGGGGATCGGTTGTAATACCGAAATCTTTCGGGCTCCCCGGTCGCTGCAGCCAAGTTGAGCGACGCCTAAACGTCATGGCGGCCTTTTGCTTTTAAAGAACCCACCATTCCCTTTGAAACATTTCCTTATTATACCATTACTCATACTCTCTCACCTATACTTACTCACACTTACACACACTTTCACTCATACTCACTCATCTATATCACTCTGAATATCTGGTAAGCCGAGTCATCCATCAGAACCAAACTCTCCCTCCATTCCAGACCATTTCTGATTTAAGGTTCAACCTCGTCCCAGAACCTTTCGATCGCACCCTCGACGTTTCCAGACTCTTCACTTCAGCGAACCAGATTCCTCAGCACGGCCACAAACTCTTTCCTGCCCCAAGGATCTCTCGGAACTTGACCCCTCGGAATTCCTCTCTATAAAAAGCTCGCCATTCCCAAGTGGCGAACTCGATCTCCCTCCACCTGCTGACGTCCCCATACGTGAGATAACATAATGCTTATGTACCCACGTAAGGGTCTCATCACCGATCCATACTCGCAAGAAGACATCATCATACAAGACGATCAATACCCTCCAGAGCTGTTCGACCATTCTTCGCAGTACCAACAGTCCTGCTTGCAACCACCTTTCCAATATCAACCTCAGTTCGCCTCTCCGCCCTCTTCCGCGCCTTCTTCACCCACCTTCTCATCTCCGACCTTCTCCATCCCATACCCCCCCCGCCACCACCGATAGCCAGTCGTTCGGGGCTGCTTCGATGACCCCGGCCTCTTCCTACAACCCATCCTTCGAGATTCAGGGTCCCAACTCGCCTTCTCAGCAATACTACCACCCCACCAACACAAACCAATATTCGCAAAACTACCCCCTCATGTTGGCTCAACAACCTATCGCTGCCGGCAACCAAGGTTGGGACAGCAACCTGCAGCTGCTGAGCCCTGCGCGCATTCCTTTCCCGCAAAAGCAGTCGCCCAGCCAGTCCGTCTCACCTAACCACCACACTCACCGACGATCCAATAGCTCGTCCAAGCCGCTGCCCACTCCAGTGCAGACGCCTATTCAGAATTCATTTTTGGCCGCCCCCTTCCAGAACTACGACCCATCAACTCATGATGGTAGTGCGCTGGAGGCTGAGTCTGCAATGAGAAAGGCGATTCTGGAACAACAACAGAAGCACCAGCAATCACCACCACAGCAGCAACAAAGCGAGTACTCCCACTCGCTGGCCCCCTCAGTCTCGACTGTGAGTCACAACTCTCCGGTGACTCCTCAGACTAGCCTGGACGAGCTCGACGAATCGAAGATGACCAATGGTGAGACCCGATTTCCTGATTTTGACCGGTGGATGGACGAGTACTTACAGACCAACGAAAATTCAGAATATGCCAACAACAGTGCTATGTCTATTGGAATTCCCAAGCTTGACCGAACCATTTCCGACATCTACCAGGACGAGCTTTACAACCCCGCTATCATGGCCGCTCCGATGGGTCAGAACATGATGACTCCCCGCAACACCATCGCCGATCGACTCCAGGCTGCGAACCAGGGCCACATGTCTGCCCGATCTAGATCTCCCGTTATGAACATGAACATGAATATGAACATGAACATGAAGCGCGAGCGATCCCCCTTCCGCCAGAACTCGCCTTTTGCTGGTGACATGAGCTCCGCCCCTCTTCAGCCGCAAATGGCCACCAGCGTTCCCATGTCTCAGAACAGCATGAGCATGGCTCCCTCCACCCAAGCGGTTGACCTCAAGACCATGTCCCCCCAAGGATGCGGTCTTGGACTTTAACGAGGGCGAGGATGCCGCAATGGCTCCTCTGTTCCCCCCTCAGCAGGCCGACTTTAACCTGGGAGACGCTCTTGGTTTGCGACGCGACAGCGGATCGATGCGCTCTGCGCAACCGATGACTACAATGGAAGCTTTCCCTGGCCAGTACGCGACTGTCTCACAGCCTCCGTTCACATTTGCCCCGCAGATTCAACGCACGCAGCAGAATATTTTGCAGCAGGCGCCCGAGTATGCGGTCTCAATGTCGGGGATGCCTCGCGTGGACTCGAATGGCAGCGACATGGCCCCGCAGGCGCAGGCCAAGCTACCAGGCTCGGATCGAATCAGTCGTCCTAACAACACCAGCTCGGATGCGGGTACATACACCTGCACCTATCATGGATGCACCCTCCGATTTGAGTCTCCATCGAAGCTCCAGCGTCACAAACGTGAGGCACACCGTCAGACCACACCGGGCGGTCACTTGATTACCCGCGACACCTCACTACGCAACTCTCAGGCTGGGCCCCACAAGTGTGAGCGGGTGAACCCATCTACTGGCAAGCCTTGCAACTCAATCTTTTCCCGACCTTACGATTTGACCCGCCATGAGGATACGATTCACAATGCGCGCAAACTTAAGGTCCGGTGCCACCTGTGTACCGAGGAAAAAACCTTCAGTCGCAATGATGCCCTGACGCGGCACATGCGAGTGGTCCATCCTGAGGTGGACTGGCCTGGCAAGCAACGTCGTCGGGGCAGGGACTGAGCAAGTCCCCCAAACCCACACAACACAGCTTAACTTCAGAGGATCATCACCATGACGGTAAACCTTCTTTGGAGTATGCAGTGTTGCTCAATGACATCATGTACCCCCAAATCGAGAATGGCCCCACATCGGTCCCAGATCGTCGGTGCCTTCTTCCGCTTCAGGATTCGCGGACCCCCCCCCGGGATTGCAGCCTTGTGGCCTGAACACCCAACTCCACTGACGTCAGACTCCCGTTGAGTTGGAGCTTCCTTTCGTCTGACGTCGATTATACGTCGACGATCGTTCCCGCAACTGCATGACGCAGCCCCCCCCCCTACGTGTGCGGGTGATCTTGGCAACCATTTCTTATGATCCATTCAAAAAAGGGACAGCCAAAAAAAAGCAATGTATTTGTGTGTTATGGGGCTGTCTTGAGTGGTTTTCTCGCTTGCGGTTTTTTTCATGTCTGTTACGACCCTCCCATTATTATGCTGTATTATTATTACTCTTCATTTTGCGACTTGCGATCCGTTTGTATGATTTACGCGATGATGTCTCTTTGCATTGGCTGGTATCTTTTCTTGCCGCGGTGTTCTATATGGCTATGGCTCGAGTACAGTGTGTTTTGGCTGTATAATATGGAAAACTGTATATTATGGGAGCGATGGATTGTTTATATCCATAGATTTGACAAAAATATCTACAATTTCTTCATGAGATTTCTTCGAGTTCCATGTAGACTACTGTAGCTTGTAATTTGTAAAAGCCCTGCCCTACAATCCCCTTCCTATCCATACCCCCCAGTTTCAACCCCTCCCATCATGAAACAGCCCGACATTCTCCACCAGAGCATGGATCCTCCGTACATATGTACATAGATGAGAAACCTACCAACTTAAGCAATCCCGGCACACCTGCATAGAAAGCCCCACCCTAACCGCCCGCGGAACAACGGGCGCAAAAGCCACACGACAAGAGAAAAGGACAATCCCCAAGATCTCACTGGCCGGCACACCCAGCATCCCGTACAACAATGGTCTTCTCGCAGGATCGACTCCCAAAGGCCCCTAAATAGAAGACGAGAGAAAACTTTCGAACCCTTGCTAAATTATGCAGCCATCCATCTCATCCTGCATGGGAATGCAATCCCACCCAACGATAGCGTAGGACTTCAGCGGGGGGATGAGATGGGGTGGGAAGCGAAGCGGACCGGACCCATTACCAAAATTAAGATACTACATCCACTCCATAGTCTGACGGGGCAGATGAGATGAGATGGGGCTGTTGGCGTTTCTCGGGGCCCCTCATGTATACACTCACTTCGGGTGAAACGCACCGCGGCTATTATACCCAGATCCAATGAGTGAGATATGGGGGCCAGAAGGGCTCCACTGCCGCTCGTTAGTGAGCTTCCGGTGGACACTACAGTATGGAGCAGATGGACCACTTCCTTAAGTGGGACATGTAGTGGATTGACATACGAGGGAATAATTCTAGTCTCCGTAGATAGACTGTGCACTTCACTCCTGCGACTCGGAGAAGAGTGGAGTAAATTGGATTGGATTAGGATCCTCCCTAGCTCTTTCGACAGTCCCCGCTTTCCCGCTTGCTCCACTTCCTTTTCTGCCGATCGCTGGTTTATCCCTGGGCTGAGTGCGAGTGTGAGGGTGATAAACCTATCGGGGAGCACCACTCAGGGTAGGGATACTCCGTACTTCACGGATTGTACATTAGGGGTTCACCCCCCCCCCTCCCTCTTGGGGGCTTGCTGACGCAATCTATCCGGGGTGCTGATCGGCGATTTGCTGGATGTTGCAATTGAATTTTATTAGTACTTTTTTCAAGAGCTTTGGTCTTTCTCGTTCCCTTTGTTCCGGTCGCTCGGTATGTAATGATAGGGTATGGTTGTCGGAATCGTCGAGTCTATTATATCATTAGAGCACCTGTCTAGGTATGTATGTACCCTAGTATCAGTGAGTGAGTGTCATATGCTCTGTGGAGAAGGGTTTACGCGGAATGTGGAGACTTAACCCATGTCATGCTCGTGATTGCGATCAGAAGGTGCAAGCTGACAAGTAACATTCAAGGTCAAATGCGATAGGATAGCTTTGGCGGATGGATGCTTCATGGGTGAGTGGTGGAGGTGGAGGTGGATTATAGTGGGGAATCAATCACGTCTATGGCCGTTCGGGTTACCCTACTTTACAGTATATGTACATGTACAATATAGAGAGAGTTGGGTACTTTTTCTCGCTTTCGCTCTTGAGCCCTCTAGCTCCAATTGGGTTTCCAGTGCGAGTCATTGAAGATGTGCGAAATTAACTTTTTTTTCTATTTTTTATTTTTTATTTTTATTTTCTGGCCCTTTTCATTTCACGGTGTGGGCATGTCGACTCTTTATGTGGTGGAGTATTGGGCATGGCGTCTGCGGTGTATACATTGACTCCACAGTGGAGTTTGTGGCTTGCTTTAGACAGACATTTGGATATGGACATTTGAAGGGGGGTTCGCATTGTTGACTGTATTCCGTTGGTACGGCGTGTCCGTTATCGATAGTGAAAAAATGGGGCCTTTCGTATTTTGCGGTATGTGGCGGTGCTGTCATGTGACACGATCTTTGAGAGAGGATACTCTGTTTCGGGTTTAGCGGTACATGTGGAGCTTTTGTTCCAGAAGTGACTTGCGTGGCTGGCATGTGGCATGAAGCATGTGGAATGTGTTGCGCAAGTGTGTCCCAGCCATTTCCCCCTCTCTATTTATAGATGAAAACGGTCGTTTCTTATCTTGTCGTGGTTGATGAGCCTATTTCCCTTTTGAGGAAGTGTTGAGAGTGAGACCAGGGAGATCGTGGCGTGCGTATGCGGCTGAGGTACCCAGGTATACTTAGAATTTTATCTAGGCAAGTGAGACAATATTTTACGTTGCTGGAGTTGCTGGTGTAATATTCCGTTTTTGATCACTATACAAAGTATACGGATTCTACGGGCGTAACGAAGTTGGCGCTACCTGCTCGCTACCGACCTGGTAATATTGATCCGCGTTCGGTAAACACCATTATGGTTGGTTATGATTGAGTTTTGTCAGAGGCTGGGGGCCAGCAAATAGCTAGCCTTCAATGTACGCAGCCGTCAGTCGTGTAGAACGGAACTTTCAGAGGCCCAATCACGCTGGACTTCGAGAAGTTATTGCATGAGGCTCCATTGAGTCCAGCAGAGCGGGATATCATTCTTCTTAAAAAGACTACCTTGTCTAGACTGGTCATCTATGTTTATGGTTTTGTTGCCAGTGCCTGATTTGGCTGCTTTTCTAGCGTTCGAGCCTATATCATATATCATCAGTATCCTTATGGGTTTGACTGTACCTCGACCTTTTTTTCACATACAATCATGGATACAAACAGTGCCAATTGATCTACTAGACTACCTTATCCTTCAAGTACGACCACCCCTAACCGCCCAGCAACCGCATTCATGTCCACGACCCGCACAATATCCGTATCATCAGGAGAGATCTATGCATCTTTGGAATGGTCCCAGTCCGTCATGTAGAAGTAGACTCCGGCCTCGGAGACAAACCTGGCGCGATCAAGAACAATTGTAAACATACGATAGCCGTCCTTGTGGCAGCTTCTTCCCTTGGAGTAGGCGATAGATTTTTCGGGTTGTTGAGGAGTAATGCGTTTAAAGGCTGGTGGTTGATCATCATCCGTGGGAATTTTTTGCAAGGCGCCGATGGAAAAGGGATTTTCTCGGTTCCCTCCTTGGTCTTGCTGGGATAGAATTTCGAGAACCTCATTTTGGGCGGAGCGGATGGCCGACCAAGAAGTAAACTTTGGGATGAAGAATTTTAAGAGTGAGTGTTTTGTTGGCCCCAGGTGGGAGATGGGAGACTATTGACGCTGTGAAGAGGCGCGCTGTGCTTTCCAAGAGAGAGGAAGCTGCTGCGTCAAAAGCCGCATGGATAATGTATTGGATACCAGAGGTTTTACCCTCAGGGGGTATTGGTGACTGTTACAATGTCTGCCTCCTGAGAAATCTGGAATGACGGATCGAGAGAGAAGCCGCCAACTGAGGTTTCCTGGCCAAGCTGGTCACGAAACTGCTCCTCTGTCGGTATATCTTGGCTGGGAGGATCACCCTCGTCAACATCCAAGGCATGTCGCTCCGGAGGTCTACTGACGTTGTTGAAGAGATCGAGAACAATAATCTGGCCAATGTAGATCTGGTCCATAACTCTCTCGATAGTTAGTTCAAGTACCTCTGATGGGGGTTCCTCATCACCCTCGTCTGAGTGCTGCGCTACATTAACATCACTGCGTGTGCTAGAAGATAACCGGTTGAAGTAGAGCAAGTCCGGGCCTTCACCTATCACAGCAGGCTCCTCTGAGGAATGCACATGGCCCACCCGATAACTATGTGATCGGAGTAGGACACAAAACCCAATATTTGAGATTTGGCTGCTACGGTTGAATTGCGGAATCAATGGGAGAGGATTCTCGACCCCTGCCTGATGTTGCTGCTTGCGACGGGCGACTTCGACGCGGTTATGCTCAATACAGGCAAAGCCATCAGGCGGGCGGTATGAATAAATCTCGAACAAAGGTTTGACTTCGTCATTCCAGAATGTCTGCATCAGGTAATCTCGCAGCTCTTCGTAGTCGTCGTCCAGGGGAACAAGGCTGTAGACCTGGATGGGAATTATGTGATCGGGCTCTGGCTCGTAGTCTGGCGAGACGTACTGCTCGAGCACGACAGGATGACCCAGGTGGTCCGCGTAGGTGCGCACTCGCTGCCAGGAACCCTCAGGCATGGTGACTAGACCTTGGGGTATTCTATGAGAAGACAGAAATAAAAAAGACTTGGGAAGTAAACGCGGGGAGCAACGGGCTTAGGGGGACTTGAGGGGAGAACGTTTACATAAGCAGGCAGTTAGGGCTAATCGACCAGTGTGTAGTATCAACATGTAAGTTACAGTTACAACTTGAAGTTACAACTTGGACTATGTACTTCAGAGGTGATCTCAACTCCGACCACTCAATATCTAAGTTCTGGTGGCCTACTGCGAGGTGCTAGATGCTGGTGGTGGCGATGGCGATGGTGTTGCTGAGGGGGCAGAAGCCGCCTTTCTCTCATCCCAATTACGACAAACCACTGCACTGCGCCATAGATTTCCTTAGACATCCCGAGGTCACATATATTTTGCATTTATCTAGAACATTACTCCGCATCCTCCTCTTGTTGTATCTCCATACTAAAAATGGATAATACGGTCGAAATTTGCCTGTCAAATTCGATTTAATATTCAAAAGTTTCAGAAGAACCTATGTAACATTCCCAAGTCTCATTGTGACATTTTCATCCCTGTTTTGTCACACCAATGTCCCATAAGTCAAAAAAAAATCCTTCATTATATATTCCGCACATAATGAATGGAATGAAAAGTATACGAAAACTGCCATAATCCGGGATCTGCAACATGAAGTTCATCGAAGATTTCGTCTGGATGGTCATTAGTATCTTCATTATCTATAAGAGGGACTAACGGAATAGATACCCGTGATGATAAATTTAGCAAGTCGGGCAGTCACAGTCGGAGGGGAATCCATGGTTACTGCAACAGATAGAAAATGCTTCCAGGTAGTCCGAGATTGAATCGGCCTGGCAATCTTCACCATCTTGGAAAGTTCCGCTCACCAGATCGCAGCAAGTCTGGGTTGAGCTGGGATCATCGAGTCCGTCTCTTGCACACTTGCAAGCGTAGGCGGGAATGGCTAGCACAGTAAATGCCACTGCAATAAGATCGAACAGCCGCATGTTAATAATTTGATTGTGAGTTTGTAGGTAATGAAGAGATGGTAAAGGTCGATGTTGGCCCCTGATTGTAGAAACTTCAGAGCTGATATATATAGTACCTAGGTCTAAATAGTGCCCAGGTGGTTACTTCTGTTAGCCCTTTCCACCATTGACAACCAACTTGAGGGGTAACTCGCCTTTGAAACACGCTATGCTAGTAAAAGAAGTGATCAGGGCCCTGCTGAAGGATTGCATAGTTCTAAGTTAAAGTTCCGGCGTCCCCGGTGGTCTACTATTGATTGCTAGGGGTCATGATGATGCTTCGGTCAAATTTCGATGAACAGTTGGAGAATTGTTGAAGATCTAATACTATATTCGTATCCGTTACCCTTGTTCATCTCGTATCGGGTGGAGTCGCCCCAGAACGTTTCCTTGGCATCGGGCGCACCCCGTCAAATAAACGCTACCAATTAAGACATTAGGCTCTGATTAGAATATAATTTGATAACATACTCCGAGTCTGTACTTAATTTTGCCTTTCCTCTTGGAGACCTCAGAGCAATGTCGTCCTTTTTCCATTGTCAGCCCATGCTTCAATACATCTATACGTCTTTCTATGCGCCTCTCCTATTAACATTCCTGATTTCCTTTCGATGTCTTATGAAACCTCTTTCGTGTCTTTTATTATGTTATGAATCAAGAGCGACTCTCTTTTAACTGATTTACCAAGCCCGCAAGTTCGCTATCAGCCGTAATAAGGGTTTGAGACGGGATGCACGGAGTTGCCGGAGTAGCATAATTCCAAATCTCTACGAAAAGCAGCTCCATTGGCGATGCCTATTTTCCCACCTGGGCACTCTACCCGTGAGGGGAAACCTTCAGCTTGTGGGGCTTTGATTTGATTTTGGTATAGCGTCGCATCTTAGTATTTGGATTTATATAGAGATTGTTTCTAAACAACCTTGGAGACAAGATGGCCAAGATCAATATTTAAGGGGAAAGAACCCGCCTCCGAAAGACTTACCAGCTGGACATCCACCATTATCCCTACAAGTCTACATCATTTACTCTCAACTCCCTTCCCATTTGATTTATTATCATTGAAACTTCTTCTCTTCCAATATGCGGTTCTTCAATCTTGTTCTTGTTACCGTTGCCGCCCTCACGGTTCCAACGTACGCTTGCAAGTGTATCGTGAACGGCGAGCAGGATACACCGAGAACTCAAAGCTGTTGCGATGCATTGGGTGGAACCTTCCAGGATGGCAACGATTGCCAGGCTGATTCGATCTCGGATGGCCTGTCAATCTTTGACAACTGCTGTGGTGGTGTCTCCACTACATCCGGCTCGGACTGTGACTGCCCCGACTGTTAAGGTATGGAAGATGTCTAGAGCCGATATGCGGCTTATTTATTGTATTGTACTGACATTTTGGATTAAAAGGTTCATATGTATTCAACCGACATAATTGGCTCACGCCTATGCCAAGCTTGGTTGAAACTGCGCCCATCCCAGAATCCCTTCTATGGCGTTGAAACGAATTCGCAAATATTGCTGCTGGGATAGTCATCTTGATCAAATAGAGGGAAGATGATAGGCTGTATGTTAGGATCCGAATGCAATGATTTATCGAAATTCTTTTCCCAGTAGTGTAGTGGGGATGAGAACGATTGAAGCTTACTAGGCCACAGTCCCCGTAAAGACTCGCGTACAGGTAGACGATTTGCGGGTAGAGACGGGTGAAGCCTGCACACATTTGCTATATGATTCTACTCGGAGCGATTTCTCACACATACGACCATAGGGTGTGGAGAACAGGGCTTCCCGTCCGCTCAGCCGTACTTAAGCCACACGCCGGCAGGTTAGTAGTATGGTGGGTGACCACATGCGAATCCCTGCTGTTGTATGTTTTTGTTGAAGACATTTTTTTTTCGATTCGTTGGGTATAATGAATGCCCTTGCCGCCCTACCACTTCAGCCCCTGCAGCCCTTTCCCTGAACGCCCTGAAGACTCCCGCACGAATGACGTGACCCTTCAGCTAGACCTGCCGTTCTTTACGGATCCGTTCTGGTTTCCTTGCAGCCACCCCATAACCTGGCTTGCTGATATTGTACGAATCAGATACATTGTGGCTATAATAAGTCTCTGGTCTGGCTTTGGTTATCCTTCTCGAGGGACGTAAGGAAAATTTTGTCGGCGACTCCGTAATGATAGGGTGAGTTACGGATTAAGCAAAATGGCAATCTGTACAAAGCCGCTCAAGTTCGCCTTCCAGGCGAAAACAGGGGCCCTTCGAAACCGGCAGTGTCAACTTCTCGCTTCTGTTTCTAGCAATTGTTTTGTTGCAGCGCTTAATGCTGCTGGGGATCCTTCTAGGGCAATGGCGACAAGAGATTCTATAGCAGTAAGGTTTTGTTTCAGAATCTCTACATTGCTTATCATCATGCTCACGTGTACCGCATGCCTGTAGCCAGGCTACACCAGCAGCGTCAACTCATTAACAATCGACACCTGGATGAAACGCGGTCTCGAAATCAACCCCGATGTACGGATGGTAGCGGTACATTATCTGCATGAAGATTCCAAGGTTACTTTGATTCTCGAATTAATTCTACTACTGCCACGTAGATAGTGGCATCAAACCTCTCAAACCCTTGGGAAGCTTGGCTACGATTATCGATTATAGTTTCATGATGATGCCAAACTAATCTAGTACCTTACAAGATTCCAAGGTGGGAAGATCCGTCAATTTTGGGCGGCGGCCTAGGATCAACCATGTAAAAACTACTGGAGGCACAGGATAGGGATACTCGCAGAGAGACTGAAGATGGTGGTGACATGAAGATGCTATGGAGAGAAGCTATCTACATGGCAGGCACGGTGGGCACCGGCTGACTCAGTAACCTGGGGCCTGAGCCCTCAGGCCTCAGTAATATCGAGTAGTAGTAAACATACTGGATCATCCCCATAAGGAAGGAACAACACAAAAAAAAGAATCAGCAACAACCAAAGAATAAAGCAAAAGTTAATCAAGCGAATGGAAAACTTCATCTTTTGATCCTGAGCGTAATTTGTAGATCAAGCTCAAAGTAAGAGTGCCTTAATATTAGTTGAGGTTGAAATAGGGTTTAATATAAGGCCGAAATAATTTAAACTAGAGGGTAGAATAAGATCAAACTGAATGATTCTGATCGTTACGTCTTCAAATCTTGGGTAAACCACTTCGACTCGATTCGGGTCTTCCAATCAGTTTATACCTTGGAGTTGATCTTAGAACGCCGCCTGCTGTAGTGATCTGTATATAAGTAGCAATCCCACCAACCTCACGATAGTTCTTCATGTGTCTACACAAAATGGTTGCGATTCATCGTCCTGCGCTGGGCTCCTCGGGTCCCACTCTCACCAATATTGCCGACTCTGTTGCTGGTTCCTTTGTCTCCGGCTCCGTTGCTGGTTCCTTTGTCCCCGGCTCCAGCGTAGGTTCGTGGTCGAACACGACCACAATCCACACCAACGACCCCACCAGCGGCCGAAACGAAAGCCGTCTGATCACGGAGTCTGGCCACGATCACACTGTGAAAGTGGACCTGGCGGTTTGGGCGTCTGTGGGGGCGTTTGTTGGGGTGGCCGTGTTTGTGGGGGGGGGGGGCTGTGGGCGTTCACTGACTGGTAAGTATATTGACACTGAACATTCCCAGTCTCACCTACAGTTAGACATTACTATCTATCAATATATCAATATATTAATATCATATCTATTACCATTTCAACTTCGATCGCCATAGATTCTCCCCTGACTCCAAGTCTCGCTTTTTCCCCGCCCGTTTTGACAACGCTAACTGTGTCAAAATAGGCGCAACCGACGCAACGCGCGGGCTCTCGCCCGCATCAACAACCCTGTGGGCGCCGCTACCGAGCGCGCAGCGGAGGAGGTGGAGGCTGCACGGCGCGCCGCCGCATGGGATTGCTTCCCCGTGCTGCTCGGTGGGCTCGGCGGTTGCTGTGGGACGGCTTTCCCGAGGGTAAGTGTAAGTGGCCTGAGATAACCGCAAGTTAGGCAGGCATATATACTTACATCGAGATGTGTCTTTAGAGCGGCTCGGAGTCGGTGTCGGTGCCCTCAGCGTGGCTGGTCCTCTTGCTACTACCGCCCTCGCGGATGCTGCTTTCGTTGCCAGCCGCCTCCGGTGATAGGGATGTGTTGTGTTTGTGTGGGTGGTTTTTTTCTTTTTTTTATGTGCTGAATCTCCTCTGTTTCTCCCACCTGCCCCGGGTATGACCGGATGGTGGATTCGCCCTCATCTTTCTTCTCCCACAGGCTGTCCTCCCTGTTCTCCCACCTGCTGGAACCCGGCCGTGGATGGCGGGGGCTTATTTTTTTTTTTTTTTTTTCGTTTTTGTTTAGTTTGTTTCTGTTCTGGTGTCGGAGTGAACATGGATGATTGAAACTCCATGACGTTCCCCACTAGTAAATTAATCTTGGCTTCCCAAGGGTTGTGTAGATACCATTGTAGATTGGAGTCTTTACTATATTAGAGTACCTCAATGATTCTTTCTTCATCGAAATTTATAGAGCGACTATAATACATCAGATTCGGCCCTTCAGGTGAAGGACTGAAGCGGCCCCTACTAGGGCGGCGAGCCGCCAAGGCCAAATTCGTCGGCGCTAGGTAACCACAGACATACAATAGCCGTTGTATGTTTTTTTTGTTTTTCTTCTTTTTTTTGGGTGAGGTGCAGAGCCCAATCTGGCGTGTATTCTTCCATGGGCGTAATGTCGTCATTAGAACAGCTATTGTCACCAGCATAAGAGGAGTCCAGGCTTCCCTCGATTTCGATTCCGGTGAAATCAGCATTGTTTGCCTGCTCATCGCGTTCTTCTCGTTGTCTTTTGTGATCAATGTACTCCTCAGAACCAAACTCATGAATGATAGTGGTTGCGTCTCTTTCTTCCTGGGATAGACTTTATAGATCGGTCATGATTCGGTTTCCCCAACGTTCGACTAGGTCATTCAAAATGTCCCAGTCCATGCCGAGCTCATCGACAGCCTCCTCGTTCAGCACGATGAACCCCGAATCGCTTTATGCACTGTCGGACATTTTGACACAAAATCGAGGTGAAGTAAGTCTGTGGGAAACGGATCAAAAAGCTTGAGCGAACCGAAGATGCGCCCAGGTTTCAGGCTATGAGCGACGAGAGCAGTCAGCAGAGCCATGGGGGTAAATGTATTTCGAATGTCCCCGGAACAACGCGATACTTGGACTACTTTCTACAAAAAAAAAGGATCGGCCGTGTATCTTAGTTTCTGTGGGTCTTCAGCTGGGACCGGCAACATTTTTTAGCGAGTCCAGCGTTGATTAGATCCCAGCGATCAAGCCGTTGGTAGATAATATCATACTACAGTAGTAGTATGACAGTCTCTCAACTGAACGGCTTCAAACATGCTTGCTTTGAAGTTGCAAAAGCCAAACAATGATCCGTAGTCCGAGTAGATGATGTTTACGTCGAGCTCGGATGGGGAAGCAGGTGGCTTCCGGACAATTCCAGTTATACCTGAAAGTTGAAGAAATAGCGAAGGAAGCTCGATACACACAGCGAGGGTCGAGCATCCTCAAGACAGATACTCAAATGAAAAATGGCTCGCCACTCCAAGTGGTTTTGCGCGTCTCTGATGAAGTCGGGTACATAGTGGGGATTAGATTGATTTGCCTTGGAGAGCACCGAAGTAAATGATCAGGTGCGGAATATGCCGACTAAAAGCTATGTGTAGGAAAGCCAGCGGATGAACTCACACGCAGAAGGACTCTTCGGGCGTTAATTTGAGTTTCCTACCGTATGCAAGTATGCAGGGATCATTTTTTCTGGGACTAACTAGGTCAAGCAGGGATCAACAAGGGGGAGGGGAAGACTGCTTCAGAATGCTCCAGAACTCGGGAAATTTTCAGGGTGAAAGGAAGACCAGAGTCATATTTCGAGGCAGGAAAGGTCAGTGCATCATCCTAAGGTAAAAAGTAAGCTTTACGGAGTTTAAGACTCCATAAGCGCTGGAGGTGGGGTCAGAAGGTAAATTCAGATGGTAAAAAGGTGAAAGGGGGGGGGGGGGCTGGAATGTGTGGACTCCAGACTGACCTACGAGCATCAGATCCGTTATCACCCGTCTTCCGTGCACCACCACGGTGGAGGACATCTCGCCGTGATTGAAACAAGCCTAGTGGCGCTGCTAAGCAAAATGTTAGATCGTGGGGCAAGATAGCCAAGCCCTGGAACGGGCCGGTGAAGGTTACACCCAAGCGAAACATCTTTCCACTTGTATGTCCACACCATCGCTATTTAGTTTCATGGTGAGAGTGTCACTGCTCTGCTGAATTTCTCCATCAAAACTAGGCCCTGGCAGAGCTCTCTCCCTGCGCTTCTCGAAAGCCCCGTGGTCTTATTTTTCTGATCCCCGTCTCCGATTGCCGCGATTAAATTTTCTCAAGATTTTTGATCGATGTGCTCGCGCCCGCTCACTTTGAAAAATTGAACAAGAAAAAAAGACACAATATGGAGCGAACTAGGGCAGACGAGGAGAAGAGTATTCAGAATGCACCGGCAATTGAAACGCCATCGTCGGAGCTAAGCTCGCCGTCGCCGAAAAATGCTTTCGAGCGATTGAATACCCGCCTAGCACAGTTCGAGTTCTTCGAGTCGCGTGGCATCGAGCGCGTTCCACTCGGAGAACGCAAGCCCAAGGTCACATCGGCGGACTATATGCAGATGGCTGTGATGTGGTTCAGTGTGAATATCACGGCGAACAACATGGCCGTCGGTATGCTCGGCCCGTCAAGCTACGGGCTGGGATTTGTCGACTCCGCTTTATGTGCTACCTTCGGTGCTCTATTGGGAGCTGCAGGTGTTGCATACATGGGAACATTTGGCCCAGTTAGTGGGAACAGAACCATGGTATGTCATCCAGGCGACTGCGCATCTATCGACCAACATTACGGATGGACTGATATAATCAGGTTGTGGCACGATACTTTATGGGATACTACCCTAGCAAAATATGCGCTCTATTGAACATAATCATCATGCTGGGATACGGTATGGTTGACAGCATTGTGGGTGGTCAAGTTCTCTCCGCTGTGGCTGGCAATAACATGACCGTGGCTGTCGGCGTGGTTATCATCGTAGTTATCACTTGGATCATTGTCCTATTTGGCATGCGCATATTCCACATCTATGAACGGTAAATAGATTTTCACCACTCTTTATTCTCTGGTCGAAACCCACTGAGATACTGATCAAACGATTGATAGTTGGGCTTGGATCCCTCAGCTCATTGCAGCTTTCATCCTTGTTGGTAGTGCTGGTCCGAAGTTTGACACTTCGATCGTTTCTACCGGCTCGCCGCAAACCATCGCCGGCAATCGCCTCTCGTTCTTTTCACTCTGTCTTTCCTCGTGTGTTGCTTGGGCCCCGGCTGGTGCCGATTTTTATGTCTACTTTCCACCCAGCACAAAGAAGTGGAAGACCTTCATCATGACATTTCTCGGTACTGGCATGGCCTTGTCCTTTGCCAACTTAATTGGCGTTGGTCTTGGCTCCGGCACAGCCACCCATCCTGACTGGGCAGTGGCCGAGAGTATTTCCGCTGGCTCATTAATCCTCGCTGGCTACAACGGACTTGGTGGCTTTGGAAAGTTCCTAGGCGTCTTGGTTTCTATGGGTCAGATTGCGAACAATGTCGCTGGAACTTACTCAGCCTCGTTGGGCTTCCAGATGTTAGGTCGCTACCCGGCCAAACTTCCTCGGTGGGTCTGGACTTGTGTTGGAGTTATCATCTACCTTGTCTGCGCTGTAGCCGGTCGAAATTACTTATTCGCTATCTTCGAAAATTGGCTTGCGCTTATGGGCTACTGGGTTTGCATTTACCTTACAATCGCTCTAGAGGAACACCTCATCTTCCGCCGATCAAGAGGATTTGATTGGGAAGCCTGGGCTGATCGCTCAAAATTGCCTCTCGGTCTGGCCGCAATGACAGCCTTCTTGATTGGCTGGGCTGGTGCAGTTCTCTGCATGAACCAGATCTATTTCGCGGGCCCGATCGCCAAGATGGTAGGTGAAAATGGTTCGGATCTCGGTATATGGGTTGGCTCGTCGTGGGCCATGTTGGTCTATCCGGGTCTGCGATATTTAGAACTGAAGAGGTTCAACCGGTAATAAAGGATGATTAGGGCTGTCTGGATATGTGATTGATATTATACATCAAATAAATAGAAAGAATGCTTGAAATCATGACGACTATCAACGACATTCTGAGTCGACAAAGTAGCCAATAGTTACCAGTGTACCAAACGGAGAACAAAAAGAAAGAGTATCTATTACCACAGGATCAGCAAGCAAGCTGGGCTACTCTCGAAAAATAGCAGGGCATGCAATGTTTATGGACTAGGAGGGAGAGACTGCTCTCTATCAACAGCGACCGTCCGCAAAATGAGAAAGAAGGGATTCCCAGTCTGCAAGATCTACATCCCTGCGTGGCTGCTGTGAATATTACCTCTTTGGGCTGCTGGGGGAGCTTCCTCTTTCAGCCTAGCGGATTTCACGGTGTTTCAAACTGAAAATTCATCGCATTCTCCACGATATTTTGGCATCTTCGAAAACCACGGTACTGTATCTTTTTTTCTGATTTTAAACCTCACAAAAGCAGGACTATAAATTCACTATCGGAGTCTCAAATATCAATTGCCCGGGTGGTCTAGTGGTATGATTCGCGCTTAGGGTTCACCCAAAGCATTGACTGCGCGAGGTCCCCGGTTCGATCCCGGGCTCGGGCCAATAAACTTTTTGCTGCCTCTTTCATCACTATATTATGTTTTTTTCTCCTTCCTATCTATGTATGCGTCTGTCTCCCTGGATGTTTTCGCGTAGGAATCCGTGACTGGGCTATAATTAATCCTTTTCGACATAGTATTTTGATTCGCCGAGTTGACCCCAGCCCCCGGGGGAACTTCGCCTAATTAACCCAACTTGAATGCAAGGTATACTCGGAGGAAAGCGGACAAGGGACTAAGACAGAACAGTTTCTACCCCCTTCATTCCATCTGACTGCTGACACAACGAAAGGGTTTGATGGTATGCTAGAGGGATCAAGCAGACATTAGACCATCGAGGACATGTGTGAGAAGATAATATAAGTACTCTGTCTAAAATTCGAGATCGCAGAGAGTAGTTCCACCTTCTGTCCAGGTAAAGAAGCTACTTCATCTGAGATAAACAAGCGGGTTTTCATCACCTTTTCAACCGCTAACATGTGGCTTAGAGACAGAGGGCTTCGACAGTTGAATCTTGGCATCTGTCTCATGTTCTCGACCTCGGCTGCAAATGGATTCAACGGCGGTTTGATCAACGGTTTACTTGTTCTCCCACATTGTGAGCCTCTCTGCAAGATACATGGGCTTTGGAACTACAGCCGCTGATACTGCCATTCAAGTTGCCGTTTTCACACAGGACTTAAGCCCCTCAATGCTGGGGCTTGTGATCGCTGCAGGCAGCTTTGGAAGCTCAGTGTCTTTTATACCGGCGTCTTATATCGCCGATCTCTTTGGTCGAAAGTTCTGCGTGGGACTCGGGTCTATCATTCTCATCACAGCAGCTGTAATACAAGGCGCAGTTCCGAGCATATGGGTACTCATGAGCACAAGAGTTCTGGCCGGAATAGGTGTGGGAACTGGCACTATCGCGGCGCCCTTGCTCGTCACAGAAATAGCCCACCCGCGAATGCGACAAACTGTGACCGCATTGTACAGCTCCACCTGGTATTTAGGAGCGATTTCCTCCGGAGTTGTCACAGTGTCGACATTGAGCATGCAAAATGATTGGTCGTGGAGACTACCCTGCCTTTTGCAGTTGATTTATCCTGCCTTCCAACTATTGGGGTTGTTGTGCGTCCCCGAGAGTCCCAGGTGGCTGGTGTCAGCTGGCAGGAAAGCTGAGGCCCTTGAAATTCTGATCAAGTATCATGCGAATGGGGTCGACGGGGACAGGGATGTTGAACATGAGTTCGAACAAATGTGCACATTGATTCCATTGGAAAAGAGCTCGAATAAAGGGGGCTGGAAAAAGTTTCTATCTTCGCGAGGATATATCCACATATTGGGTATATGTATTTTGGTTGGCATAATGGAAGAATGGGCCGGAAATGGTAAGTCGTATCCAAAACAACCTTTCTCCATCACAGATGGTTACTAAATGATTGCAGGAATCATATCATATTATCTTGCCGCAATACTTGATTCCATTGGAGTCAAGAATACTTTGGATCAAGCCTCCTTGAACCTCGGACTTCAGATATGGAATCTCTTGCTTTCTGGGGTGGGAGCCTTGGCATCGGAGAGATACGGCCGCCGAATGTTATGGCTTCTTTCCACGATTTTTATGCTAGTATCCATGGCTGTGGTGGCAACCTTGACGGGTCTTTACGCAGAAAACGGCATATCATCTGCTGGAGTTGCCGTCATCCCGACGCTATTTCTCTTTTTTGCTGCATACGACATTTCTTATGCAGCACTGTTTTTCGCATATCCGGTTGAGATCCTTCCATTTGAATTACGAGCAAAAGGTCTGGCTGTGACCCTTTTATCGGATTCCATTGGTATATTTTCCAATCAATTTGCTAATCCTGTGGCATTTTCGAGAATGAAATGGCGATACTATTGTGTGTTTCTAGGATTTCTATCCTTTTTTCTTTTCTCGATTTACTTCTTCTTCCCTGAGACAAAAGGAAGATCACTGGAAGAGGTATCGCAGATTTTTCATAAGGAAAAATATAAGGGGCAACACGAGGAAGATAAAGAGCTAGGAATTCAGGACGGCATAAAAGGGGTCAACCGCCGGCTCAAGAGAGCAATGGATGATACTTGCATAGAACCGAAATAGACATTTTAGATACTAGACAAGGTGGAATGAAAAGAGTGATGGAATAGTGTTAACTTAATAAGTTACGGGGGAATGCCATACATATACACTCTACTGAAGGATTTCCCTAGATATATGGGTAGCAATGGCCGCATTTGGCCATTGTAACGTCTGGAGACAGAGAAATATGCTTATAAAACGTGTCTATTTGCTTTTGGCTGAGTCCATCAAGTACCAAGCATGACATAGCAGGAGGACCAAGAAGCCAGATCATGTATCAAAAATTGTCCTTGCTGAACTCATGTAATGAAGCATAGAGATCCACGCAATTCCATGGCGTACATCAGGGACGCAACCAGAACAAAAGCACCGGCACACGCACCACTTCAAAGGAGTCCAATAACCACATCACCATAAATTTGAGCGTCCAAGTCAAGGCGGACCTTGGCGTGAAGGTTGAGGTGAACTTTGATCTTCAAGGCGCCCTTCTCATCCGGATCGTTGAGCAACTTTCCGGGCATCTGAAGGCCGGCGCTGGAGATGGTACCCTCACCACCGTGAACGAGCGCGCCACCTCGAGTGGCGCCGTTGGTGTCATCGTCCGACTTGCCGCGGCGGCCGCCGACGGGGCGAGACTCAGAAGGAATGCTAATTGACGGAGTGGGAATATCAGCTGTGGGTTTGCCTGAAACGGGAGACTCGGGTTTGCTTCGAACAGCAGACTCGACTGTTGGGCGACGGGCAGAAACGGGTCGAGCAGGAGCAGGAGCAGGAGCAGAAGCATGAACAGGAGGAGGATTCAAGGGTGGATTGAGTGAAGTCAATGGATTGAAAGGCGCGATTGTAGGCAGTTTGGGAGGCGCAGTGATTGGCTGGGTACGACCCGTCCGCGATGGGGCTTTTTCGGGGTCAGGTAAGACCGGGGTCTCGGGCTGAGGCCCGGTGGCATTTGGTCGTGGGGGGGCTTGTTTCATGATCAGATAAAATTGGAGCCTCTGGCTTTGACTCAGGAGTCACTACCGACGGAATCGAGTCGATTGAAGTTTGGGCTGTCAAAGTATGCGTGGATGAACTCATTGTGCCACTGTGTACACCCACGGAGGTTGAAGATGGCGACTGCTTCTGCTTCTGCTTCTGCTTCTGCTTGGCCTTTTCCGACTTGCTTCTGAACATGAGGAAGAGAAGGGGGAGATGAGATCTAAATACCTGGAAACAGGGTCAGACATTGCTGTAGATTGCGGAGAGGTCTTCGATATTTAAGTGAATGGAGAGATGTGTGAGGTGTTCAAAACCGTATGATGAATGATTTAGTTAATTGAAGAGGAGATGCCAGGTGAGTGAAAGAAAAGATGTTTTTGCTCGACCTGATGCAGCCTTTTCTATACGGCGCTGGGCCGTCCTTAGACCATGCAATATGCAGCTATTCGGATCCTTCCATTGTCGAGCTGGTTCACCAAAGGCCCACCTGGTCTATTTGCAGCAAGAATCATACGATTCAGCCATAAGTGGGCTTGAATGATTCTGTGTGAAGCAATTGAATTGTCTCCACCCGAAATGCACCTGTAAAACTGCATTCTGCAGCCGTAAATACTTGCATTTTTCTCCCAACCCCAAATGCTCACCACCCCACAAAAACAATCCAAATATTCTCCAAAGCCAGGGCACATCCCTTGCACGACTGCACCAATCGAAAAAGAAGAATGGTCCTCGGAATTGTGATGATGGCAGCAATGCTGCCAACCATGATAGGTTTGAACGAGGCAACCCAGGGAAGCCGGGAACAGGAGGAAGCTCGGCGCAACGAGTCACGAAAGCAACGAGGCCATTTAGTGGCCACGGTTGCTATTACACAAGGGACACCAAAAATACGTCAACAGGTTCACAATGCCCAGGTCCAGGTGGGCCTAGACGGGAGGGTAAGTTCTGTCAAACGTGATAATCCCGGGGAACCCACAATCCACTAACACCGGAGTTGGTCTCTTACAGCTCTACATCACCAAGCATCCCAGCGCTTCTATGGTACCCTTTAACGGCAGCTACTTTACACATCCCGACTTTCCCCCCAACAACACTTCCGGTTTAGTGACCGTCAGTGGCGAGAAAAACGCCCACTCTGCGGTGGGTATTTCGAGATGACAAGACGCACGAGATGCGTTGGGGCGGTCGTCCTGACTCGGAAGGCCACGTATGTGGGCCATTTGACTGGACTGAAGATGAGCAATACTTGACTATGGAGGGCTGGGAGGGTTGGTTGGCGGTCCGGCTTCCGAAAGATGAGGCGCAAGTTTTGGTAAATGGCGCATCGGCTAATGGCGATTCGGCTGATATCAATGACGGTGAAACATGGCGGCTATATTTCGACGGCAATGATGATGGAGCTGGTCTACCACAGGGTTCTAAAGGGCTAGAGATACGTCTAAAGCGAACTATGGCCACTTCTTGATATCTCTGTTTTGTTTTGAAGAGCTATCAAGCTTCTCTGAAAATTAAAAAGGAGACGAAACGATAAACGAACCCCCAAGACTATGTTCTAGATTTACTCGTATGTCTCTCATTTAACTCAAACACGTTAATGCACGTAATTATGCACAGTGTAAGCACATGGACGCGCCCCTTAGGTTCGAAATCAATGGTAGTTTCAACAATATCACCTACTAGGCGCTAACGCAGGTAGATCTTGCAGATCCCCACTTATTCACCCCACACTGTAGCCTGAAAGGACGGCTGTGGCTGTATAGATCGTATGATCTTCCGGTTTCCACCGATCTGTCGATATACGCAACACGAACTGTATACTCATCTCCTCGAGCAATTACCGGGACTATAATGACTACATGTAGTGATTTCGCCGCGCAGAATCTATTAATTGGCATATGGCTTGGTGCCTGAGGCCAATAGTCCTAAATACACAACCTGATTGGACCTCCCCCATGAGCAATGTTGATTTGAGCGTAAGCAATATAATTGTTTTTCGAAAATCCGCCGGTCCCAGATGAATTAAGACCGAGGCGTCCCACTAACCCGGATGAACGGATGATCTCGGGTCAAGATACGCCTCTCGATCCCTGCAAGTCCAAGATCGATCAGGGCTAGATGCACAATATCTCGGCCGTAATCCGGCCTAATTGAAATTGATGCGAATCCTTCGTTGGCGGGTGTAACCTAATGCAAGCCCCGCACCCATCATTGTCATCCGGGCTGATATGACATTCATCGGCCGGCTTTTCGGCGATGGGCACGCCACGCCGCCATCCAAAACGCAATCAATTTGGAATAGTTCGGAGGGGGAGAATCCCTCTATCTGCATATGCCAACGCAGAAAAAAGGGAAACGACACGTGACTCGGTAGATGTTGTGAGTCGGAAAGAGGGAAACAAAAGTAGGGGTAGCAAGTGTTTTTTTCACTTCCTTTCACAGAATCAAGACTGTCCATAGTTTTCTCTAAACTGGATATTGCCTCGTGCGAGTCCATGTTGCTGGAAATATTGGAGGTACCACATATTCATTTTCTCTTATCTATCCAGATCGCCCCCGTTCTGAATTCCGATGAGACGATGAGATGAGGATGCACAAAATGGTCGTGGATGGATGTTAAAGAAACCAACAAAACAAGAAAGGTGAAGGGCGACAATGCGATCTATATCTGGATGCTTGTACCTTCGCTGGTCTAAAGTATCAGGCTCAAATATGGTTCAAGTCGGAAAAGAATTGACAGCGACAACGTTTGCAAGTCCCGAGATTGCCTCTAAGACCGTCCCCGTCTGACTCCTTGTTGGATATGTCATCCGTGGCCACCAGACAGTAGGACATGGCTCCGCGACCCGGGTTTAAGTAGCCCGATGCGGGTATCAAGTGGTGAAATTCCTTTCCAGGGAGTGAAAAGATAGCCGGCATGCTTCCTATAATCAACGAAATCGGGTTGGGGAGATAGGCCGTCGTAATACACAAAAGCCACCCACCTATCACCAGATCCCCATCACCAAACATGTTGCGGATCCAGGACGCCTCCTCTGAGGAAGGTTCACGACACTTGCGTGTTTCCTCATTCCAAAGCGTGAATGGGGCTTGATCGTTCATATGTCGAGCACCCCAGCCTCCGGGGGTTTGTCAGCGCAGCGGTTCTGAGTGGGAGTGGGATATTTGGTCCTCTAGATGCCGAATGTTCGATCTTGTACGAAGGGGAGAAATGACTGCGTTCGTTCAAGCATCAGTATACGGAGCGCCTCACTGCATAAGTTGAGCGGCGGGCGATAAGCGGAGGGGAGATGCCATCATGCTGATTGAAAATGAGAGTGATGTGTTATTGTATTTAGTGTGGTAGCGGCATTATCCCCCACCAGGAAAGTTAAATCACAGTATATCCATTCAATTCTCGTAAACTGTCTTGCCATATTCATCACTCTTAGACACAGGGTAACTGCCAGATCTTTCATATGTAGCCTGTTCACGCTCAGCTTTCATAGTGGCGAACATCGCTTTGTATGTATCATCGATGTCTTGAGCGGTAACTTGGTAAGTCGGTCAAAAACCACCATAACCTCGTCGAAGTCGTGTTTATCCTTTGGAAATGAGCAAAAGTTCATCGAAATAATCAGGAAGGGCCTCTCGGGACTGGGAAGTGGTTGCAACAGTCCTGGTGTCTTGTCTTGACGGTATTCAGTTCGCTTGCAGACGTGGCATTTGTCCTCACATCAGTGGATATATGTGTCCACCCGGGCCAATAGTAGCGGGTTCGGATAAAATGAGCAGCTTGAAGCTCATCATCGCCTGGATGCGCTGTCGATGGCAGTCGATAAATTTCATCTAGGAGACGAGCACGCAAATCCCCGTCATCAGGCATCAAACCCATCTACGACCGGAGATCGATTATTATTGTCCTCAAGTGTTGTCGTTTCTATCATACCTGATGAAAGATCGCTGCTGGTGACGTTCTTTGCTAGGACGATTAACATGGATTTCCGAAAGTTTGGGCTCGGAGTGGGCCAGAAGTTTTGTACTTGATCAACTTTGTTGGCGAAAGAGTTGTTTCCACTTCTCTCATAGAAGTCCTGGAGAGATATGTGATGATGAACCTGAAATAGAGAAATCGTCGGGCAGGTCGACTTTCGCGAAGAAACCTCAATCAATGTCCTAGGGTAGATTATCAAGAAATTCAAATAATTTAGCCCACGGTATTGACTCACTCCCCATGCAATGAATCTTCTACCGGGGAACTTCTCACTCATGTTGAAAAATTTGCTAGAGTTGATTATCATTTGTGTACGAGCCTCTTCGTCTGCAAGCACAAATTTCCATCGTGCGATGCTCCGACCTCAGAGTCTGTCTGATAAATCAGAAGGATCAGGAGGTCTCGGTATAGGCCTTTGTATTTGATGTAGTACAAACAAAGAGGACTTAAGATATAGTGAGTAAGATGACAACTCAAGAGGTGGGAAATGAAGAGAGGATGGAAAAGAGAAGAAGAAACAGGGATATTTTTTGTTGATATTTAGGACAAAAGGAAGCCGCGACTGGCAGTTCACGCGGCTCAAAATCAACCATCAGATTTGGGCTTCGTTAATGATGGATCTGAGGCTGCATTTGGGCCCAGTTGGTCAAGATTTCCATGGAAATCCCATGTTGACAGTGTGATTAGCCCCCCCCCCCTAAAAAGGTCCTGATAGTATGGTCGTTCTAGAGCAGCAGAATTCACGAACGCCTTGGGACCGTTTAAGACAGCTTTACAGTAGTATCACCTACACTCTGCAAAAATACTTCTCCTGCTCTGTTTTAAGAAAACATGTCTAGGTAGTTCGCAATTAATGGAGATTGTCGCTATAAAGGGTATTCGTACAGCCAATATGTACCGCCGATAATAATCCGTATATATGAGAATTTATCCCATGTCCCTTTCCAATAAAATAAGAAGAAATCACCCAAGAAGAGAGGGGAAAAAGGAAAGCTTTAGTTTTTAATTAGAATCCCCGCTTTGACCGGCGAGCCCGCTCGCTCGGTGTATCGAAGATGCCGTTTGTCTCAACGGTTGTCTCAATCTCTGTCTGAGTGAAGATCTTCCCATCGGGAATGATTATCCTGTCTTCGCTCGAATTGTCATTCACGGTAGCACCAATTTGGGTACCCATTCCAGCATCTTCTTTGCCATTCATCGTGCCCATTGTGATCTGGTTTGGATCGGTGACTCTGGTGAACCCCGAGCCGTATTTGCGAGCGTCGGTATTGCCAGACCAAGGGCCATATTTTCTGCCACTGCTGTATTCGCCGATGAAGCGGGGCAGGAAGCGAGAAGCAATAGCTTTAAAAGATGGAATCGAGGCGGCGAAGATACCGACATTTGTTTCGATGACCGACCAGTACATAGCTCCACTGATAGCGTAGGTAGCATCGGCGGATGTGAGCATGGTGGGAATGTAGGTAATTCGGATGATGGAGGAAACACAAGCACTGTAGTAAGACTGTATTAGAGCGGATTCGAACGAGGAGGTAGTCTTTGGTGCACTTACAAAAGACCCAGACAGAGAATCAGAGCCAGCGCAATTTTCTGCTTGCGGGGCATCTGAAGCTTGAAGATGACGCGGATGGGAAGGGTGTAGGTCAAGAGATCGGTAAAGATGTTTAGCGCGGCATTGGCCAGATAAAACACGTTAATGTTAACACATTTTCCAGGTCCGGTACCGGTCCAGGCTTTGCTGATTGTTTGGCATTGAAAAGCGGCGACGAGAACGAAAGAGCCTGCCTGGGCCGCAATAACGCCAACCATGACCCATGAAACTCGGGTGAGGGTACGATCGCCCAGGCGAGTGTAGAACCATAAGACGGATGTTTTGATGAATCCAAGAGTTGCGAGATAGAACATTGAGCTCAGCCAAACTGCCTAGTACACAGAGCTGGGATTAGCAAAGCAATTTACCCGATCAATTAAAAGACAGCTGTGTACATACAAATCCATAGGTAACCATTTTGTTCGGATCAACATATTTCGCATGCTGGCCGAGTCCATTTTCAACCGCTAAGATGGGTTAGCTCTTGAAGATAGAGAAAGGCAGGTCATAGTTGATATCACTCACCAACGATGGTGACGGCGATGAATGCCCATGATAATAGCTGTTGTTGTCAGTTTATAGTTCCACCAAGCAAATTGGCTCAATCTTACACAAGCTCCGATAATGAGATCTGAATTGTTGTTAGAAAATTCTCAATAATCCAGGACGGGATAACTCACAGTCATCGGCCCCCATTTTACCTAGAACGTAGACACGGGCGAACAAGCGCAGACTCAAGACAATGAATGTTAAGACGGCAAATGCAAGACAAATTCCGACAACAACAGGCCCTTGAGAGCCATGATCACTTGTGATGGCCATAAGGAGTAAATAAAAGGGTGAAAAGAGTGAATGCAAACAAGAAATCGGCGAGTCAAATCATCGATGGCCGTCCAAGTTGGAG